AAGAGGCTTGTCGTCAAAGATAACGAGCTGACCAGCCTTGCCACCCTTTGCAACCACTTCTCTCTCCGCCTCGACATCGTAAAGCGAAAGAATCACGCCATCTTGTATATCGACCCGGAGTTTGCTGTTTGCCAGGCGGAAGACACCGGGATTAATCTCAGAGACGGTGACCGATGTTGTAGTCTTGAAATCGACTGGCCTGCATTGGACCACGCCAGTGGAACCATTAACAAGAGCATACTTGGATGCGTTCGAGGATGTCATGGTCTCGGGGATCCTGACTACCTCAGTGCGAGGCCAAGGGAGAGTGTTAAGCGCAACGAGATCCTTGCCGTTCTGACCAGTGATTCCCAACGCCGCAAGAGCGTCCTTGCGCAACTTGACGCCGGTCTCGAAAATCTCAGCATACAGCTTATCCGAATCGTCATAGCACATCTCGATAGAACTTCCAGGCAAGCAATCATGGAACTGGCAAAGAAGAACGCCCTCCCACATATCATCAATCTGCCTTTTCGGGTAGCTGTAGTCCTTCTTCGAGCCGTGAACAGTGGCAAGGGTTGCGAGAAACTCGATCTCCCGCAGCAAGAATTCAGATTTGCGGTTATTGCGTTTGTTGTTGGCCTGTGTCGTATAGGTACCCCGATGAAGCTCAAAGTAGAGTTCGCCATACCACGTCGCAAATTCAGTGCCACTAGCAGCATTGGCTTCCAGCTTGTCGAAGAAGTCATCGACAGAATCACCCATTTTCACGCGTGGGAGTGTTCCGACCTTGTCGCTTAGACCACGGGCCCGGCGCAGCTTTTCGAGATGTCCGAAAGTAGGTCCACCACCACCGTCACCCTTTCCGAAAACAAGGAGCGAAGACTTGTCTTTGTCCATCGACTTGTGCTGCGTGACACTGCGCTTCAAATCGCCAAAGTGAGCTTCCGCAGTGTAGGTCTCTGCGGGAGCCATATGGCAGAGTACCTGGCTGCCATCCAGGGCGACCCATTGGAACGTGGTGTGAGGAAAGTTATTGATGTTATTCCAGCTCAGCTTCTGAGTGAAGAATCGGCTCATACCAGCAAGGCGACAAATTTGAGGAATCTGAGTTGAGTAGCCAAAAGTATCAGGCAGCCAGAACGTTGTTGATCGCTTACCGAAATGGCTTTCGAAAAATCGCTGTCCATAAAGGAATTGACGGACAAGAGACTCGCCGCTGGGCATATTTGTGTCATGCTCGACCCAGCTACCACCGATCGGCTGGAAATGACCCTTTCGCACCCAGCGCTTGACGCGATCGAAGACCGATGGGTAGTATTGTTTGAGCCACTTGAACTGTTGAGCCTGAGAGCAGGCAAAGCGATGCTCTGGATATCTGTCCATCAAATCACATTGATTTGACCACGATCGCGCGACCTTCCGCTTGGTCTCCGCCCATGGCCAGAGCCAACAGGTATCGATATGACAATGGCCAATAGCGTAGACAAATGGTGCAGTATCTGGGGCGTAAACATCAGAGGAGTCGACCTTATCGCCAATGTACTTCTGTGCAATCTTTCGTGCTTCATGAATGGAGTCATTGCTTCCGTCACCAGCAATGAAAGCATCGATCATGGCGTTGCCGACCATATTGGCTTCGTGAGCCTCCCAAGAGTCACCGGGAAATTCGCGAGCCGCATCTCCAATGATCCAGAAATCATAGAACAGAGCACGAGCTGCCAGATTGACAGCGGTAATCTGGGCCTTGCTGAGAGTGTAGTGCTTATCGGGTCTTGGCGGCTGGATGGTATCTCCCCCGGGGGCGTTGCCGAACATGCCGTTGCATGCCATTTCAATGTAAAATGTATGTTCCTTTCCATCGCGCCATTCGTCAGGGATGATCCATTCAATTCGATCGCCGCCACCCGTCAAGCCCTGCAGGGGATGGCCGTCCTCTGACCAGATCAATCCTTCGTTATTGGCATCCCAGTGGAACTCGAGTCGCTCTTTCTGACGCATATCCTCGGGAACAGTCAATAGAATACGAATCCAATGGGTAGACCAGCTGGGGCCAAAGGATGCACCGATGTGGGTGGGAGTGAATTCGTGTGAGATTGCCTCCTTGAAGGGCGGGCGCTCCTGGTCGGGAACGGAGTAAACAGAGAGCTTGACATGGTCTGAATCGGAGTTGACGGCCTCGTGGTACTTTGAGACGAGATTCTGGCCTTCATACTGGCCGGTCGCTGTGAATTGCTTGAGACGGTCCGTGTAGATCTTGGTGATCCGCTGGCCGACTGGGCGTTCAGCTAAGCGGGGAAGCGAGTTGGAAGCTGTGGGGGCGATGTGCGGAGCCTCCCCACCCATGATGGCGATAGCGGCGTATGCTGAGGGGAGTGAAGAGAAGGCTAGTAATAGTCAGAACGTAGTAGATGGAGGAGATTTGAAGTAGACGACAGAAGAGAAGCAGGGGAAAGAAAAGAGGAGAAGCAGGAATGGAGGATGGAGGATGGAGGGAGGAGATCGAATGCGGCATGACGGAATGCGGAGGCGGCTAAGTGGGTCCGGGTCCAGGTCCAGGTCCATGGGTCAAGACAGTCACGGTATCAACGAGTATACACTGACGAGGACTAGAATTAGATCTACGGGGCAGAACACTCTATTCCATATCATTTTTGGACAACTCGACTGTTGCTATCGACCTGGATAGCATATGGCTCCATGCTTTTCACATTGGAAAATGCTTCACGACCGGGGAACACCTCCGTACTTCTAACCTGCTCTACGAACACCTTTTCCTTTATTTCACTGATGTTTAGGGTTTTGCTTTGCAGCATTGCTCCGCTGTTGAAACACCATAAAGGTCTTTGCTTTCAATTTTCAAAGGCGCTCATAGATTGGCCTTTACTTTCTGGTTTTGTGTTGCTTTGCTTTATGAAGAAGGCGGCAGATCAATTAGTACGTTTTCCATGCAGGCTTGGTCAGTCTACGGCGCTATATATAGTTTCCTTGAGCTCAGATAGACTTTCAATCCTGCACATATTTCACTGTGATTGTCTCTTTCGCCAGTACTACACTCAGAAACTTCAGTGTGGACTGCGGTTTATTCAATTCGAGTTGAACTATATGTGTGACGCAATGCTCAATCCAACATGATACTGTATAAATACAGATGTATTTATAGTATGATCATGAGATTGCCGTTGCGACTGTTGCAAGGTTGGGGTTTAGAAATGGGCGCCGAATGGGCGCTGAATAGAAGTCCTAATTTCAGTTATTGCGCAGCACTAATCCCGGCCCCGGATTAGAACATTGAATGATTTGAATTCGTATGACGCTGATGGAGGCATCTCCAAAGGAGATGTCTCCGGGGGAGAGCAAAGATCTTTTTCGTCATGTGTTTCTTCCCCCGAAGCCCTCTCAGTTCAGCGACTACAGCGCGTCAGACGAGCATCTATTTGTATATAGACACACTCTATAATGTACTAGAGATAACTAGGTGATTGAATTAGATTAGCACCAAATTAGGGACGGACCCGATACTAGTACCAGTGGTGACTAAAACTTGAATCAATTACAATGTGACTAAGAAGTTCCATGGCGCCCATCAGGGTAGGCACAACAGTATTCTTGTGATAAGTACCGAAACAAAGACCAAGTTTTTTGTAAAATAAGCAATTCTTGTTGCAAACAAAGGTAACCTGGAAGTACCTCACTCGAAAAGAGGATCAAACAGAAAGTGTTTGCTACCTACTAGTCTGGGTGATCGGTACCCACTCTTCACTCTCGACTCTTGCCGGTCTACCACTCCCAATCTTCCCTCCTGCTCAATTCTTCAGACCACCACGTCAAATTACCTCTTCCTCTTACACGAGACTATCCCATCTAGTATCGCCTTGGTCACTCTTCTCTTATTTCGCTGTCCCTGTGCCGCTCTTTGTCACCAGTCACCGAAATTAAGAAAACACATCTCGGACAGATCTTGGACGGCCGCCTGCTAACTTCATCCGATTTCCAAGATCCTGAAGCCGGGTCGACAACAGCGGAGTCTGAGGATGAAAGCATGGATATTGACGGCTCGGAGTACGACGCTACTGATGAATAACGGGTACAGCCATGTCTATGTTAAAGATTAATGTCTTCCGGTTTGGGTCTATGCCCCCTTTCCCCACAAAGTACATGTCATTTCAATTTTGCATGCAGCCAATTATCTAGCCCATAGTACTGCCTTTCAATGAAGATTATGTGCTTGATCCGAACAAAACAGTAGTAAAGTTATTAAACATGCCCGTCCTCGTCAGGTGGTTCATTAGCTGGCATACCATCCAATAACCTCACACAATCTAGAGAGCTCCCAAGAGCATGAAAGAAGTCATGACAGCCGGTAGAACTCTCCTCGTGGTAGCCTTTCCAAGTGTTCGAGCCATACCGAAATCATTGCAGGTCCTGAGAATGTGATGCATCTTGGAAATTGGACTCCGCACCCACTCGTTTACTAATTTATTTAGCTCCCCTCTCTGATATATCCAAGGTTTACAACGCTTTCTTTATCCTTCATAATATATTTGAAATCGCTAGAAACCGTGAATAAGATGCCCCATGAGCTATTAGCTGGTAATGGCAAACTATCCGTATTAAGCAACCGGCTTTGCTATTTTTGCGTCTAGAGCATACCCACCGATAGGTGTGCACAAGGTTTCAAAAATTATGGTTAAATTATTTTGGCTTCCAACCAGTTTATCATTTCTTCCGATATCTAGCGAAAGCCTCCGGCTGCAACATTTGTCATAACGCACCATTAAATGCCATAATATGATGGTATTTCCAGAAAGGCAGATACCTTTTCAAACTGTGGTACAGGTGTCGTGATACACTAACAATAATAGCATCCTGCATCTGTGAAGTTTAATGGATCCCATTTGAGTCAACAAGTTATACTTGATACGCAGCTATTGCACTTGATGAATCTGGGATCGATCAAATGCACCCAGAATTATCACACACCCCTATCTCTCAATATACATTCAAAGGGCCCTACCAGAATGGGCAGTCTCCCACTTGACGCCTTGGGTCAACATCCGCTCTTATACAAGCTCTATACACAAATAAGCTGCGTTTTCGCACTTTCCCACGAAACTGAAGAAGATGGGATTGTGAGATCCTTGCAGTTTGGCCTCGAGAGGCTCGCAAAGGCATTCCCTTGGATTGCTGGAAATGTAATATACGACAAAACAAGCGAGGAGTACTGCATCGTCCCATCCGGGGCAATTGCATTGATTATCCATGATATCCGAGGCGATAATTCTTCACTGACTATGGATGGCCTTCGGGAATCCGGATTTCCCTGCAGAATGCTTGACGAAAGAATAATCGCTCCATGTCTTACTATCAATACCCCCGAGACCAACAAGGGCCTAGCAGCATATTCCTCCCCGGTTCTTGCACTTCAAGCAAACTTTATCACAGACGGACTGATTTTAACGATTGTGGCGCAGCACAATGTCACCGACATGACGGGACAAGACCACATCATCGGCCTCCTCTCAAAAGCATGCCACGGGATACCATTTACTCGGGAAGAGCAGGCAATTGGGATGATGGATCGCAGGAGGGTGGTTCCATTGTTGCCGGAGAGTTATAATATTTGGAATCCTGGCCCGGAGCTCGATTTTCATGTTCATAAGCCTCGAGAAACAGATTTCGCAACATCAACTGATTCAAATATCGCGACTGCCACCTGGGCATGCGTGAACTTCCCACAGCTATCCCTGGAACAACTCAAGTCCTGGGCAACAATGACAAAAGATCCCTCGACACCATTCACACCGTATGCGCATTTCTTTGGAAATGTATATCCCGAGTTCGTCTTTCGCGGCTTGACCCAAGCATGATCTCCACGATCTCACGCGCGGTCGATATCAGGAATCGAATGGGTGTTCCCGGCTCCTATCTGGGGATGTTACAAAGTCTGACATTTGCAAGAAGGTCTCTCCAGCAAGTGGTCGACGAGCCTCTCGGGGGGGGAAAGCTTCATACCTCCGCTCTCTGCTTGATCCAGATGTGGTGGACTTGGTTTACCAAGCGCGTGCGTTTAACACTTTTGTCGCTCGTGCAGGGGGTAAAAAGGCTACCGCTTCATTCACGGCCAATATGAACCCTTCATCTGACCTTATGACAAGCTCCTGGTCAAAGATTGGTTGTTATGACTATGAGTTTAACCTCGGGCTGGGGAAGCCGGAGGCTGTTCGACGGCCAGGCTTTTCTTCGTTTGAATGTTTAGTTTACCTCATGCCCCGGTCTCCGAAGGGTGAACTAATAGCCCAGGTTTGTCTTCGGGATGAGGATTGGGATCGCCTTAAGGGGGATGAAGAGTTCACCAAATTTGCTCAGTATGTCGGATAATATCAGGCGAACTCCGCGGGGAAGGTTAAATATTGTGAACAGGGGTGGGTTTTGTATTATCTCCCTTATCTTCATACTTTATCTCATCGAAAAAAGCTTCACCTTTCGCGAAATTAGACCTTTTGTAATTGGTTTGGGTAGCACTCTGCTCGGATCCCATAAAGGGCGTGCGATAATTGATCAAAAATGGAGCTAGAAGTCGGGCAGACATATCCTCGTTGTATATACCATAGTTACTTGTACTCGGTCTTATCGCTGAGTCGGGTTTAGTCTGGCTGTGGCGACAACTTGTAAGGCTCACAGATTCGCTTGGTGCGACTGCCTGCATGAGACGCACGCCATTTATTTTCCACGTGCCGCTATATCTGAAATTTCCATAGAAGATCTTCCTCATAGTAGATTAAAAGTTGACTGTAAGCCTTGACCTTTTTTCTCTCCGTCGCTCTCGTAAAAACGCGGGGTAAGTAAACCTTGGAAGCCGTTAACCTCATCCAGTCGCTTCACGAGACTCATCCACAACCGGCGAACAGACACCCCGCCGCATCAGATCTAATGCCTTTGGCTGGTAAAAAGTAAGATCCTTGGTAGCACGGGTCGCTTAAATCCCTGGAATTTACAGAAATCACTCATGACACCTCCAGTCCTATAATGACCGGAATCATTAGCATTACTGGGATTTCAGGAATATAAACTCGATACGGCGGGGAGGGGGCCCGACAACGAAAAGTCCCTTGTCCGATCGGTGCAAGTGTAAACTAACTATAAATAATCGAGATATGCTAGGACTGTAAATACTAGTGACCCCTTATCTCGGAAATAGCGTGATGCAGGGCTGCGTGTGCACAGGAGTTCGAGACCGAGTCTAAGACAGCGACCGGTGGCGAAGTGCCGCACGCGCACACGGCATTTTTATCCCGTCCCAACTAACCAGTTAAACTATACTCTACCCAGTATGGCGTTTAAAAATGGGAAAGAAGCTGCTTTTCCTTTCTCTTTCGCTATAAATGAAGGCGAAACTCGTATCCAAAATTGTTCACGCAGACATAATTCAACTTACCCGCAAAAGCAAAATAATCATATCCCGTAACAATGGACGAGATCGTCGAATTTGTTCCTCTCCTGGGCTTCCAGCGATACAGACCCTACTTTGACGATACCCCAACACCAGCAAAAAAGCAGACTGAGAAGCCAGCCACAGAGCTCGACACAGCAAGTAAGCTTCCGCCATTGGGGATCTCCACCTAAAAAGAAATCTGATTATTAACAACCCATTCTAGCACAGCAAATACCAGAATCAACACGGGTTTTGCACATAAACCTCGGCGATGGCCTTGGGGATGATCTAGACAACGAACCAGTCATTTTCCGCAGCGTTTCTCAAAGACGGAGTGGCCTGTCAAATGAAACCATGAAAACTGACGAGTCTGTTGCGTTCGATGGTGTTTCTCGACAACGGAGTACCTCGTACACCGACGATCAAGGACGCAAGAAGCGTTCCATGAGTCGATTATTTTCTTGGCATAGGCATCGCCGTGAGAAGGCCTCAAGCTGATCTCGTCCGCCCAAAATCTTTAAGATGGCCCCTTAACCTGTGTTTCCAGGTGGGAGGTATGGGAGGAGAGTCAAGATTGTAGCTGCAGAACGTCTGCTCAGCATGGCTAAAGGAGTTTTCTTTTGGCCGTTGGCAATGAATGTACATGAATTGCGTGCAAAAATACCCGTCGTCCGTTTCTCGGTGATCCAGGTTTATCTGCTCAGGGGTTCCCCAATCCGTCTGCTACGACTTCCTTTTTCTTGTCCATCGAGACCGTCCGAGACTATGCTTCGTGTAAACTCCCTCGCCTATGAAGAAACCCGGGGCGTCAACGGGGGCCTATGCGGGGACATGGGCCCTAAATGATAGTGGGCAATAGAGAGTTGCAAACTTTAGTTGAGACACTGTCTATCGAAAATTTTTATAGCAAATACATACTAATCTGAATTCAAAAGGACCATGGTCGATTTCGGAAACAGGGTGGTTCAACTAGCAGCACTCCATGAATGAAGTACCAGTATGCTTCTGTCGCACCTTGTGAGAATTCTCGGATATCCACAGATCGAGGTATATGTAGATACCAGGCAATTTAATAGTAGCAGTTCGACGAAAGTAATAGCTTGAGGAGAAGAAGAAGAAGGGACGAAAGCTAGATACATGTGTAGGCTCCTGATGCCTAAGTTGATGCCATCCGCGTAAGGCGTCAACAATTGTAGAAACTCTAGTTCGTTACGCACCTGACATTGGCATCGGAGACCCTTCTATTCTCAGGTCCTCCATGCAATGAACATCGAGACAAAGATGGTAGATCTCGAAATCGGGCCAGGAAAAAGGAAAGAATGAAAAAACAAAAAATAAAAAGTGACTCAGAGTCATAAGAACCATACCTTCAACTTCATACCGGAAATCTGACCAGATATCTCCCATTCAAGAAGCACACAGCCGTGCCACAAAAACGAACCACTCAAGACATCATCTTTTTGTAGGCCGAGTTAAAACTGTGATCTTCACCCACAACCATTTTGTAGAATAGCATCGCGTAGTCCTTGGCAGCGTGCTCAAGGTGCGGGGCCATGATGCGATATGATCGCGCGAGAATCAACCAGCACTTTACAAGACGATAATCTAGCATTCCCCATTTCTCAATGGCGAGCGGGCCAGACACCACTTGATTCTCCATGGTAATGGCACCAGTAAGACTGTAGCCGAGATTCATGAAGCATTCCACCGCAAGACCGGCTGCAGCGTAGGGCAAACCGCCCACATCAAAAATCCGAGTCAGAGCGTACTTGATCTCAAAGACAGATAGGCGTGGAAGATAAACATCAATTTCTTCGTAGGTTGCCAGTAGGGTGTTCATTTTCATCATTAGATCGCCCACTTCAACCTTCCCTGGGCGACTTTCGATGAACACTGTTTCAACGAACAACTGCAAATCTCTGAGAACCGCCTCTCTGAGTTTGAGGATTCTTTCATCGGTGTAATCAATGCTCTGACAGAGGTCGCAAGTGCAGGCAAAGCCACGATCCTCGAAGGGGTTCCACTTGGAAGCCTTAAGGAAATCCGTGGCACGCTCGCGATACCGAATGAGAATTTCTGTGCCGGCGGCAATGTCCATGGTCGCTCGCATGATGAGCATATCGCCTATGAAGCTGTGCTGCGCGTTTAACAAACAGGAGTGATTGGCGAAAGATGCCATCCGCCAAATGCCGCAGGGTGGCTGCTGGGCCATTGCAAAGTCGCTCCTTTCTTCCTCAAACACACTCTTCGACTCACTGCGAAGCACATAGGTGTCACGGGTGCAGGTGTCGGAATGCAGCATATTGTGGACCATAACTTTGTGTACAAGGAATCTAGGTAGAATGATTAAAACAGGACGTGAATAGGTTGTCAAAGTTAGGCACACTCACGAATCGACAAGAGCTCCGCCATCATCATCATGAAACGAGGAAACCGTGCTTTTGTAAGAATCATGGTACATATTCATGAAGTCCGCCATCCAAGACGGCTTCGTGCGAAGCTCTCGTACCATCTCGTGGACCAGTTCAACTCTCGCAAGTGGCATGGCCTTTGCGCTATCAAGCCCCACGCGGTATCCACGACAGAGCATTCTCTTGCTCGCGTCCTCCTCAGAGAAGTATGCCATAGCCTTCTCGCAGAGGAGAAGTTCGCCTGCCTTGACGTCTTGAGAGCTAAACAGCCCTCTCCCCGTGACACTGGCAGGCCTCACCTCAATCGGGCCGATGTATGTGGCGTATTCCAGTCGGACAATGTGTCTAGCTAGCAGCTTGGTTTGCATCTCTTTGAACGAATACATGCCAGTTTTCTCTTCCAACAAGCGCTTGATGGATTCCGAAAACATTCGATTTGCATGGGGATTCTTCGGGTATGCCTTGCAGAGGACGGAGAGAACCTCGCTGCTTTTTCTGTATTGGCGAAGGTCATAAAAGGTTCGGGCTTTGCGGTAAAGCGCCGTGTCGTAGGACTGCATGGCAGGAGTGAGAATTCCTAGGTCCAGTAGAGTTTCTTCAGACCTTCCAAGCTTGCACAGAGCTTGCGCCCGGTTGAACCTCAAGGTCTGAACTCTTCCTGGGGGTGATGGAATCTCCAGAGCTTTGGAGTAACTGGTAGATATTAGCCGACGAGACGCAGCATGGTAATGTCGATGCTTCTGGCACTAACCACTCAACTGCTTGTGCATAGAGACCAGTTTTGTATAGCTCGGTTGCCACGGCCTTCCATTGGGCCACCGTTCTTTTCTCCTTGATCGACTTCTTCCACCCGGCTGGTAGATCCTCGCTGTATCTGGATATGCACTTAAAATCGGAAGCATGATCAACTCGAATACCAACTTCCCCCCACCCGACCACTTCGACTAGAGGCTCCTTAACGATGAAGGCCGAATAGATTTCAAGTAATTCATTTCCCGGAAGAGAATTTTGATTGAACAGCTGTACCGGAATCACCCGTTGATTCTCGTCCTCGGCGATGGCAAAAAGGGTCCCTGTAATGTCTAATCCGGTTATGAGTCGCAATAGGATATATGACCCTTCATGGCGAGTGTTGTAGCGAAGGTCACTGATAGTAGTCTTGGTCAACGAGGACATCGGGTGGATGCAAGGCTCATAGGGTGTTGTCTCAAAGGTCAGCTGAACGAGAATGCCTTTCATGCTGTTAGAAACTTGGTGCTGCATATAGTAACCGACTAGCTCCTTCATGGAGACCATGCCAATCGGCCTACCCTTGAGGTCCTGTACAGCGTTGATCATCTGTCCCATGTGACTGATCCCATCAGTGAGATGCTCCAGAGGGAAGAAGGACTGGAATGATGGCATGAGCCCAGTGTCCACGGGTTTGGTCATCGTTGTAATAGTTTCGGTCGTACCCGGTCAGTCAGACAGGATGAAAGTAGGAAATAATTTTAAATGTGAAGGGGAGTGCGGGAGGGTAACCTTGAAATGGGGAAGTTGATGCGTCTGGAAGTGGAAGTGACGGACACCTGTGGATGTGAATGAAGGCCGATGCGGCAAGTGCAACTACGACCCCCAGGAAAGAACAACTTGGATGGGAGACCTAAGCCTAATGCTTAATATTTATAGGAATTCTTTGTATTTACAGAACTGCTTAGTATTAATATGTATGGTAGAGCTACAATTCTAGCAATAGGACTTTTGTGAATTCTATAAAGTATATGAAGTATATAGATTAGATGTAAGTAGTATAGGCTGACTATAATTAATAATCTCTCTGCTCCCGCCTATCTCTTACTGATAGTATAACAAACCAGGATGGTTACTAGTAGTACTAATAGTAGTATTGTTTATTCCTTACGCAGATGGCATCAACTTAGGCATCAGCAGCCTACACCTAGATCTAGCTTTCATCTGTTCTTCTTCCTCATTGCAAGCTAGTATTGCCTTCGTTGAACTGCTCTTTATATAATCCCTGGTATCTACATATGCCTTGATCTGTGAGCATCTGAGCATCCTTACGGGTGGTCTTTCTAGCAGCCCCAGTCTAGACAAAATGTTCCTGACTAAGAGCCGAATATGTAAATTTTTTGCCAATCGCCCTGATAATGCAGTTTGAACGAGTGGTCTAAGGCGATTGGCTCGAAGGAAGAGATCCTCTCATAATACATCTGAGGTACCAATTCTATTCGGAGGCGTCGTCAAATCCGACAAGCTGTCGTTCTCAATTCTATTTGGTAGGTCACGTGACCCGTAAGTTGCGCTAAGCCCAATACAAACATCATTACTTGAACAAATCCTCCTCGTATCCCACACCATCGGCTAAATTAATACAGGTGGCCGCACTTTACAGCAATCAACGGTGGGAACCAGCGCTTGGCCTAGGTGGAAAAAGAATGTTTGGTCAAGCCTCAATCCCCATCGAAATACTAGGTGGACATGATCAATTACAAAGTGGTCTTTTTGACCCCCCCCCCGAACGTGGAGACGTAACCCACTTTTTATGCAAAATTCCTGTCAACTACTTCAATTTTTACATAGTACAGTTAGGCCAAGATGAAAATCATATCTAACAGTATCAAGCCTTTTACAAGCTTCCAAGCGCGCAACCATGGAGGATATCCTTCAACACAGTACTTGTAGAATAAGCCAGGTCCACAAGGGGAAAACCCTCCCAAAATATTTCTGCCATCGGGCCAAGCTTCCCAATAGCGACTGATCGTATAGTTCAGAGGATATGCTGATTGGCCTCAGTATCAACGGTGCCATGGGGCCCTGTGGGGCTCGTCCCCTTATTGCGGAGTGCGCCGGCCTCCGCAAAATCCGTCCAACCTCAAGTCACACCAAGTTTCAACGATGGACTTGAAAACATACAATGCCCAAAGGAAGAGGTCAATGTTGGTGCATTCAAGTCCTGGTGACTCGTAATGGAGTCATAACCAGGGCTGCTTTCAAGGTTTATGCATGAACTCTGTAAGGAGTTAAAAGTGAAGCCATGTTGTCGGAAAAGAGGGCTCGGAGAATATAGGAAAATTACGTCAAAAACTTTCTTTTGCACGATCAGAGCGTGGCCAAGTTTGTCTACGAGTATATTCCGTCTCGAACACTCCGGACGGTGGATGCCTCGCATCCATTCTCTCTTTTCCTTGCAATAACTTGGGCCTCCGGGAAACTCATGCCTCAGGGGAAGTGGCCTTTTTCGTCCTCAGTCGAGCCTTGAACATCGCCCAAAGCCGAATAATAGTTGGCCCGATGGATTGGAGATTCTAATGCATCTAGTGATGCATGTCATAGCGGTGGTCTACCATGGTCTAGCCCACCTTTCATAGGCGAGGTTCGTTCCATTCGTCAATCAGTGCGATATACTTCGAGGTCGTCGCGGCCTTACCCGCGGCCTAGCTTTCTTCAGTCCAATCCCTGCCCCTGGGACCTATCATGATGGAGATTTCCCTTTTTTTTGGGTGGGTCATCTCCGGAAAACATACTCGCTAGCTTTAACTAACTATTTCAAGCTGCGCACATGACGCTATCCCCGGGACTCGCCGTTTTCCTTTACACATATGATGAAGTCCTTGCGCATTAGTGGCAAAATCTGGTTTTTTTTTCCATTGTTGGGCACGAAAATAGCACTAGTGAAGTCCATGCTGTTGGGTAGATATTTACCAAGAGATGCCCGGGTCTAGTAACATCTCGATATTCTTCTACCTCGACTACATTCCATTCGCCTTTCCGCTTTTAGCCATTGCCATTAATCATATTTAGCCCAGCGTTCACTTACCTGCTTGCTTTGAGGAAACTGTTATTAATGGAGCAGATCATTAACGTCGCTGAGCTGAAACAGCCCCAGGCTGATACCAAAGCATTCAGCCAGACATGCTTGTGCAGTCAGAGCCCAACACCTGTGGGTTCGCAAACGGGCCATGACTATTCTCTTGTTCATCCCAATACCCGCCCCCATACCCCAGAATATCAACAGATGCCCCCACCTCGCCACCAAGCTCCTCCGCCTTCAGAGGTCCGCAAATTTGGCAATCCGGCTCCTCTTGGCCTGTGTGGCTTTGCCCTGACTGCATTCCTTTCAAATGGCATGAGCGTTTTCGCCGGGGTACCAGTCGCCGGTGAAAATGTTTCTTCGGCACTCGCGTATGGAGGCATTATCCAAGTTCTTGTTGGAATGTGGTATGTTACCTCCAGTCGCGTCAACTGCACGAACTCTCTAGATCCTTTGGCCGTGAAATAACAATCGCAGGGAACTAGCTCTTGGAAATACCTTCGGCGCCACATCCTTCTGCTCCTATGGCGCATATTGGATTTCCTTCGCTCTCCTCAATTTTGATGGAACTAAGGTCACAACTCAAACTGTCAATCATGTCTGCCAAAGCGAGATGTTGATGGGACTCTTCATGATGGTAAGCAAACACAGCGACAGCAATGTGCTAATTTCATCGGGTGATTATTAACAACTGCGTCTTCAGGCATGGTTCATCTTTACAACCATCATGCTTCTGTGCACACTCAAGTCCAGTCTCGCCATGTTTCTCCTATTCTTCTTCCTCGACATGAACTATCTTCTATTGGGCATTGCAAACATCCAATGCGGTGCCAGCGGCGAGATCATGGCCACAGTGCAGAAAGCCGGGGGCATTTTTGGTCTCCTAGCTGCCTTTGCAGCTTGGTATAACGCCTTCGCTGGTATATTCGACAAGAGCAATGGGTTCTTTACTGTTCCACTTGGTCACTTCCCGTGGTCACCACTCATCCACGCCCATCAATCTAAGTTCAAAGAAGTGTGATCCTGCCGCTCGTCGCGCGGGCATCAAGACACGCCCATCAAAAGCAATTTCATTTACGCTCAGTTCAGCTCAGAAACGGAGTAGTATGCCACTCTCGTCGCTCCACGCCCCACGCCCCACGCCCCACGCTCATCCTCGGGGACCTTGCCCTCGGCTCAAGAACTCCGCCATCACCTGGTCAAGTCTACTATTCGGCAATCCAAAAGCGTGATGTCCGCCCCGTCAAGGTCCTCGTATCATCTACCACGGGCCGCATGTACCTTTGAGCCACATATCCTTCCTCAGACCTAGCAGTCTTGCTAGTCGACCAACACGGAATATTAAGTGAACCACCGGGCTGCAAATCATAGTTATATGCATTTATGATACTTTATCCATGTTATAGCAAAGAGACAGAAGCGACCTATAATATTCTCGATTTCATTGATTTTCAATTCAAAGGACCACATCTTGCTTTCTTTACCTGGGTAAGAGCAACTCGGAGCCACAAATTACGAGGGCTGCTAAATGGACCATGGGTCCTTCTGAATCTTGATTTGCATGTAATGACCATACAAATTTAAATATACTCAATCTATGTCTACAAGGGCACTACAAACGTTTCTAATTGTCTATTTTCTACTGTTAATTACTGTCTTCTAATAGCAGACTAGTACCTACCCAGGATAGAATGTATTAGCTACTTTATTCCATCTCAGGTGGGTACTAGTCTGCCATGGAAAGGCGGAGACTAGAGAGGTCAACAAGGGACTAGAAACCTTTGCAGCGCTACCTAGCGAGGTAGATTGGGTATATTTAAATTTGTATGGAGATTACATACTAATCTGGATTCGGAAGGGCCCATGGTCTATTTAGCAGCCCTCCAAGTTACCACGGTAAGCCATTCAAAAGTATTATTTTGATACCTGCCGTGGCTTCCATGACCAGTACTAGTAGTATTACCTAGAATTCAAATACATCTGATGAAAAAGGCAGCAAATCGTTTCTCGGATATGACTCTTTACGTTTTTGCTTCTTTCTATAGAGGTACGGACCAAATTTCCACACCTAATTTTCAGAGCAGGGCCACGGAATGAAGATCCGGGTCAGGTTTCCCATGTAGCTTATTTTCTAACTCGCAATAATGCGCGCGCTTTCCGCCAGCTCATCGCCGCCTCGATTTCCATTTCTGCAAATACAAATCACCCTTACCCACTGCCTTGAACATATAGATTGGCGCCTGCCTTCAGTTGACCGAGCGAACCGGGTACGAGTAATTGATACGGTCCGTGCCCGAGAGCATGGAAGCTAGAGCCAGGGCGAACCATTTTCCCGCGCCACCTGCAACACAATCACTTATTCTTGTGGGTCCGAACTATTCGCAAAATATAACGAGAAAGAGCAAATGGGCAAGGCGAGACAAGATGGGGCAAAACAAGCCTTCATGATCGACATTCGGGCGGAGTGGAAGAAGACCGACCGATCAATTCCGGAACTAAAAAGAAGATGGCGAAACTGAAAATGATCATTCCCGAACTTACTCCGTACGATCTTATCTGATCTAATTCTCAGCGTCCATCCATGTACGAACGTAGATCAGTACTCCCCACCGAGCAACACGCGACCATAGCCAGACCCATATGTACACACATACTCAATCCCCTCAACCCTCCCAACGCATCAGACACCCCCAGGCGGATGATTTCCACCTGCCAAAGGCCAATCACCCTGAAGCGAATCAACATCATGGCTCGTAGTCGAAGCACACGGGACTCCCGATCGCTCATATCGAACCTCATAGTCAATAGACTGATGAATAACATTCTCCCGCAAATTCTTCTGACTATCCATGCGTTCCACCTTGGGCCGAGAAGACCGGTGAAACCCACCGAGCGAATTCAATGCCGATCCCGATCTCGACCTTGACCTCGATCGTTGCGCACCCCGACTCCCTGACTTGGACGAACCATCAACCATTGTACCCGACCCCGTACCATGTCCACCTGACACGGAGATCTCAAAGAAATCCGACACTGCTCCCGCCATCATGCCAGTTTGCAGATCGGAGAATACTCGCTTCAGAGTGGGGATGCATGTGCAGATAATTGAGGCACTTTGCACCAATTGTAGCCAGATGGCTGGCATTAGCGCGTGCCAAGGTTGGTCGAGGGGCTTCGCGTGGAAATAGGGTTGCAACGACTTGATAGCAGGGATTGTGAGCGCAACAACACTAGTAAGAAGGATTCGCTTTAGTCAGTTTCATGTTTCATGTTAGATAAAAATAAAATGTTGATCGACAGTGTTAGTGTGGTAGTGCAGGTGGGGGGTAGCGTACCAAACGCGTGTCGCAAATAGGGCGGAAATATTGTATTTCTTTCGCTGGCTGATTTGTACTTGCCACAGTAATGCGATCGGGAGCGCAATCACCGCGAGATCGAGTATTATGTGTGCGACACTCAGAATCACATACATCGTGTATTGATTCACGCACCGATCGCGATTGGAAGAATCCCAGGGGCTGGGTTGATCGCATTGTAGCCCGAGGGCAAACAATGCAGCCAAGGCCCAGGCACAGATTAGTCCCAGGACCACCTTGCATGCCACTGAGGTTTTTCGAAACGGTTTGAGCGAGAGGATTAAGAGGGCTAATCCGGCTTTGGAGCATGCGAGAACGAGGACTGCCAGGAGCTGGCTGGAATAGAATGTCTATGGAGTATGCGGTCAGATAAGGTTACGAGTAACTATATCAATCGGCAAACAAAGTTCAGGGCTCCGTACCTTCTTATACAACTTGAATGATGACTCGGAGAGGGCATCACCGCGCTTGCCGATTCCATTCGAGCTGGCCACATTGATGCAGACGGTTTGGGGAGAAATAGGATCTGTGCGAGTTAGTTCGATGTCTAGATGGTACTGAGTGAATTAGGAATTCACGAACACATCCAAGAATTAGGACCAGATCACTCCAAGCAAAGTTTCTTGTCCTCCGCATCCGAGATATCACGGTGATTACGGTCGCTATAATAGTCAGGATCAGTAATATCGTGCTGACAGTGATCACCCAAGGACCGTGATCATTCTCTGTGACAGGTAATAACGGCGGTCGCAAATCGTCCACGTCGGGCGACATGACGGTCAATTGGTATAGTTTTGCAAGGAAATTGGGAATGCCATGACAGTAGGATATAAAAAGTGCAAGCGAAGAGACTAAGGCATGATATATCAAGGTAGGCCTCGGAAGCCATAGAGTCCTGGGGCCGATGTGATTGACTGCCCAAGGTGCAGGATTTGGGACATCGGATTGCATCCAACCATAGTTATGGCCCCATATGGAGGTCTTCTTGGCCTTCGGGGATGATCGGTGGACGGCGGCACGGCCCAGGGGCTGGTGGGGGCTGCTTTTGATCCTGATGTCCAAACTAAACTCCTCCAGGATCGGCCAAGATCCAGCCACCACTATCCACCACCTTGGTGGATGCGACGTGCAGTGCAGATCTTCGCTTTGGGGGCCATGGGATTCCTGTATCCTGCACGATCCCTGTTGAAGCGGAGATGAGTCTGGCCATTTTGGCCTTTTGACTTTTCTCCTGTGCCGCTCTGATTAAGTCTCTGATTTCAAATATCCATGGACCCCAACCTGTGCTTTTTCAACCACATGGGATTTTTTTTTCGCTGATACCCTGACACCATGGAATCCCATGAAATGACCGCGTATAAGGGCGCTGACGCGTCTGTTGATCGGGCGTTGCCTGAAAACCACGCCGGTTCGAATGGCAATGGCGTTTCAGCTTCGAATGCACCGACTGATCAAACAAGTGTTAAGGTATGGCCGCGGACTTGGGAAGTTCTATCGCAAAGATTAGTACTATCAAACTGACTCGGAAATTTGCACAATAGCGCTTGTTCAACTTTACTCAGATTTTCTTCTTCTCCTTGACATACATGTCCAGCTGGGAGACACAAGCGCTGTAGGTTGACCAGTAATTGCCATGAATTAATCAACCTTCTGCTGACGACAGACAGTAATTTGAGTGCAGTCCTCACAAACGGTGGACCACAAGCATTAGCATGGGGCATTCTCATCGTCGTGTGCGGCGCAATGGCGCAGTCGGCGTCACTGGCGGAAATGGCGTCAATGCAGCCTATTGCGGGTGCGCAGTATCACTGGACAAATTACCTGGCACCTCCAAGTCAGAAGAAATTCATCACATGGATGCAGGGTACGTACTATACCTAGTGATGGCTCGTCATCACCGCAATCCACTGTCCAAGGCTAATGTTTAACAGGCTGGGTAACCTGGTTCGCATGGATATCAACACTCGCCGGCGTTGCCAACACCACCGCCACGATGATCCAAGGCCTAGCTAGCGCCCATTACCCGGAGTACGACCCAAAGGCATGGCACTTGACGCTGATCATCTTCGCAATGCTTATCGTGCAAGCTCTGATGAACATGTACGCCTTCCCGCTGATCCCATGGATCGAACTATGCGCGGGTATCCTTCACGTCAGTCTCTTCGTGATATTCCTCGTCGTCTTCGTGGCGCTGGCACCTCGCCATTCGGCCGAATTCGTCTTCCTGAAAACACAATCCTGGAGCGGCTGGAACTCGGACTTTGCATCGTGGAATATCGGACTTCTCACGCCCGTCTGGGGTTTTGTTGGTACGTGATATGACCCGAGTATACAATGGCGTTGCAAAAGTTTGAAACCCCATATTGCCCACCATAATTTACCGCCTACTAATAGTAAACTAGTAGCTACCTGAGATGGAATAGATTGGCCTATCTATTTCATCTCAGGTAGCTACTAGTTTGCGATTAGCAGGCGGAGACAAGAACAGTCAATATGGGGTTTCAACATTTTTGCAACACCACTGTACCTCCTCTCGCCACACATACAATGGCCACGATTAACCTCCCTTCCCTACTCTACAGGCTTTGACGGCGCAGTCCACATGAGCGAAGAAACCCGACAAGCCCGCCAAGCCGTCCCACGCTCAATCTTCTACACAGTCGTGACAAACGGCGTCCTCGCCTACGGCATGGTAATCTGCATCCTATTCACAATGGGCTCAGTAGAAGAAGCCCAATCCCAAAGCTTTCCCATCATCCATATCTGCCAACAAGCCACCGGATCTCTCAAAGCCGCCACAGCCCTGGTCTGCGGTTTACTCGTTATCTCGCTGTCGGTTAACCTAGCCAGTATTGCATCCGTCTCTCGGTTAACGTGGGCCTGGGCTCGGGATGGCGCTTTGCCGCGCTGGTTCGCTTATGTGAGTTTATTTCAAATAGTTTTGCTATTATTGCGCTTCAGCCAGCCACTGGGATACGTTCAGTTGACCTGTGCTGATCTCGGCGATGCCAAGTTGGGCTGAGTCGAGCCACGTTTTTGACATACCACAACACCACGCTAACATCCCCCCCCCCTTCTCCACCTTCCAGATCGATCGAAGACACAACGTCCCCATCCGCGCTGTCTGGCTACCAGTCGTCATAGTAATGTGTCTAGCCTGTCTAAACATCGCCGACACAGCCGCCTTCCAAGCCTTCGTAGCACTAGGCTCAATCGGCCTATTCGTATCATACTTCATCGCAATCGCATGCATGGTGCACAATCGATTCCAGGCGCAGACTCGCGCACCATTGGGCGAGTGGAATATGGGAATCTGGGGTCTGCCGGTGAACATTTTTGCCCTTGTTTATACTGCTTGGGTTACTGTTTGGCTGGCGTTTCCGTCGTACTTGCCTGTTACCGGGGAGAATATGAATTATGCTTCGCCGATTTTTGGGGCCACGACGCTTTTTGCGTTGGGGTATTGGTTTGTTAAGGGGAGGAAGCATTGGGATGGGCTGAATAAGGATATTGTTCGGTTGGTTGTTGAGAAGGGGGAGTTGCAGCTTAAATGAGGGAAAGTTAGCTTGGTGGCGATTCGTGTGGGATTCAGAATCTTGTTGTACTGCAGTTGTATATTCTTCATCGATTGGAGCATGAGATTTGTATATAGTATTGCGTTGTCTATAGGCACCTGGTCGTGCCTGGGTCGTTCAGTGTCGGCTTTCAAAACTCGTTTATCAGTAACTGATGATAATAAAAAGTGGCGAGTCTGCATTCCATCAGAACTTGAATGGGTTAAGGCTACTAGTAATTAAACCAAGCTCCAATATGCGAAGTTCCACTAAAAATTAGATCCCAAATCAAAGGTCCGCACATCTCAAACACCGCCCATTGACGTGTATACATCGCACCTTGAAACTAGAAATGCACCCCACAGATCAACATCTCAACGATAGGCTGACGATCACCAGCCCAAATCAATAGCATCTGCAAGCGATTCAATACATGCAGGGTCGATAGTCCGTCATATGTGCGAATCTGCGCGAAACTTGAACGGGGAGATCCCGATCGACATAAAGTCGGTGACGGTGATGGTGACGGTGACAGCTTGAACCTAAAGTATCGGATCGTGATGTACTAGTATGTAGTCAGGTACAGGTACAGGTACGTGCAGTGAGGTACGTATCGTGATCGATCAACATGTATTGTACCTGCCTCACCAGGTGTATTAGTATACGAGTGTACATACCCAAGATACACCTGGGCATCAAATACGTACCCTACAAAGTGCTAACTGTACACGGGTACACTCGAATAACTACAACACTGACGGGTACAGAAGCCCGAACTCAAAGCAAGGCGCCATGCATATGACACAATTCGGGCACGACTTCCAGTCGAGTAGGATTTGCCCAGACATGCCCAGTGAGTTGAGGTATGACATCCAGATCGACACCGCTCTTTTCACCGATACTCCACGGGTTAGACTGACGCAGGGGAGTGAGGGGAGATTGCATATTACCCCGCCCTCGTCAGGGCTTGATCCTTAAATCGGTGGCGAAGCTTGCGTTGTCTGATGGGATTGGATTGGTGCGGAGGTTAGGAGGGTAATGTACATACATGTAGGAGGGCGTGATGCAGATGTAGGTCGCTGTTAAATGGGGCTGGTTGGGATGCGAGGATTTGCTGTATGTGATGCAGTTCGTGGTGCATGGGGTATTGCACGCTCGGTGGTTCTTATCATGTGTTTGTTATAGATTACGGAGTTGGGAGGACTTTGAACTTGATTCAATTCAATTCAATTGGTGAACAGGATTACTAGTAAAAAAAAGAATATATGATTGGATCCAACCTGCAACTTGAAGGTATCGAAAAGTATCTGAGACTCAAATGTTTCCCCATCCCGACGCCGCGGGTGATGCTAACTAACCAAAGAAACCAATGCCCAAAATGCCAAATACCGATTCAAAGAACACGAGATGAGATGCTAAATATGGGAATAAACAAAACAGTAAAGAAATATGAGGGAATGTCCAAAACGCTTTCCATAGCCCCAATGAAAGATATGTCGTAAGATCGTAAAACCAGCCAAGCTGAATACCAAGACTCCAAATTAAACAAAGAAGAAAAATAGAATATAACACAACAAAGAAAGATAAAGGAAGGTATCGACAAGATACCGTGGCTACGACTCAATTAAAGCCACGGATCCTGCGAACACGTATGCGGATTGACCGGTCCAACCAACTTGATTTGCGACTTGAGCTGTTCACGACGCCGTTCATCCCTGGACTCGGACATTTTTTTCTTCGCGCCATCGATTGCAAAGAGCATCTGACTAGTTCCACCCTGCAAGGCGCAGACTGCATCACGGGTATTCTGCTGCAATTGTGTCTTGAGTGGCGGGGAGAGGGGCGGGGTTGGGTTTGTGTAGACGAGATGAGAAGCCGACCGGGACGCCGCAGGCTGTTTGACATTGGCGCGCTTCTTTGATTTCTTGGGTGTTTCCCAAATGGCGGATCCGTATTTTTGGTACGGTGACATGGGTAATGCGAGTTGTTTTTGGCGTGGGGAGCGGGGGCTGTCGGGCATTTCGCTGGCGCTGGAACTGGCCATAGTGTGTAAAGATAGTGCCCGCATGTTCATATTCACATCTAGCGAGGAGGATTCGAGTGGTTTCACACTGAGGCCTCTCCTTTGCTGGAGCGAGGTGGGCTGGGCTGTTGCCGGGCGTTGTGAGTCTTTGGCCTTGGTCGAATCTGGTGAATCGCGGGCAAGTGTGCGGTGAACATATGTCTTGAAGGAGTCGCGAGCCTGCGCCAGTCCTCCCATTCCTGGTCTATCAAGCGAGTGCCAACGCTTCCGCTTGGCCGAGAGGCCCAGGCGGCCCTCCTTCTTGCGAGTCTTTCCATTTCGAAGGCTGGGACTCACGCGTCCGCTGGCACCTCTGGCGGGGAGCGACCCGGGGGTTGCCAGCTCCGGGAAGAAATCCCATTTCTTCTCGCGGAAGTAGTGGTTGGTACCTGGTCGAGTAGGCTGTGTCTGGTTCTGGGTCTGGGTCTGTGACCACTGCGAGGGGCGACCGTACTGAGCATCGGAGTTGGAGGTGAGGGCGGAGATGCTCGACACGGGCGAGTCCGTGCGCGGGGGAAGGGGACGTTGTGGAGCGACGATCGCATCCAAGGGATCGGCGGGGGTCGGATGATCGACCAGGTCGAAGTCGTCGGAGCCAGAGCTGACGAAGATGGGATAACTCTCGGTTGAGCAGCGTGGTTCGCTTGGACTGGCGATGCTGTCGACGGTACTGTCGTCGTCGTCGCTGTCGGAGTCGGTCCACATACCAGAGTACTCGGGCTCGGGTTCGTCGAGTGGCATTGCGGGGAGAGGTTTGTTGAGGAAGAGGTTGGAGCGAGTCGATGTGGTCGGAGTATATGTATATGGAGTAAATGGGGTATATGAAGTGTAGGGTAATTTTTCCAGTGTTGGAGGAATCACTCTTTCTAAACCTTCGAGTGATCGTGAAGGTCGAACTGGGGGAGCCATGCGATAGATGTCGAGGGAAGTGGGAGAGAGCATGATGAGCTCCGAAGAAAAGAGTTAAATGCACGACATGAGAACAAAGGACTCGAGGGACAAAGGCCGGGTAATAAATATAATGCAAAGCAAGGCCCGCCACAGGGAACAGGCCAGGAATAGGGTATGCCAGGAATAAGCCAGGAATAAGCCAGGAACCAGATAAGAGCAGTGCAAGGTAAAGCAAAGGCAAAGGTGAAAGAGTCAAAGGAAGCGATCGGCGCACGGACGCAACGCGAGGGGCTGCAAGGGCTGAATGATGAAATGACGAGTACGGAGGAGTGGAGGCAGGTAGATGAGGTAGAGGGGAGAGGGGAGAGAGGGGAGAGAGGAAAGAGTAGGTGTGAGTAGAGTAGATGTAGATGTGAAGTTGAGGTGAGTTGAGTTGAGGTTGAAGAGGAAGGAGGGAGGTGTACTACTAATACTCCCACACCTCCTCCCACCCTGCCTACACCTACGTATACGAACTTACTAGCACATTGACAACTGGCCCAGCTCGGGCTGCAGCAGAGTTCTGAGTTCATTTCCTCCAGTCTAACTACTTCCAGTTACCTCCACTGAACTAAACTAACTGAGTTTAGCTGCCCGCTCCATCATTTCGCGGGTCAGTTCGTCCGAGGGTTGGCGTCGGGCGCTCAATCGACCCATTCGCCGCAATTGGGCGATCATCGCTTCATCCCCAAAGTGGCTATTATGCTCGAACTCAGGTTCACGCCCATACGCCACTCGCGCTGCGTCCACGATGATTCGCGCGGTCATTCCGAACACGCGATATCGCTGCACTAGCCCACTCTGTTCCTGCGCTTCTAGCTCCTCCACCGCCCGTTGTTGTGACGGACTTTGACCCCCACCCCGAGGCTTGACCACTCGCTCGTTGACCGGGACAAAGAAATGGTGCACTAATGCAATGTGTCAGCTGGTTCCGTTCCTGTGCCTGTTCCTGTTCCTGTTGCTCTGCTTCCCCCTCCCCGGATCGGTTCCAGGGTCCTAGGTCCCAGATCCTAAATTCTAGGATCCACCTATCCCCACTCCAAGCATGGTCGGTGCGACATCCTCCCCCTGCCAGAGCCCTGCATATACCTTTCTCGGTTGCCATTGACATTCTTCTGTCCTCTTTTTGCGAGACTGGAGCAAACGCCAACCGGCCCGGTGGGTCCCGTCTGACAGCGGCCCACCCCTTCCCATGCCTTAACCCATGTGTTGTGTAGTGTATTCGTAAGAAAGGGAGCATGATCCAGAGCTGGCCGTTGCCTTCCAGGCGAATCCCGACAGGGGGTGGCAGAGGGAGAAGCAGGAGTGGGATTAAAAATGGAAATGGGATGCCTGAGGGCCCCGGACGCCTTGAGGCTGACGCTGAGGAGATGCAGGGATAAACACCTCCCTGGGTCACCTCAAGATTGGGATTCGGGAAATGAACAGTGCAAGAAAAGGGGAACCCCAAGAAAAGAAAGAAATTGAAAAACCTACTGCGCCAGTTGGAATGGTGCCACAAACTCCACGACCCGCGATACCACTGCCCCGGATCCGCATGCTTATCCTTGTCAACACCTTGACCCCGGTGCTTGTGCTTATCATCATCATGCTCAATATTCAAGCGCAAAAAGTCCTCAAATCTCGCCGTAAACACAGCCGCAACTTCACGCGCATCTAGCTTAGGAATTAGCGAGATCTCAGGGTCTGCATTCGCGCCCGTCGCCTCGTCAAATGAGTGCAGTAATGCGACGCAGGGCCGCACAACCAGTTCCGTTTTGGCAAGATTTGCCGGCAACTCGCAGAGGTGCTCGACAGTAAATGGTGCCGGCAGTGGCTGGTCGATATCGGATAAGCCGATTTCTTCCCATGCTTCGCGGCGTGCGGTCTGGAATGGCGTTTCGTCTAGTGTATCTGCTTTTCCTATTGAAAAAAGTATAATGTCAATATCAGTCTATACATAGGGTATACGCCGATACGCCGATACGAAGGGAACGAGGCGCGGCATGGGCATGAGCATGAGCATGAGCATGGCATGGCATGGCATGGGCATTGGAATGGGAGAATGCTGAACATAGTGCAGGGATCGTCCGCTTTTTCCCCAGGATATCGCAGAACGCGTTTTCTGGATTAGGAATGCGGCCCTGCTGATCGGGCGGGAGTTCCCTTGTTGCTTTTTTGGGGGGCAGTTCTGCTTTTGCTCTTTGCTTTTTGGGGCTGTTTGAGGGACTTCTTTCTTCTTGCGGCGTATTCTTCGCCGATCTCCACATACCTCCTGGTAAAGCAGCTTCGCCTGCATCTAGATGGATAGAATCGGGTTAGCGCTAGTCTGCATGTTGTGCAGCATCGGCCTTGTTTCCAGGGCCTCTCCTTGATTTCTCAGGGGGAGGAAAGGAAGGGAAGGGAAGGGAGCACGCGTACACGAACTCAATGTCTTGGCCCGGATCGTAATCACAACTCGCAGCTCGCCATTAGGATCGGCATACAGCAGTATCAATACTGCAGCTCGTCTACTGAGCGGGACGTCTCCATATGCCGTTGGCGGAGGAACGTATGTTCGAAGTCTATTGATAGCTTCCTAGTATCTCCATGTCAGCACTGGCAATGAAACCGTTAACTCCATGGTTACGATGTTTTCTTTTCTTTTTTCGGCGTTTGCGTTGGCAATGCGTATCTTTGGCTTTCGTCTAAGGTTTTTCTTTTCCCGTTCTTTCTTTCTTCTTGCCACGCGACCCGGGTTGTGTTTCAGCGCCATCACACTGGCAAGGGGGGATGTCCATCCACGACGGTGCGCGCATGACGTAGCGAGCAAGACATGTGTGCCAGAAGGAGTGCCAGGTGGGAAATCTTGTTTTGCCAGGATGAACATTCGACATCTCACATCTCACATCTCATCTCAAATCACCAACATCCACGCATCATAGCGGGTCAAACGGGCCAACTGGCCCAAGGAGTCCCAATGTGATTGCTCCACATGGACGACGGAGAGCGAAATGAGCCGAGAACCGAAAACAGTTCGTGGAGGCAGAGATAAGAGAACGGGAAATTGGACCAAAAAGCAACCATACAGCAGTTCTGCAGCGCAGTGGAGACACGGGGACCAGAATAGTAAATCCAGGGCGTGGGAAATGCAAATGGCTCAGACGGATACGCGTGCAGTCGGGTAGGCGCAGAAGGAAATGAAGACTTACCAGGGAAGCGGGATTTAGTCGTGGCATCAGGGGCTTGTGGGGGTGATGTAGCAATGGGCGACTGGTGGTGAATCTGCGGATGATTTGAAGGAGGTGTAGTTGGAGCCTTCTCATTGTAAACTCGGAAGTAGTACAAGGATGGGCAGTGTATAACTAACCCCAGTTAATGTTAATGCGGAGGGGAAACTCGTAGCCGAGGCCGAGGTCGCTCTGCGGGGGTGACTAATGGCCCGAGATGCACTGCTGCCCTAACTTGAAGTTGAACTTCAAGTTGCATCACTTGATCAATTCGCCATGTACGTGGACGACTAGTCTATATTTACTTCTCCCATATTAATTGACAGAGTGGGCTTAATTTTTCATCTATCGGGACGATCTCTGCAAATATTGGAGTTCAGTACTGCACCCGCCAGCCTACATACCTGCCGATCTATGCATAAAGAAAACAGAAATGAGGTGGAATTATTTTTCGATTAATAACAAACTAAACGTCAGCTTAGTGCATGAATGCCTCTTTCACTCCCCGGGTAGGTATTGGGGTGGCTTATTTCACAGTGGGATGATGAATCCTCTTCCTTCCTCGTTATTCGTGAACTTGAATCAAGAGTGCAGAGCGTCGAGCGATCAGCGAGGAATGCCGGGTGCCGTAACTCTCGTTGGTGCATTTCGAGACTCTAAGCTCATCGGAACGGCGGTTATCGAATGCAAGCTCCAGGATAGAATCTAAACAGCGCGAACAATACCGGTCTCGGCGGAGATTTCGATATTCCGGGCAAGAGGTATATCTGGACTAGCTGGTGCTTGATGTGCCCATGGATAAAGCCACGCATGGCTGATTTTCACCGTTTCTTCCATTGCAGCACAGCTGAGGCAGGCTCGCAGCTCCGCATCAGCGGGACAAATACTTTCATTCTTCAAGAAATATTTCTTCTCTTGGAGCTTTAGACAACTCAAGAAATTTGGAACGATTCTAGATGCTAGGCATGACCTGGATGTCACAGAATGAGTCCCGAGATTGACGTTCGCTTTTCCTCCCGGCAGACTTTGTTGGTTAGTTTTGACCGCATTCCCTCTGGATTGTATTTTCAAAATTTCATCGAGCCGATCCTAGAGCTCAGCGCCGAATGCTAGATGGCAATCTGATGCAACGATTCCTGTGGGCCATCGTGCAGCAGATATGCAGATGAAGCATCTCTCAATCCCCAGGCAGGTTTGGAGGTGGCTCCATTAAAATGGGATTATCAACCCACTTGTATCCTCTTCTATCAGTAGGACGCAAGAGCGCGGGGCGATCAGCAAGGAATACCCGAGCCCACGGGGTGCCCTTGTGATTGAAACTTTCTCCGTGGCATCAAATAGCTCCAGCTGGTAGAATATGTACTCCGCTTGAAATGGGTAGAATTCCATCAAGTTGTGCATATGTGGTATAGCACCCGAGGATTGAAAATAGGCATCGAACATCGCCTATTGTTCTTGGACTTGTCTCCTCGCACGTTCGATTGCTTGACATGACTTGTCGTGGGCTTCTTGATGGAACGAATCCAGTGGGCCATCGTGTAGCAGATAATGTGTGTAAACTGTCGAGGCATGATCGCCATCCACGGGATACCGTGAGCCCAGAAGATGGGGCCTGGGCAAATCCTAGGTCATGTCACCACGATTGAGGCTCTCTAATAATCGTTATATGGATCGGGATGAAAGGATACCCATGTCGACTCAGCCTGTTGGGGTTTAGCGATAACCCCGATCGCCATTCCGTCCCTTCTGTCTCTAGATAGCTTAGCTCCCATCTCTCTTCTCTCAGTACCACCACCTTTCCCTCTTTTGCATTCATTTATCAGCTCGTATGAGCTTCTGTAGATCATCGGCCTCGAAACACGCACTGGGAGCGAATATCTCGTAATGAATTACTGAAAGGCAGTTCGTAGATAGATGATTTGACCCAAGGTTCGGCACAAGACAGGCCTTTCCAAGCTGATATTTGAACTCTATCAGAATTCCCCAGTGTGATGTTCCCCTTATCCACGCGTAATCAACAACAACTCCATCATAACTTTCTGGTCTTTATGAACCTTCTTCGTAGTATGATAACCTTCACGGCGGGGGTTGTGAGCGTAGTTAGAGATGTCGAAAAGGAAATCCGCCGCATAATCATAAGCACGCATCTTGGAGGGAAGCTGAAGGATACTTGAACTCATTGACAGTCAAAGATATGTAGTAAGCTGAACCTTTTCCGGAATTTGTCAGTACTTTCCGCAAGCACCAGTGATAAATTGCAAATTTTCCTACCCTGCAAGCCTGTCCCCGAATCAATCGATCCACCCGCCGAGACGCTTCAAAGATTCATCTCGGCATCATTTGAAAGTTGCAGCTGTTTAAACAGTTCCTGCAGGCGGTACGTCAGTACGAACTCGCTGGAAAACCAATTCCAACATACCTCAAGTTCAGTGTCCAGAGAAGTCGATTTAGACCGGTAAGGAAGATTCACCCTCCTACCAACAACTTGAACAGCCCATGATGGCGTCGCTCCACTTTTCTTTGGAGTTCTCTTTCCTCGACTTGGGATTGAATACTGACGATTCATCAGAGGTCCCTTTGTCTTTGCAGACACACTTTTCATCAGGGTAGCTCTCGTCTTTCCTCCCGAGGGACGTCTCCATGTACTCGACCACGTATAGCTTCCGGATAGTTCATCAAGGATCACTGTCTCCTCGATAAGTTCCGATCCGAAATCGAGAGACTTGTGATGGAAGCGTCTTCCAAAGCGAGCGGCGAATCGCGGATTAATTGCCCTTTAAGAATCAGCAGCCTGTCCCTAAACCTCACTGGGGAATCGCGACAGGAAAGATAAGACTCACGCTATCCACTCGAGAGCATCACAGTATTCCGTGATCAGTCCATATCCGCGTCTCGGCTCGTTCAGGTAGACCGCATTGCGGCAGCCACCTAGCAATACCCGTTTCTTGAGGGCACACTCCGCGGTGTGGATTTGGAGAGGGCTGATCTCCCCGAGGACTGGGGGCATGACTAGACAGGAAGGCGCAAGCAAATCCCATGAATCAGCACAAGAAGCAATAGAGTAAACATATCGCTTCTTAAGCGATACTCGGGGGGTATTGAGGACAAACGAACCAACACCAGAGCCAGGATGTTTCTTCCTCAAATGCTTTCTCAGCGCGCTGGGTCGAGGATAGATCTTGCCGCACATTTCCCCATTTTCTCCGACGACGTCACAAATTACCGAGTGCGTTGGATCAACGTATGAAATGGCATTGGTAGCCGCGTTCTCGGATGGAATTCCTTGGAGGAGGTTGAGGTTTGGGATTGGGCCTGTTCATACATAGTTAGTATAAGATGAGTTGTTTCTGGTTTGATCAAAGCCAGGCGTGACTTCTGTGCTTACCGTGAAAGTAACCGAAGGTTGGATGAGGGCTAACAGCATTCAGGACTTCGGGGTTGTCAAAGCCCGCGTGTGTGAGAGGCTTTCGCTCGGTATCACCGTTGTTGTCAGCCATGACAACGAATGAGATGGAAGCGCAAGGTGGAAAAAGTAAGGTGGAAAGGTAAGGTCGGAAGGCAAGATGAAAAAGTGAGATATCAGATCATAGGTCCCAAGGTGTGGTCGAGTGAATGTGAATGGTGTTGATGGGATGAAGGAGGGTGCAGCTTTACTATTGTGAGGGACAACGACAATCAACAGGGTCGACCATCAACACTAGGCTACCAGATACAGTCGCCACCTGGAAGGTAGTAGTTAACTACTTGTCTGGTAACTGGAAGGTATTAGAATTTTCATATGATTTCTATCGATACATGCAATTCATTGTCAGAACACTATCTTGCTAGCTATTGTTCTGCGTCAGCAACCACCAATGCTAGACTCCACGGTGAAGAGTTGACAAAAGACAAGACAAGACAAGACAAGATGAGTGTAGTAAAGAGCGAATCAGCAGTCAAATATCCAGACAAGACGTATAAGTAGGTGGAGATGGAGATGGGGGTAAATAAAAGATGGAGAGGGGGTAGTCTATCAACACATCGTAATAAAAAAAGTAACACAAGATGAGAACCGAAGGAGAGGACCAGACCGGGGAAGAAAAAAGAAAGTCTATATGATCAACAGTGCAAGCCCCAAAGCAAATCGCAGCCAAACGTATAAAAGAGACATTTGTGTAGTAAAGTAACAACCTACGAGCTCTGGCTCGTCTTCTTCTCAGACTCAGCCTTGGGAGACTCCTCAGCCTTGGCGCCCTCGTTCATGGCCTCGTTAGCCTCGGCCGATTGCTTGGTAGCAGAATCGGTAGCAGCCTCGACCTTAGCCTCCTCCTTCTCATCGATATCATCGATATCCTTGGGCGCGGAGACGCCCTTGCCCTCGTTCTCGCTGTTCTGCTCGTTCTCCTCCTCGATCAGCTCTTCCTGCTCCTTGATGACCTCGAGACGCTGCTTGTTAGTAGCAGCGCCCTCGGCGTTGTGAACCTCGAGCTCGATCTCGTGGAAGAGCTCTTCGGGAATGCTGGAGAGAACCGACTTGAGGGCATCAACCTGCGAAGCCATCTCGGACTCCTTGCCACCCTGGGTGTACATGTAGGCGTTGCTCAGAACGAGCAGGGTAGAGGGGACACCCTGCTTGAGACGGAGGTCCAGCCACATGGCGAGATCCTCACGAAGACGAGCGGGAGAAACACCGTGGGTGCGGATACCACGGGAGGCACTGGCCATTTGCAGTTCCGGGACGGAGAGAGACTGCACACCTTCGTAGAAAATGGCGCGGTCGTCACGCTTGATCTGGCGCATGCGGTGACGGATGTTGTAGCGGAGCATAGCGTCAGTGCCGAACGAGTTCAGGTTCATGTAACGGCAGATGGCGACCAGCTGCGGGCGGGACAGGTTGTCCAGAGTGAGATCATCCTTGAAGATCTTGCAGACCTTGATAACGTCCTCGGTCGAGGGGGACTCGCCGGTGGTGCGGATCTTGCGGAAGAAGTCGGTGAACTCATCGTTCTTCACGGTGGCGGCAGTCAGGGGCAGACCGGTTTCACGCAGAGTGTTGCGCAGGAAGCTGGAGACCTCCTTGCGGGTCGAGCTCAGGTTCAGAGCCTTGGTCTCGCGCGCCTTCTGGCCCTCGTAGGTGCTGGGTAGCAGGTTGGGGAAGATCTTCAGGGCGACTGGGAGGAGAAGTTCGGCAAAGGGGACGATGAGGAACATCGAGAAGGGGACAAGTCGACCCAGATCCTTGGTGGTGCGTTGGAGCTGTTCCAAAGGCACATGTTAGCCAATCCGATCCCACGATCCTCGGCATTTTGTATGTTTAACGAACCTGGCGGTGTTCCCTGCGGCTGAGTTCATATCCACCGGCCATCTTCAGCGCTAGACGCGAACTAATCTTGACCTCTGTAGCAAGCAGCTTTGTGCCATCCCAGTAGTGCTGAACCTCCTTCTTAATCTTTTGACCGATGGTCAACTTCTTGGCATCCTTCTTGACCTCAATCTTCTTCTCTTCAGGGGCCGTAGTGACTTTTCCGGTGCCCTCTTGCGCAGCCGCCTTCACATCTTGCTTCGTTTGAGCAGCTGATTGGGATTGTGCTTGCTCCTGGGGGAGCGGGATCTTGGCTTTTTCAGCATTGAAGCCGGGAGGGGGGTATGACTGAGAGGAGTTGGATGTGGAGGTCTGTTCGGTAGAGTACGCTCGCTGCTGGGGGATCAAGATAGCGAGAGCAGTGACTTGCGATGGGATTCCGCGACCATTGAAGAGAAGGCTGCTGGCCGCGGCCAGGGAAGCCGGACCGAGAGCAGTAGCACGGGAGCGAGCTATTGTAGCGCATGAAAAAGTCAGATACACTTGTCGCCAATACTTATAATACCATAATCTTGAAAATCAATCTTACCAGTCAATGCCGGGCGCAAAGCGGAGGCATTGCGCACCAGATGAGCGGATCTCATGGTGGCGGACATTTGCGGAAATGTTGGGAGAAAAGGACAAGAGGATCGGGGTGTCGAGTAGGGGGGATTGCGGGATGCGCAACAACAAGTAAGGAGTTGAACCACGATATTTGCGCGATGGATAAGATGATAAAATAAATTGACGACCGAATTTGGATGGAAAAAACGACTGGAAACGGCCCGAGTGAGAGCGAGAATGTTGTGACGCCGCCATCCAATCGATCACGTTGATTGCACGTGACCTCGGAGATGGATCGGAGTTAATTGCCGGTGGCGAGTCTGGACTCTAGACCTTTTTATAGATATCTGCTAGTTAGTAGTCCGATGTTTTAGAATAGAATCATTTTCACTAATATTTAGCTATCACGTACTTTCAGGCAATGGCCATGACTCTGGGAATCTGAGTTGACCCATACTAGTAGTAGTAGTACTAACTAGTTATAACTATAGTATTCAAGTAACTATAACCAGACAATCTATGGGAAACTCGAATAGTTCTTGTCCTCCTATACCCTGGACCAAAATCTCCAGATCTCGACCAAAATCAATATAGCTTAGCTGTCGTCACCATTCAGATATAATTGAAGCTGGATGTATCACCGCTAAGATTCAAATCAATCGTGATACATCCAATTTCGTACGTTCCACCATGTTTATCACCACTGTCGGTATCACAACCATTGACGATTTCCCCCACCAATCCAGACAATCATTGTATGGAATCAATCGTGGATTTGGGCAGTCGTCAACTTTGACAGTAGCGTTCATCACGGCATTATCCCAAACCTCCTCGAACGTCTCTGGGACATGGTCATGGAATTGAAACAGGAAATTATCACACCAATGTGCCATGCCTCCTTCTGTTGCAACACCATTCTCTGTATGGTTATTCAACGATTCGAGAGAGATGGTCGGGCCATCTCCACCTTTACATATCAGTTTACCTGTGGATGAGGGAGTTCCGGTTGAGGTGGTAGCAGTGCCAGTGCCGGTGGTTTTCCCGTTGGCACTAGTAGTCGTCGGTGTGCTCACCGGTCTTGGGGTTGACGACTGCGTAGAGATACCACCTTTTGAAGAGGTCGTGGCTGTAGACTCATGGCTAGATGAGGCGGGCCTTCCCCTGGTTTGAAATTAATTAGTTTGTGTATGCAAGTCACTCGTATTCTTCAACTCACGATGTAGAAACCGAAGCCACAGGACAGGCGTCATCCGATTCTCCACGCGGGAGAATTTTTCCACTTCCACAGTCTGGATTCAATTTTTAGTAAGCCTTTCTGATGAGACCGGTGATATGAAATAGCATAACATACTCGGAGGATTTCCTCTGGCCAAGTTATATGCAACCTTGAGCTCACTGGGGAAGTTGTAGCCTGCTGGAGTGTTCGAGTTTGATATGGTCTGAACTCGCTGGAAAGAGGTCTTTTTGATATAACTCTTCACCATTGTAGACACACTCCCGGTTGTGAAAAGTTTCTTTGTATCAGGAATACCAAGGTAATACGCCGCAAGACCAGCCTAAAGTGAAAGAAAGAAGGAAGGGTTAGTTTCCAAACGTACAGCTTGAGATATGTCAACCGGAAACTTACGACAGCTGGAGCAGCGAAGCTTGTCCCATCAATCTTCCTCACCCCAACGAAAGGAAGGTCCATTTCAAGGTCCTTAGACTGTGCAAATACAGTCAGAGATCCACCGCCAGATCCCTGAGATGTAGAGTGTTCCCAAATTTGGCCATCTTCGTCCACACCACCCACTGTAATAATACTGTTGGTAGCTGTGCCCATGCCCTGTGGAATACGATCTTCAAGCTTCTCTTTATTTTCATTTCCCGCAGCAATGACCACTACCACATCAAGCTGCTCTAGCTCTGAGATAAAGTCTTCAAGACTTGTCTTTCGAGCGGCATAGTCCGCGGCTGAAACTTTCGAACCTGTTGTATCGAAGCATGAATTAGTAATTTCATCCAACATTTTTTTTGGCCGGGGCTTCATTCATAACTAACCCCATGACATATTGACAACCGCCTTTCCTTGATTTGAATTCTTTCTGATGTGCTGTAAGACATTTTGAAAGGCATCTTCCACCGCAGGCAGCGGTGCATTCTTGCGTACTAGATTAGTAGCGCCATTCGTTGTCTTGTCATATGCACTCTTGTATTTGACCAGATACAGGTCCGCATTCGAAGCCACTCCTCGGATTATGCCTCCAGCAACGGAGGCGACTGAGGTTCCATGGCGACCCCAGTCGGTGAGGTCTTCCGGCTTTTGCTGGTTTGCTGGGACACCGTTAAGAGTCAGAGCATTTGGGACAACGTAAGTATCGACCTTACGGCCTGCGCTCGCCAAGTCCTATAGAAAGTTCAAGATTAGCATTTCACGACGCCTTTTCATTTCTTTCTGCGTGAGAACACTTACCGGTTTTGATAGATCGTAGCCCGTATCGATGACATAGATGGTTGTTCCTTTGCCAAGGGTGTCGTCGAACAGATAATCCTCGGTAGGTTTACCGGTCTTGTCAGAAGAAATCATTTTGAGGTGTGAACCACTATTGCTCCGAGGTGATTGAGCTATAGCCCGCGGCGAAAGCAATTTACTTGACTTGTGATTGGTCACGTCGTGTAGCTCATCAAATTCAGGTGAAAAGGCTCGGTTAGGAACGGCGCGGAAGTCCTCGTCGTCCTCCAGCTCAGTCACAGGGATGTTATAGGAAACTGTCCTGATGAAAGGAAGGGCTTTGACTGTAGCAAGCTGGGCCACTGTAAGGTCTGTCACGTAGCCTTGGTGATCAACCTCCGAATAGGCTATTTGGGTTCCCGCGCCGCCGTCAAGGCCGTGCACAAAAGCCTTGAACTTGGTGAGAGAAGTGCCGCGCTTGGTTGTAATGAAATATGAAGAAGCTGTGGGTGATCCGGTTGAAGTTGTAGATGTCCCAGATGTAGCAGTGGCGGTTGTGGAAGTGGCTGTCTTTGTTGCTACCAAGGCATCGTCCCATGAATAGTCCTTTAGCTTTTGGATACTCTGATCCAAAGCCAAAAGCCCACCACCCGTAGCTACATAGCGAAGCCAGTATTTCTTCACATTCTGTGTAGCAGCGTCTCGAAGTGTAGGAAGACCTTTCAATAACTTCTGCATCGAGCTCAGGATATCGCGGCCTCTTTCCAGCTCAGGATAAGCATTGGATACCACCCGAAGACCATCTGTTGTCAATTCCTGCAGTTCAGTGCTTTGCGAGATACTTCTCATGGGACTAAGCACCTGGTTCAGATTCTCAAGTGCGGAATCAATAGACCCTGAAAGTGAAGACGCCTCTGAGCCCCCAGAGGCCCAGGACTTGATACCACTGGTGATCTTGTCCAAGCTAGAAGATAGGGAGCTTTCAGCATCACCTAATCCAGAGAGTGTATCAATCAGACTAGATATGCCTGAGCCACCACCGCCGCCACCACTTCCTCCACTCCCTCCATCACCACCACCACCATCACCGCCATTGCCATCAAACCCTTCACCCACGGTAAATGATTGCCCATCAGCAGTGAGCGTAGGTGAATCGGAGACATTATCAGGAATATCAACCTTGTCACCATTAATAGACACCTGCCCTGAGGACAGCGTAAGCAGCGACCCATCATCTAGGACTATATCCAACGATGAATCATCAGAGGGAATGTGATAGGTTTGGTCATTGATAGTGATATAACCAGCCCAGGCCATTGAAGAGGATGACGCAGTCGCAGTCGCGGCCGCTCCTGAGGTTGTCGCCCCTGAGGTCGTCGCTCCTGAGGACGTAGCTGTCTCCTCTTCGGGCCCGTCATAAGTCACAGTCACACCGTCAGCGGTCATTGTGGTTGCGCTTTTCAGTGTTTCTGATCCAATTTGAATTCCAGATGGGCCGACCACGATGGGTTGACCGGACTGGGAGATCGTGGTTGGGGTGCTTTGAATGGGAACTGTCTGGCTTCCGATGATAATTTCTGAGGCGTGGGTTTTAGATCTTGTACCTGAAGATGGACGGGTAGATGGAGATCCAGAGGGAGCACCAGAAGACGTGACACCAGAAGTGGCACCAGAGGAAGCAGAATCAGATGTAGGATCAGATGAAGTCTGCGATGAAGTACTAGGGGAAGCCTTAGGAGTCCTCGACGCAGCAGTTCCAGTTTTACCAGTGGAAGAACGACCAGGTGTAAAAGTCCCCGAATTTCCAGACTGGGTTGAAGCGGAGCGTGTAGAAGAAGTCGCCGTGGCCGTCGCAGTAACAGATGCAGATGCGCTAGCACCAGCAGATGTCTCTCCAACGGTCACAGTAACAGTTCGAGTACTCGGCTCGATGGTCACAGTCGAAATACTCCCTTCGCAGGTTTCTAGAGAACAAGACTCGTCATTAGCAATTTCATTCCATCACTATCAAATGGACTCGAAATAGCAAAAGCACTTTATCTCAGAGGGGGAGTGCACTCACCAGCTCGATTGAACAAATCCGGAGAAGCAAGGAGAGGGGTGACCCCAAGAGCCGCTAGAAGTACGGCGCCACCCGCGACCCACATAACTTCAAGGCCTGCGCAGAAGTAAATCACAGGATGATATTTAGTCGTGTAGTAGTACTAGTAGTTGTTATATTATCGAATTATTTCTCATTCTCATTCTGAGCATCTATCCTACACTTTATAATCTGAATTGAATGGACTTAACTATTTCGCCCCGTGTTCTAGTCTTTCTAACCTGGGTGAATGTAGTATGTACTTCGAAACAGCCCCGATTTAGCCAAGGCCCTATACCCTAACTGGGGCTGGACTGCGAAAAGGACAGGGAGATAGGCTGAGGCATTAAATTTTGTTCTGGGGCGGATGCATAAGATGATCGGACTTATCACTATCTAGTATTGATTGCATTTGATCATCTACGAGGACCGTTCGAACAGATACCGTTTACTATAGCTCACAGTCTTGCTTAGCGTAGAAGGAGGTTTCATTAGAACTCGTACTACAAAAGAAAAGGCCTGCACCCTAACACTATACAGGATTCTTCATGTTAATGCATTACACGTGGGCATGCCCCTGGTGCCTGGTGGATTTTCCCGTGCGGAGTCAAATTCAACCGCAGACTACTAGTACAAGCCTTGTGGGGGCCTTCGGCCAGTTTTTTTAATTTCAGCCTCGCGACTATGTCTATATTCGGAAAATAAATGAGCTATTTCAGTTATCTCATGATTTTGTGATGACTGCCTAGAGCTTGGCACCGTCGGAAGTTGGCTGGCAAGAACAATATCTGCATGTGGCTATGTACGGGCTTAAGATATTGGATATCAGGGCAATTTGTATTATATAGTAGATTGAGAAATATGGCGAGCTACAGAGTTTTGAAACATAGCAACTTTCCATGTCAGTGGGGATTCCAAATGGTATTTTGTAAATGAGCAATAATTCTAGATACAGTAGCGAGGCGTCGGGACGGAAGAGCCACAACCGCTTGCATGACGAGCATGATCTGAACTCGGGCTTATCCTAATTATAGACTCGATGTTTCAGCCTTGCTTATTGATTTCGAAATACTACATGCATATGCACCATAGCAGGCAAACATTGGGGCCAAATCCGGGGTCAAAACTGGAGCCATATCATCCCATATGCTAGTTTCAATCAGTACATTATATCAGCCTGGATTGCTTGACTCCGCCTTATTGTTGCTTGAGTAATCGTTGAAAGAAAGCAGTCATGGAAGAAATCAATTGATGGGAGTCGGTCAAGCAAAAAATCGAAAGACTTGTTCATCACCGTCGAAGATCCTGCTTGTGGCAGTCTGGCTTGTCGTCGGAGTTGCTGCCAGTTTCGGACGGGGGCAGTGCATGGGGGCGGGAATGGAGGGCATCATCTCCGATGCGACTGAAAATAACAAGCGGGCAATGGCCGGGGTGAGTGCGAGATAAAGACAGGAATAACCAAAACAAGGAAAAAGAAATGGTGGGAAGGGTGAGGTCGGTTCTCTTATGTCCGACGAAGAGGGAGCAGCAAATATGAAAACAACGCGCATTTGGAACAAGAGTAAAGTCTAAGGATTCAAGTATATTGGATCGATTTGGCTGATGACTGCATGATCATGACAAATTAGAAGGAATATATTCAAGTTGTCTACCCTTTATACCACCCTCCACCCTCATCTCAAAAGAGAAAGCATAACCACCAAATCAGATGAAAAGCAGCGCAAAAACGCGTAGATTCAAATCAACTGTGCATGTCAAACGCAGGAAGAAATGCATATACGCCTAGGGTATCATAAACGAATGGAAAGGGGATATCCCCACAAAACAAATCAATTTCTCTCTCGAAGCAGGGAATCGGTCTTGGCCGAGTCCTCGGTGCCAGTGGTGACTACAGCGGTCGGATCTAGAAGTGGAATCCGATCGACGCTGTTCCGTTTCTCGAGTGGGACCGGTGCGTTCAGAACATCCGAAGCACTGTCGGGCAGAATATATGGGCTAACAGCGCCACCTTCGGGGGAGCTTTGCCATCGCGCAACATCCTGCTTCAGCTGCTCCAGCTCTTTCTGGAAACGTTTGCCGAAGACGTCGATATAATAGGTGGCTCCGTTGTGAATACTCCAGGTAAACAACGCCGCCATGTAAAGACCGCTCGCCCAACGGTACCAGAACCAGATCGGGGAGGGGATCATGGTCGACAGAGCAAAGCCATACTGGATGAACATGAAGGCTGGCTCCTGGAGGGCGTTGGGCAGGCTCAAGACAAGCTTTCCAATCCAAGCCTTGGCGTAAGACTTTCGGAGCCAGGTGAAGCTGGTCGGCCGACCAGCGGCGATCTGATCGGCGCGGCGGACAGTAATGAGGAAGTGGTATCCCAGTTGCCAGACGATATAGGGTACTGTGGCCCAGATAATCATCGCACCAAGTGAGTAGTGCTCCGGGTCACCGGGCTGGCTGAACTTGATGGAGTAGATTGCGGGGAACCGTTCCTTCAGCATCTCCACGGGTGTCAAGTGGACCATGCAGTGCAGAGTAACAGGAGGCATGATGTGGATAAAGGTGCTGGGAGTTGTCTCATTAGCTTATATCCAAGGAAAGGGTGTATGGTCCAGAAAACATACCTGACCACCTTATCCATACTGTGGAAGACAAGTGAGTTACGCCACATGGCAATAGCCGCCGCGTTATTCCCGAATGTTAAGCAAAAGGTGCCGATAAACAACCGTTTCGAAGAGGGGAATACCCAGACGCAGAGCATGCAAAGCAGGTTGACAAAGTAGCAGAGATCGGCGAGAAAGTAATGGTAGCCCTTGGCGTGGTAGGTGAAGTAGCGAATGGGCATGAAGTAGGCTAGTTGCAAGGTGTACCAGTAGTAGAAATACTCCGGGCAAGCACCGATCAGATAGCCACTGATGAAAATGTTGAGCACACCAGCGATGAAGGAGGTCTTCTCGCGCAAGGTGACGGTCGCGGTCTTGCTCCATTGTTTACCCAAGCGCTCGACGCCGGTCTTCATGCGACGGCGATATTTGTCGAGCTGTTCGTCGGCGGTCGGAACGCGACGCCTGAACTCGCCGACCACGCGTTTCCTGGCGGTTTGGCCGGTGGTGCGAAGCTTCTCGCGCTGCTTCTGGACCTTCTCCTTCTGCAGGTTGATCGCGTGTTGCCATTTCTCAAAGCGTTGTGTGAGCTTAATATTGTCGAGCAGATCGAAGATGCTGAGCTTATCGAGAGGCGGGAAGGTCTCCCAGTCCTCCTGATAGGAGCTGCTGTTGGTGCGCGACAGTTTGGGAGAAGCAGGCGGGGAATAATAATCATCGTGGTCATAGTCGTCGAGGAAGGGGTTATCGATGTCTTCGAGAGGCGGAGTGGAGGCAAGAGACTCGGAAGCCATGGTGCCGGTGCCGTCGGAGGACTTTCTGCGCTCGCGCGCGCTGGCGTCCTGCATGAGGAACTGTTGTTGGAAGGAGAAGATGGTAGGACCGTCCTGATAGTGAGGGTAAGGCCGGCTGAGGAAACGGGCAAATGTTAGCATCCCCATGATGATGGATTAAGGTACCCAGGAAGCACGAAGCACCATAAATAAGAGGATTAAAGTGCAAAGCGGGAGAAGATGCGATGTTGAGCAAGGCAACGTTTAAATGGAGTTGGAGTATGGCGACTTTACCTTGAGACCCGATCACGACCCCGATCACGACCTCAACCTCCAAACACGCCTACGGGCAACCAGGGTTCACGCGGGGGAGACTACGGGCGATCACGCCGCACGAAAACGGTAAGAGGCGAAGGTGGCACGCCGTTCGGGTGATTCACAAAGGAAGTTCTCCAAAGGTTGAGGGGAGAGAAAGAACAAAACAGAGAAGGTAAATGGGAAATGTGGTCTGGCGGTGACTGGTGGTTGGTTGACGAGCTGCCCGCGGGTGCAGAAGAGCTGCCGTGGGGTCGGCCAATCACAGTGGGGCATGTGCGCAGGTGATACACAGAGTAGATATCTACTCGTAGTATACATACTACAGTAGTATAATAAGTTAGAGAACACAGGTATAGTGTGCTAATGCTAGTAAGTGTATTACTAGTAGTAGTCCTAGTACTAGTACTCCTGCCGTGACCTTATCTTCTGCTCCGAGTCCGAGCCCCGAGATACTTATATACTTCCTAGTAGCTACTACGAGTACACTAATAGAAGACCGGGTAGAAGCCCGGTCCGAGTCGCTGTCGTGTCCGAGTCCGAGCTTGAATTTTCCAATGAGACCAGTCTTCCCTTTCTTCAATACTACTAGTAGCACTTTCTGTGTTTTCTAAATGGTGACATTTATGGAGATTCAAATTGGTGGGACTGGTTTGCATTGGGCTCAAGCTATTAATAATATTAGTAGATGGCGATGGAAATAAAGATAATCGGAGAATAGGAAGCTGAAAGAACAAAATGTCAGAAAACTTGAAAGCAAAACAGTGACCGGAATAACAGAAAAATCAAGTCCTTTTAAAATTAGGACACTGAGATGAAGGGGGAATGGGGGAATTTGACTGCCGGCGTGGTGTTGATTGCTGATTTGGAAGGATCAACAAAGACCTTGGGGCCTTGGGAAGGTGCAACCGGTTTGTCAACCCTCTCAGGCCGTGATCCCGTGATGAAGATGAATGGAGGATCCTGGGAAGTAAATTAGTGTCTGATCTCCAAAGTTGAACCGGAATAAACATACATGATTGTAAAGAAGAAGTTGGAAGGGTAAGCCTCGTAAGGTAACCCGGGAGTGCAGAGGAGCATCCAGTACCTGATGGTAAAGTCCTCCCAAGCAGTCCCATTGACGCGTGCAATGTTGGTGGCGCGTTTTGTCAGAGAGATTGAAATGAGATGAGATTTGGTTCTTTAAGAACAGGAGTAGTTTTGACGGCAGCCAAACGGGGAGTGAAGGGGAGGGACAGTACCATAGTATACTGCCCTGGCCGATACTCCCCGTTTAACGCGTGGGGTGTTGCAAGGGGGTGATGAATTGATGCAAAAACGAAAAAGAAGTGTGTGGTATGGAGGGGAGAGAGAGAGGGAGAGGCTCATCTATAGGAGGAAGGCACGTGGTTGCCTGGTTGCCTTAGGCAGCAGGTAAACAGTGAATGGGAACTATAGAACAGTTACGGGAACAATAGTCAATAGACTAAGGCATCAGGCAACAGCATCTACATTATACAGCAATGACGAGACTTCGACCTAACCCACATTCACCGTGACCTGCATTCACCAGTGTACTAGTAGCATTCAGGAATAAGCTCAAAGTAGACATTCCAAAATTCGGTACCTATCCGCCATGGGCGGGGCCGGTCTTCGGTCTTCGGCAGTCGGCAGAGTGTGTTATCATCTGGGCCTTCTATAGCTTGTTCATCGGTGATCGACAATTCGACCCCTCGGAAATCGAGCCTCGGGGGTTGAATAATCGCAAAATTACGGAATCACAGAGCTCCCTTTTGTTTTCCAAAGTGTATTTCCTGTCTCAAGTTCAAATACCTACCTCGGTTCTGTACAGAAGACGTCCATATATCGATTGTTCTTGAAGCACCCTTCCTTATTACTCCAGTGTGCCGATTCTGATCATAACTTATTCGAGGCGCCTTCCTTCAAACGAGTCATAACTGCCGTATAGCTATGGAGGCATTCCCGACATCAGGAATTTTGGTGGAGGCCAAGGCCTTTGATGACTTCGGGGGCTGGGTCCTGGACTCGCAGTTTGAGCTCGAGATGGGCTCGCCTTACCTGCTGGCCCATGGTAACGGCAGACCGGTTTCCGATGCTTCAACTGTTATCTCTGTCCCGGTGGCCGGTGCGTATAATGTCTGGGTTCGCACGAAGGACTGGGTTCCAGGTCATCATCCAGGGAGGTTTATCCTGACAATCAACGAAAACTACCTCAGTACCGAATTTGGAGCCAACGATAAAGACTGGAACTGGCAGGTCGGAGGGCGTGTCGAGCTACCCGCGGGTGAAGCGAAACTCACCCTGCACGATCTAACTGGATTCTGCGGACGCTGTGATGCCATCTTCTTCAGTCTCAACGACACGCCGCCACCCCAGCAGGCAAATAAAGCAGCACATTCCTGGCGCCGACAGCTTCTTGGACTACCCGATGGGCCTGTTGATGCCGGGAACTACAATGTTATCGTGGTTGGAGGTGGCGTTCCTGGAGCTACCGCAGCCCTAGCAGCAGCGCGCCTAGGAGAACGTGTGGCCCTTATTCAAGATCGCCCATATTTAGGTGGTAACGCGAGTGTTGAGATCGGCCTCCATCCACGTGGATGGACATGCCCGCTGATTGAGGAGCTTTCACATCGCACTCATAGTGGTGACCTTGACGCAATTGAATTGCTTCGTGCCGAACCAACTGCAGAGGTCTTTTTGGAGCACACAGTCTACAACACCATCACCGTTGACTCATCTATTGTCTCGGTCGACGCTCGCCATGCCCGTTCTGGGCGCGAGATCCGGCTCTCCGCGCCGGTGTTTATCGATTGCTCTGGAAAAGCTGTCCTTGGGCTTCTTTCAGGCGCAGAGACACTCTTCGGGCAGGAGTCGCGAGCTGAGTATGACGAGAGTCTCGCCCCTGTGCAAGGAGATAACATGCACCATGGCAACACTTTGTTTTTCCGCACCAGGATGATGGAAAACCCTACCTCCTTTCCAGACGTCCCATGGGCTAAAGAAGTGGCGAAGGACTTTTCCGACCTACGTGGTCAGTTAAGAAAGCCGGGTAGTGAGAATGGGCCTGGCCCTGTTGTCATTTCACCGGATGCAAAGCCCGACCCAACTCTTGCTCACCGAATGAAAGGGCCTCTCACCCACTTCTGGGAGTATGGCCAGTGGCTGGACCCTTATACCCAGGGTGAACACATTCGCGACCATCTTCTCCGCGCAGTCTATGGCACATTCTCCAATGTTAAGACAATGGAACCTGACACCTACGCCAACCTTGGATTCGATTGGGTATCATTTGTCCCTGCACAGGGCGAGTACCGACGATACAAGGGCGAGTACATACTGACAGAGAAAGACATTCGCACTCATAAGGTATTCCCTGATGCCGTAGTGCTGAACGGAGGAGCATTCTGTCTACATTACCCTGGCGATGAGAAGTATGACTTCCGCCTGAAGTTCTGGGAGTGGGATGAACGCGACAAGCGGCCCTATGACATCCCGTTCCGCTGCCTCTACTCTAGCAACGTCTCGAACTTGATGATGGCAGGGAAACACATGAGTGCAACCCACGTGGCGGGGTCGAATACCAAGTTCATGGCCAACGGTGGACAACATGCCATCGCTACAGCAGCTGCAGCCCACCTCTGCAATAAGTATGTCACCACACCCAGAGGCATTTACGAGAATCACTTGTCGGAGCTGCAGGCTGTCGTAGGGACCATTACTGGACCGGATGTAACAGAGTCCATTAACAAGGAAGACAAAAAGATGTTAGCTGGGCTATGATATTCCCTGGTGCCTTTTGTACTAGTATGCAGTTTTAGTACATATTTAAGATCTTTGACAAAGAGGTTCCCAAAGTTTCTAAATGCCTCCAAATCTTCTTTTGCTTTCCAATATAAAGTTACAGTGTCTCTTTCTTACTAGTATTTTTACTCATAGGCAAGATATGGTATATAAAGTGTTCCGAATCTGACATGCCTTGCACTCCCATGTCCTTTCACCTCCAGGTCTTGACAGATTTCGACTATAGATTCTATGCAGCGAGAATCACTCTCATTCAGCTCCAGTGGACCCTCATTTTGATCCTATTATTCTTCTAACCGCTTATTAGTATGTCTTGGCCGAGTCACAGGCGTGATTTTAGTCAACTCGGGTGTAGATGTGCTTTGACTGTGTTCCTCCTAATCGCTCACTTGCCGCTCAAATTAGCCACAGAGCATATCCCTCTCACTAGGGATAAGCGTTAAACTGAAACGACCTCCATGTGTCGGAGTGAAATTCACCCGTCGGCTCAAAGCTGCGGAGTCCAGCTCGTTCTAGTCGACATCATAGGTTGATTCAATGATTGACGGTCGGTGTTCGGTGGTCGGTAGTCGGCAGTCGGCATTGATGGGGCTCCACTTTCTACAGTATGCCTCTAAAACGCTGGCACCACTTGTAACATAAAATAGATAATTAAGTACCGAGGTCGATATATGGTCAATGCAAGCTTGAATTTTCACTATTTTGTGTGCCACGGACGAATTGTTACACCGTCGGATCTGTCGGACGAGTTCCACTCAGCCTACCGATCATGCTTCAAGACTATTCAAACTATGCAAATGCATTAAATGTATTACTCGTATTCTTCACAAAAAGCCACTTCATCATCACCGAAAGTCTTTAAATACTTTTCAGGTCTCTATAATTACTCATTTCTGCGAAAGACCCGTGGTCCTTGCATCTCTCTGTCACATTTTCTCCCCCAAGCCATTACAATGGCTTTGCCCTCGAGTGGCCTTTTTTTCGGGGCTTTCTTGATTGCGTTTTACCTGGGATACAGGTGGATATTACCTCGTCCTATCCCAGGTATTCCTCACAATCGTGAAGCCATTGGGAATATATTCGGGGATCTACCTGCATTGAAAGAACATGCACGAAAGACAGGAGAAAAAATGAGTTGGCTTCCTTTGCAAGCTAAGAAATTGAACTCGCCTATCATTCAAATCTTCGCAAATCCTCTCACAAAGCCCTGGGTTATCCTGACCGAGTTCAGGGAGAGTCAGGATATCCTGCTTCGCAGGACTAAGGAGTTTGATCGGAGTGACCATTTTGGGAACATTTTCAAGGGGTTGACACCTGATCATCATATCTCAATGAAGACGGCAAATCCTCAATTTAAGGCGCATCGAAGACTGATCCAGGATTTGATGACTCCGGCCTTTTTGAATGGAGTATGTTTTTACCGTTGTTCATTTAAGTGGGAATCCAGTACTGATTTTAGCAGGTTTCGGCTCCCCGAATCTATGAATCGTTCTCGACTCTTGTCGATCTCTGGAACCGAAAAATCTCGTCTGGCAAATGGTCATCCTTTCTCCGCTTTGGACGATTTTTATAAAGCGGCCTTAGATGCCATCTGGGCTGTGACCTTCCCATTAGATCTGAAGGACAGCGTCGTCAATGCTCAACGAAATCTCCTCAGTGGCACCGCGAGCATCGATACATCATCCACTGACATCGACGAGCCCACTTCATTTCCCGAAGCCCCAATACCAGATGCTCAAAATTCTATTCTAACGCTTACGGAAAGTTTGGAGTCTGTGATGATATCACCAACGCCAAAATTGACTTTTTGGCTCATAAGCAAGTTGCCTTATATGCGCAAGGCAAGAGCAGCCAAAGAGACCATGATTGCTACTGAGCTTGAGAAAGCCAAGGCCAGGTTCTCTGATAGAAAAGAAACGGCAAGATGCGCCATGGATGATATCCTGCGTCGTGAGCTCATTTCCGCGGAGAAAGAGGGTCGAGAACCCAACTACAACACGAGGACCATATCCGACGAGGTAAGCAAAAGCCCTCCGATTCGTTGACCTTTGAAAGCATTGCTAATTAAAGATGAAGCTTTTTGGTCTGTTAATTGCCGGTCACGATACGACCTCGACGACGGCAACGTGGGGTCTCAAATTGCTCTCTGATAACCAGGGCGTACAAAAGAAACTTCGGGGAGCTATTCGTGGCGGTTTCCCCACGGCTATTGCAGAATCTCGACGGCCAACAGCAGAGGAGATTTCCAAAGCTCATATCCCATACCTGGATGCTACACAAGAGGAGATCATTCGGAAATCAATGACAGCCGGGGCAATAACGCGCCAGGCGATGGTGGATACTGTCATCCTCGGGCACCACATCCCCAAAGGCACTAATGTGTTCCTCATGGGTAATGGCCCCGAGTTTATCGAACCTCCAATCGGAGAGGTCCCAGAAGATCGTCGCAGCAAAAGCTGTCGGGACGCGAAGGGACGTATTAGCTCTTGGGATCCATCAGACTCGAATCTATTCAAGCCAGAGCGGTGGATTACTATCGAAGATGGCAAAGAAACTTTCGACTCTACGTCCGGTCCACTTCTTACGTTTGGGCTAGGACCAAGAGGATGCTTTGGACGACGCATGGCATATCTCGAACTGAAGATTGCCCTCGTGCTACTTTTGTGGAACTTTGAGCTGCAAAACGTACCGGGTAATCTCAGTTCATATGCCGCGGTGGACAAACTAACCCATCAGCCAAAACAGTGTTATTTGCGACTCTTGAGCTCCCCATTGGAATCATCTTGAGCCTAAGGTATAATGATATTATCTTCATATTTATCCATATTTTCGCCAAGGCCTCGTCGTTGTCTTGAAACCACAAACATGAACCAAATTAGGTCCGTATCTCTGTTCCGAGAACCAGAGAAAGCGGCATGATTGGAATGATTCAGTTTTGATTTCATGGTTTGATATGGTGTTCGGTGTATTGTATGATAAGCAGAAATTCGTTCAGTGTTAGAGGTGAAAAGTGGAAATCACTCCATAAAGAAACCCAAATTATCCAAGAATCGAAAAAAGAGTACTTGATAAGCATACACGGAGGTCATAGCTTATAAATCCATTATTACTTGTTGTTCGCTCCTCCCGAGCAACCCGGGTGATGAGATGAATGATGTGGCACAACACAGGACATTGAAAGCCGCCCGGGAACAGCGTGCTAGGTAATATTCGACATCTCCGGGTACATCACAAGTGAATCCATAAGGTCCAAGTTTTCAGTGAGGAGCCAAGGCGTCCATAGGCTTTCCATTGAAAGAAAACTTTGAGCTGAATACTCCTCCAAACCCCCAGTACGCTGTATCAGCTCCATATGGCTGCACATACTTACGGGAAAGGGGAACAGTTCCTCAAGATAGTCACAAGGGTCGTTCGTAATGCGGCCGGGAGTTTCGATGCCTCCTGCCAGAGGTCGTTCTTCTATGAAGGCGTCTACCTGTCTCTGTAATTTGAAGATCTTTCTGAGAACCATCTCGGACCCTCCGAACTTCCATTGCATCTGTTTCATCACGGAGCAGAGTATCTTTATCTCATTCTGACGAGTGGCTTCTTTCTCTGCCGACCGGGGTTTGTAATAGATCTGTGGGATGGATGCCACCATACACAAAAACCCATTGATTGGAAGCAAAAAACACGCTTGTTCTCTGAAAAGGATCTCCTCATATAAATTGATGATGCATGAAGAGGCGACTAGGCACTGTATTGATGTATGCCTCTGCGGATCTATCCCGTTACTCAGCCGCTGTAGGAGGATGATGGTAGTAAAGTATCGGATAAATAACTCCGATACCGGACGACTGAATTTTTTCCTAGTACCAGCAGCATCATGAAGATGGAGCTCTGAAGGCACTTCTCGCACCCACTCACACATTGCCTTGGTGAGCTGAGATAATTTTCCCGGATTGATGGGCGCTTTTTCCAGCTGAAGCTCGGAAATCTGTCCCATGATTATAAATAGCTTTGTTGTCTGTATAAATATTGTTCCGTGCATAGATTGATTCCTGAAATCCATCGGAGATGGCAGCTTCACATCGGTGTAGGTAGAGCAAAACGTAGGCGGACGACCCCAGCAGGCAACTTGCAGTTTATCGGCGGTCTATTTAGAGAGAGAGAACAGGTTAGCTGTGCTGAGACGTGGCAATTTATTCAATATCGACACAGACATAAAGGTGCCAAAAGATCTTTCGAAGAGAGGAGGCAAAAGGGTTGTTGATATATGTAGATTCCTGATGCAAGCCCATCTCCAGTGCAATTCGCGAGGCTACACCGGTCCAATGCCAGGGCCCGTCAAGACTCATCTTGTCTGGGGGCTTCACACTCCAGCAAGATAAGAGACACAGTGTTTTCAAAATGGAGATGCTGTCCGGTTCATAATTTAGGTAAATCAATGTCTTGATTTTCTCGTAGAGAGATTGCGAGAGTTTCAAGCTGTCAGAGTCACGTCGCATGAGACTTCCTGCCAAGAATACCCCTTGTTGGAGCAGAATCGATGAATCTGAGGCCGAAATATCTTCTAGCTCAACCACCGGGTAGTCATGGTAAACTTGCTCGAAAAACGCATCAGTCAATGCTCTTTGCAGCGGCGGGGCTGGTAGTGTCAATGCTCCTGTCGCTGATAATATGGCATCTCTGACTTGTGAAGAGCAGGAAATGGAGCTCTCGGATACTGTTGGCAGGGTACGCTCATCGAAGGAGAGGACTGAAGAGTTTGCAATGAATGCATTATCATTCAGGGGCTCTGTCTGCTCATTTGTCCGCAAACGCTGTATTACGGAATGAACAATTCGGGGTACCCCTGGGTGTGAGACTAACGCCTCGTCTTCTGGGGCTTCATCGACCGAACCTGATTTTGTTGATCTTTGGTAAGAGGGTTCTTTTCCTGCTACTTTCTGTCGCTTGCGAATGCCCGTTCGTTTGCTTCGATATTTGTCAGCATTCCAAGATTTCGATTTGTTTGAGAAGTATCCACGAGGACATGGAAACGAACATGCATGATTGATTGAATCGACGGCAATTACTACACACGTTGTCTCGGCTATGCTCTAGGTCACATTTGACTTTGCGAGCATGACAGTGGGTACACACAGAGTGCGCTCGATAATGTGCATGATCCATTCTCGAACTCACGTCCTCTTAAAGTATACCACGGCACTGGTAGATTGTCAGAGGTCGACAATCCCGCATTTCCGGGACGTTTGGCTTACGGCTTGTGTTACGGTTAGCGATTACCGCCATCTGCGCATCCTTGTTCAGAGTGTATCAGAGTCTTATTTACGCCACGCTCAACCCGCTTCCCATTTGTCACGGCAAAATTGGCTATTTAGGTCCACAGCCACTGGGAATGAAAAGGATCGTCAGAAATATTGATTCGGTAAAGGCAATGCTTTTTCGTCCACTCAAAGGTCATGTTATCACACCAAGTCGATTTTGCTAAGGCGTGGGTATTTTGACAGACGAAATACCTCGACCGTTACAACATAGTTCTCCGCTCGAGAGCGCATCAAGGTTATCAATTATTCCTCAATCATGAGCGACGTCATGCAGTGTGCTCGGCCGGGAGCTTCTGCTTGAGTAAGGCCTAGCAATCCCGTCGTATTTTACTTCTCCGGCTCGATATAACAGCTTTTACCAGCCGATCACTCGGCCGGTCTCTGATAGTGCAACTTGAGAACAGAGAGGAGAGAATTTATACCAGGTTTTATTCACCAGCTCGGTGATCGCCGTTGTTGAGCTGGTTACATTCAAATCAGACCCCACAGCCTCGGTCCCGTTTCTGTCAAACTCTAGACTGACCTCGGTTATCCAGATGCTCAAGCCCCCGCCTGCACCCCAGAATATCAGCGGGATGCAGATTAATGCAATGTTCACTTCTTTGAAACCCCCCAAATTGGAAGGGCTGGCTTTCTTTTATGCTCTTGGTGGAGTAAATGGTATAGGATTGGATCTATGACCTGATCAGACGTTTCCTACAAAAGTCATGGACGACGTTACCCGCATCCTGGACGGCTTCACAGATCCTACGACAGGGTCATTGCATGGCGCAATATTTGTTGTTATTGACAGTTCTGGTAAGAAAGCTTGTCATTCTTGCTGAGTTACCTGTTCGGCCACCGAGGTTGCCGAAAATCTAGCTGCCATAATTGCTATTTTGACACCCAAAGACAGGCAAAACGATCTACGAACGAACAAGTGGGAAAGCATCGTTCGAGGATGGAAATTCGACAGCCCCTCAACTAGACTCGTTGTGCTGGGTTGCATCAATGACAAAACTTGTAACCGCTGTTGCTATAATGCAGCTCGTGGAGCAAAATCTTTTATCGATTGACGATGATGCCAGGGACTATGTACCGGAACTCAAAGGCATCCAAATCCTTCGCGGTATAGGAACAGGTATCTCCCCCGCAAGTCCCTTTGCTCCGAAATATGTATCTAACCACCCACGCTAGATGATCATGGGCATTTGGATACCCTCCAGCCTCGCCTTGAGCCGGTGCAAGGGAAACTCGCAATCCGGTAGGTAACACCAGCACGGGAGAGGCGATTGACAGCTGTTAATTAAGATACCCAATGCACTCAGTGATCTACTATGCCATACAGCCGGTTTCATGTATGATAGCTCTTCGCCACTTTTAAAAAAATGGTCCAAGTTCCACGGTCGTACAGCACATACATTCTGTGGGAGTATGGTGAGTCAGGTTTTGAGACGCAATTCTCATGGCTCTCTTATAGATGAGAGACTAATATTTCTTTTTCTCTTTTCTAGGACGGTTATAGGCATCCGCTCATATTTGAGCCTGGAACCTCGTGGGCATATGGAGCTGGTATAGACTGGGCCGGCCGGGTTGTATGCATCTCTGGCTCATATTATGCGCCCACTATTCGGACACTAATATTCACCAGGTTGAATGCGTTTCGAACTCAACTCTAGAAGATTATATGCAGGAAAATATCTGGTCTAAATTGGGAGAAACATCAACCACCTTCCATCCGGAGCGACGTCGCGATACTCTACCTGCTGCACTTGAGATGGGCTACCGTGTGAGCATCGGTCATGGCTCTAAATCCGTTAAACAAGGGCCTATAACTCTCCATCAACCAGCGAAGGACAGTCTCGGTGGCATTGGACTTTTCAGTACGACCACTGATTATGTTAAGCTGCTTGCTGCACTTCTGAAAGGCGGAGCTCCTATTCTCTCCCGGAAGGGCCTTGATATTCTTTTCCAGCCGCATTTGAGCGAGGCATCACGCTTAGCTATGCCAAAATCACTTGGCCTTCAGATGAGTCGCATATTGGGAATTAATAGTGTGGATGACGCTGGTCAAGCAGACCATTGTCTCGCAGGCACGATAAACCTCAAGGATATCCCTGGTCGCAGGAAAGCCGGGACTGTCAACTGGAGTGGACTGCCAAACTTACATTGGGTATGGTTTCTATCCGCGTTGACTTTAATTGGAATCGTGGATTTTCACTAACCGCTAATTACCAATTCAAGTGGATTGATCCCAAAACTGGCATAGCAGCTACTCTGTTCACACAACTAATGCCCCCGGGCGATGCCGCTGTCACCTCGCTTTTGATTGAACTGGAGGAAGCAACTTATAGAGCTCTTGCCGACAAAGTAAATTCTAACTCTATTAGCCCAAGACTGTAAGCAATACGACTGAGCTTTAGGCAATGTTAATTACTTCGAGAGAAGTTACAGAGCAATGCTTTAGAATTATGACCGGACAGGACCCAACCCAAATAACTTATTCCTTTAGAATGCGTATACCATGTAGTACTACAATTTGAGAAAGATTCGCTTCGGAACACATCACGCAAAACACCATCCCAGAAAGGCACATGCTCGTGTTCGTGACTCGTGACCACTGCCCATCCGAGTCCAATGGTAATGTATATGACAAAATTAGAAATGAAATACGAGCCTCTTCAGGTTTGATCAGTAACCGTACGAGGATACATCCGGCATGGGAGGGACATTCGGCCAGTATTCGGTCGAAGGTTTGTCGGTGGGAACAAAGTGTTGTGGGAAGTACCCCGGTAGGTAATTCGGTGTTTGTAGTAATGGTTTATGCTCATTATGGGCTTCCTGGGGGATTTCAGAGCGACCCAAGTTGACAGGGTACGCATTGAAACTGGTATTTGTTGGGCTGTGCGGACCACTAGAGTCACTAGTAGCTGGCGACAGTGGCACCGCTTGCCGGTCCGACGCAGTGCCCCGACTTATCTGATTTGATGACGCCCTCTCGCCATCCTGGTTGTCGGAATCCGGGAGCTGCGTGTGGAAAACTTGAATCAAAGTGTTTGCATCTGTATTTTATTAGTCCTATCCTGAGGAATGAATATTTGAGACCTGGAGGCTTACCAATCTCTCCGTCAATAAATTGCTCCTCCATTTGGCGCACGAAATAAATTTCGTCCAGGACTTCGAGCCTGCTGGCTGGGGTAATCTGGCGTCGTACATCCTGCCCAGCTTCACAGAGCTTTTCTGCTGTTATTCCATGGCTGTCTTTAAGCTCACAGAGTATATGGACTAAGAGTTTGAGACGAGCTACTTCCATTAGTATATCTTTATCTGTATCGGGAATTCCATGGTCTTACGAATCTTGAGAAGGTGGTCCGGCTCCTTGTGGCATACGCCTTCGGGCCACCAACCAGGTTTTGTCAATTCCGGGTCGACGCGTTGCGATACTCCTGAGATCACTTTACGTCCGTTGTATGGAAAATGGACTTGTTTCCGTGGTTCAACAAGCTTGACGTATGACTTTGCGATTGCACGACAGTTCAGCTGCTGGAAATCTTCAAATGCCTTCGCATAGTAATTTCGCAAGGTATCCCGATCGCCCACTCGGAGAACTGTCCGACATGGTGCTGCTGTCGGTGGTGGAGAAGTAGATTTTGGACGATCTCTTGCCGTGGGGCGTTGTCGCTTTCGTCGATTCTGGCTAGATTGCCATTCGCACGGAATCATTTCCGCCGGTCTCATAGGGCCAGCGTTCATCCAGCCCGAGTTAGATTGCGCACTCCATGGTGAAATGGGTGCTTGATTCGGATCTAGTAGCGATACAAGATCAGTCAATGATTTCAATGTGTTGCCCTATGATCATTTTGCTTACTCGGGGTATATGGCATCGATTGAAAATTTGGTGGAATCATTTTCATAAACTGTTCTGTCACATCGGGTCGGATGAAAATGTTATCGTTGGGAGAAGAGGCCGATGATTCGGCATAGGAGGAGGAAGATTCAATGCGAGGCTTGCCATGTTGATCGAGATATATTATGGCATAATGTGGATGAAGAGCATTTAGATATTGCAACTATTGTAGATATTCGAATTAATATCAACTGTGCGATCCATGGATAGCATGTATGCTGAAGAAACATGTGACACAACTTACCGTGTGGTTTGACTGGGGCACGGAGAGTATCTGAATGACGTCGTTCCATCTCCCCAACTTCCAGGTGAGTTCTTTTTGTACCCATGTCTTCGATTGGCATAAAGTGTGACGACTGCTATTGGTGAAATATGGATCGATCTGCTGTGGAGATATCGCGTACGCTCGCTCGGCACGGGTGAATAATTTGAATAACCAACAGACTAACAGCGCGGAGCTTCTTTTTCAGATATTTGTCTGTTTTCTTCTCGCAGCGAAGTAGACAGACCCCTGGCGTGGTAACGCACTTCGGGGCACGGTTGACCACCTGTGGATAATTGATCCGACACCAGTCGGATGCCAGTCGGGAGTGGCAAAGTAATTATACATGGATCGAGGGACCACAAGTACAATAGCCCCACAGGTCTCGCCCCGGTGCTCCCATAGCATGCGAATGGGCTAATGCAAGGACAAAAGGAATATCTGCGGCAGCAATCAACCGGTGGCAATAAGAGCGATCTCTTGCGCTCGCGATCGGATCGTCGGTGCACTGGGTCCCACCAGCTCTGTACTAAACAATCGACGAGTCTAACGAGGCCCAGCCCGCTTGGACACGGAAAACTGGGCTTACTGTTTTGCTATGGTTTAATTTGTTGCGACTTCATTCCAGCGAACCATGGTTCAATGGCTGGATAGGATGTGGGGTTTCCGAGATGATCTCAACTTAGTATCGACGCCAGTCGATCCTGCGCTTGGACAGCAAGCCACTAGCCACACAGAGGACTTTCTCGATGCTACTCGTATGTACTGTACACTCGCTTTAGGCCGAATGGTTCAACGATCAGATCATCGGATGCACCGAACACACGACGGTGAAATTCATCCCACGTCTTCGGTTGGAAACCAAGCAAATCACCCTTCGCCCGCCAGGGGTCTTCCAGTTGACAGAAGCAGCTCGATGTACTAGATCGACTGATCGCTCGGTTTTCTCGTGGGGAAATTTCATCCTTGCCAATCACATGGATGGATCGCCGATTTTGGGCCTCGTATCAGCCACGTCTCGGAGATCCCCACAAATGACCGACCAAAGCGCCTCTTAGATCACCATCTGCAAGTCAAACCCTTTTCAGCTCTGCAAGCGGTTGAAGTACTGTACTCTGTATGCACCTAGGAATCTTCCACCTATTCCGGTAGCCTATAGACAGCATACAGAGGGTGAAATGCTACATAGCCTTATCCTTGCGATATCCGCTGGAAAGTTCCACTCGATACATTGTACTAATGGCACCTATGATCGTCCGTGCACGGATCTACATAATTTCAAATGGACTCAAGGCCGAAACTCTCATCCGATATAGAGCTGTAAAGTAATCTCTAGAGTTCAACCAACGGGGAGCGTTCTTGGAATGGGAAAAAGCATGGACGGTCCGACGTACAACCGTCCATGCTTCCCCGAGAGAGCCATCAAAAATCCACCATTGAATCTTGAGCTTATTCAAACCTACGGGGCTCGGCTTGGCTGGCCCGGTGAAGCGGATCGGGGGTTCTTTTCTTTTTCTTTTACTTTTTCTTCTGTCCCCCTCTATCCGTGTCGACAATGAGAATATCGGGGTCTGCGTCAAGGCACGATTTTTACACCCAACGCGAGAATTGTTCCTAACCCCGAACTAATCTGTTTTATTATTATTATTATTATTATTATTATTGACAAATACACCAAACCCCGAGGTCACGCTTACGAAGTACGAAGTGCCCCCAAGGGGTTAGTCAACCTTCTACGCGCCTGAGAGAACCAAAAGGGGAACTTCGACCGAGGCAAAACCGATAGTCAAACGGCGAGCGCCGATAAAACAACGGAGAAAGCTATAATTCCACAAGGCTATCATAAAAACCAATTCTCTAGCCCCAGATCGACAGTCAAAGTCTCCTCAGTTGATCGACATTGAGGGGAGCTGGTTCGAGACGTCAAAGGATGAGGAATGATCGGGATTTGCATGGAATCCTGTCCAGATTTTGTCGATAAACGCAGCCGGGGCCACCGAACTCTGCGATGCAGCAGTGGCTTCCACAGAACTCCACTCCTCCAATCCTCTGCAACGACAAAGATCCTGGCCTTCCCCAACGGTTTTGCTTTTGCGGTAGACAATCTAACTATTCCAATCTAGCCTTGGCGACACGCACTGCGGGAAATAACTCCTCGAGCTCTTCATTCGACCGGAAATGACTCTAGAAAGCACTGATCAAGGAATCCAAGAAGCAGCCGAATATTTTTGGACTCAGGGTTTGCAGATGTGGGTATGCCGTGGCCCTATCTTTTGCACAATTCAGGGGGGGAGGAAAGCAGCAGAAAACGAGAAAGGGCTCCCAATGCACAGATGCACGGTTCCTTTGTAACTAGCTCAGATGTTGGCTTCAGCTTCTTCGGTTCAGGGTCACTTGGCAAACTATAAACAGCCCCTAGATGATTCACAGTAGCTTCCGCTGCCAAAAGGACCCAAGCCAACCAGGCGGAACCATCGTCAACCCCGTATTCGAACATGTAAACGGACCACCACCTAACTCTCTTCACCCTCGACGCGTGTGGCGTGGAAGGAAACGACGCGCCCCTTGCGTAGCGAGCGGGGGCCAAGCCTAATACTCGTACATGCTCTTCGGTCTGTACAACACCCAAGCCCTGCGCTGGTGCCTTGTGGCGATTGGAGTCCGTTTGCACTGCGCGCGCATATCCTACGCACTAGCCTAGACCCAGGTCGACGACAAAAGTACCAAAGTGCCCCTCTAATCCCTGCCCCCGTTCGTGTCACCGTTGCAGGGTTGCTACAGATGGTGAATCCCTGGTACCAGGAAATGGCGGCATGGATTTGCAGAGTACATACCATCATTAGACAATAGTAGCAGGCTTAACGACATTCTAGACCCAGTTATTGTCCGGGTTGGCTTTGATCACCCGGTCTGGTTTTTCCTAACACAGACTGGGCTGAGCATGAGGCTGAAACTATAGCGGTGACTACTGTATTAACGGCTCTCCATGATCGGCGAGGGGAGTGCGAGGCGGGCGGGGCAGGTAAGCTTTGGGATTTGGGATTTGGAATTTAGATTGCATTGCAAATCGACTAATGATTTCAAACTCATCTTCAAAAAAACTATGTACTTCAGGCCCCCCAGTTGCTCACTAGGCGCGGGATGTTTGTTCCGCGATTTTTCAGAACTCAAATGCAGACCGCTTAGCTTGCTTAATGCAGTAAGAGCTTTGTTCGCTACGAATGATTGATTCTCCACAGATAGCCCCATTATTAGTTTCACCACGACTCACGAACTCTGATGTTCCAGATGAAAAAGTTCTCCAGCTGACTCGGGATTTGCGAGTCAATATTTGGTCATGCCAGAGTAATCTCAAGGTAGATCTAGATCTCACGATAGCAGATGAATCTGATCTCCACCCAACGCCACATGTATGCCAAAACCCGAAATAGTGGGAATCTCTATCTAGGGATACGAAGCCACCAGTGCCATAAACAGGGAACAGAGAAGCATAGAAACAGGGAAACTAAGAGTCTAGGCTCAAGATAACAGCACTCGAGTATGGAATTTCAACTTCCACCTCTCCCCGACCATCAACTTTCACAGTCTCACCGATGGTGACATTTCCCAGCCGCTCGGGTGCGCCCCCTTTCAATTCATAGTTATAGGACCAGCCATCCCACGATATCCCAGAAATAGCGTCGCTACCATTTGCCAACAGTCGTTGCACTGATAGGGACCTGGCCGAGATTTCGGGCAAACGGAAGGCATAGTTGGCCGAAGGTCGCCGAGCTGCCGGTTCCCCTGAGCCGGTGTAATTGTACTCCTGCATATTGATCACAGCAATTCGAGCAAGGTTTCCATTCACATATGCTGCATAGGCGGCTTCTGTTTCGTGGGACATCGGCAGATTAACCACTTGGACTTCTGAGCTGCTGTTGCTCTCGCTATCGGAGTCTCCACCCCGCAGCATTGCGGCCACCATGACATTGCCGTAGTAAGGAGCTTTGGTGCCTATCGTGGCCTTGTCTGTCTGGATGGGCTGCCAGGAGGCGTAACGATAGTTTGTTCCTTGGTGCATGTGGGTTCGGCGGATACTCTGCGATGCGCAGTAGAGGTTGAAGTCGACTCCCCAGAGAGCGGCGCCGAAAGAGTTGGAAAGTCCGGGCTTGCCCTGACGGTAGAGGGAGTTTGTTTCGCCCAGGATGTATGGGATATCTTTCGTCAGGCCTTTTTCGTTAAGGACGCGAGATAATTTGACGTGCTGAGCAACACTGTGAACGGTTGATGTGTGGTTCAACAGGGTCCTTGCCAGAGTCACACCGGGTTGATCTGCACCCCCAATATAGCTGGAAAGATGTTAGCAACAAATCCTCAGATATAAAAGCGCTTTTCTGGAATTCTCACTTGTGCATTGAATTCAGCCCAATGTCATGATCATCATCCAATCCTGCCTGCCACGCTTTAACAGGGTCCATGCCATTAGTGAGGCCTGCAAATGACGGTGCCATATACTTGTAGTTTGAATCAGTAGACAGCTCAGGACAACTTTTCTTAAGCTGTCGTTTTATTATCTTCGTCTTAGCCAGCCACTCATCTACGTAGGACTTCTCATCCCAGTCGGCCGGACGGACAGGATAAGCCGTGAACAAGTCGGGCTCATTTCCTAACTCCCAGTAGGCAAGTTTTCCATCTTTGAGAGCTTTGCAGGCAAGAGGAACAGTGCCAAGAAGGGTGTTCATCCCAGCTGTGCCATTCTTGCCAAGATTGAATCCGTGGCTGAATTTAGTTCCTGGCCATGTTGCATAGGACTCGAAGTATGAATCGCCAATATATATGATAGACGGATAATCCGTCAAAGAGAGGGAACTACGGTTCCGTTGATTGAAGTCTTCAGATTGGGGTCGTACAAAGCCAAATCTCTATATAAGAGTATTAGATGATAGCATTAGTGTGAGGTTGGCAAACATCGATGTCTCTTACTGAGTATTTCCGCCGACGCGAATATGTGGCTTTGTACCCTGGAGATCTGCAAGGTTGTCCAGCAATTGGTTTGAGAAATGATTAGGCTGCGATACATTTCCTAATAAACAAGTCAATATCTGTCTCACATTAGAAGTAGCCACCATGATACTATAATATACCTGCGAAATCTGGAAAGGACGAAAACTCGATAGAAAACGATACGAAAGGTTGCAAAATTGCAACACCAGCACTCTCGGGCGCATCTTTGCTCACTTGAATCGGATATGAGCTATCGCGTTCAAGAACCGTCGGCACAGCAACCACCGCCGTGGCACTGAATAGCAGGGAAACAAGCATGGCTAAGCTATGAGCAGGAAACTTGAAGATGTTGAATGGTAATCAAATCATCCATGGATTGACATGTTCAAAATGGCGAGTCCCTGGATTTATACCAGAGCGGCAAACAAAAGGTAGGTTATTGAGCGTCGGTTGCGACATTTCTTCAAAAGCCGTCTGTAACAACATTGACAAGCTAAGCGGAGCGTGCCGATGGCGATTTCACTTATTGGACGGGATTTCATCGGATAAATGAATTAGTGCTTGTGCACCTCGGAATTAAGATGCGGGGGTTACATCTGGGGTTGCGGAGAGACGATCGTTGCATTATTTTTCGTCAGTCGGCTATTGAGAAAGCAATTAATATGACTGCTGTCCAATGACACCTTCACCAAGTATCCTACAATCTAAACCTAAGTTGTGCAATGCTCGTACGATAAAGAATAAATACTGTATTCCACGCAGGAACTGGTATCAATTAACAGCAATGCGAGTAAATATGGAAAGAGTATGGATTGCCAATTACAGACAGTACTAATTCTGCAAGCAATAGGAATAATAATCAAGCAAACCGGCTGGACTGAATAATCTACACAAACGAAGAAAGGAAATAGTGTTCGTGAAATACATCGCAATGTCATGCTGAGACATCAGGTATATTTGCGGAGCTAAAGGACAATCAGTCAACAACATTCTCAGGGTAAAGAGTAAAGTGCTCGATAACTCACATCAAGGGTCAAAGACTTGCTGCTGTTCTGCACCTGATCCCGGTAAATACCAACCAAAGCCTCACTGTTCTGGAAGAGGCCGGTCTTCAAACTGATGACGATGAACTGCATGCCAGGACCTGCGTGATCATGGATATAGTTCGCAATGCGGGCAACATTGGTGTTATCGAGAGCAGCGTCCACCTCATCCAGCACAAAGAAGGGCGAAGGCTGATAGGAGTGGATGGCAAAGAGCAACGCAAGTGCCGCCATGGTCTTCTCACCACCTGACAAATGTTCCATATCACGGAAACGCTTCAGAGGCGGCATGGCGTGGTACTTGATACCGTCAAGGTATGGCTCGTCCGAGTCCTCGATATCAAGGTAACTTCAGGGGGTGTCAGTCGGCAAGTAAATAGTATCGGGCTGGAAGACTTACGCTTGTCCACCGAGAGGATAGTTGGTACTGCGAGTTAGCTCGCGATAAATCGGGCCAATCTGCTCAGAAATATGTGTAAAGGCCTTGTTGAAGAGGTCGGAACGCTTCTTCATCACATTTTCAAAGTCGTCCTTCGCTTTTCGGGCATACTTTCGAGCATCCTCAAAGTCCTTCTCGGTGCCGCGAAGCTTGTTCTCCACGGTCTCCAGGCGCTCCATAGCGCGCGTATTGGGCGCCATCTTGTCGAGCTCGTTGGTAAGACTGCGGACCTTTTCAAGGAGCTCCTCCTCTAATTTATCATCGGACTCCTATTACGACAATTAGCATGCGGCGCGTGGGCACATGACGAAGAATACATACCTCTTTAAGGGTCTCCCCAAGAGAGTCAAAGTCAACCTCAATACCATAGTCTTGCACCACAGGAGTTTCATCAAGGCCGTCAGCCTCATCCACATCCATGGCGTCCGGATCCGCGGCCTGCACAAGATCATCGATGGGGAGTTTGTCGAGGCCATTGGAAGACTCTTCCAGAGGAATATCAATATCTTCAAGCTTGCAACGACGGAGAAGGGCATAGCGACTAGAAGAATTCCGTTGGATCTCAGCCTCCAGGGCATTGATGTTCTTGAGTGCTCCTTCGACATGCTTGCTGCGCTTCTGGAGTTCTCGTCGCTGTTCAGCCAGGTTCTCAGCCGACTGTGCGTAGATCTCCTTTTGTTTCTCGAGGTTTTCGCGTAAGAGTTCAAGTTCAGCACCGAACTCATCCAGCTTATCCCGGATCTCCTCTTGTTGCTCCTTAAGCTCTTCAATCAGGCTCATATCGCGGTCATACTGAGATTTGAGACCGTTGATTCGATCCTCGGTCGCTTGGATGCGCTGCTTTTCAAAGCTGAGCTGATTCTCAATACGACTCTTTTGTGTCGTAAACTCAAGTTTCTTCTGTGCGGCTTCCTCTTGCAAGGAGCCCTGCTGGGCTTCATATTCACGGATGTTGTCGTAACCCAGGCGCTTGCAGAATTTGCGGTAGATCTCGTCTTCGACGTTACTGACGGACTCTTGCGAATTTTCGATAGTCTCGTCCAGTTCATCCAGATTCTCCTTGCGTTCTGTATACTTAGGTCGCAAGTCTTCCATCTGTTGCTTGACAAAGTCTAGCTCACTGTGTTTGCTCTTGATGTTCCGCTCAAGAGCCTTCAGTTCGTCGCGGGCATAGTTGAGGCGTTGCTCAAGGCCAACAAGCTCTCCTTGTAGCGTCTCCTCCTCCGAGCCCCGGCGATGGCTTTTCGGTAGACTGTTAAGGTCGCCCAGAAGCTTGTCCTTCAGCTTATGAAGATTCTCCACCTCCGAATCCTCCCAACGCTTGGAAGCATTCTGTTGAGGGCCACGACCACCAGTCATCAAACCACCTTTATGGATAACAGTACCATCCAGAGTAACTGCCTTGGCATCGACATTTCGCTCATAGCACAGATACTTGGCGGTAGCAAGGTCATCGCAGACAATTGAATTTCCACAAGCGTACACGATAGCTCGAGAAACCGAGTCGTCGTAGTCCACAGTCTCGATGGCAGGGCGCATATTCCGGTGGAGGCCCTTCAAACTCGAGTTAAAGGCTTTGACCTGGATAGTTTCAAGAGGGATAAAGGTGGCTTGGCCAGCTCGCTGGTCCCGAAGATGCTGAATACACTCCTTGGCAGTCTTTTCGTTGTCGACGACGACGGCATCAAAGTGGCGACCAAGAACGGTGCTGACGGCTTCGGCGTACTTCCGCTGCTTTGGCCGGCAGAGGTCGCTGACACGACCCTTCACACCGGGAAAGATGCGCTTAAGGGTCGAGATGAGTTCCTTCGCCCGGATCTCACGCTCATTCTGCTTCTTTCCGTCATCGGCTTCCATCAGCTTCTTGAGTACCACTTGCAGTTTCTCCTCGAGCTCGGTTCGCACTTGCGAGACCTTCAAGCGTTCCGATGTCAAACCGTTGAGGTCCTTCTTCTTGCGATCGATATCTTTGGATGTGGACTTGATCGTGTCCTTCAGCGCGGACTGGCGCTCGGTCATGTTTTGCGAGTCGGATTCTAGAGTCTTGAACTGCCACTCAGTGGTCTCGAATTTGCCCTTCAGGCTGTTGACGGCTTCGGCTTCGGTCTTCCTTTGGCGACGGAGGTTGTCGAGGTTAAGTTGATCGGCAGATGAGCGCTTGCTGACCTCTTCGCGGAGCTTGTTGTACTCCTGCTGGTCGCCTTCACTCAGCTGTCCGCCGCGCTTGTTCGTAGTCTTTTGCCATTCAGCTTCCCACTGACCCTGGGCCTTCTCTACCAGCTTCAGGTCCTTCTCGAGTTGCTTTGCATTGTTCGCCTGGCTCGTGCGCTCCTTGCCGATCTCGTCGATCTTTGATGAATACCGTTCCACCTTTCTCTGCGTGATGTCCACCTTCTCGTCGATAGGAACCAGAGAGTTGTTGAGTTCTTCGATCTCCTTCTCCTTCTTGTGGATATTCTTGTCGGCCTTTCCAACATCCCTACCGACTCGAGTGTGTTCCTTCTTGGCGTCTTCAACATTATTCTCGTATTTCTCGACTCCTCGGCGGTATTCCTTGAGCTCGTCCTGGTATTTCTGGATGTCGGCGCTAGAGTCATCGATCAACCGTTGAAAGTGGAAAAGTTTCCAGAGGATGTGGGTGATGATGGCTTGGTCGCGTTCCTCGGCCTTTTTAGTGTAGTTCTCGGCTTCGCGCTTCTGCTCCTGGTACTGTTTAACTTCGGAGTTGATTCCTCGTCGACGGTTGAGTTGAACGGTCTGTTGTTCGGCAGCCTCCTCAGCCTCCGCTTTGAGCTTCTCGTAGTCGCCTTTGTATTCCAAGCTGCCAGAAATCTGCTCGATCAACCGGGTGAGGTCCCTTGGAGACTGGGACGCGATTGCCTCAACATCACCTTGGAAAACCAAGAAATTGCGTGCGCGAATCAAGATGTTTTCCTCCTCCAGAGCCTCGTTATATTGCTGAGCAGTGACGATTCGGTTGTTGATGCGGTACTCGCTGGCACCCTGGCTAGTAATGGATCGACGCCATTGCTGTTCCTCGCCCGCGTCATCCTCATAGACGGCCATAACCCAGGCTGTCTTGGGATCGTTTGCACCAGCGGCATCCTGGGATGCATCTACATCCTCGTCTTCCTCCTCTTGCTCGACATTTTCACCATTGACGATAGGTTCTCCGTTGACATCGACCTTGGACGTGCGCAGGACACGGCCACGATAGACGAGATCTTTGAGGTTCGTGGATCGCAGATGAGAGGACTTGATACCTAGGACGAACGAAATGGCATCCATTCTATTGTTGTCAGCGCAGGCGATGGTGAGGCCTGAAGGGCATATATCACATACGAATTAGACTTTCCAGACCCATTGGGTCCGATGATCGAGGTGAAGTATGCATCTCCGAAGAGTAAAGTATGGTGTCCTTTGTAAGATTTGAAGTCTGCGCGCAAAAGTTAGCAATATAACACGGGTGCTCGGTGGTCAAAGGACGTACTGAAAAGCTCCAACCGAATGAGTTTCCCCATATTGCGTCGTAACAGCTCCCTGAGGAAGCAAGACGAACAAAGGCAAGCAGACGGTGGGGGTTGAGTGGTGAATGGGTGAAAGATTGCGCTCGGAGGTGGGAGGGGCGCGATATGGGGAAACCGCGCGACACGCGCCGGGGCCCAATCAAATCACGTGGCGACACAACGGCCAGACCAATGGAAGTATAGCTATGAGGATATTAGGTATACTTGCTGCTATAAGTATACTGATTACGCCAGAGAGGTCTTCCTAGTATTAAAAGTCCGAATGCCGCTGTTGAATGGGATAAATTGGTGTTACAGGTTCTATATGTACAGGTGCTGCGGTCAGATCGAGGTTGTTTTCAAGCCTCTGAGCAAACCGCAGGACTGACTCTAAACGTAGGCCAGAAACTACGAAGATATGCCTTAGATGACATCAAATAGAAGCTGATGAAGCTTACTTTTTGCCAGTAAACCGGACGGGGTTACCAAGGGCGTACAAATCACTCGAAACGTAGCCATTGGAGTCCAGTCGAAAAGTGGCTTTCCGACCCTCAATCTGCATCAAGATGAAGTCTTCGCTCGTAAAGACCTGGCGAACAGAAAGGAACAGCCTCCACAGACCCCGACTCAACTTTTGGACGGGAGCCTTGAAAAAGCTAGGTGCTCCATCATCTGATCCGAGTTTCCTGCTCTCGCCTTCGAATCGCTTCGCGGCTTGCTCCGAGACGACCAGACGCTTAGAGATGGAGACTTGGGAAGGCAGCACCTCGATCTGATAGGGCTTGGTGAATGGCATCAGACGGCGAACCTCAAAGCGGATGTAGGTATGTCCTTGGGACTTGATAGCCGTGATTTTGCGGATCATATGGCTGGTCCGGGTAAAAAACAAGGTACCCATGACGCTCATCGTGACACAGATACCTCCGAACAAAGCTTGTTGCCACATCGGAAGAACTGTCAAGGGATCCCGGAAGACAGCATTGGAGTTATAGACTGCATAGGCGAAGCAAAATGCGGATAGGCCATAGGCGCTCAGGACGTAGCTGCGCTGTGAACGCGCATTGAAAAGCACCACATCACCCTGTCTTGCTACCTTCAATGCCAATTGTCCAATGTTTCCAGCTTTGATCGGTGAAGCTTGGATCGTATTCCGAACGCGGTGTGCTTGTCCGGCAGCCTGCGATGTTGGCTTCGTAGCTTGAGGGGCCTTGGATGCGAATGAACGCCATGAGAGGGCATGGACTGTCTGAAAGGAAGGTCTTAAAGGAGCTCCGGCACACCGGTGCCAGAATACACGAAAGGTGGGTGCTCTTGCGGACATGATTATCGCGCGATCTGTATCCACGGCAGGGTTAGCAAGTGCGCGAATAATGCCGACATGGCGTTGCAGCAAATCGGAAAAGACGGGCTCAATGAAGAGCAGGAGATCCCAATCCCAATACCATTGGCAAGGAAAAGAAAACAACAAGACTTACCCCAAAGCCAAAAACAAATCAGCGATTGTTCTCCTCGGAAAGCACCGCCAGAACGAAAAGCGCCCGCGGCGGCAGAAAAATGTTCCCGTCCCGTTCACCGGCCGCCCTCCCAACGCCCTCAACCATCAGACTCCCTCACACCTCATCCTCCAATTCACGCCAACCTCAAACTATTATACCTTGAATCTAGTGCGGATTGACGCGGTGGTGGGCTTTTGGTCGATTCTGTCCGTCTCTGCCGGAAAATCAGCTCCCTCAAAGCATTGCGACAGCCCCATAACGCACATCTCCGCCCTAGCATTCATATCCGCATCCGCATCCCCGACGGAACAACATATCACATACAAAATGGTCGCTCGAATCTCCGCCAGCCAGGTGCCGGCCATGTTCGCCCGCCGTCAGCCTAGAGTGCTTCAGACTGCTCGTCGTGAGTTTCCCTTCCCCGCCCAACACAAGCTCGAAAGCTCGAAAGTTCGCGGATGATAGCACCTCCGAACAATATCAAAGGCCCTCGACCCAACCAATTACCACTCCTCCAAGCCAATTCCACCTTCAACTCTACCCAAAGCTCCATTTCTAATCATTCCTCCAGGCCTCCAATCCTCCTCCGCCCCTCAGACCCAGAACCCCGCTTACCCGCTCTACCCCTCCGTCGCCCAACTCCTGCACGAGAAGAGCATCCCCGTCTCCGACGCCTCCAAGATCCCCGCCTCCGGACCCAAGGGCCGCCTGCTGAAGGGTGATGTCCTCGCCTACCTGGGCCAGATCGCAAACGACTACCCAGCATCGCAAGCCGCGACCCTCGCCAAGCTCCAAGTCCCTAGACCTGAGCAACATCAAGCTCGCCGCTCCAGCCCCCCAAGCCCGTCGCCGCCGAGCCCAAGCAAGAAGAAGTCGTCGCCGCGAAGCCCCCACCCATGGCCTCAGTCGCCATCACCATCTCCCTTGCCGCTGTCCTCTCCGCCCAGCGCAAGCTCCAGGACAGCTTGGGCGTGACGGTCCCTCTATCCCGCTTCCTAGCCATCGCTACCGACCTGGCAAACGACGACCTCCCCCGCGCGAAGAACTTCAAGCCCTCCGCCGACGAACTCTTCGATGAGATTCTCGGCTCCGAGCCCATCCTCTCATCACGCGGTGATTATATCCCCGAGCTGAACGCCTTCGAGGCGTACGAGGCCAGTCGCTCGGAGCCTGTCGTCGAGGATCTCATTGATATTCTCAGCGCCAAGCCGGGCAAGAAGGCCGCCTCTGCTATCGCCGAGCCTGCCTTTGAAGATGAGGCTGCTGGTGCCGCCAACGTTTTCAGTCTGACTGTCCCCGCTGGTGAGGAGGTTCGTGCTAGGGCTTTCCTTGAGCGCATTAAGGCTCTCCTTCAGGTTGAGCCTGCTAGGTTGGTCATTTAAAAATGAGTTTCTGCTTGGATCTCATGTTCTGTTTTTTATTCGATCTCTCTCCACCCACCCCAATTTGCGAGACGTCTTTTTTTGGTTGATTGCCCGGCCTGAGGGTTTGGGTCTAAGGCTTTTTGTATTTACTGTAGCATAGATAATTGATTCAGCCTTGGCTTGTTTAACATTCAATTGTGCAATTTGCAAGTATGCATTCAACATTCATCGTGCTGGTAAATGTAGTAAGACCCGTGGACTGGATAATTTGAACGGAAATGGGGTTGGTCCCCCGGGCAATCTCGGGACCTCCAAATTGGAACTTGAATATAAAGCTTGGCGGAGTAAGTGCTACGAGTACCTAGTTCAGGTCGGAATGAAGTTACGAATACTAGTACGAGTTTATGTCTCCAAGAAATTCTACATTTCAATAAGGGTTCATGATCAGTGCGATTCTATCGAGAATCATGTTTATTTCCCAGCGCGACCACGCTAGATGGATGGATACCTGAGACACGTTCAACCCCAGGAGAAAACAAAACAAAACGCAATGTCGCCAGACTGGAAAGCAGAAAGAGATGGGGAAAGAAATCATGTCGTCGTCATCAGAAGAACCCAGAACAAGCCAGCAATTGCAAATGAGAATTAAAAAAATGAGCCATCCATGCTGACACGAAACGCCCCGAATATCCGAATGCCGGCGACCCCGTTGAAAAACACCATGAGCGCCGCTGCTTGGACCCGTTGAAAGAAGTTTATAGTTGCGCCGGATCAAATGCCTCCAGGAGGCATATAGCAAAAAGCAAAGAAGAACAAAAAAAGGAGGATGGACTTGATAGAACCCAAAATCGAAGTCAAATGAGGAGGATTCGTAAGAGGCTTGCCGTTTGGAATATGATAGCAGCCGGCGGTCCGAAATATGATGCTGTAGATGCCAATGCGTGAAAAGTGTGAAGAGATCCCATGATAACCCATGCCATGAGAATAGCCTCCTTAGCCAAGACCAATGCCAGAGACCATGAAACGCCGAGTAGAATGCAGGTGCGTGAGAAGACGAAAATTGATGAACTTGCTTCGTTTGTATTTACCGTATCGTGCCGAACTCCGCCAGTTTGCTGCCAGAGCGCCGATTATCACGCGTGGCTCGCTTGTCGAAGATCTTCCAGAACCGGAGTGTTTCATCGCCAGCTCCTGTCACGACAGTTTGACCATCTGGACTCATGGCCAGGTACAGCACACGGAAGGTGTGGCCAGTCAAAGAGACAATCTGCTCCATGCGCGGGTACTTCCAGATGACAATTTGATTCTGACTGTATCCGTGGGTGCTGATGATCTCGTCTGAGTTCTTGCACCAGGAAAGGTTGCAGACTTGGCTACCAGTGTCGACTTCCTTGACCATGGTGCCGGTTTGTGTGTTCCAGAACTTGATGGTGCGGTCTGCAGTACCTCCGCCTGAAGCAAGCAAATGATGTTGATGAGGTGACCATGCAATGGCTTTCACGGCTGCGCAATGATCTGAGAACCGATAGAGGGGAGTTTCGTTCAACTTGTCCCACACCATTAGCTTATTGTCATTACCACCGGATGCCAATTGCCCATCTTCTGTGTTCCATTTCAAGCCGCAGACCTCTTGCTTGTGACCAGACAGTCGGCGGAGATATTGGTCTGGGGAACGAACATCGCGGTGATAAATGAGTCGATCTCTGGATCCTGAGGTGAGAATATGATCATTCCATGCCAAAGCACCGACACGGTTGGTGTGCCCGATCATGGTTCGAAGTCGTCTGCAATGCTCCGCATCCCAAATTTGGACCAGGCCTTTGCCAGTACCAATTGCAAGATGAGTGCCCTACAATTTATTAGCTCCGAGGCTCATTCTTGCTTTTCGTAGTATCAGACTCACCCGCTGAATCCAGCTCACACTAGTGACTGTGTCATCCTTCAATTCACACAGCTTGGTCACGCGGCCTGACTGGGAGTTCCACATATAGACCGAGTTGGCCAAACCAACGCCGAGAACATTGCTGCTGCCCCAGTCGACCAAATTGAGGTAGAAGTCGTCTTGTAGATCGGGAGCATCGAGGACCTTGTAAGGCACCTTGTTGACATAGCGGGGCTGCTTGCGCGGGGTTTCAAGAATCCTTTGGCTATCATATCGAATGGGAGATAGACTGTATAATTCTGATCGCGCATTCAAATTCGGAGCATGAGCGCTCCTGGGGGTTTTCGAGGGAGTCGGATGGCCCGAGCCTGGTCGAGTTGGACCATAGTTGAAGAGGTTCTTGTGTGGGGTAGATGGGGTGATGCTGGCAGGTGGAAGGTTGGAAATATGTGAAGGGGGAGTATGTGACCGGGTCTTGTCAATGATGCCATTTGTAAAGCCCATTAATGGGTCTGGCGAGCCCAATGAGAGTTCCGCTTGGGGAACAGTGTTTCCGAATAGTTCACTCCGCAAAACACGGGAGAAAGTCCGATTCGCTTCCTCCGCTGTATAATGCTGGTTAGTCGTCATATCTATCCAATGCCATGAAAAGGGACGAACTCTTTTGGAAATGAAGCTCCGAGTGGGGTGCACGTCGCTTGGATTTAGATGGTGTTGTAGGGCAGCCATCCTCGCCGAGCAGGTTGTATGTCGCCTGCAAATCCTGCCCGTCGCGATTTGGGATGAAACTAAATGCGGGTTAGTTTGAGTTGATGCCCACCTAGCGAGGTCTTTCAGGGAGCGCCTGCAAGCACCCTTCATTCGGAGCATTGGTAACATACCGATCTCCATATACCCGTTGCCGCTTTCGGCAAGGGCTAGTTCCCGGGGTTCTTTCTCTTTGACGGCCGGCCTGGTCATAATCCTTCAGCGCCTTGGCCAGCGCTGAGGCATCGATGGGTTCCGACCCCTCTGGCGCTTTGGATCGGTTGACATTGTTATCGGGGTACAGGATAGTCCTCTTTGTGGGCATACTCGGCGGAGTTTTCGATCCAGGCGGGGAAACAAAACTGGCGGCTTGCGATCGAGTATTGGCCCTGGTCGACCTTCCACTCTTTACGCCCGTCTCTGTGTCTTGAGATTGATCCCCCATGTTAGTTGCTGGTGCTCAGGCCCAGGAGCAGATTGTGCTAGTTTGACGGTTGGTATCGGAATTCTCATGCGAACAGATCCGGGAACGATGATATGAGAGAAGCAGATTGGTGCTTGCGTGGGAATGTCGGGGGTATTTGAAGGCAGGTAGGTGATGTGTTGACGGTAAGAGAGAGAGGGATGTGTTTGTGGCGCTTCGACAGTGGTGACCTACGGCTTTGACCGGACCCGTCCTAGCCAAGAGGGCGGACACCACAGTGAATCAGCGGGACAAAGAGAATGGCATTCAAAGGAATGGTAGACAAAGGGCAGTGTTGAAGGGAGGCTATTCCGACCTCAAGCTGGCCTGGCCCTTCCCTTCCAAGGGTTCCCTTGAAGTCACGCGTCGGTTACGCTATACCCGATTGGGATGCCCCTAGGGGCAGTCACTGTGGAAACGCTCACACCTTACACATTTATGTATTCTATAGTTACTGTATGCTGGATATAGATACTCTACCCATAGTTACAAAGTCCTTCATGTGTTAGACATGATGTTTTACTAAATATCTGTGATCTTTGTGTCTTCTTTCACTAACATCAGTCACACTGAATCACGTCTTTGTTATGATTCCGCGCCACCATCACCTGTCTCAGTGTTTATGCACAGGGACGCGACCAGCTCATGCGAGGTCCAACCAAAGCCACTGCGAACACCTGGTGGGGGGGAGTCATTTAACCCTGTTCAGACGTGGGACTCCAGTGCGACCGTACACCAGGACGCGACTCAGCGCGTCGCGTGGGAGTGTGCCGAGCTCGGGCCAGCCATAGCCAGTCATAGCCAGGGCCATAGCAACCACACTGCCAATCATTTCAGCCCGGAGAATTTGCACCAGTCCAGTTCCCCCGCTTTGAGATCGGGTCCTCTACGGAGTAGTCTTCAGGTTGAATTAGATTGATCTAGTCGATAAATCTCCACTTTGTGCTTATCTTCTAGCACTGTCGCCACGTTCCGTCCAATTTACAGCATGACTGAAAATACCCTGCTAGTGTAATAGGTGTGTTAACTACTAGTAGATTCAATATTATATCCAACTTGAAGGGTATACTACTAGTAGTACTAAGTTGAAGAACCTTGGAAACTCCGACCTCAGCGTCAACTTGAAGTTGAATTCCCATTACCTAGTACCTAGTACTACTATTAGTACTAACTAGTATTACTGTACGTACTATATCACACTCGTGACCCCATGCCGATTTTGACATGACGAAGTTGAATTTGTCCAAAGGTTCACAATCTTTAGAATCCATTATATATCTCAACTTGTTCTAAGGGTACTACTAGTAATATTAGGAACGAATTGTTACTGGTATGTCTTTATAATTAGTTACTTCGTCTATCCGACAAGACGAGTCTCATTCGAAAAATAGAATTTCGACCTAATTACCCCAGTATGAAAATCATATTATAAAATAAACTCCAAGTTGAACAAAGGCATTGTTGCAAACCATAAAAAATGCCAAGCATTCCACCAACAGATCGGCGGGTCAGACCGATATGGCTCTTGCTTGGGACTGCTCTGGTAATGCGGAGAGTCACCGCCCAAGAGCATCTCCGCCCGAAGACTCTCAAGACACGCTTGAATTGCGATGCCCCTCAAACCCTCCTCCAGTCTAGGCAGAATCTGCACATCACGCGTCTACTCCACCATGGTCTCCAAGCAGCCCGCCAGGGATTTCCTGGACTTTGTCAACGCATCCCCTACACGTATGCACTCCTATCGACTTCAAACTCGCAAAGCACTGGCATGCAAACCTGACCAAATTTAGCCTTCCACGCGGTCAAATCCGCCAAGGACCTTCTGGCCCAAGCCGGGTTCCAGGAAATCAAGGTACCTACTCCATCATTCCACAGGGAAGCTCGGGCTCCCCGCAATCTTAAACTTCAAGCTGATCCTCATCGTCTCCACAGGAAAAAGACTCTTGGGCCAAGACATGCCAGCCCGGAGGCAAGTATTATCTTACTCGCAACACCACCACTCTTGTTGCTTTCGCAATTGGACAGCAATGGAAGGTTTGTATACACCCTCAATGACCCCTGGAACATATTCCGACTGACATACAATAGCCCGGCAACTCCATTTCCATGATCGGTGCTCACACTGACTCCCCCGTCCTGCGGGTCAAGCCCGTCAGCAATAAGCGGGGCGAGGGCTTCGTCCAGGTCGGTGTTGAGTGCTATGGTGGTGGTATCTGGCACACCTGTAAGTCCCAACCCAGTTGTGGCCTCGCGACCATCGCTAATGTGAAAATTCTAGGGTTTGACCGTGACCTCGGTGTGGCCGGCCGGGTGATGACCCGTGCTAAGGACGGTTCGATCGTGCAGAAGCTGGTCAAGGTTGACCGTCCCAGTAAGTATCGCGCTGGCCGCTACTTCTTGAATATCAAACTGACCCTCTAGTTCTGCGCATTCCAACTTTGGCCATCCACCTGGACCGCCAGGAGAATTTCTCCTTCAACAAGGAGACTCAATTGTTCCCCATCGCCGGCCTAGTTGCCGCTGAGCTGAACAGAACCCCCGACTCCACACCCAATGGCAAGTCAAATGAAAACGAAGACGACGACTACACCCCTCTGAAGTCCATGACTGAGCGTCACCACCCCTACTTCGTCGACTTGATCGCCGAGGAAGCTGGTGTCAAGGCCGAGGATATCCTGGACTTTGAGATGATTCTTTTCGATACCCAGAAGTCCTGCCTCGGTGGTCTGCTCGAGGAGTTCATCTTCTCACCCCGTTTGGACAACCTTAACAGCACATACTGCGCCACCGTCAGTTTGATTGATTCCGTTACCGACTCCTCTGCGCTGGCCGACGAGTCCGCCATTCGTCTGATCGCCCTCTTCGACCACGAGGAGATCGGCAGCCGTACTGCGCAGGGTGCTGACTCGAACATTCTCCCATCCATCATCCGCCGTCTGTCTGTTCTCCCATCTTCATCATCATCGGATGTAGACCTCGCCACCGCCTACGAACAGACTCTTTCCACCTCATTCCTTGTTTCTGCTGACATGGCCCACTCGGTTAACCCCAACTATGCCGCCAAGTACGAGGCCGACCATAAGCCCGAAATGAACAAGGGTCCCGTCATCAAGATCAACGCCAACGCTCGCTATGCCACCAACTCTCCTGGTATTGTTCTACTGCAAGAGATTGCTCGCAAACACGCCCAGAAGATTGGCGAGCACATCCCTCTGCAGCTGTTTGTCGTTCGCAACGACTCTAGCTGCGGTAGCACCATCGGTCCTATGCTGTCTGCAGCCCTCGGTGCCCGTACACTGGATCTTGGTAACCCCCAGCTGAGTATGCACAGTTGCCGTGAGACCGGTGGTACCTACGATGTCGCGCACGCGATTCGCCTGTTCACTGGATTCTTCGAGCACTACTCGGAGCTGTCTAAGAACATTCTCGTCGATTAAATTATATACACCTAGGGAGGAATAACGTATTTCAAACAAATCGAAATCGATAGAATGAATGCACATTGGAATATACCTGAAATAGCTATGAACAGTCATGACCAAATTGTAGATAGTTGGCTACCCCAGAATGTATAGATCCAGCCTCGAGCACGTGTTCGGCCCGACATCATTCCGCTTCCTCAACTCCACCCGCAGCTTATCGCTAACTATCATCATCCCCGACCAAGCTGGACCATTGCCGGGTGTCCACGCTCCCATGACCCTCTATGACCGACGTCGATGCCTTTCGAGATGCGGAGTACATCGCTGACGTGTCCGGTATCTCCCTCGAGGGTGACGACTCGGGGGCGCCAGGACCACTGCCAGTCAGCGGCCAGAAGAGCCGCGTGAAGAAGCTCCAGTCCGCAGCGAAACTCGCTTTCATCGACCGGCTCCTTCGAGACCTCGATATTCTCATATACTGTCAATTATCCGCCTTATATTACATGGAGTGAGTGATCCGCCTGCCACATCGGCGTTTTCAACCTCGTCCTTCACCCCCTCCCCCCTTTGACTCCGCACTCAACCCCATCTTATGATCTGGGGTAAAGTTGTTCTCTAAAACCAAAACCAAAACTAACCCCCCCCACCCCCTATTTAGTTGCTCTTTAATTCTATTTGTGCTACGTGCCATAGTCGAACTTATCCTCTTCTCGCCAAAAGCCCCACCCTTCGATCCAACGCGCAACCACCCCTTCGTCGGCGCAATAATCGCAAGCAACCTCTTCTGCATGATCTTCCACGCCCTCGTCATCAATCCCCAAGCCGGCGAAGAAACACGCGGCTATCTCCACGGCGGTCTATTCATCGACTTCATCGGCCAAGCCCCCGTCCCAGTCCTACGACTCCTCTCCTTCGACATACTAATCTTCCTCATCGACTTTATCATGCTGGCCCTGATAATCGAGCGAGTGAAGACGGCAGGACCAACCAACACACCCACAACGAACACAGAACAAACCACTACAAATCCAGACTCCAATGCCACCCAACCTACGACCCAAGACCACGATGCGGAGGAGCGGGGCATGATGCGGGGAACAGACGATACTGAGACGGAGACGGAGGAACCGGAATCGGAATCAAATACACCAAGCCCACCGCCCGTCACGGAAATAGACGACGATGTAAATGATGAACGAACAACACTCCTCGCAGAACCAGGCGAAAGCGACGCGGCGTATACGCGCGACGGCCACCCTCTCGATACCTTCTCCGCAGGACAGGCCGTGATTGTGGACATGGGTCTTTGGGGCACAATACGAGATCAATGGAGTCATTCGGTGACTATGGAGCGCTCGTCAGCGGGATACGTTCCATCACCGGAGGCTGCGACGTTTTTGCGGCAACGGTTTGGTCTGCAGGTTGGGACTGATGGACGATTTGCGCGAGTGGACCGATCGTAGGATAGATTCGGTGATATCTACCCATCCATATCATTACCCTACCAATGCTGTGATTTCCAGATACCTTGTATTTTAGCTATACTATATAAATCTCATCTAGTGATGATAATTGCTGGTATTCCAAGAGGTGCCTTCGGCAAGGCCTAAACGTACCGGTAATGGAGATGAGATCCTGAATGCATATCTAGTCATAACAATGGATATAATACAACTCACACACTTATCTCAACCATTCCAGCAACAATACTCAAACTACACGGAAGCTCCCAAGCCCCGTTCAAGTTGAACCCATTACTTCTTCTTCTCCCCCTCTCCCTCTCCCTCTCCCACCCCATCAACCTTAACCCTCCGATCAAGAATCTCATCCACAATCCCACGCTCCAACGCCTCAGGCGCCCCCATAAAATAATCCCTCTCCATAAGCTTCTCAATCTCATCCAAACTAAGCTTATTCTTCCCGGTAAGATGACGCTGATAAATCTGATTAAGCTGTTCGCGCACGCGCAGGATTTCCTTCGCATGGATCGCGATGTCGGTCGCTTGTCCGAAATACCCACCGGAGGGTTGGTGAATCATTATCGAGCTGTGTGGGAGACAGTATCTTTTTCCCGGGTGGCCGCCGCAGAGGAGGAGAGAGCCCATTGAGGCGGCTTGACCGACGCAGATTGTGCTTACTGGTGAGGCGATATAGGTCATTGTGTCGTAGATTGCGAGGCCTGTGGTGGTGCGAGGTTGGTTAGCTGGTGAGCTGGATATTGGGATTGGTTCGGATGGAAGGGTGGTCAAGGTAGGGAGGGGAGGGAAGAGGGCTGGTTACTGACCTGCTGTTACGGAACCACCGGGTGAGTTGATGTATAGATGGATGGGTTTCTGGGGGTTATCGGCTTCCAGGAAGAGGAGTTGGGCGACGATGGAGGCGGACATGGATTCGTCGACTTCGCCGTTCAAACAGATGATACGTTCCTAGTTTTGTTAGTCGCCTGTGTACCCTGAGTGTGTATGATGTATGTTTCTCATACCTTGAGCAGCCTGGAAAAGATGTCGTCTGTGTATAGTGAAGCGGTTAGTCGCGCGACCTTGGGACCTTGGATGTTCAATGCGCATTGCGGGACATACATGTGTGCCAGCCACCTCCCTGTTCATGAAGTTAGTGAAGTTATTATGCGAGTGGGTGGCAATCCAAGGAATAAACATACAACAGTCTCAGTCACGAATGGAGTCGGTGTCCAGCCCCGCGGAGGTGTGCGGTCGAAGGAGGGAGCGGAGATTGAAAAGCATCGCGAGGCAACGGCGGGTCGGAGGGATGGAATCGAGGCGCGGGGAATGGAGCGTGCCAGACGCTGAAATGAAGATAATGGGCGCATGGTCGGGAGCGCAGAAGCAGGGGTATTAAGGGTAGGTGGTGCGTTTGTGGTTGGCGTTGGAGCTGGAGTTGGAGATGGAGATGCGAAGGCAGGGAAGGCGAGGCAGCTCGGAGGGCGGTGCGGAGCTGCGATAAGATAGCGGGGACCCTAACCCTATTAAGGTACCTTAAGGTATAGGAGCTGACCTAGGAACTATATTAGTACCGGGGCACTTCTTGAGCAGTCTGTTTAGACTCCCTAGTACAGAATTCCTCTATTCTTTCTTCATTCGCTTGTAAGCCCCCTATTGCATATTAAAACAAGAAGAAAACCCACGATTCTACTACTTTTGCTCTGCTCAGAATGCCTCAGCGCCAGCGCCAGCGCCTCACGTCGTACGTCATCTCCCAGGTCGCTCCTGCCGATTGTTCAACACGTTATGAATACAAGCAGTTTGCTCTTTCCCCGCGGTCTTTTGTTGCCCTTTCCAAATAGACAGCAAATGCAAACATTACAAACATTACTAGTACTATTGCTAGTAATAAATAAGACACACCCCCTCCCTTTCGTAGCTCTCTCAACTTTCTCTTCTCCACCCTACTCTACCCCGCGGTTTATAATAATACTATGGTGTTATTTTCTAATTATTGCCAATTTGCAACAAAGGTCGTGCTTATCGGGGCATGGGCCGTGAAGATCTCATTTGCATGATGACTTTATTTATTCCAGTTATCGATCATCGCAATACTGTCAATCAATTCGGCCTAGGTATGTAAACCGCGGGCCTATTCAACACTGCACTGGAAGCTGACTAGAACAAAAAGCCTCGAACCAAGAAACGAACACGGTCTTAAGAGCCCGAAATACAGTGAATGGAGGATCGAAACTTACTTCTCTCGCTCTAGCAAAGCACCCGCAGGCAATGGAGCCGTCCTTATTTTGAAGTATCCTGATCCTGATATACCCCATCTCAAAGTCCGAGAGCCAAGTACTGACGAAATTTAAAATCTAGGAAATCAGAAGAACTTTCCCAAAGGCTAATGGGAACGTTCAGATTACCTCTGTCTAACAAGTTCTTGATGGGAACCTTTGCTTTCGTCGTGTCGGAATTTCAGGAAAAAGGATATATACAAGAAAAATTTCGAATATCCTGAGAGGCTGATGAGCAAGCGCGCTGTGGGTGATATCACCCCGGAGATGCGTGAGAAAATCCTCACCGTGGATGGATTATTGCTAAGATCCAGGCCCATGTTGACGTACGTTTTGAAACCGATCACCAGAGATATGCGGTATGCTAACTCAAGTCCCAGAAACATGGAGCAATCGAACAGTTCTTCGCTTGGAGCATCTCTGGAAAGGATTACGACTGCCTCGCATCGCCCGGTACATATTCATTCGAGCCGGCAGATAGGGAATTCTGACGAACTACAACGGAACTATCTTCGTGCGCCAGGTCGGAAACGGAAACGGCGACTGGGTATTGAATTACTCGCCTGTCATCATGTGGAACAATCTCTGTGACTTTTGAGGGGCAAAGGACGTGGAAAGCTTCTAGAAAATTGCCAAAAACCGGGCGAACTTGACAATCAATGACTTCTAAGTTGGGCGCCAGAACCGCTTTTTTTTCCAACCATGTCGGCCCAGAGTGAGCGTTGTGGGGGGTGTTTGCAGTCCATATGCCAGCAGTGAGCCCTATCTGCGAAGTATTTTAGTCCTGGCCTACGTGAAAAACCAATTCTCTTTCTTTCCGAGTCTTAGGATACTATCTCATGCCCGTGACTGGAGAAAAACATGCAGGGGGGCGGTAGGTACAGCAGCAACCCATTCTCTCCGTAGAGGTAATTCCGCTTCGATGCTAGCACCCAAAGGAGAAATGCCATATGGCTTGATGTAATAAGCCTTTAGTATCTGGGTAACTGATAGAAAGAGCTCCAGGTATGCAAAGCTGGGTTGTACATCTTTTGTCAGCCTGAAATTCAATTTCTTGTAACGGGGATATAAGGATATAGTTCTCACTGGACTCCGACGCATGTGCTAGGGCCCTTTGAAAAAGGCATGTAATATTCATTTCTCCGAGAAGTCGCGTTATGTTCTTCATTTGACAGCCAGCGACTTGGCCGATATTTGTGTGGTTCAGGAAAGGCGGTTTCGTCGTGTAGATACCAGATTGGCGAGCTAGAGATCATGACCTGTCGTAAGTCAGCTCGGAGGCCTAGATTTAGTTCTTCTTTGAAAAGTCTTACTCCTTCTACTATGTGTTTCCCATCCAGTAGAGAGCCTCCCTTTGGAACAATCCTAGGTAGCATGGCAGCGGCGGCTCCAGTCCATCTGACTCCCTCTCTGACACACGCAACCAACAGGGGAAGAGACTCGAGTGCCGCCATATCTGTCGGCCACTTGGCTATTTCTAACTCCGAAATAAGCCCATCTTGTAGATCTTTACTGAGGGAAAGAGCCCAAAGTATATGGGCAAGCGTAGCAGAAGTGGTATCCGTTCCAGGACCCAGCATCTCTTTGGCCTCAGACAAGGCAGACTGTGTCGAAAGCCTCGACCCGGCCATTGCTGCGAGAAATGAAATCCCTGTCCCCTTCTCAAAGTCCAGCGATCCTTTTAACTGATTTTCTGCCCACTGGACGACGTCTCAACAACCGGGAGTTTACAGTAGGTATTAGTGGCAAGATAAATAGACTTACCTCTTCAAACCATCTGTTCGTTGCAACCAAAGATATGTCGATTCCGATAAGATCAAAAATTTTGTCAGATAAGAAATAGTATAAATGAGTTGTAAAAGGAAATTTGGTATACTAGAATTGGAAAGATGTGATGGAAAAATTAGCATTACTCTTATCACATTATCAGTTGGTACGCCTACAAGCGGCATCTTTGACGACTTCAAGTCATTCTCCTTGATAATATTCAATTCTGTTCCTGCTTTCAATGAATCTATTGCTCCGATGGCGCTTCCAAATGCGAATCTCGCTTGGAGTTTCCAGATCAGCTAACCATGATAACTCAAGAAAATTGAATTACTCACACACAATATCAGCCTCAAGAGCCCGACAGGTAGGTACAAGGTCGATGGGCCCTTCATGAATTATACCTGCGAGCAGATTCTTGAAATTGGAGATCTGATCTAGCATCATCGGAATCAAAGCTGGAACTCGACTGCGGTTGAAAAGCACACCCATATGTCTACGCCTCTGTGCATGCTCTTTGGGATCGCTATAATGATAGAGTCAGAATTCACTGTATAATAAACCATATTTTGATACCCACGTAATCGAGAACAGCGCTGGATGCCCATCTTGCACGAATTGGCCATAGACTCGACTGTCCTTGGCAAATGCACTACCTGGTGCGTGGACTTTCTTATAGATATCTAGAGAGTAGAACGATAATTCATTCGGACCGATTCGCACCAAGGGTCCTGCATTGAATTTAAATTTAATATCATGATCATGATGTCCCAATGTTTGCATCATATTTACCGAGCTTCTTGTGCAGTTTCGGGAGTTCCAATGTCAGCCTCCCACGGTATTCTAGCGGGAACTCCCATAGAAACCGTGAAATTGGAGCCAGCAGACCGGCATTAGGTATATGAGACAGAGGCGAAAAAATGTATTCATAAATGCACTATTTTTTCAGCAAGGGCTATGACAGGCAAATATCAGTTTTTCTCACCTTAATGAATACCGAGCTGGCAATAAGGAGTGTACTCCAGACCCAAATTGCCAACATTTTGTGATAATTAACACAGTGAAAGATCGGGTTGAATTCCCTATTTTAAATGTTTCCAGAGGCTTCCCATCGCTTGTACCTACCTAATGATATTTAATCTCATAATCTTGGCCGGAGAGAAGTTCGTTTAGCAATCAGCTAATTTTTGCCATAATAACGCAACCCCGTCGGGAAGTGGCATAATACTTCACCACACAAGCGAAACCTTCGCAGACACTAAACCACAAACCAGGATTTCAGAGCGGAAGTTACCTTAGATTGGTATAGTAAGACGTTGCACCATCTGGGCGCTTATTTCGTCACGGTAATTTTTGACTCTTTTCTCTTTCTTGGGGTGTCCGCGGGACCCGTGGATGGACTGTGGTACTCCCTCTGGAGGCGGTCGAATTGCTTATTAGCTCAACTATTTTCCCAGGGCCAGTTTCGTTTATTTATAATTCTGTCTTGGATTCGGTTGGATATCTGTTGGTCGGCCATGGCGGATGTCAAAGAACCTGAAGTATCTTCCTCTTTGGAGGATAATAATAACGACGAGTCTACTTTGGTGAGGAAGTTCAAATCAACTGATCTTTGTGAATGATCTAACCAGTCTACCCAACTACTTGCAGGAGCGCCTAGGGTATAAACAAGTTCGTTGAAAACCCGCATCTCAAAACGACTTCGCGGTGAACTCAGTCCTAACGACTAGGCTGGTCTAGGTTCTTCATCGTAGCTATTCCTTATTTGAGAATTTTTCGACCTCATTTGGTATGAGGGCTTTACTTTTGATCTATATTTTTCACGTCACTAACAATACTGCCAGCTGCTCTATATTTTGTTGGAGGGGTGCGAGTGACCTTTTCCACGGGGATTGCAGCGGGGGGGACCTCTCGCCTACTGGTAATTTTCGACAACCCTGCTCAAGATACAATCAATTTACAATAAATCTTATAACTCTATAGGACAAGTTATATTGTGACATGTGTATTCACGTTCATCACAGCTGCCGTCATTGCCGAAGCATGCTCGGCTTCCCCAACCTCCGGTTCAATTTATCTCTGGGCCGCAGAAGCTGGCGGTAAAAGATTCGGACGCTTTTTTGGCTTCGTTGTTGCTTGGTGGAGTACAACAGCCTGGACAACCTTCTGTGCTAGTATGTTATCAAAATTTCTAAATCATGAAGTTTGCCGATTCACATCCCATCATAGGCAACACTCAATCGGCTGTGAACTATATGCTCTCGGTAACTCCCCTGAAAATCAAACAGTGAGCCTTTTCTAACCAGAAATAGGAACTAAGTGTCTTCAATGTTGATTTCCCGACCGACTCATCCAGCGTCAAGTTTCGCGCAGTCCAATGGATATGTACCGAGGTGCTCCTTGCTTTGGCGGCATTAATGAACCTTGCCTCCCGTACGCTCCCAGTCAAAGTCATACATCTCAAGGAACAGCTACTAACTAAAACAATACTAGCGCGAGTCTTTAAGTACATATTCTGGTTCTCTACCGGTGCCGTTTTTCTGGATTTTATTCTGAATGTCATATGGCTTCCTGTTGGGGCGCATAACACTTACGGCCTGAGAACCGCACAGGAAGCTTTCATGACAACCTATAACGGAACCGGAGCACCGGCTGGTTGGAACTGGTGCCTTTCATATCTTGCAACGGCAGGTATTTTGATTGGATTCGATGCCTCCGGTCACGTTGCAGAGGAAACTAAAAATGCGTCCGTTAATGCGGCGAAGGGTATTTTTTGGAGTACGGTAGTTAGCGGTGTACTTGGATTTAGTGCAGTAATACTGTTCTTGTTTACTTCTGTGAGTCTGAGGCAATGGAGTTGCTAGCTGCCTATTATGACCGCTAATCCACAATCTAGCCCCCGATCGACGTGCTCTTTTCCTACGATGCGCCCCAGCCTTTTGTCCCCCTGTATGCCGCGGTTCTCGGTCGCGGGGGACATATTGTTATGAATGTCCTTTCGGTCGTCGCACTGTGGCTTGTGAGAAACTACCAACTGTTGCTAATAAGAGTTCCCGTTATATGAATGCTAATGATGAGGTAGAATACGGCGATCGCAGTCACTGCCGCCTCTCGACTGGTTTTCGCCGTTGCCCGTGACGGCGTTCTCCTGCATCTGGATGGGTATCTCGAGTGTCAGCAGAAGGCCAACCTAGAAACGCCGTTCTTGTCGTCTGGGGTGTCGCTGCTGTCATCACTTGTACCATTTTGCCTTCTGCCGTCGCGTTCACCTCTTTGGTGTCGGCAGCAGGTGTTCCATCTGCCGCAGCTTACGGGCTGATCAGCCTGGGCCGATTATTTTTGACTCCAAATGAGCCACTTGATGCAAAATGGTCACTTGGGCGATTGAGTAAGCCTTTCCAAGTCATTTCTGTTCTTTGGAATGGCTGGGTGGTTGCTGTTCTCTTCTCGCCGTACTCATTTCCTGTGGAGGCGTCTACTTTGAACTGTAAGGATTTTTCTAAAACTCGGAAATATGTTGGAGGTGCTAACACTGGGGTTCAGATGCGCCCATAATTTTGGGAATTGTGACAATCTTCGCAATTGTGTCATGGTTTGCCACACCTGCCGACGCGTGGGTTCCAAAGGGACGCCTGGTGAACTCTGCGGATACAGATCACGCCGAATAGGTGCTACGCAAGGTAAAATCGAAGAGCGTACTCTAGATCAGCTTATCGCGTGAGAAAGGTTGGAAAGAGATGAGAAGGAATAAGTCCGCATGCTTATCCGCGGTGATATGTTATGTGCAGCATATCGGGTTCTGTTAGGCCAATTGTAGCCGGATGGTTCTTATTTCCTAGAACCTCAATGATGAAACACGCAACAACAGATTCAAATTTAATGCCCAGGCTATGCCCGAGACGTATATTCCGCGCCTGTTCAAGTTGAGATACACCGGAAATGGCTACCTTAAGGAGGATCTTTTTGCCGAGCTGATATTCAGATCCAGTAACTGTCATAATAATTCAACAGATAGACCCGGAAAGCTTATACCAAATGGAGGATTTGGAACAAAAAAAATGTCATGATGACGAAAATGACATTAATATTACATTAAATATAACAGGGCTTTCTAGAACTATGTAACACTATCTTCCGTTCAACCTTATTAATCGCCGGACGTATTTTGAGTCCATTTCCACCTCGGAGAATTTATCTCTTCGCTGCTATCTTTAAACAGGTTAGTGAATCACGTTAGAAAGGAGCCCCGCTCATGAAATGAAAATCTCTGGAGCAAGCTCGGACGCGATAAAAACGGGCCTTAATCCACTTCCAAATTCACCCATATTTGAAATTGACAGCAGAATGATGTTTGGGCTCCATGCGGCTGCGAATTTGCTAGGCTTTCTGCCACACTTGTATGCCACGGTACTAGCAGAACCCGGACAGAAACAATTCCCTGAAATTAGCAAACGATCTGTTGTCTGTCTTAAGGTCGGTAATACTGCGGTGGCAACTTGGACAAACAGTGCCGGTCAGACATGCTCGTTTACTGGGCTGGTTGGCAGCAACTACGGCATAAACACTGTCAATGAGGGAGAGTATGTATTCCCTTCCTGTCCCGAACGGAGCAAGGTTGCATTGAGAGCGCACAATTGAAGCGCTAAAAGCAGTTTGAATTAAAGTAGCTAACAATAATTTTACTGACAGCTACTCTTGCAATGGCCGCTGCGGTGCAGGATGCAGCGGGGCTGCAGTGGGAAATGCATATACACAGGACTGCTTTTCGCATGACATCTGCTCCTACTTTGAGAATGCTAGTGGGGCATCACAGTGAGAACGGATCTACCCACAAATCATATGTCCAGCGTTATGAATGATTGCTGATTGCCTAACTCTTTCGAAGGGATCCTAACTGTGGTGCAGCCTACGATGCTGCCATAGACGATACGTTGTTTGGGGTTACATCTGGTTGCTCTCAGGAAAATCCAACCGAACAGATAAAGAAACCTGCTACGAGCCCTATTTGTCAGTAGGGATGAGCGTGTATTGATTACTAGTGATTTGGCGGCCTTTGAACATACTATTCAACTTTATAGAGCAGAAGTAGTTTCAAGCTTTGACTTGAAAAGCTGATAATCCCTCTTCGCTGATTACATCATAGCGCTGTCTCTAATTCCATACATTTGGACACACTCCGTCACATCTCACCAAGGAACATTCTCTAGTCAATCGCCATTCAGAGCACTCCTATTATCTTGGAAACCAGGGCCGCCAGGGTTAAATAGTCGCGGTCTTCATACGAACTGGCCACACAATAGCCTAGATCGTCTTCCCAGATTCATCATCAGGTTCAAACTCGGCCTTCCTATTTCGATTCAGTTGATTCTATGCAATAGTTCAAATATCAGCAGGGGTAAAACAAAAAAAGGTTGGTCGATCCGAGTTCCCCGCAAATGGGACCCGCTGATTGGTGGGCCTCGGAAGAGAAAACACCTTGCCGCGACACTCAGCGTTCTTCTTCCTCAGCATCACCATTGCCATTCCCATCATGATGGAGTGCGCCAGTCACAGGCTTTCGCATGCGACATTGCGCCTTCGTGTATTCCGCCAGTTATATATCTCAAATACAGGACCACGATTTCTCAACCGTTCCATCTCAACTTCATCCGCGCAGCTCAGTCAAGCTCATCATGAAGCTCCATCCCCGACTCCACCATCACCCAGCAGCTCAACCAAAGACTATATCCCTCCCTCAAAACGCCTACCGCAATCTCCTGTGATCACACACCCCCGCTCCGGATTCAAGAAAATCCACAAACCGCGTCCAAAACCCGAGGATAATGCCGAACTCAAGAAAAACCCATGGGCCGCCGCGCTTGCGTCGCCGGTGCGCTTCTGCGTCACGACTGGAACACGATTACCACGTCGTCTGATGGGTGTTTATGGACTGATAAAACGACCCAATACGAATCATAATTATCTGTTACCGTTGGATCTGCTCAAGGACTCGATTCAAAATCGGTCGGCCAAGAGTGAGGGCGAGTCTTTGACGTCGGAATCCAAAACCAATGCAGATGCAAACGTGGCGTCTGGCGGGGATGTTTCTCCCTCGATATCTCGTGGCAGTACCTTCAACCATTCGCTTCACATGGTTACTCTCCGCCCTCTTATTCAGGCAGCGACGCCTCATCTCGCATCCAGGATGGGGAAGAGGGCTGGCGTAGCGAAGTTGATTCCATACCGGTGGAAAATCCCAATCGGTCCCCTCGGTGCCAATGATTTGAGAGATTGTGTGTGGAGAGACGATATGCCGGATTACCTACTGCGACTGATGAGGGAGGATATTGTTAAGAGGCTTGTGAATTTTAGTGAGAGACTTGAAGAGGACAGGGACATCGTCTGGGAAGCTTTGGATATAGACGAATATTCGGATTCCGCTCTCGAGACTGCACTTGGTAACACGGAGCCTCTGGAATATGAGGCATGTGGTGCAGTCCTTCTTTTTGCTCCGAAACCTCAGCATGAGGCTGAGTCGGGCTCTGCCTCGAAGACTGTCGTTCATCCTCGAACTCAATCTACCATCCCCGTCTTTGATCTGTCGGTACTTCTGTCCGAGAATGTGCTCGAGACTTTACGCACAAGTTCATGTGCGCATTTGGAAAGCGAGGCTCTGTTTTTCAGACCCAACGGTGGCCGTGAGGACAATAGTTTGATGCTGTATTTGTGGAAATTGCAGCGCTACCTCGCTGAGAATTCCTAATCAATATCTTGGAATGGCCAGGATTTTAATTTGTATAACATAATATCAACCTCCAGGTCCCAATCAATGATGTTCTCATTCTCAAACTTGATTAGTGTCGGTGTGCCATTTATGCGATGGGCCAGGCTGTGACCAGTTCTATTGGTTCATCAACCACCCTTTGGGCCCCAGACTGGCCCCGCAGTTTGGAATCATTCAGTGCTGCATTGAACTATATTTGAATACTCCTTCGGCTCCACAGGCTGGAATCATTTAGCGCCTTTCTATAGAAAGTGAGACCATCCATTGTCCGTGGCTGAAACGACTGGACAATCCGTCAAGTTTCCAAGACTGTCAGCCTGTCCTCAGCGCAGCCATAAAAGGGAGACGCCAACCTCCTCCTTTCGCTCTTGATTATCACCGTTTTATTTTCAGCCTCGAAACAAATAATATCATTCAAGTTAATCCAGCATCACTACATTCCTTCAAGACCGCCATGTCCTCCTTATACTTCCAAACCACGCCTGCCATCTCCATTCACGCTCAGCTTACCCTCCCGACGCAGTCGAATAGCCAAAAGCCTTTAATTGTCTTCCTTCACTACTGGGGTGGCAGCTCTTCAACATGGCACAAGTTCACCACGCCTGATACGCAAACCTCACTGACGGCACTATACCCGACACTGGCCATCGATCTCCGAGGCTGGGGCAAATCGACATCGACCGGACCAGCGGGCGTTCACGAAAATGAGTATTCTATCACAGCGATGGCAAGCGATATTGCCACTATACTGTCTCAAATGAAGGCAGAATCCAATCATGAAAACCCTTTCCAACATGGCTTCGTCCTAGTGGGCCACTCAATGGGCGCGAAGATCACAATCGCCTCCTTGTCTCTTTTATCCCAGGATCTACAGGCTCTTTTGAGAGGTCTCATTCTTGTTACACCTGCGCCGCCTACAGCCTTAGATCTCCCTGCCGATATGAAGGCCCAGCAACAGGTTGCATATGAATCTGAAGAGGCTATTCGGTGGACTATTGCAAATGTTCTGGCGAATCCTGACATTCTGACCGATTCCGATACTTCGCTTATAGTCCAGAGTAGTCTGGGCGGTAACTCATTGGCGAAGAAAGCTTGGCCGATGTATGGGATGCAAGAGGATGTTTCTCGGCAAGCGGCGCAGGCTTTGGGTGCTTACCATGATCTCAGGGCGAGTATAATAGTGGGAGAACTTGACGTTGTCGAGCCAAAGGAGCGAGTCGAGGCTGAAGTTGTCAATTTTCTTACCAGGAATAAAGTGGAGGTGACTTTCAAGACAGTCAAAGGTGTGAAGCATTTGATTCCTCTCGAGAATCCGGTCTCCATCCACGAGGAAGTGTGCAAGTTCTGAGAAATGCGGAGAAAAGGTGTATTTGTCACTTGTCTGTGTATCAAAGGCATATAACCACGAAGCAACTAAGCCTCTATAAAACGTCCATCTATCATCACATCATCTATATGAAATGCAACCATAATCCCTCACAGATCCGATCCCAGCAGATCCGAGAGTTTATCCAAGTAAGCATGCGGACGCACAGGTCCAGAAACAAAGTCCTCCTTGGAGCTAACACCAGTCAACACACCAAGCGTACCGCCAAGCTTACCCTCCCTTCCGAACCGGATATCAGTATTGGCACGATCACCAACCATGCAAGCTCGAGACCGATCAAATTTAAACTTGCCCTCGATAGCATCCATCATAGCCTGAGCAGGCTTACCCAGCGCCGTCGGCTCCTGGCCCAACATCATAATCAGCGGCGCACTCATGGATCCCGCACCGGGGAAAAGAGTGCCGGAGTTAGGCAATGTAGAATCGATATTTGTGGCGAGGAACACGGCCCCGCGCTTGACGTAGTGGTACGCAAGGGCGAGCTTGAGGTAATTGAGGTGGAAATCCAGACCGACAAGGACGACGCCGACTTCTGGGTCTAGGATGGAAGAATCGCCCGCTGCGATGAGCTTGTAGTCTTCTGGCTTGACATCACGGCGGTAGGCGGGGTCAGTGCCGCCGATGAAGGGGACGTTCTCGGAGCGTAGTTCTTGCTCGATGCCGGTTTCGCCGATCACGTAGACTTTGCGCTTGTTTGGGGGGAGTTGGAGGATGCGGGAAATGTAGATGGAGGAGCTGTATGAGGAGGAAAAGACCTCTTCCTGTACATGTTGTGAGTCATTGTTTGACCGGACTGGTGTGGTATTTGCGATCTCCGCTTGGGAGCAAAAAGGATCGGGACTTACCACTGTGCTGGGGATACCAAGGCCCTCGAGTTTCTTGCAGTAGTCTGCGCGAGATTTTGTGCTGTTATTCGTTACGAAGACGACCTGTTTGCCTGTGCTGGGTGTCAGCATAATCTCCATTATTTGTGGTTGTGGTTGTGGTCTGGGTCATTCGCGTACCATTCTTGCGCAGGAGCTCGAGGGTTTCGACAGTGCCGGGGAAGCAATGGTCACCGGACCAAAGGACACCTAAATGATCAATTCTATCTCAGCCATTGTCGCATATATGGTGATTCCTGGGGGTCGCAAAGGCGGGGAGAATGCCGAACTTGGGGATGCGGGGGAAGGTAACGAACCGTCGCAGTCGAAGAGGAAGACCTAGAGAAGAAGACAGAGTCAGTCAATTGATCTTATTGGGTCTATAGCTAGCAGGTAGCGCCAGAGACTCACATCAAATTTGTCCAGGAATTCGCGGAGACCGGCCTTGTCGCCGGTCAAGTAGCGGGGCACGTCGGACGCGGGGGTTGACTGGGTCATGACGGGCGTGCGGGCGAGGCAAAAGGATCGCGTGAAGGGAGTGCGAGGTAGGTAGAAGTAGAAGAGAAGAGAAGATGTGAGAGGTGCGCAAGAGAAACAGTAATCACCAATAACCCCGGTCCGTAAAACCCGAGGACCAAGTTGGCTCGCCGGTGACGATCCGAGTGTGGGGCTGTGACTACAAGAGTAACTCTTAACTGTGGGGGAGTTCAGCTTCAACTTCAACTTACCCCAAATACTTCGGCTGAGTGTGCTCCGTAGTTATTTTACTCATCCACGGAATTTCCATGCAATTTTGACTTGATTCAGTTCTTTCCAAACGAATTGGGCTTTTCAGCTGCTCAGCTAGTACCGTGTAAGCCATAAGCAGTTGACTACCGAGCTTGCTGGGCTCAAGGTATACCCAAGTAGACGTCGGATTATACCTGGGCTAGTTTGGAGTGATGAAATTTTGAATAAAATCGCTCGTGCCTCCTAATTATCTACTATTGAACTGACCGTGGCCAGAGTGGATGTCAGATTTCATGTTGGGTACACAGGGGTACTATGTTCGGATCCGTAAATCACCTCCAGCCAGGCTCAATCAAAGCGACGTCAAGGTAAAGTAGGCGATATGTACACCGGGTTTCGTAGGTGTGAGTCATCACTCAAAGGATTTCATTCAAGGTCTTACTCCAGGATATGAAAGAATTATCAATTGCAACATCGTCTGAAACATTTGTTTAGTTATATCAAATGTTTCTAGCGGAGTGAAGGGTCATAATACCGAGGTGAAATTCGTGAGTCGAGTGTAAATTAAGGATTCTACTACTAATAGTACTTCCTTGCGTATGCAAAGGATGGAATCCTCTCATCAAGAACAGAAGACAAATTTGTCAGGGGGAAATTTGACCTGGAAAAGCACAAGGTAAGTACTGTCAAGGAAGACCTTCTAGCGATTCTCCACTTGGCATGCGAATTTCCAGGAATTAATAAACACTTACGCGGAGTTCGACATAAACGGGGTTTCCTCGAGATCTGTACCCGAATCGTGTAGGAAACCCCCTCCAATAACCCCTTCTGTGGAGGATATCGTAGTGTTTATCTGATTTCTGGTGGGCCTATGGAATATGTACAAAGGCCCACCTGGGTGGTGCTTAATATGGGTTCTAGTTATAGAAATTATGTCCGAGATGTCCGAAAGTAACCCCCGGGGCCTCATGCACGATGTCTTCAATATTCTTCCGGGGGGCCATTGTACCTGGTGGATGATCCACAGACCGGCAGCGGCGACTAGTACTATTACAGAACTTGAATCAGGGGATCTCAGGTATTATCTAGGTGGAACAGCATACGCGTTGAATCCACCGAGAGGGGTTTTTCATCTCGACTACGGGATACTCTACTATTTACCATGAAAGGCCCGGACCTCATTACGTCCTCCCTCTGTAGGCTCATCTCACGTCAAGATGAATGTAGATCTCCACTTCAAGTTCTATCAATGAATATTTAGTTCAAAGAGATCACCCTTCGCTCAAATTATTTTCAGCATCTGTCTTCTTTCGATAAAATCAAGGAAATTCAGAACCCGAATACACGCTTGCCTGCCATGAAGCTCTTCGCTGGCCTTCTAATGGCCAGCTCGGTCGTCTTAGCCAGCGATAGAAACCTGTCGTCTGATTTACCTGGAACCCAAATCACGTCCACATCCTTGGGAAACTACAGCCTGCCAATCACATCCCTCGTGACCTTCGGCACCGGGGTTATTGGTGGCTTGTTTCGTCCCAACTCGCACCAGAATCCAGCCAAGGCAAAAATAGGTGTTCTTGTAATGCATGCCGAACAAGACTACACCACCTTTTACCCTTGCAGTGAGCTACCTGTCCGTGGCTATACAACTCTTTGCCTGAATAACGCGCAAAGCAAAACCGGTCTCATGAATGATCTTGACTTTGAGACCATGATGACCGATGTTGGTGTCGGTGTCCAGTACTTGAATGACCTCCCAGACATCGATCAGGTTGTTCTGTGGGGTCATTCTGGCGGTGGTGCGATGATGGCTGCATATCAAAATGTCGCGGAAAATAGCGTATCTGCTTGCAATGGCACGGAGAAGCTCTACCCTTGCTCTGCGGCAGTAGACAATCTGCCTCCAGCAGATGGCATTCTTCTGATTGATGCCAACTTTGGTCTATCGACTATGACTCTGCTATCTGTGAATCCAGCTATCGAGAACGAGTCCACCGGCACCGAAATCAACAGCACCCTGAATCTGTATAGCCCTCAGAACGGGTGGACAGAAAATGGGGCAAACTATACTTCGGGATTTGCTCATCGTTTCTTCGGGGGTGTAGCCTCTCGCTGGGAGAAGATAGTTTCATCCGCGGAAGAACGAAATGAACTCATTAAAGCTGGCAATGGTGAATATACGGATGATGAAGGCCTCGTTATCCCCGACGCGAATTATCTTGGCACCAACAATAAATTAATCAGCCAAGATACCCGTTATCTGGCACATACCGTGTACAAGTGGCCTCTGTTACATAAAGAAGGCCGTGTATCAACCCAAGTCGTCCCATCAGTTCGTGTTGCCGATGCAGGTATTCCAAGCAACGTCGACAGCTTTTATGATGGTGCACTTAAAACCACAGTCACTCGGTTCCTCTCAACATTTGCTATACGAATCGATACAACCTTGTTCAATGTGACAGCCGACAACATCACTGGGGTGGATTGGACCTCGTCTCAGACTGCTCCAATTGGTAGTGTTCCGGGAATTTCAAAACCTTTGCTCACAATGGGCAACACTGGGCACTACGAATACCTCAACGCGGAAAAGATCTACCTCGCCGCGAAGAGTGAAGACAAGTCCATTGCTTTTACCGAAGGCGCCCAGCATACGATCAATACATGCACTGAGTGCGAGACGTACCCAGGTCAGTTCGGCAATACAGTTAAGACGGCATTCGATTTCATGGACAAGTGGCTATCAAAGCCTGGTCGATTTATTGCGGCCTAAGAATGTTTTGTGAAAAGGGCACAGAATGGGCTTCCATAGAACAATGAACTAAGGGGAAATTGATGTAACAATGTGATTATCTTTGTTCTGACTGCATTATTACCTTCGAAACACTCAAGCTGGAAGTCAATTCAAATGTCGAAAGATATCTAACAACACAATATGTCCCTTCACTCAACATGCCCGGCGACTGCCTTCTCCTCATCATGTGTACTATTCCGATCAATATCCTTTCCTCGGAACTGCGCTTCTCCAATCTCTGCCAAGCTAACACCCGAAGCCCGAAGTTCCTCCAGCCGCAGCGAAGCCTCAGCCTCTTCTTCGCGCTCTTCTTGTGACATTTCGGGACCCCAGAAAAGGAAGAAGAGAATAAATGCCCACACGGCTCCCATGAAAATTGCAATCACTTTACCATAATCGAAGCGCTTCTTTCCGTCAGGTCCAGCTGGAAGCGGGTACCTCTCACCAATGATAGATTGTATAGTAGCCGAGGCAGAGGATCCCAAGTTACCAAGTTGGTAAGTCAGTCCAACCATCAGCGAGCGAAGCGCAATCGGCGATAGCTCCAGGAGATGAATGGGCATGGGTCCCCAGACTCCACCGACGAAAATCTGCTCGAAAAAGGCACTGGCGACAAGGGACATATCGCGTGGTAAAATGTAAGCTGGGATAACTGCCCCGCCAATCACGCAGGATACCATCATGGTTAACCGCCGACCAAAGAATGTACTAATATAGCCAATCGAGCATCCTCCAATTAGCGCACCAATTTGGCCAACGACAGTGATAACTGTTGTCTGTGTTGCGTCCATCCCGACTTGATCTTTGAGGAAGGTCGGATAAAAGTCCTGGCTTCCATGGGAGCATGAATTGAAGCCCGTCATCAAGACGATCAGATAAACAAAGAGTACCCAATTATCCCGGAGTGCGCGTCCAGCATCACGTACAAATACTCGAAAGTCTTTCCCTTTTGTGTCTCCATCCTCTGCCACTGCTTTTGCGCGAGCTTCACGCTCGGCCTTCATCACTTGGAAATGATTTGTTTCTGGCAAATACCACCGGAAGGCGATGATCAGGATAGGTGGACCGGCTCCAAACCAGAACAGGCTTCTCCATCCATGCGATGTTGTGGGGACAAGAGCTCTATAGAAAGCAGCAGCGAGAAGATATCCCGTTGCATATCCCATTTCGAATAGTCCGGAGAGGATACCGCGTGCTTCGTACGGGAGGTCTTCGAGGGCAGTAGCGGCGGCTGGTCCAAAGAGTCCTGGGGCATTTGTCAGTTCCTGGAGCGGCAAATGGTTAAGGGTGCGAATCATCTCTTACCCCCCATTGCTATTCCATACAGTGCTCGAACACCCAGGAATTGCGGCAATGTATTGCAGAACCCAGAGCAAAGTTCGAGAATGATGAAAAGGAATAGATTGGTGATCATCGGCCATTTCCGTCCGTATCTATCAGCGAGCAACCCGAAAATGATGGCGCCGACCGAGCGAAGCATGAGCGTGACGGTCATACCCTGTTGCAAGAATTAGTCTTCGCAAATGGGGGCCCAAACGGTACGTGGGTTTTATTCATACCCATGATACGTCAGAGTAAGATACCCCAAATTCCTCCGACAGTTCGGTTATTGTCATTGACACGGTGAAAAAGTCGAAAGAATCCCATGTCCAGGCTAGAAAGCCCGCAGCAAACATAAGCCATTGATGCGATGTGAGTTCTTTAAGGATTGCGTATGGGTTTCGCAGTTTGTTCTACCCAATATTATTCTTAGCAGGTTGACATGATATCTAATAATCTCAAAACAATACTAACTTGAGGAGGTTTAAGACTCGTCACCCGCGTAGAAAAGTAACGGACAATCTGCGCGGGGGAGTAAAACCACCCAGCATCCATTTGGTTCCTCATAATATCGGTATTCTAGTAGTTTTCAGTGTACAATTGATCTAAGAAAAGCCACGGGGATGCAAGCTTTATACCCTACACCAACGGAAGATCTTCTCTCAAAATTGCCACTTATTATCAAAGCTGCTACGCAATAGCCATCGCACTATCCCAATCTCCAGTGGTAGGACCCCTCTCATGCTATTCTTGGCGAATTATGCCATCTTTGATTGCTGGTGTCCTTCCCCGCTTTCTAGGGGCGCGATATCCCGGGGCAGAGCTTAAACCTAAAGCTTAAGCCGGAGTGTGGGGTAATGATCCAGATCCGAGTAAGTGGCTTTGCCAGGACAGAAATCATTCTATCAAGCTGTATAAACGACCTCTGAGGTAGTCTTTGAGCAGATCCTTGACATGAAAGACGCTTCTCGAGTCCTTGAATGATTGTGAGAAATTGCTGCCAACACGGGAATTACTATAAACGCCGAGATTTGGACGCTAGGCTTGTATCTGTCCTGTAACTTTGTTCTTTCTTGTTCTTATTCTCTAGCTTCCCCGCTCGTCAGCCAAGACAAAGAGGCGGTTGATAGTCCGCCGCCTACAGAGTAGCTACTATGTACTGGTCGACCTACCAGCGGAGTGGGGCCGCTTTCAAGCTTCTGTGCACGAAAATGGTCCATATTCATTCGATCCCTCAGTCCGGTCTCTTTTCGTCGAGCTTTTGAGTGGTTGATAACCTACATCAAGGTCGGAGAATATCCGATATGCTTGGCGTATTTGATGAGACTCGTGTATGGACTTCAGATGAAAATGCGATTGGGTGCATGGCACGCAGGCCACAGTTTTGACTCTCGTCAAACTTCCCTCCTTCCTGATTAATAGACTACGGTTGTGATATTCTACATCATAGGCACTAAATATTGTCAAGTAAACGTAAATGCTGTCATTCATCTTAATCCAAAGACAATCCTGGACGCTAATGCGATGAACTTTTGAACGGAGCCGTGACATGCAATTGGGGAATTTGGGGAATATGAGGGGTTTTCATGTGAAGATAGAAATGAGTGCAATGAGTAACGTCCAGCAAGAATCAGAAAAAAATCGTGTACAATCTGATTCTCGTGCGGATCGGTGGAGGTGTTTTGTGGTAAAGGTCAATTTGGTAGATCTCTATTCTCCTCTTCGGAAGAGGGAAACAATGATCGCATAAAGTCCTCACCTAGAGGGTCGTAGGGGAAATATGTGTCGTCAGGAATGTGAGAATGGTGGGAGTGGCCCTGGACGGAGGGCATAAAATCTGGTGTGGGGAGATTGAAGTAATTCGTCCATATATCCTCCTCTGTTGGTGGTCGAGGTCCGAATATTGACGTATCTTCCTCATTGATGTTGAAATAACTGCGTTGTTCTGATGGGATAGCCGGGCCAAAGAAGTTTACATTCCCAGATGAACTTTCCTCGTCAATGAATTGCCGCTGCTGAGGCTTTGAGGGTATGTCGTCGGTATTATATTTCATGCCGCTGGCGAGTTTGCGGAAGATGGAATCGCAGAGCTGCCATGCTCTTCGTGAGCCAATACTCCGTTCTGACATGGCGTGGAACCATCGGATGCATTTTTTCGACAGCTTGACAAGCTTGAGTTCCTCCTCTGGCATATGCACACTGCCAAATGAGAGTTCCAGTAGAATAACGGTGGCTGCCTGCATCAAATATCGCAGCACACACCACCAGGGACAGAGCTTGTACAGCTGCATGACGTTGGGTTCGTCCGGGATAAGGTCCAGCATTGCTGATGCAGAATTCAAGGCAATGACTGCCATCATATGACTGAATGTCTGAGTGGCGTTCGATAGACCGGCATCTCGTCGACAAAGGCAAGGGCGTCCTAGTGTGATCCGTGCGCCATAGTAATGAAAGGCCAAGAAGAGCTTGTACCGTAGCTGGTCGGGGTTATCATCGGCCTCTTCCTGCGTAAAGTCCAAAGCTGCCGGTAAGTTTGAATGCCAAAGATCTACCCGGGCGAGGAGTTCATCAAGGCGAGCTTCGATTTCGGACCACATGAGGGACACGGCGTTGGTCGAGAATACCTTGTTGACAATTTCTTGTGTGATAACTGTCAAGTCGCAATAGTAGAGATAGCAAAGGCCGGAGTTGGATGGCATATTTGTGAGCCAGGTTCGGTCCCTTGACCGGCATTTCTGGACGTCATCCTTGTTTCCGGCCTGTCGAATTCCTGTGCTTGCCATCAAGATGCTGATTTGTTCTTCCCGAGAGGCAGGGTCGTTGAGCAACTTGACTGCCTCTGGGTCTTCTTGTAGCTGTTCCTCTTCGAATGGCAAAGGGAGTGGTGTTGCGTACCCTCCGTCAAGGCTATAGATAGCTCGACCCGTCATGATTCCTAGCATGTGTTCAAAGCTGTACAGACACCACCAAACTCTATAACGAGCCTCTTTTGCGACATTCGGTGTTTTGGGTGTGTCGATCTTCAGGTTAATACCGAGGGTTATTGCAGAACGCACTGCTAAAGCTGAGATTCGCCATGCTCTGTTGAAAAGCAATATCAGTTAGCATCAACTTCATATTGTAAAGGAAAGGTTCGGGGTACTAACCTATTAATCTGGTCGGATGTCAGCAAGTAAAAGGCGATCAAGCCCTCGACCTGGACTTGCTGAAGATCTGGATGGCTGAACAAGACTTCGCCATTCATACTTAGCTGCCGGGCTCGGGCCAGGTAGACTAAATGGTCATTCTCTTCTCCACGCCAAGGAGCATGGATGAGATGGGCATGCTTGGCTGCGATCGCAAATATTGTATTCAGGATGGCGAGCCATTTGTTGCTAGGTCTTGCTGCGCTATAGCGACCGGAACTATCGAAAAAAGTTTGGAATTGTGCTCGGAATAATGGTTTGCTGATGATGGGGAAGAAAGGATGCACGGTTTTCAAATATTCGTCAAAGAGTCGATGTGCTAATTGTCGAGATGGCATGCTATAACGTTGAACGGGCTCGGCAACTGAAATCTCAAGGTCGTCGAGATGATAATTCAAAGCGTGAAGTGAAAATCGATCGCTGGCTGCATCCTCCTCGTCCGTAGTGGAATCTAGCGCACCGGGGTTGCCGCGAGCACGTTGCTCTGCTTCCCTTTGAAGCCGTTGCATCCACGAGATCTCCGAACTCTTCCCCATATACCCGGTCGCTCGGGTGTGCTTTGTTCGATTCAAGTCTTCCTCTACTCGGTCAATTGCATTGAGAGATCCGATAGAAGATATCGGAGATCCCTCATCGCCGTCTAATTCGTTATGTGGTGTGGATAATTGAGAAGGTGGATTTTCAAAGGAATGATTTCCCCTCAACCCATGCTTAACCAGCAGGAATTCATGATTAGACACCGCAATGGAAGCGTGTTGGGTACGACTCACCTTGTCTATCAGGCCCTTAATCCAATCTGCCGTATGATTCTCGGCAGAGTTTCGTAAATCATTCACGAAGTTTTCGTACTCCTGCAGTTCCGCAGTGAGTCTATCAACATCACTATAGTAACCCGAAGGGTTGCAAAGTCAGTAAATGTAATCCTTCTTTGTTTAGTAGTAGCAGCAAATATTCAAAAACATAGAGGTGGGAAAGGCTTACTTCTTCATTTTCTCTCTCCATCCCACTGGATATTGACAAGTTGCTCTCAATTCTCGACATTGTCGACAAACAGGGGTGTCTCCGCTGCATTTAGTTTTGCGTGTTCTACACGACTCGCAAGCTCGGGGCACTCTGCGGTTAAACCGGGGAGTATTTCCCGGTGTTTGGCGGGGAATAGCAACTTTTGCATTTGGGGCCACTACTCCTTCCCCATCTTCTAGCAGCGGAGTTGATTTGCTCGCTCTCGCTTCTCGAGAGGACGAAGCCCCCCCATATTGGCGGACGTTTGGGTGTTGCAGGGGCACTTTGGGGCTTAGACTGCTTTGATGGTCCTTCATTTTGTGATTTGGAGCCCTCACCCGGCGGGCTGTAGTTTTGATTTTGTTGTCTTTTTCGACTCATGGGAATTAGCTCGTCGGTCCCTCATGAGAGGAATCGCCGGGTTATGAAGATTCTCGACTATTTTCTTGACAGCCTGCCAGTGCGGCATCCAAGTGGTTTCGGTTTGAGATGCCGCCAATGACAAGCCAGTATTTGTAGAGCACAGCAGAGTGGGGACTGGAGCCCAAAATGCAGAAGAAAAAACGATTGTATAACAGTAATTAGTAGAGGGAACCAGAATAACCTCGAATACATATCAGGCACAGACCCATCTCATTGGTGGGATGACATCTAATCGCCACTGAGGCTTAACACTTTCTTCATAGTAGCGTACGAGGCTTGGGTGATCGACAACCCGAAATAGCAGACCACATTGTTATACATAACCATGCAAGGGAGCGCATCACCTGAAAGCCGTTTGCTGTCTCTCGTTCGTTCAGATTGTTTCAGGCACCCATCTCACTGGACTCCTGCATTGCTTGTCCAGCACAGATTCTGTGTGCAAAGGAATGGGAGGGTCATGGGAGGGATCTGACTATACTCCGTTGTCCGACCGTAAGTGGACTTCGGAAATATGGTCATACTGTATTCACAATATATCAGTCCACTTCATCTTCGTGCAAGTAGATTCTGGTAGATTGAGACGGGACATCTGTTGATTCGTGGGTGCCGATGTTTCGTACCAATCAGCCCTGTGATAGTATCTTCTAGAAGTTTCACCAACTCCTGTACCCCTCGTAATACTGGCTGTACTATTACCCTGTGGCTGACCCCACACAGCTGCGGTTTTTTCGGGAATCATCTTGTATGATTGGCGTGGCTGGCTCAAGTTGGGCAGATGGGTCACATACACATTGTCACGGTGGAACTTGAGGCTTGACTCTGAGCCACATCTGAATCATGACTCTGTAACTTCCGATAGCTGGCGGGGCGGTGGCACTAACAATTAAATATGTGTGGTCAACAATAGAGATGCGGGGGAAAGAAATCCGGTGGTGGCTGGACAAAATTCATTGGCGGAATGGTTTTCAAACAACCGATCTCAAACCAAAAGCCCATCATTGCGTGAGCGATCAGTCGGGAAGTGACAGGCTCCTTTTTTTTCATTGGGAAGTGGGGCACGAGAGCGACCAAAACGTGTTCCACTCAGCCCTAGGGGGGATGTAGCATATCGGAAGAAGCGGAAGCCATATCAAACCCTCAAGCCTCTGTTGCTCTATACGCCACATCCGAGAGCAAAAAGGGCTATCTATAGACATGAGGCCAGACGAACGCAACGCATATCAGGTCGAATACATTTCGTGTCAGCTCATTAGTACATACATACTTCGTTAGCTTCATGTTATGATAGTAAGATCTTCACCGCCCATCTGATTGGCCGGGTCGACCTCCGATAATTCGTAGTAGGGATAACTTCGGGTGGGAACTGATTCAAGGATCAGTTCGCGCCGATCATGAAGCATCGGATTGAGATCCCGCGCATAATATTAGCTGTCTAGGATTCGCTGCTGGAAATCGGCAGAGACCGTGGTGCGGCCCCGCTAGATCGAACCATATCTTCGGTCTCACCGATTCGAATTTTCTGCTCCGGGGTCCTTCCGCATACTCGTAGTGATGAGCCAGTCCCGACAGTCTGGTAGCTGAATAATGGCACAAGATGCATGAAATTTGGTCTCAGTCTGAGTTTTTTGACATGGAGAACCGAGGGACTGCTTTCGGCTTTGTGCGCGCCACATAGTCATGGACTCATTATTGACTCGCACTCGCAGAGGTCTGACGAGGTTGACTAAATCAAATTATTTGATCATAGCGAGAATCGAACTGAGTGGTGGTCAATTAGCGGATCACAGGGACTTTTATAGAAAGAACTGCAATTCAAAAGATGACGCTGTCCAACTCCGATTTCCCCGTGAACGGCATGATGTCATGGTAGATTTCGCGTGTCGCTTTGCCTGTGGTGAATCGCTGTCTGTCAATGAGCCATGTGAATGCTTTGTTTGAGTGACGTCCAACGGGAATTGTACATGAAGTTCCAGTTGTTGTTAGGTTGGTGGGTGATGTAGTGTGTAGTGGTCAGGAAGGAGTTCTCGACGGTTGGGATGATAGGAAATGACATGAGAGAAGATCAACATGCTTAAAGCCTCCGCATTATTTAATTGGCCCATACTAGGTACTGTGTAGTATGTAGTATAGGCCCACTACAGTATCACATAGGACAGAAATGTCAATACTAAAAACCCAGTGAGATGTCAGGGTATCATGATCATCCTCGTTCAACATCCAATAAATGTAGATACAGAACGCCTTAGTGTGTCAAAAACCAGCCAAAACGCCGTCTATCCCGCTGCCAGATTACAGAGTAGTAAATAGCTGGCGGCTAGATAGAACATATGCTTGACCCCAAAAGATTCATTACTTTTCAATATTTGGGAAAATCAACCACGCAGGATACCGGCAATGCGGAGTGTCAAGTCCAAAACAGACAAGTGCTCGTCTGCACCGTCAACAAGTCGCTTGTCCATCTCGGAGAAAGCTAGAACGATCTTATTCTTCTGGATATCTGGAATGGTCTCGGTGAAGACAACTCGTCGGTACAGCTTCAATAGTCAGCCACATGCTCTGCAAAGAGGGTATCAAAGAGGACAGGAAAGAGTTCTCGAAGAAAGAAAAATAACATACCTGGCCAACAAGCTGCGTAGCACTCCATCCATCCGCCACAAGATCAGTCACCACAGTAGAGACTGCGTCGAACGCCGACGCACCGCCCTTCGGCTGCATAGCCTGTACCAGGCTATCCAGAATCGAATCGGGAATCACACCCGCAATCTCCTCAATACTGCGCACAGTAATAATTCCCTGGTCAGCCCCAGCGTCCGTCATTTCAGCATCCTCATCCACATCCTTCCCACCAGTCTTCGCAGCCCCAGCAAGACGCGCCGCACTCTGAAGATAAGTAATTGCCCGACGCAAATCACCCTCACCGCACCGAATAAGTGTCTCAACAACACCATCTTCTAAATTCAAATTCTCCATGCGCGCAATATTGTCCAATCGCACCCCAGCCGCCGAATTATCCAGCGACTTGAACCGAAACTTACTACAACGACTCGCCAACGGCTCAATAATGCGCGTTACATAATTGCAGACAAGGCAGAATCGTGTAATGCGACTGTACGTCTCCATAGTGCGGCGCAGGGCAGACTGCGCGTCCTGGGTCATACTGTCCGCCTCATCGAGGATGATGATTTTGAATGGTGGGCAGGGGTATTGCGCGAGGTAAGCGGCGTCTAGACCGGTTGGTTGGGAGAGCTGCGCACGAGCGAAGTTCTTGACTTTGTCACGGACGATACCGATACCGCGCTCATCGGAGGCGTTTAGTTCTAGGATACGGGAGCGATAGAGAGCGGGGCCGAAGAGGGATTTGGCGAGGGCGAGGATTGTGGAGGTTTTTCCTGTTCCGGGAGGTCCGTAGAAGAGCATGTGTGGGAGCTGAGAGATTCGAGGTTAGAATCGACCTTGTCAAAGGGGATTGTGAGGTTGGTATCGATGGTTGTTGCGTACGTTGGATGCTTGAAGGGTGCGTTGCAGCACCTTAGTGGTATGGTCTTGGGCGGCGACATCGTCTAGTGTCTTTGGTCGACTAATTCAATTGTCAGAGTTCAGTCAAGATAGTCTATCGTGTAGAACAGAGTCGTACTATTTCTCAACCCAGGGCTGTTGCCGCGTGGTGTCTTCCTTGGTCTCGGTCTTGGCCTTTGAGCTGCTTGAAACAGCGGCGGCACGGGCCTTGTTGTTGAAGAATGTCGAGGCCATGTTTTCTTGTGGTTATTAAGGGTATATGAGAGCTCTCAGCCCGGAATTGCGATTTTTCTGGGGTCGTCGGAGATGCAGCAGTCGAGCTGTATCCGCCGCAGAGGGAGAAACGCGTCTACACGTGACACGCGCAGCACTTAGACGCGGCCAATCAGGCGCCACACTTATACTTCGTACACTTGGAGTTGGGTCTTGATTCAACCCTGCAGATTATTAAGATTCTATCAATGAGAGTGATTTTAGAGATGGGTTTGATTATAGGTTGGAATGCTTCATGATTGGTATTGGCTATTTCATAACACGTCTATAGTTCATCCCGGACCTCCTCTTCCCACATCCGCTTCTTCGTATTCCGAGGTTGCTGCTCAGCTCTGGCTATTTCTTCCGGCGAGATCGGCTTCGGTTCGTCTTGCTTTCCATCCTCGACCATTTGACCAATCTTGTCAATAATTCGATCCTTCTCGTCTTGCTCCGGAGTATGAACATCTCCCTCGGAAGTCCCACGTGGCACAGTACCTCCAGTAACCGCTGTTGCAGTCTGCTGGATAGCCGAAGATATATCACTTCCAATTGGACTCGCCGATATTTCCGCCGACCCACGAGATAGCCCGACAGCACCCAAAACTGTAAACAAGAACTTCCAGGCAAATTTAAGGGGAAGCCATACAAGCCACCAGGTCGGTCCCCAGAGGATTCGGCGGAAGACCAACCAGCCAATTGTTGCAAGAAGAATGTAGAATGCCGTCTCAAGATACCAGGTATCGGACTTTTGTGAGCGGAGGAGAGAGTTGGCGAGACTGCGCGAGGAGGAGAGGAGAGTGTCGAGGCTGCTGTAGGATTCGGAAAGAGAACTGATAGCGGCAGAAGATTGTTCTATGATGTCCAGTCTTGTCAGTCTTGTATTTTGGCTTCATTCTTGGGATATACTAACCGAGGGTTTCCTGGGCGAAGGTGCTGCGGGATAACTCCGTCCGCATGAGATTATGGGTTCGGCGCAGGGCAGCGGTAACATCACTCGATGCATTACGCACCAGATCATTCTGCGTAAATTTATCTGATGATTTCTGTTGATTTGTGGGTGGCGACTGTGGTCTCGAGAATAGTAGTTCCCGCTCCTTGCGCTGCGCCAGCTCGGCATTGCGCTTGGCCTGTAGCTGAGCATGTCGAAATTCTCCCGGAATTCTGTAAGCCATCAGTATAGTTCGGGGCCAGAGCACATATTCTGTATATTTTGCATCCAAATATGCCGACCGGAAGCCTATGAGACCACAACTCACCTTTTCAAATCATCCTCTAATCGCCCCGCCATGGCAATGACTCTCCCCTTCTCCGTCTCCCTTTCTCCGTTCGTGCTTGTGGCGGATCTTTTCCTTCCCCCAGCATCTGTCTTGAGTGCATTCACCTCTTCTCGCAGAAGTTCGAATTCATCCTCGGCATCTTTGAGCTGGGCACGAATCTCCGCACCAAGCTCAAGACGCGCCTCGTTTCCTTGTCCGATAGATTCCGTGAAATTGCGTAGTCTGTCTAGAAGAGGCTGGAGCTGACCCAGAGTAGTCGATAGCTCCTTCAGGCGGGCCTGAAGAGCAGCTGTGGTAGACATGTTTGGTTCGGTTTAGCGAGTCGTTGGCACTCGCATTCGCTTGGTTGGGCCGAGTCGCTCAGTGGAAATATATTATTGACGAGACCAGTATGCTGGAATAAATTCGCGGAAGGTTGAACAGCGCAGCAAGATATTATCCCGTAAATTGCGCAGTGCGTGTTGTATTGTAGCAAGTCGCAAGTTGCCAGGTAGGCGTCGGAGCTGGTTGTACTCTCGCGGGCGGTCCAGGTCCAGCATGTTTGCATCCAAGGCAAACACTTTCCAGTCAACGCCCGCGACTCCGAACCTCTCGCGAGTCCAGAACTGCCATCTTGAATTCCCAGTTGCGCAACCAAATTTCCTTGACCAAGTCAATCAAGGAGTCTTTGTGATACCATACAATCGCAAAACTCCAATACCAACAACCAACTACCGGTGCAAACCCCCTCCACCTCCTCCAACCACCACCGCAAAAAACCTTCCGACTCAACGTCCGCCAACCAGGTACGCATCGAAATCCGCTCTACAGCGCATCCAATTCAATTCAATCCGATATAAAACAAAAATATTTAATCGCTAACCCATACCCTCGACTCCTCCAACCAGAAACTCAACCAAACCCCATCCAACTGCCCAAAATGTCAATCCCACTCAGCACCATCACCACCTTCCGAACAACCTTCAACCCCTTCACCCACGCCTCCCGACCCTGCCGCCTCTTCCTCTCTCTCCTCCGCACACCCGGCACAACACCAACCAGCAGCCCCAGCCACATTGACATCAAGGTGACGCAGCTCCCGCGCAATTCGACACTGCCGCCTGTCATGACTATCGGTTTCAAGGGCGGCAAGGAATTGACTCTCGAGGTTGGCAAGCGTGGTCTGAAGATTGGCGATGTCGTTGAGGAGGTATCGCGCGTTGGTCGATTTTTGGAGCGCGAGGCTAGTCTGAAGGGTTGAATGGTTGAAGATTATGGGAGACTATCTCTTTTCTTTTCTTCTTTTGTTGTTTCCATCTGTTGCGGAGTGCTTTTTGGGCATTGCATCCGGTATTCACCAGTCTGTCTTGTATATTATTAGCTTGTTTTTTTGGCCCCGGAGACTGTGTTGGATTCTATCCTTGCGTAAGCAGGTTAGTGCAATTCCTCCTGCCTCTATTGTATGATATCCGATCTACAAATACTCTTTATGTGAAATTTTGAACATGAAACCAATTGGTCTCTGGGCTAGATTGTATTACTATTACTCCGGATTTAGGTCTCAACCAGGCTACAATAGAAGGAAAAATTATAGAAAAGGGCAGAAGGGAGAAAGTAAAGAGGAATAATGAAGAGAAACAATAGAAGCCGAAGCTTCGTTCGACGCAATCAATTCTTTCAAATATACCCCGTCGGGAGAATGCGCACGGCGGGAGCTGATAGTTTTGGGGTTGGTATTCTTTAAAAACGGCGACAGGTATCCAAAATTTACACGGTAGCACCAGAGATGAAGAACCACTTGTCGACGGTACCGTCGATAGGGGCAGGAGCCAGGTTCTCGTTCTGGGGGATGGCGGCAACCTCGTTGGGGGAAGCGGAGACGGCAGCGCCCTCAGTGTTGGTGGTAGCGATGGAGATCTCACCGGGGGAGACCTTGCCGGAGATGAGCTTCTCCCAAGCGTCGGCGCACTCGTGGATGACATCGGCGGCGTACTTCTTGTTCTTGCACTCGCCGGAGAAGGCGAACTGGTTCTCAGGCTTGCCATCGGGGATCTTGTAGATGCGGAACCACTCGTTGGTGGCACGCAGAAGGCCGGGCAGGTGGCGCTCGACGTCCTCGATGTCGTCCAGCTTGGCGGCGAGGGGGTCGTTGACGTCGATGACGATGACCTTCCAGTCGGTCTCCTCCTCATCGATCAGGGCCATGACACCCAGAACCTTGACCTGCTTGACCTGACCGGGGTAGCCGACAAGCTCACCGATCTCGCAAACATCGAGAGGGTCGTTGTCACCCTTGGCCTTGGTCTCGGGGTGGATGGAGTTGGGGTCCTCCCAGGTCTGGAATGGGATGTTGTCAGAAGCAAGGTCTTCAATTTGCTTCTTCTATTTTGGGCGGACGTGACTTACGCGGGGGAAGGCACCGTAGTTCCACAGGTAGCCCTTGTGGGGGAAGCAGTTACGGACGAAGCGGAGCTTGCCCTTCTTGGTGTCCTGCTTGATGGGGTTGAGGAACTCCTCCTTGGAGATCTATGGCGAAGGAAGAATCAGTATTGTGTGCTTTCGAGGTGCGGGGTTGATATGCCAGGGCATATCCCAGTGGTGTGGAGACTGGCATTGGCCAATGCCAATGCCAATGCCAGTGTCAACACCAATAGAGGAAAAAGATAACATTTATCATACCTCCTGCTTAGCGTTGGTCCAGCGGGGGATCTCAACGACCATGTTCAGAATGGTCTTCTCGGCATTGGCGTAGAGGGGAATGTCGTGGAAGGGGGAGACGATTTGGCCATCCTTCTCGATATAGACACGGTGCTCCAGCGTGTAAGGCTGGGCAATCTTGCGGATAGAGTAAGACATTTTGTGAGGTGTGGAAGAGAGATGTCGAGAGAGAAGAGCGGCTCTGGCGAGAGGAGGGGAAGAAAAGGAGGAAGGAGGGGCGCAAGTGGGGGGAGCCAGCGTTGCGGATGTGCGCCAAACAGAGGCGGTGGAGGAAAATCCTAGTCGGGCCAAGGGAGAACGAGACGCAGAACGGGCCAGGGCCATTGGCTGCGGTGGGTTGAAGATGTCAGCTGTATGTCAGCCGCTGTGTTGACAATAGGAATTGCAGGTGATGTATTGATGTATTGATATATCGTGGTGGCTGTTGCTGGCTGTTGCTGGCTGTTGTGAATGTTCAAGGTTGTGTTGTGTCTGTATATTTGTTGAGTCCGGGTCGTACCTGCCCCTGTCCTCTCGGGAGCCCGAGATTGCCGTTCCGCCCGTCATACGCAACGCTTTTACTACCACTAGTACTCCAGTATGACACTGCATGCTTGTATAGCATATCAATCTATATGCTACATCTAATATTGTTCATACTATTGCTCTACTTGCTTAACTACACTGTCGCGTGCCTGACACATGTAGACAGTATGGGGGCACTTCGGGTGCCTACGTATGCGCTCTGCATGTACTCCGTCCTCGTACATCTAACAGGTCTAGCCGATATCGGCTAGCATTAACCTTGAAATACTCACTGCCAACTTCATGGTGCCCAACTAGTATACTTGTACATGTATGTGGACGTGGCTGATCACGCAATACTTTCCACAATCCAAATGTGTGTGCGTATAGCAGGAACATGGAAACAATACCCTAGGGACTCCATAATGACCAAGGAAACGATGTTAGAATTAGACTGGGTCAGGTCCAGTCATTTGGAATTTAGGGTTGTGCTAATTTGGCGGTGGAGCAGAACGGCTTGCAATTTGCAAATTGCGAATTGCATTGCAAATTGCCCTTTAGTTACAATTTGCAACTTATGTCCACCGAGCTGACCAACTGGCCAATGATAGCCATAATATCACGTGTCGTTTGTTATCACCAGTCCTTATCCTCTTATCATCACGTGTGGCTCGGGCCTGGCCGAACGCCGCCACTTGTGAATTGCACCCCGGAAAAAAGTGCCCAGACAGATTTACTTCCCCTCCTCGACATGCTATGATCCGTCTCTTTCGCTCCGCCATGGCCTCCCTCGTCGAATCCGCTACTGCATCCGCAGCTGCCCCGGCCACCGTGCCGCGCGTGTCCATCCCTCCCAAGGGCGTCGATTATCGCGGAAAGATCGTGCTCGCCCCAATGGTTCGCTCTGGCGAACTACCCTCGCGCCTACTCGCCCTGAAATATGGCGCCGACCTCGTCTGGGGCCCCGAAACAATCGACCGCGCCCTCATCGGCGCTGAAAGACGCGTGAACCCTCGAAACGGCACCATCGAATTCTCCCGCTTCCCCTCCAACGGCGGCCGAGTCGAGAAAGCCGCAAAGGCCTCGGTCATTTATAGATTGGACCCTATCCGTGAAAAGGGAAAGCTCATTTTCCAATTGGGCTCTGCGAACCCCGACCTCGCTGTCCAAGCTGCCAAGGTCATTGCCGCAGACGTCGATGGTATCGATCTCAATTCCGGCTGCCCTAAGCCATTCAGTACCAGCGGCGGTATGGGCGCTGCACTCCTCCGCACCCCCGATAAACTTGTCTCGATCCTGGAAGCTCTGGTACAGGAAGTTGGCACACCCTACCAAATCGGCATCTCCGTGAAGATTCGCATTCTCGAAACCCCAGAACTCACCGCGGCCCTCGTTACTCGACTTGTTCGCACCGGTATCACAGGATTGACGGTCCACTGCCGCACGACTCCGATGCGGCCCCGCGAACGCGCACTCCGCGACCAACTCCGTATGGTTAAGGATATCTGCCATGAAGCGGGTGTTCCGTGCCTGATGAACGGCGACGTGGAATCTCGCGATCACGGACTAGCGCTGATGGAAGAATACGGTGTCGACGGAGCCATGATCGCCACATCCGCTGAAGCAAATTCATCTGCTTTCCGCTCCAAGGCTGACGGTGGTCTTGCGCCCTGGAAGGAAGTTGTGTACGAGTACATGAAATTCTGCCTGGAAAGCGAGAACAAACTGGGTAACACGAAGTTCTTACTCAACATGTTGATCTCGGGCAAAGACAAGGTGTACAATGAGGCGAAGCAGTGCAAGACTTATCTTGATTTCTGCCGCAAACTTGGCTTTGACGATCTACTCCCTCACGCTGTGCGCGTTGATGAGATCCTCGATCTATCTAATAAGTGGACCTCGGCTCCTGGCGAAGAGGTCAAAGATCAGTCTCGCTCCAAGGCTGTGCAGAATGCCATGGAGAATAACGAGTCTGCCCGCGCTGCTGGTGGGCATGGTGCTAGATCCAAGGCTGCGGCTCAACCTGCTCATACTGGCGGACCTATTCGAACCTCGTCTGTTCCTACTGTGTCTAAGGTGACCAAGGCCGAGCCGGAAGCACCTGCTGTTGATGCTTCGGTTTCTGCTGCTCAAGCTCCTCCCCCTCAGCCTGAAGTTACTGCTTAGGGAGTATCTGAACATGGATCTTCGACATGCTTTCTGCTCCTTGTCAGATTACTTTCTCGCACCATTCCCCTCTCTTTTGTTTTCCTGCATAGCCTGGTTTCTGAAAATGTTTGTTTGTTGCATAACAAGGTTCCCCTGTTAATAGATTTCCAAAAAGATACACATATCATAGGTGGTCTGCGGTATTAGTTCTCTTACCCTTGATCTGAATATATTTCTCATTAATGATCTCTGAGTCTCACATCTCAAACTTCAGCCGGGCTTCCTCCAGGTAAGGTCGAACCTTGATCAAATCGCGATGCTGAAGATAGTAAGATCCACCCCAAGGTGTCAGCCCTGGAGGAAAGTGGAAATATTCAAATTCAGATGGCTCATGCATTATCTTTATGTGGTCTAGTCTAACATGATACTCATTGTACGCCTAACACCATGTGCAGCAGACAGAACAGATACGACCCTCTGGAAAGGGTCTAAAAATGGAACTCCCACAACGATTATGATACCCCGTTCACCCCATTCACCCCATTGACCCCGTTAACCTTTTTCTCTTCCCCATTTTCTTTTTGCTCCTCCCCCTCTGCTCCATCCTTCTTCTCCTGATCCAACCCCTCAAGAACCATCCTCTCAACAATATTCATCCCTTTCTCCTCCGCCTTCCCACCATCGTCATCACCCGCAACAGCCTGATCAAGCGCCAACTTAGTCTGACCAAGCGCATAAATCTGCTCCTCAATCGTACCCCGCGTAACAAAGCGGAAGATCTCAACTTCCCGCGTCTGTCCAACACGATGAGCACGATTCTCCGCCTGAACATCTTCCTGTGGATTGAACGACGAGTCGAAGATAACAACCTTATTTGCACAGGCAAGGTTGATTCCTGCACCACCGGCTTTAGTCGAGAGCAGGAAAACGGGGATCTCGGTATTCTCGTGGAAAGCGTCAAGAATAGACTGGCGGTCTTCGACATTCGTGCGGCCGTCTAGTCGGACAAATTGCATGTGTAGTGTTTCCAGGACGTCTTCGAGGATATCCATGACCATGGTGAATTGGGAGAAGATGAGGGTTCTATCGCCGTTGGCGATGAAGCGCGTAAGGAGCTCGCGGAGTTGATCGACTTTGCCCGAGTCCATCCATTCTTCACCTTGGAGCTTGAATTTGCCCAGGCTGCGCGGATTGGCGATGCACATCTGGTGGCATTCGAAGTCGTTGTATGGTTGAAGTTCTTCGAAGATGATGTTCGGATCGGAGTAGGACCATTTCTCTTCTTTGAGACAGGCGGTGGACATCTTGCGGAGGATGGCGTCGGTGTATACTCGTCGTCGAAGGAGAGGGTGAATGGCGGCTTGGCGGAGTTTCATGAGGATGTTGGCGGATTTGGAGCCGGTTTTGACGCCATTTGCACGGTCCTGGAGGAGCTGGCGGACACCCTCCTTTTCGTGGTCATAGATGGCTTGTTGGGAGGGCTTCATCTCGCAGTATTGGACATGGGCGTGTTTTGCTGGGAGGTCAATGACCTGGTGCTTCTTGCGGCGAAGGACGAATGGCTTCAGCATGGATTTGGCACGTTCAATTCTTTGCGCTGAGAGGAGGGTGGCATGTGATTCGTCGGTGGTTTTGGCCTTGTTGGAGAAGACAGCGTTCAAGTCTTCCTTATGCTCTTTGAACACACTAGGCAAAATGAATCCAAGAAGAGATGCTAACTCCTGCAGATTATTCTGAAGAGGCGTACCTGTGAGAAGAAGACGGAAGCGTGCCGGAATGCGAATTAACTTCTCGTAAAGCAGGGACTGGTGGTTTTTCAACATATGTCCCTCGTCGTAAACACAAACCGAGAAATCCATCTCACGAAGGAACTTGGAATCGACCTTGGCCTTCGCAATGGTATAAGTGGTGATAATAACATTGACACTGTCCGGATCATCCTCAAGGTTGTCTTCAATTCGCTGTCGGATCTCCGCACGCATGTCTTGGCCTGCATAGTAGGGGATAACATTCAGAGCTGGACAGAATTTTTGGAATTCACGAAGCCAGTTCTCGATGGTCGACGCAGGAACCACAACCAAATGGGGACCTTTCGTCCCCTTCTCGTGGAGGTGGGCCAGGAAAGCAATGACTTGACAGGTCTTGCCTAGACCCATGTCATCGGCCAGGATACAACTCAATTCCTTCTCAAATAAAAGAGACAGCCAATTGATACCAACAACCTGATAATCTTTCATCTCGAGGTCTTGTGACATTATTGACGGCTGGGTGATGAATCCCGCATTCTTCTGTTTGCGCGATACGGCCACCGGGCCATCCTCATCAGAGTCGTTGCCGTCGCCGGTTGGCGATTGACGGTTCGATGAGGGTGTCGCTATACCAGAGTCATGTGTATTGATCATTGAAGTGAGCTCAAGCTCCCCGTCGCGTTTTCCAAACATATCCACGCCCCACTTCTTCATCTCATCGGCTACAGGTCGGCCTAATCCTTCGCACTCGGCAACAAGAGCGTCAATCGCCAAGTAACCAGTCCACATCTCGAGACATTTATCCACAATTTTGTCTCCAATGGCCTTAGGTTGCTTGCGAGGCCGGCCCTTCGGCTTGGTCGATTGATCAACAGGTGCCTGTACAGTGCGAACCTCGGAAAGATAACGGAACGGTCGATGAGAAGTAATGAGTTCGGCAGTTTCTTGTGGAATCGATGCGATATCGGCAAGATCGTGAACGTTGCAAGTATTGAAGAATTTGATGACCTTGCCATCCAAACTGCTATCATTCGCATCCTGAATCTGAACATCGGAGTCGTCGGAGTCTGAAAGCGCCGCCTCGGGTGATTCTGAACGGTTTGGGCTTGGTTGTCGGCGTCGGCCTTTCTGAAGTCGGCCACCCTTCTTTTGCGGGGGAGGGGAAGATGTGATGGCGATAGGAACTGGGGGTGAGATATCGCCCGATGGTGATGCACGGTTCTTCGGTCCACGCATAAGACGGCCGCGGGGCTTCGCTCCCTCAGCGGGTTGTTCACGCTGAGTGGCAGGTCTGTTCATGGAAGCCCACTTATCCTGAATCGTGCCCCGGGCTTTGATTTTCTGCTTGGCTATAGGCGCCGGAACCGAGCCTCGGGGGGCCGGCATATTCAACTCGTCTTCCGAAGACTCAACAATCAGCACGTCGTGGCTGTGTGCAAGGCGATCCAACGCGGTGTCGTAGTTTCCGTTTACTTCGAGGAGGGCGTCGACGCAATCTTGGACCGATTTATGGGGAAGTACGCCTTGGATGCGATTTACCTTGATCTGTAGACGGTAATCCTCGATTTCATGCACCGAGGTGTATCGCGGGGCCACGGGCTGAGCGCGGGAGGGGGCATCCTGTCGCGCCTTCTTTGTGGCGACGCCCTTGGGGCCAGTTGGTGGACTCATTTGATCCGCCGAGCGCTTTGTGCCGGTAGAATTGGGATCAAACATGGCGGAGGATGTGATTTGCTTGAACCGATCCATGCTGTTTCCGTCAGATCGCACTGGTGACTCTGCGACCTTCTCCTTGTCCGGGCTTCGGGCAGCCTTTGCGAACATTGCAGGTTTTATGTCTGTACTTTGAGCCGAAGTGTTCTCCTCTTCGTCAGATGAGCCGCCTCGATAAGTTGGACCGTCTTCCAAGTCAAAAATAGGTGTTCGCTTCGCGGGTCCGAGGGATGTTGCAGGGGAGCGGAATTGGGTCCCTGAAGGGGCCATCAGCGAGGATAAAATACCACCGGTGGGTCGGCGCGGTGGTGAATTGGCAGGGGCAGTTGGTGAAGAAGCGGCCACCTGAATAACCGATGCAGAGGGTCGTGAGTATGGTAAATCGACCAATTGCGTGGGTTGTGTCAATCGTTGCGACGGAGTCAATGTATGCGCTCCGAGGGGGACAGTGGCAATAGTATCGTGGTGGTCTTCGTCAGGGTTGGGGGTACCAGGTGGAGGGATTCTATCCCTTCCTGGGGTATGGGGACCGGATCGTGCATCGCAAAGGACCAAAATTTCCCTCGATTCCAGCGTCAATCATTCACCAGGTAACCAACTTGGACCCTGGAGAACTTTCACTTTGCCAACCACTTTTTCTGCCGGCGGAACACGCGCCGACGCGCGAACATCACGTGAACTATACTGTATCCCATTTGGGAGACAGTATATACAGTATACCTGAGGAGAGAGAAGCATCGTATAAAATAGTAGCTGGAAGTCAATATTGAAGGTATACCGTGTAATTGATATTGAGAGACGAAGTAATATTGACAGTTGGGAGTATATGGGAGTAAATATGGGAAATGGTACTCTACACAGTGACGCGGGTGCCATGTGACCAGGTATGACTAGGCCATTTTGGTCTTCTCCGCAATATTAAGCCTCATCTTCTATCTTCATTGAGAACGCCCTATCTGTTCAGGTTTATTGATCTACAACAGACCATCCAGGGCAATTGCACAGTTTCTCATTGCCCCTTGTTCCCTATTTCCCAAAATGTCAGCCCGCAAGCCCCATGGACAGAGCTACGCCGACGTTGCCGCCAACCCACCGCCGAAGACCGACTCCAGCGTGGCCCCAGCCGTCCCAAGGTATGCATAAGTCATACATCACTTTACCAAGGAAGGTTCTAACTGACATATTCTTTCAAGTGATGTGATCTTCAAGCTTCTCGCCTTCACTGCGGCCATGGTGGTTGGCCCCATCGGCATGTATTTCCTGACTGTGAACACCATCTTCGGCGGTATGTTCGAAACGCGTTTTCAAGCCTTTTTCAATAAACTTGTTCTAATAACCCAACCCTAGGAAACCCAACGTATGCCGGAATTGTCGCAGCAGTTACGGCCAACGTGGTATTATTCGCCTATATCTACGTTGCCTGGAAGGAAGACCAGGGAGACCGAGAAGAAGCCGCCAAGGCCAATTCAAAGAAGGGACAGTAGCCAATAGATGCAACATGTAAAACGATCCAAAATCAAATGTGTTTCTTCGTTCAATGGCGCAGCCTGGTTGCGTATAGCCGCTCATCGAATCTAGGGGGCTCTAGTCCCCCAATCACAGAGCTGCAGTGCAACGCCAAATAAGCTTAAACACACCCGAAACATTATCTTAAGACCACAAGTCCGATCTTAAAGATGGTGAGTAATCTTGGCACATACTCTATTCACATTTTATTCCCACCCCTTCAAGTTGTGCTCTGACTACCAGTACATACAAGCAGGCTGTCCTTTCTTTTTATTATACCTTCACTCCGATGTTTCAGAATGTAAATCAAAAAGAATCTTATCAATCTATAAGCCGGGAAGCTAATTATAGGGCATTTTAGAAGTAGTTCCAATAGTTCCAATTATTAGACTTGCAAAAGTGATTGATGTCCTTGGATCTGGTTGGCCAACAGTACTTCCCTACCACTTTGCTGAAGGCGACCTGCGTAGCAAAGTCCCCGTGTATTTCGTGCAATTCCATGAGCGCTTGCAACAGATCCTCCTCCATGACACATTTCGACCATTCAGATTCTTTGTCCTGGTAGGCAAGGTACCCAACCTTTCCCTCTTCCAGAACCACCAGATGGTAGCGCTACTTGTATGGCAGGCTGTGGTGCTGGCTGCACTTGGCTGGTCGCCGTCGGTTGCTGGAGTTGACCGGTTGCCGTTGATTGCTGGAGTTGACTGTCTTTTGCGTCGTGAATCCTGTCCAACTTCCTGGTGACAATGTCTCAAATCAGGCACTTTCAATGTACCTTTTGAACAAGGTCCGCATCCAGTCCGGCTCCCCTGGCCCTGGTGGGAAGTTCATCGGTCGGTAGCGACCGCGATTGTGTAGTTTGGTCATTCCGTGATGCAACTGTTGAGGACCGTTGGATACCATCATTGGCATTGAGAACACTAATTATTATTAAGGTCCAGGACTTGATCCCTTCTAAGATATTGGGTCAATGGACCTCTCAAGTCCATGTGCCGTAGGATGATTCGGGGGAAATATGGGGGAGTCGAGGGGTGAAGTCAATGAATGGGACCTGGGCATAGCCGCTGAATGAGTTGTTCTTAGGCCTTTTTGACAGGCTTCTCTGGCCGCTCCGCAAAACCCTACTTCAACCAAGCCTGGCTGCACGGGCCAGGTTGAGTGCTAACTTCACGATGGAATCTGAGTAGCGCGGATAATACCGGTCTCGGCTGACATTTCGACATTCTGGGCAAAGAGGTACATCTGGACTAGCTGGCCCTTGATTCTCTGACGGATAAAACCATGTATCGTTAAGTTTCACCCTTTCTTCCACTGCAGCACAGTTGAGGCAGTCTCGCAGCTCCGCGTCAGCAGGACGAATACTTCCAGTATCCCAGAAACGTTTCTTCTCTCGGAGCTTCAGACAACCCTTGTAGGCGAATAGGTTATTGCGATTTCTGGAATTGTTAGCCATGGAAAGCCAGGTTGGATCATCATCTGGGCAGATGGGATTGCAGGTTTGTCGGAAGGGAAACACCCTTACTTCTCCCAAGTCTGCATAGCCGCTAGGTGAAGTAGCTTGTTTTCATCCTTTTTGGGCCATTCTACCTTGATAATCTCCCTGTATATTGTGCAGCTTTGTGATAATGCCAGAGCCGATGGATCGTCGAGGAAACTGATGATTATCAGCTGGAGCTCGACCGGGAGGTCGAGTACAATCTTTCTGTTCATTGTGATACTTGGAACTAGCTACCAAATTGGAGGTTGTAAATAATGGCTCGGTAAATGGCTAAGAGGAAGGTAGGAGATAGTAAGTTGAAGTAAAGGTGCCGGCGGTCATTCACTAGGCTCCCTACAATCTACCTCAGCAAGGAAGTGCATACCCACTATCCACACTCAAATGGTAACCTGGACTGTATAATCATCGCAGCTGCCATGACCGAAGCAGACTTGACCATACATCTTCATAGTGTAGATACGGCATCGCGTACTCTATCAAGGCCTGTCGTGTACGTGCAACACCGAGAATCAATACCCGCAGGCGTAGCCTGGATGTTAAGCCGGTTTCAATCATCGCTATGGGTCACGAGGGCAATATTTGAGTTGAAGCCATCCTGGAGTAGTACCATAGGTAGTAACAGCGTCTGACCGATGAAGCGCCTGTTGAACTTACTAAGCCAGTGAGCCTTCCTCGACGGCCCGCGATGAACCAGATAAGTAACCATGTCGGGGGACGACTTAGATAGTAGCTGATTTGACTGGCTTATAAACTTCAGTACGGAGGATACTTGACTATATGGCTAGAGTTATCCCATTTCAATGCATCTGTTATTGATGATCAAAGATCAAGGAATCATGGTAGTCACACCAATCTCCCGAAGTACTATATCATGGCTGGTCTCCAGGACAACTGGTGACGATATATCCCGACCTATTCCCTCCCGTGACAAATGTTAAAGAATATCATTGTCGATGTTGAAGGCTGTAAGTATTGCACTTCAGTAAAGTAAAAAGACAAGGAAAAAACCAATAAAAAACAGTAGGAAAACAAAATGCCCAAGATCCGAATATTATATTCGAATACGAGACGAGACGCCGAAATGCTTCATCATTCCTGTAAAATCCAAAGAAAACTAGACTTAATCCGCACATGTCCATATCAATTTCCATGTCCATGTCCATGTCCAATCAAGGTCGTCGCTTCACAAACTCCTCCAAATCCGCCTTGGTAGCAACACCAAGCACGAACTTCCGCGCAGCGTCCGTAACCACGGCAAATTGGTGCTTTTCACGCTCATCGCCGTTGGCACCGGTCTGGCTCTCGAAAAACTTCTCCAATTCCTCCAGTGGTGTCTCCATGGTGATGACCTGGTAGATACCGCGCTTACGGTTGAAGCGCTGCATAGAGGCAGAGACGGGATCCGACTCCTTAACGGTGCCGTTTTGGATGAGTTCCTTTAAGCGGGGAATGCTCAGGTAGCCGAGGAGAGATCGCGAGGAGGCGGAGATGACAGTAAGGTGGGTGTAGTCGCGTTCGTAGGCGGCCATTAGAGCGGCGGAGATGGGGCCATTGGGAGAAACGGAGAGCGCGGGAGGAGGGTCGAGGTCTTCGACTGTGGCCTAAGTAGCAGGTAGTTAGCATCGGGAGTGGAGACATGAACAGGTTTAGGCTCGCAGGAACGGCTCAACTCCATCGACATCGGTGGAAGCGGGGTGGACTCACCCCACGGTACTTGTTGGCCCATGGCGATTGCTGGGCCGCATTGGCGTGAGCAGAGGTATCATTCTCGCGAGTATAGGCCTCGCTGCCGGTGAGGTATGAAGCCATTGCGCTGGAGCTTTGCTGCTGCGCGGGGTTGGCGGGGTGTTTTCGAGGGGTATTGGTGGAGGCGCACGAGCAGCTGGGGGTGAAGAGAAACGGCGGGTATAGAGAAGACAAAGGTCGATCGAGAATGAAAGAGAGTCGGAATAAAAGTTGCGACGAAACAATCAAGCAAGGGGGAGATCTCAAGTGACTGCGGAGGAGGTTGCGGAGGAGGTTGTGTAGAGGGTCTTTTTTTCTCGCGCTTTTCCTCTTTCTCTCCCGCCAAGACCGACGTCACCCCGGCCTGACTCAACGTGATTCTGCGACTTTGCGACTTTGGGGGCCTCGCAGCCTTGTTTCACTCTCGTCGGATTTCGGACTTAGTCGGCTTTAAATTGGGGTCCTTTTTCACTGATCTCCTCCTACCCTTCAACTTTTCCTCATTCAAGTTCAATTTATCTCTGTTTTCCTAGTGAGTTACCAGAGCCCTCAATTGGTGGAGCCACCACGGCACGATCGCTGCGTCTGGCATGACCCACTTTGGATGACCCGCAACTCTTACTGATCAAGGTGTATATCTATATGAGCAGTAAACAGTCAATAATGCTTCCCTCCAGCTCGACTGTCGCTTCGCTAGCCGCTCAGCACCCGCTGGGTGGTATGCATATGCAGCAAAATCCCCAGTCTGGGCAGGTCTTTAATACACCCAAACGCCGTGAGCCATTCCAAGCATGGAGCGCAATCGACGATGCAAAGACCAAGGCAGCCAGCATTGGCAAAGAAGCAGCTCGGGAATTTGAACTTGCAAGCGAGAAGGCACAGCAGAAGACGGGCAAAATCGAGCCCTGGTCTGCCCAATACTATGCCGCTTGCACTGTAGGCGGAATGTTAGCCTGTGTTGGTTACCCTTGTCAATCGCCTAGCCCTTATCCTGGGTCGTCACTGACCATGACTATGCTTGTATAGGGACTTACCCACACTGCCGTCACCCCCCTCGACCTGATCAAATGCCGTCGTCAAGTCGATTCGAAGCGTTACAGTAGCAACACACAAGCATTCAGCAAGATCCGTGCCGTCGAGGGTATTCGCGGGGTCTTCACCGGATGGAGTCCCACTTTCTTCGGATACAGCGTAAGCAGATATAGCTAAATTATATAAACCCACCGACGGGCTACTAACAAAGCTATTCAAGGCTCAAGGAGCATTCAAATACGGTGGATACGAATACTTCAAGAAGTTTTACAGCGACCTAGTCGGTCCGGAAAATGCTCAGAAGTACAAGACTGCCATCTATCTGGCTGGTAGTGCTTCGGCCGAGCTGATCGCCGACATTGCTTTGTGTCCCTTTGAGTCGGTCAAGGTGCGCATGCAGACCACCATTCCATCTGAGTTCAAGGGTACTTTCAGTGGTATTTCGGCCATTGTTGCGAAGGAGGGTTCTTCTGGGTGAGTTTGGCATGGCGTGGCGTTCAAATATAGTTATTACGTTTCAGAGTACTGAACTAATTCCCCACCAGGTTGTACAAGGGTCTCTACCCACTCTGGGGTCGACAGATTCCATACACTATGATGAAGTTCGCGTCTTTTGAAACTATTGTGGAGATGATCTATAACAAGCTTCCGGGCCAGAAGTCCGACTACAACAAAGGTGCCCAGACTGCCGTGGCTTTCACTGGTGGTTACATGGCTGGTATTCTCTGTGCAGCGGTATCGCATCCAGCCGATGTGATGGTCAGCAAGTTGAATGCGAATCGCCTGGCGGGAGAAGCATTCGGTGCTGCGATGAGCCGCATCTACGGGGATATCGGATTCATAGGTCTGTGGAATGGATTGCCTGTCCGTATTGTTATGGTTGGCACTTTGGTATGTCCTGTATGAGAATTCCGGACTTGGAGTATAGTACTAACAGGTTTCATAGACTGGTCTCCAATGGATGATGTATGACCTCGCCATTGCGCTCATTTCTATTGTTGCAATTATAGGTGCATGGACGCTGACCACTTTCGCAGTTACGATTCGTTCAAGATCTTTATGGGGCTCCCAACCACTGGTGGCTCTTCCGAAGAGAAGAAGAAGTAAGGAGGGGGATGTTTTTTCTGAAGTATGGGTTTAAGAATGTGTTCCCGGCCATATATTCTCTTACTGGGGCTCAGAATTCAGGAGTCTTTTCTGTGATTAGTTTCCTTAGGTTTAGTGATCAATGTATCTCCCCTCACATCTATACATTCTCTCGCATCTATTCCATGATTCCATGACCTCAAGGTAGTAAGTAACTAATCGCTATCTTTAGTCACGGCCCCGACCAATCGCGGCTTGGCCGTCTTATCTTATCATCGACGTCATCCAATCCAATCGCGTCAATCCGCCAAAGCGATCCAATGCAGTTGCAATAGTCAATGAGGTACAACGAACTGGAGATAAAAAACACCCGACTTTAGCGTATCGAGCCTCAAATGGGCGAGATCTAGCATTGAGCACACACTTACACATTCCGGCATATCCTCGTAGGGCCCGCGCTTTCACGTCAGACATCCATCCTCTTTCTTTTTCTTCCTCCTCTACATCTATCTATTCTCTACCTCTGCCTCTGCCTCTACCTCTACCCGACTTGCCAAATTCCATCTCTGGAAACTCCCCACCCCCTTCGATAAAGATATCTAGCCCCCACTTCGCTAACCCCAGTCCGGTCCGAGAGAATCGTACCTGCGTCTTATCGCCCCGACTCCAATTCTCCATACAAGGTAGCTCCCTACCCAGTCGCAATAAAACACAATCCACGTCAAACCCCTCGATCTCACCGTCGCACAAACCCAGACACAACATCTAACTTACTCTCCAGAAACACCACATCACAATGGGCAGTCAATCAGGTCAACCAGACCAACCCATGGTCTCCCACGGCCGCGGAGGTAAGTAATACCAATAGTAGGAGTACCATCCCATCTCACCTTGATCTAATCCAAATCCCTCCCTACCTAGGTCAGGGAAATATCGGCCACGATGCAACTGAGTACACCTCACCCTTCCTCCCAAGTACAAACCGATCCAAACGGGACAACTCCAACTAACACCCAACAGATACGTCGACGGTGAAATCGTTCGCGAAGGAGTCTACGGCGACCAAGGCGACGGCGCATACTCAGCCGGCGTAAGCACTCACCCCCGATACCGATACCGATACCGATACCGCATCAAGCAGAATGCAACAGAACAGAGCATAGCAGCTAACTTGAACGCTTTCCCAGCGCGGCGGCGTAGGAAACATCGGCTCACCGCGCGTGCGCCCAACTTCCAAAGTCCCACACGACGCGGAGATGATTCCCGAGCTGGCCGTTCGTAATTCTACGGATGAGGTTTATCATACCGGTGTAAGTACAATTAAACCGGGTGAAGTCAGAGTTTGGAAATTTATTTTGGGCTTGATCTGATCCGATCTGATGTGACGATGCTGACTTGACTATTTGTGTTTAGCGCGGAGGTCAGGGAAATGTGCACCTTGATGAGGCGGCTCGTAAAGAGAAGGAGGAGAAGAAGGTTAAGGGGCCTGTTCATGATGGGTTGGCGGATCGGTTGAAGAATAAGTTGCTGGGTCGTAAGTAGATGGGCCATCTGGATACCTTCATGGTAGCTATGGGTAACTATCGGGTCAGTGCCAGTGTGATTGCGGGTGAAAGTGAAGTTGGAATTGGTAAATTGAACGGTTTTGGCGGTTGTGTTATGTTGTGTGATTCCCATCTATGCTGCGTTTACTTGTGATTATTTCTAACTTATCCCTGCTACTTGACTTTATCTGATGACGTTTTCTGAGATGGTTGTGTTGTAGATTTGGATTTCGTATATGCGACTGAAAGGTTGTTTGAAGGAGAGTATTACAATGTTGTGTACCAGCATCCAGCCACTCATCCACAGTACAGTACATCCAAGTCATCCACGATCCGATCCATAAATTCAACGGGCAAAGAAGAAAACATCAAGTGCAATTCCATATTCGTGTCCATACCCATATCCATATCCCATCCGTAAAAAGGCACATAAGAAAAAAAAAAAAAAAAAACACCCGTGCATCGTGACTCATAAGCAGGACTTGGGCGAGCAAGCCAAAAGGTTCCAATCAAATCAACATGAGAACAAATGACCCACAATCCGTGCAGATTAAAGAAAGAAAGAAAAAACGCTGCGAAGAAGGGGTGATGGTAATACATCCGCGAAAAGAAAAGGAAGATCAACATCGATACCGACACCGTATAGCGCCAGAGCAGAAAGAAGGAAAGAAAACGCCAGAGAAAAGCCGGATCCTCCTCGAGAGGAAGGAATCCAGAGAGATATTTCAGCAAATCAAACTTAGATCAAGACCAGCTCAGCCAATCTAATCGAGTTTAATCCTTACTGAACCGCCTCTTAAACCAACTCTTCCGCTTGTCCCCAGCACCCGCTGCTCCAGTCTGAGGCGCCTTCTTCCTCAACGCGCCATTTGCCGGCGCAGCGAAATGCTGCTGCGCCACACTGCCAGGACTGGTCGGGCTCGCGACAGGCGGCGGCGCCGACGGAAAACCCTTAGTATTCAGCGGGGCCGCGTTACCGAACGAGAACCCATATTCCTGTGCGCGGTCGTCCATTCGCTGCTGTTGCTGTTGCTGTAATAACGCGTGTTGTTGCAATTGGTCCACGGAGCTATTCATTGAGCTGGGATCTGTGGACTGGCCGTATGGATCTGTTTGAGCGGATCCACCTGAGCCTGATGCGGTGACGTTGTCGTAGGATTGGTGATAGTTGTTGTTCTGGTAATAGTTTGTTTGGTCGGTTGATACATGGGGCCGTCGGCGGCCGTTTTGTTGTTGCTGCTGTTGGTAGGGGTAGTAGTTTTCTTGCTGGTTGTATTGATTGCCGTCGGCGAGATCGTCGGGTCGTGATTGATTGCGGCTGTGGTAGTTGCTTTGATCGTATCCGCGGTTGTATCCACCTTGTCCTGTCAGGCTTGTTAGTACGAGTATTCCCGTTGTGATGGGGAAACAGGGCTGGGGGATGACCCACCTCCATAGTAGCTTGTTCGTCGGCTGTAGTCGCCCATTTGGGAGGCTGCGTCTTCTATTGGAATACATGAGCCTGGGTTTTGAGGTTTGTCTGTGGATTGGGAGGTGAACGAACCTGTCCGAGCGTATGATACCGGTCGGGTACTGTTGTATGTGCCATAGATGGCGGCTTCGAACGATCGGATGGTGTCTAGCGGTCGCTCAGATCGGGATCGGGTAGGGTTTGACCAGTCGGGATCGGCTGCCACGAGAACGCAAGGGTTAGTTTGAAGAGAAGGTGGGAAGGTGGAGATGAGAATGCTGGAATGCATGTGGCAGGTGATAAGAACGGGGAGGAGAAACACTCACTGATGAGATTTCCAAATTGATCTTTATGTTGGATATCTCGCAGAGAGCTCAGATTGGACTTCTGGAGCGCAATGTCATCTGTGGATCAGGTCGTCAGTTAAAGCAATGGGGGGGAGGAGGTCGGAATGCGACCGGGTTGGGTGTTGGGAGTGGACGTACTGGGCTGCAACTCATTCATGGCGACGGTCGGGTCTGCCTTTGTGTGAAGATTGCGCCTTTCTTTCTCCTCGTGAGATTCCGAGAGGTGAATCTTATTCCCGGAGGTGCTTGTTCGGCGAGAATTGTCGGATTTGACGCTGAAACCACGACTTCGGCGAGGAGAGGAGGAAACGGGCGGTTGGGGGGGCGGCCATTTTTATTAGGGGCGGTTTCCACCGTCTTTCTTAGCGTCCGAGATCAAGGCAGGTCTGAAACGGCTGGGATCGTCTGAGCTTGGGCGGGCGTTGTGGAGCGCGATTGCGATGAAGGTGGAACTGCCAAGCCGATCACAGGGCTACTAGATGGACGGCGCGAGGTTCGTGAGTGAGTGGTGAGACACTGAGGATGCTCTGAGCGCTGGGAATCGCTGGAAAATGGTGATTGCTGAGTGGCAGATGATGAGGGAAAAGCAAATGTGATTGTGATGGCTGGGAGGTTGGGAGGCTGGTTGGTGGTAGGTAGGTGGCAGCCGTTGGGTAGAAGATAGAGGATGAGGATGCTGGCAGCGATCGGTGGAGCGCCGTTGAACTGCGGAGCAAGAGGACACTACTGCGAGCAACAGGCGAGGGGCAGCAGGGTAATCACTTAAATATGTAGAGGAGAAAGTTGAGGACGACGCCGGCCACGCAATACTTGGGCAGAGACGAGTGGCGTTCCGGTGGTTACCTACACTGCCGTACATCGAGTATAGCGGACTTGGTCATACAGAAGAGAGGAGAGTAGAACAGCAAAGTACTAAAGTACAAGAGTACTCAATTACTAGAGTATATTATCCCCCAACTCATTGATGAATCCAATCTCCTCTGGTACTCTAGAAATACTACTAGTAGTAATCTCCCGCTGTACTTTCTTCCCCTCTTCAAATCAATTCTGCTTGTGATCAACCGTGGTACACAGCCCGAGTGTTGCGCGGCTGCGATTGGCGAGGTTCTTCATTAGCGGGAGTCACCCAAAAATAGACCACACCACTACCATCACCATTAATGCCAGGCACAACCCGGTACCACCTCGCTGATCCGCTGATATAAACTCTCGCTTTCAGTACTAACTAATCCCTTCGATACCTAGGTCAGAGAATCTTGCCGCCGCGCGTGATGCAGGGCCGTATCCGTGGTCTTCCAATTGGCCAGTGGGGCATCGCGGATGGCGGATCGGTCGAGATGTGGCCATGATCCAGCAGAAAAATTGCAATTGGGTTCGCTAGTCTGGCTGTGTGAATATTCGGAACTGCAAGTCCGGAGAACTGCTTCAGCTTTCTTTGATGCCCTTGCCCTGGTACACAGTAATCAAGTTCAACTGTTTGGTTTGATATAACGCGAGTGATTGCCGATGCCAGCAACCAATCAGGACCATGCCCGCCAAGTCTCAGGGACATTCTGAGTCAGTGTTACCAACAAAGAAAATGTTTCAAAGTGCTCAGGCGTCAGGTGGATTATACCTCGGTATGAAAATTTAAATCATCCACTTGAGTCTGTGGCTTCTAGAATATATACTATGTACATACTCGTATCGGCACATGGGTCTGCCCCGGAATGCCATCACACTTTAATTTAATGAAGGACCCACCAGCGAACCTATCCATTTTTATGCACCAACTCCTGAGGTTGAGTATTCATCCGTGAATAAATCAATCAATACTACTATACACTTGAGGATGATAAAAATTTGGTACCCAATCTTACTAATACTGAACGAGTAGTATCTGGGAGGTAACTGGGAGGTACTAGCTGACACCATGGGATATGCTACTAGAACCTAATACTAATGCATCGATATATATTTGTACGTTCAAGAACCTTGTTCAACCTGAAGTTTTTCGGAATTTACACCTGGGCAACCTTGGAATCTTCATTAGATCTCATGGGCATGTTCATCCGAGTCATCAGACGTCGATATATTTTGGCGAGCAACCCCATAATCCATGGATGTTAAATTCTATCACATCCATGATCACTGGCAATCAGTACACATACTATTCACTAGGTATAGTACAATTTCACCTTCATTGGCATGATGTTCATACTAGTACAAGTACTAGTAGTATGTCTGGTTAACTTGAAGTGATACTGCTCAGAAAATCTCGAATTTGAATTCGATATGTCGAAGATCATGTCTGATACCCCCAGCTGACCCTCAAGAGACCATGTCGGACTTAATGGACGCCTGGGTGCGACATCATAATCCATCTATGCCTGCTGACTCCACTACTAGTAGGTACTAGGCTACTCTGCTCCCACATGGACCCTGCGTATTCAAGTTGTGCCAACTTGAACTTCAAGCAGAACTGATGCTGCTCCCGCCCCAATTCTGATGGCCGCCGACGTAGGTGGGTACCCAGGTACAATACACCCAGTCTAGCCCCCGATTACAAGTACGAATACGAAATATCTGAGTAGGCGCAATGGGTGGTATAATTTTTAACAGATGCCTTGGTGGAGTAGCCAGAGCAAAACATGCAATTCTCTATAACAGAAAAGACGAACGCATGGGGGACCAAGCCAGGTATTGGGGGGAAAAAGAACTTCGAACTCGCATTAACCGGGTAGTTGAAAATGGTATGGATTTTGGTGTGTAAGAGCGTCAGATACACGGGAGGAGAAAAAGGGTGACTGAATGCAAAAAGCGACCAGAACGAATCGCTCACGCACAGCCACAAAATAAACAATCATCAGCAATCATCATGGAGGGTAGTATGATGATCCGAAAATTAAGATAATAAATCAAAAGGAACAGTCTCTTCATTCCATCACTTCCAAATTTCCCACCGTCTCAGTTAAGAGAAGACGGGAATAGAAAGTAGGTCGAGACATTCGAGGTTTTGCGGGTTTGAAAACAGTGCAATAAAAAGGTTGTTTGTGTGCTTCAAAATGGTAAAACTTCTTTTTTTCTTTTGATTCGTAGGGCTCGGTTTGTGTGGTTTTAGTTATTGGCCCTGCCTGCTTTCTCCCACGAATGTAAAAAAACGTTGTTCAAACCGCCAACTCCCAATCCAAACAACATCTCGGCTTTTTGCCGATTCCGTCGACTTTTCCTTGCCTGGCCGGCCGCCGTCTGCACGAAAGGGAGAAAGAGAATCGCCCACTAGATACAGAGAAGCCGTTTAGATGTTGGAGGGGTAGAGCATGACGCGGACGGTAGCACCGAAGGACTTGGGGGGGAGGTTGTTGCGGAACTTGGCGCGAACAACACCGGAGTTGCCTGGTGGAGGTGGTTAGTATTGCGCAGAAAAGGCTGAAAGCAGAGAGGCTTCTCGATGGGGAGAAGGCTCTATGCTGGAGATGATGGCATACCGTGAGGGCGGGTGACCTTGCCCCAGATCACCCGGATGTTGGAGCCGCGGACCTCACGCTTGGCACGGTAAACGAAAGCGACCTTCTTGCCAAGGTAGAAGCTGGCGGCCTTGGGGTCGTCAACGCCCTCAATCTTCACCAGGGAGGTGTTGGGGTTGGTGGCGTGCTTGGAGCGCTGGTAGCTCAGGTGGCGTCCCCTGCAAAGAAATCCGTATTAATCCTCTGATCTGATACATGTGCGGTGTGTGTTTGAAAGTGCTCGTAGATGAATATGCGATTGCGAATTTTGTTTCTTTTCCGTCGCTTGGGTGTTCACAGTGTGCGGTTCCTGAATCCATCTCGACGGGCGATCTCGAAATCGAATCGGGGGGGGTATTTGTGGGCAGATGCGACGAGCGGAGTGAATAACTTACTTGACATAGACTAGAAGAGAGAAGACATGTTAGCATAAGATGTTCAATATTGGAGGTTTGGTTGGTGATGGCCGATGCGCGTGGGCGATCTCGAAGTCGACCTTCGAACGCATCTCCCGACCATACACGGTGATTGTAAAGGGCGCACTCACGGCGGTGTCCTTGTTGTTCCGAAGACATGATGTCGATTCTTCTCTGAGCAGCGGGCAAGGAAAAGATGTCGAAGGAATGACCCGCAAGTTGTCGTCTGGTTGTCGTCGGCTTTGAGATAGTCGAGCGCACAATCAAATTGGGAGGTGTGGTGGCCATTTCCGCCCTAACCCAATCGGGTCCTTAGCGACAGGGTAAGCGAGATCACGTGAGCGCACTTCCAGGCCTTCGGGAGAGTGGGTTTATCCGGGCCGGGATCACACCTGAGGCATTCAAGGGGTATATGTTGGCCTTTGTGCCTTGGTGCCTGCCTGCCTAAGGTGTCAATTGACACCTATTTTTATTTTCAATTCACACCCGATTTCTCAGGCGCCAATCACCTCATCGCATCACCTGACTAGTCGGGCAACAGTACTCCGTAGTCCGGCCCAGGCTGGAGAGCTGACAAACTGCCCGAGTTCACCATGACGACACCGTACTTTCTTAGTTGGACCTTAAGGTGACTACGGAGTATGGACGACTTGGTTGATCATCGGTTATGGTGATGGTGATGCTGTGTCGGTCTTTGAATGGCGGGCCAAACATACTACTACTACTCGCGGGGTAACTACCATATGGTCAAGACCAGCTAGGGTATCACCCAATCACTCAATATATCAGCCATGACTGCTCTTCGTGACTTCATTCGCTGGACCACTGTTTGATATTCTGCATAAGCAACTGGCATTGCGCGGAAAAAAAATGCAATGCCAGGATTTTGATCTGGCTGATTCGGACTCTTCTCCGGCATGAAGACAGACCGGGCGGACTGATTGGGAAAGCAAGATATCCCCAAGCCCCACCAGTGCAGGAATGATTGACCGGGAGATCGGGCGGATCGCTCGTACGAGTCGGTTATGGCGTACGGAGGACAGTGGCCCTGACGGTTAATTGAGAATCAAGATAGCGCCGAATGCGGCACTGGGCCGAGTGCCGGAGTTACAGCGGGAAAATAGAATCCGTCTGGTATGAGAGATGACAAATGTGCCGATCGTCCCCACGATTGGGTCACCGGAGGAGGCATAGTCTAGGTACGAGGAGACTGTCAGGTCATATCAGTATACTCGTACAGACATGTAGGTGCCGGGATTTGTGTGTTGTAGAGAGCTTTTGGGTGCGAGAATGATAGCATCAACTGGAGTCGTATGCATCCACTCTATATGTACATATACGGATGTATGTATTAACTCCGTATACTGGGTAGCTTCTGCAACGAGGTAACTCTGTGTCAAGCTCCACCCCGCTGACCGCAACCCTTCGAGGATACTAGTCCTCTTTTTTGTCGGTCGACTTCTCCACACTGCATTCAGGCTGTTCAAGTTTCTGTTCTCTCGATACCGAGTACGGAGACCTGTATGGTATTATCGATCAGCTGACTCTTTCCTTTAATCTTCCAGAACCTCCGTCTCCATTGGGCTGCCGTGGTGGCTTGCTGGCTTGCTGGCTTGCTGGCTGGGGTTGCACCTGCACTCCGACTAGGACTGGCTGACGGGGTCAGCAAAAAGCAAATTTGAAAATAATATTAGTACCGCACGGAGGAGGGGGAGACATCGATCAAACATAAGATCACCCTGTGGTAGTGGTAATGGTAGTGGTGGAGTTGATGCTATAGCACCAACACCAGGAGTGGACAACACACCAAATCCAAGGACACGGCTGGACTCGCAACGAGGAGATAGACTACTCTTTATGTACAGTATGTACAAATTAAGTATGGCATGCCAACCTGAAAGATACTAGGTAATCTAAATACTCCGAAGTCATAGTCATAGTCATAGTCATACATAAAATACCCAAGCCCCACCATCGCAAGCTGTGAGAGCGACTCTCCCCCGTTGAAAAGTACCTGCTCCGCCGGAACGTGTTGGAGCGTGGTGTTCTTCCTCTTTCCCAACAACTTCACCCTCTCCCATCTCTTTTCCCTTCTCCCTTCTCCCAGCTTGTATATTCTGCCGTTGGTGCGTGTTGCAAAATGTCCAGCATCATCTCCAACGACGAGCACCAAAATGCCGGGTAAGTTTCCCTCTGCCTCTGTCTGTCTCTGACATCACCTCCCCTCCCCTCCGCTCAACACCAACCCGATGCGCCCTGGCCTCTGCACCTTCGTCTCGACACCTCTCCTTATCTCCCCTACACAAGCGCACTTCGGGAATCACTCAATTCGAGCCAAATCGATTCACCCTTTTGCTCTTTTCCCCCATCTTGGCCCTTTTTCACCCTCCCGTGCACCCCGCTCGAACCCCTCCATCCTATCTCCGTCTGCAAATTTTGCCTCTTGTGCTTCGTCCTGATCGGTCCGACTAACAATGGCTTCTTTGGCTTTCAGCACCATTGAATTGAAGGATGACACCATCATCGTGGTGCTCGGTGCATCCGGTGATCTGGCTAAGAAGAAGACGGTTTGTTACCCCTCCTCGCTCTGCCCAGACGGGCCTTGCTACTCCGTGACTCCTCATTGCTAACTCGCTCCTCAGTTCCCTGCGCTCTTCGGTCTCGTATGTGAAGCTTCACCCTGTGCGACATGGTCGCCTCGCTAATTACACCTCCAGTTCCGCAACAAGTTTCTCCCCAAGGATATTAAGATCGTCGGATATGCGCGGACGAAAATGGACCACGAAGAATACCTTAAGCGTGTGCGCTCTTACATCAAGGTCCCCACAAAGGAGATTGAAGAGCAATTAGATCAGTTCTGCACATTCTGCACCTACGTCTCCGGTCAATATGACGAGGACGACTCCTTCATCAACCTCAACAAGCACCTCGAGGAGATCGAGCATGGTCGCCAATCAAAGGAGCAGAACCGCGTTTTCTACATGGCTCTGCCCCCCCAGTGTTTTCATTACTGTGTCTGAGCAATTGAAGCGTAACTGCTACCCCAAGAGCGGTCTTGCCCGCATTATTGTGAGTATTTGCCGAGCAATTGGTGATGCCGAGGTCCCGGAGCTAATGCGTCATTCTTCCCCCAACAGGTCGAGAAGCCTTTCGGTAAGGATCTGCCCAGCTCCCGCGACCTCCAGAAGGCTCTGGCCCCCAACTGGAAGGAGGAGGAGATCTTCCGCATCGACCACTATCTCGGTAAGGAGATGGTCAAGAACATCCTCATTCTGCGATTCGGCAACGAGTTCTTCAACGCTACATGGAACCGTCACCACATCGATAATGTTCAGGTATGGATATTTTTGATTAGAGTCCGAAACAACTTGGATCTAACGCAACCTCCAGATCACATTTAAGGAGCCTTTCGGCACCGAGGGCCGTGGTGGTTACTTCGATGAGTTCGGCATCATCCGTGATGTCATGCAGAACCGTATGTGCTGTCAATAAAAGACATCTGTAGCCCATTTCGCTAACCCTCTGCAGACCTTCTTCAGGTTCTGACCCTGCTCGCCATGGAGCGCCCCATCTCTTTCTCTGCCGAGGACATCCGTGACGAGAAGGTCCGTGTTCTGCGCGCGATGAGCGCGATCGAGCCCAAGAATGTCATTATTGGTCAATACGGTCGTTCCCTGGATGGCAGCAAGCCCGGATATCTGGAGGATGACACTGTGCCCAAGGAGTCGCGTTGCCCTACCTTCTGCGCCATGGTCGCTTACATCAAGAACGAGCGTTGGGACGGTGTTCCCTTCATTCTGAAGGCCGGAAAGGGTAAGCTTAAATCCTTGATTACTGATTGTTTCAACTATCATGCTAATCCTAACTTCCACCAGCCCTCAACGAGCAAAAGACCGAGGTTCGCATTCAGTTCAAGGACGTCACTTCCGGCATCTTCAAGGATATTCCCCGCAACGAGCTCGTCATTCGCGTGCAGCCCAACGAGTCCGTTTACATCAAGATGAACTCCAAGCTGCCCGGTCTGTCCATGCAGACGGTAGTGACCGAGCTGGACTTGACCTACCGCCGCCGCTTCTCCGACCTTAAGATCCCCGAGGCCTATGAGTCCCTGATCCTGGACGCCTTCAAGGGCGACCACTCCAACTTCGTCCGTGACGACGAGCTCGACGCCAGCTGGCGCATCTTCACCCCTCTTCTGCACTACCTGGACGACAACAAGGAGATCATCCCCATGGAGTACCCATACGGTGAGTCAACAGCCTCCATACTTCCCATGCTCACCACAGTGGTCTAACATCTATCTTTCCCCCAGGCTCCCGCGGACCCGCCGTTCTCGACGACTTCACTGCTTCATACGGCTACAAGTTCAGCGATGCTGCCGGATACCAGTGGCCCGTCACCAACACTGCCCCTAACAGACTGTAGGGTTTTTTTAGCTTGCACTTTGATAACGACGATATGGGATGCGGAATATGAAGGCGAATAAAATCCACTTTTCTTTTCTTTCTTCTTCTTTCTTTGAACTCCCTCTTTCCTCATCCTTCCGATTCTCACGGTAGTATCCTACCAAGTTTGATGCTCGGTTTCCTCCTTGCTGCGATAATCTCGGGCTCCTGCATCTAGCTTTATGTCTAGAGGTTGGAATTAAAGATGTTTATGACTGACATGAAATTTTCCCATCTAAGCTGTTACCTTTGGCACCAATGGTGTTGCATTTCGAAGTCTGTGTACTTCGCTTTGATGCTTCCGGATGTCTGTGAACCTTTGCTGTAGTGTATATTTGGAATAGGGTGAATAGTAGGACAGGAGCGAGGCTAAGCGGGTAAACCAGTCTCTGCCTTCTAACACCTCGCCAGTGGTGCAGTTGGGTAGCTCCTAACTGCCGGCCTAATCCGGAGGACGCTCTGGATGGGAGTACTGGTTAGTGCATGGCTATCCCTGGGCTATGCAAAAGAAGGTGACGGGGGCGGGTGGCAACAAGTTAGGACTCCGAAGGGAGAGGCAGACTTGGGTTAATGACTTTTTTTTTCGATTTTTCTTAATCATTGCTTTGGTCATGATTTAGGTACTTAATCTCTTCATTATTATCTTGTTCAAAAGCTATTACTTAAATATAGGTTGTTGATTTGATATATGAAGTGCTGGATATCCCAAGTTCTGTAGAAGATGCATTTGCCCAGGACAGAAGAACATGCCCCACTATTTCCCTGTTACGAGGAAGGTGGAGGTTCGAAACCACAAACGTTGGCCAGTACAGAATTATTTTACTCAACATTCTTGTTGGCTAGTAGATGTCGACTTAAACTATCTTTCCACAGATCTCAGTCTGAGCAAATGGAGCCTCTTATTGGCGCTTCGGACGGAGTTCTTAGACTTTTAACAGGTTTCGCGCATGGTAGCGTTGCTAATTTCGTTCAATGGAACTTGTGGTATAAGAGATTATGCAGCACAGAATTGATGATATTCGATTTGTTCCCAATTGAAACATCTATTATTTATGCATTCGAGAGCACCACGGCGCCATATGGCTGTAGCTCGACTTTGCCCTGAGACCGACCAATACTAGCCTGGTTTGACACCAAAATCGAGAAGCCCTCGTATCTCTCGACAGATACCGTCTGAGGTCGATCGAAGAAATTCAACAACACAACCGCTTTCTGACCTTTCTGCACCCACTCGCGTTCGTATCCTAGAACCATCTCCCCGTCACAGATTCCTCAAGGGCAGTGTATGATCCATAGACGAAAATATCAGAGTGCTCCTTCCGCAGTGAGAGCATCTGCTTCCAGTAGGCCATGATACTCTCAGGGTCATCGAGCTGGCTGGCAACATTCCACTCGGTATAATCCTTGTTGATAGTCATCCAAGGCTTGGCACTTGCAACAGTAAACCCAGCATTAGGCGAGTTATCCCACTGCATTGGCAATCGTCCATGATCCCTCGACTTCAGCTGCAACTCCCGAAGGACGTCGTCCATTTTACCGACATCACCACCCCGAGTTTCCAAAACTTCATTGTAATAGTTCCTCCCCTCAACATCAATATAAGAATCGGCCCCATAGTCCTTGCCAAGATTCGCCATACCAATCTCCTGACCCGCAAGCATGAACGGAGTCCCACTCAACGTCATCAGGTACGTAGCCAGCATCTTGGCCGCAGTCGCGCGGTGCTCCGGGGCATCAGAAGCATACCGAGACAACGAGCGACCACTATCATGATTATCAAGGTAAATCGTATTCCACCCATCAAATTTCGGCATCGCATTCTGCCAAAGATTCGTGATAGTGCGAATCTTCCTCGGATGGAAATCATCTCGCTCGTACTTCCCATTCGGACCAAAATCCATATCCACAATATCACCAGTGAAAAGCATATTCAACTCATGTCGGTCCTTGGCAACGTACTCGCTGACAGACTGTTCATCCTTGGTAAAACCCAACTCGCCAACCGTCATAACATCATAGTGGTCCAGAACCTCTGTCCTGATCTCACGGATATAATCGTGCATCTTGGGACCGGAAGCGAAGAATTCCGCGCCGGACTGGTACGGTTCATCGGGGTTGACAATTTTCCCATCCGGAAGATCAGGATGCTTAGACATGAGATTCATACTATCAATACGAAACCCGTCCACGCCCCGATCAAGCCAGAACCGCATATCATCGTGCGTGGCTTGCCTCATCGCCGCACTCTCCCAGTTCAAATCAGGCTGACTTGGCAAAAAGAGCGCGAGATAATATTGACCGGTTCCCTCATCAAAGGCCCAAGCACTGCCACCGAAGATAGACTTCCAATTATTGGGCTCTTTGCGATTTCCAAGAGCATCATATTTCGGATCTCGCCATATATACCAATCACGCTTGGGGCTGGACTTTGAGCTGCGTGATTCTTTGAACCAGGCGTGTTGGTCGCTGGTGTGATTTACCACTAGATCCATTAGGATGCGGATATTGTTTGCGTGGAGTCGGTCGATTAGGGTTTGGACGTCGGCGACTGTGCCGTAGGGTGCGTGGATGGAGCGGTAATCTGCGACATCGTAGCCCATGTCCTTTTGGGGTGAGGCGAATATTGGCGAGAGCCATATTGCGTCTACGCCTAGGGACTTGATGTAGGGGACTTTGCTGATTATCCCGGGTATGTCGCCTAGTCCATCGCCGTTGCTGTCGAGGAAGCTGGCTGGGTAGATTTGGTAGACGACTGCTTCTTTCCACCAAGTCTTTTGGATGGATTGGGGTGTCATTGTGGAGTGTATAAAAATACAAGTAATTGTGGGAAGATGAAGGTGAAGACGAAGAAGGATGTGATTCAAGTTAAGATGCGGTTGTGGTATATGTAGGTCATGGCGGTAGCACGGGGCTCTTCATACTTCTCCGTCAAGACACCGAAGTTGCTCAGCTCGGGTAGATCAAGGGGAACCTAGGACCAGCTCGGAGAAATTCGTAGCGAAACTTTTGGCGATGCGGAGAGGTTCGTGGAGGTCGATGGTCGGCAACATCGTGGAGCTCTGTTGAGTTTCTCCGAGGAAGCTCCGCTGTAGTCTTACCGCAGTTCGAAATCAAGGTCGAGATACTGTCTATGATGCCAATGTCACCTCCGAATCAATCGCCAGGTGTTTACTTCGCAATTACTCGGGGAATTTGTTGTTTGACTTTGTCGACTGGAAAATTGGTTTCATTTTGTTGTCAGTGTTCAAGGTGGTCTTCGCATGTCAGTGCTTTCGTTAGTACTTTCCCGCTAGTTCTATCCGAAGCTATTGTCCGATGTTATTGAGACAAGTGTTAAGAAGGTATGGGCTTAAGACTAGCTTTGCAATCAATTTTACGAGAAAGGCATTGGAGGTGGTATAAGACATAGTTGAATTTGCATTCCAAATACTATTTTATGAAGTGCTACTGATATAAAGAATCGCTAGGCGAGCTTAATGGGAAATATTTAATCATAGGCTTGAACCCTTCGGCCTCTTAACAAACGGATTTGCCAACATGCTTAGCCTTGTCAGCGAGTCCGCCGAAGAAGCCAGCTTTCTTCTTCTTCTCGACAACCTGGTCTTCAACAACAACAAAGTTCTTGAACTTCCGCGGTGAAACCCTGCTGGCATACAGCGCATCGATTTCCGCATTGGACCTGTTCTTTGTCTCCGGCTGGAAGAAGTAGAGACCGGCGAAGATGAATAGCTCGGCTCCAACGAACAGGAACATGACCCTGCCACCCCAGTTTAGTTCGTCTGGATTGATAAAGTAGGGAAAGACAGATGATAACAAAAGCGCTGTCAACTGCTGGCATACCAAAACAAATGAAATGGTTTTGGGGCGCGTGGCCTGTGCTGCGGTTTCCTGAGCCACGGCCCATCCGTAGCAGCCCACGGTAGCTGTGTAAATCATCGACCAGGTAATCATAAAGGCAAGGAGGGCAATATTGGCAGATGTATTGGTAGTAGGTGCCATCGACACTCCAGCAATGATAACAGACCAGAACATCAGCAGGGTACCTCCACCAATGAGGCCCTTTCTGCGAGGGATGATGTCGGAAAGACAGACTGCAGCAAAGTTTGACAGGAGTTGCAGCGACGAAGATATGGCAGTCAATTGGAATGAGTCAGCTTGACCGATCAACTGGAAATAGTAGGTCTGGTAGGTATTGGCAAAATAGCCACCCGAAAAATTTTGGGATTGAAGGCCGAGCACAGCGACGAGCGTACGGGAGCGATGCTCTTTGGTGAAGATGCTTTTCCAGCTTGTCTGGCTGGCGGCGGACTCCTCGTTCTCAGTCTGTTTGAGTTCTGTCTTGATGGTCTCAATGCAGGCGTCGATATCAGCACCAGGGCCATACAGCCTGGTGATAGCCTTGCGAGCATCTTCTTCACGACCTTTCTTCATGTACCAGACGGGGCTCTCAGGTAGGAAAGGAAGACCGCAAAGATAAAGGCCGGGAATCACGAAAGTCATGACAAAGGCCAGCTTGAAAGACCAGACGCCTTGGATTCCCGACGCACCATATCCAGTAATAGACGCACAGAATTGACCGAAGACAATGACAACGTTGGTAAGAGACGACGCGATACTGCGAAGGTGTGTGGGTGCATTCTCTGTGACATATAGAGGGGGAAGCACCGTTGCAAGACCAACCGAAAGGCCGAGAAGAAGCTTCGAGACAAAGAGGACTGGGAGAGTTGGAGCAAAGACGAGAGCAAATGATGATCCGAGGGAAATGAAGACTGATGCATAGAGCAAGACTTTGCGACCCCAGAAATCGGCGAATTGCCCTGCGGCATAGCCTCCAAAGACCTGGCCGATTGTCGAGGCGGCATTCCACAGTGACTGCCACAAAGCAGGAATTACATACTCGTCACCGACAGCATAGTAATTGCCATAGGCTTTTCGAAAATCGGGGAAGGCAATGGCCAGGCCTGATAAATTGGCATCGTAGCCCCAGCTGAAGACAAGAAGCATGGTGTAGAGAGTCCACAAGCAAAATCGTTTATCAGCCCGGATAGCTGCCCATAGCTTCCGCCATTGCTCTTTGGTTGTGATTTCCAAATGTTGATGGTCTTCAAGCTTTGCTGGCAATGGTTCTTCGGCGGTGGTCTCGACATGACTGATGTCTGTCTTCTCGACTTCGAGAGATTTGAGAGAAGAACCCATGATTGATCAAACCTCGTAGCAGAAACAAGATCGACGGAATTATGCTATTTTTTGAGAAATGTATATCATCGAGTGGAGGCATATCGACATTTTATCTCTCTAGCATGGGGCTTGAGCACCACGGCAAAACTTAGGAAACAGGGATCAAGAATGAAGCTGAAAGTGGTTCTGTGGGAAATCGTCGGGAAAACCTCTCGATAGATCGCTTCCACGTAATGCCCGGCTGACCTTGCGGTGGAGTCCCCCGCGGGGGAATTCTAAGAGCTGAGAATGCTGGCGGACTTACAGCGCAAGTTTGGGAGAGTCTCACATCGCCTCTGGGGAAGTTTCGGCGAAACTCATTTTCATAGTAGAACGCTCCGGTATATCGCCGTTCGATGAATATCAACATTTGTCCTTTTAAAAACCAAAGACTAGTCTTTCGATTCGATAATGCATGCCTTTAATTTCATTTCTTTCTTCCACGATGACCAGTGCATCAAGCTCCGGAGAAACCTCGCAAAGCCCAGAATCCTGTGGCTCAACTGGGGTCACTACTCCCGAGGGATTCAAGGCAGAAACTACTAGTTTTGCCCAGAGGCACACAAGATGGCGTCCATCCTTTCACCTGATGCCTCAAACAGGATGGATGAATGATCCATGCGCACCTGGATATGACCCCTCAACCGGGTTGTATCATGTTTCCTTTCAGTGGAACCCTAATGGCCCCGACTGGGGTGATATTGCTTGGGGAACTGCGACTTCCAGTGACATGATTTCATGGAGCGTTGAAGAACAACCTATCCTCTCACCAGATAATGGCTATGACTCTAAGGGTGTCTTCACCGGATGCTTTGCCAAGGCAGCAGATGGGACTCTCAACTACATCTATACCTCGGTCAGCTCCCTTCCGATCCACCACACCATCCTGCATCAAACTGGCTGCGAGACATTGAGCATTGCGACGTCTTCAGATCAAGGAAGGACTTGGCACAAAAGTGACAGGAACCCCATCCTCCCGGGTGAACCTTCAGATCTTGATGTCACCGGCTGGAGAGATCCATTCTGTGCTCCTTGGCCTAATATGAGCAAGGTTCTGGGCCTGAACCCAGATGATACCTTGTTTGGTATTATCTCTGGAGGTATTAGGGATGTCACACCCACAAGCTTCCTTTACAAGATCAATGCGAATAACTTGAGTGACTGGGATTACATTGGGCCCCTTGCAAATTTTGGTCTGAATCTCAGACCGTCACGGTGGTCTGGAGATTTAGGCAAGAACTGGGAGGTAACGAACTTCCTGTCCTTGTCCGACGAGAATGATCCTCATTCAAGTTTCGACTTTCTGATCATGGGCACTGAAGGCTGTCTTGAGGATGGCCTTGAGGGATCTCCAGGCAGTGCAGGTCCATCACGTCCAAGCCGTGGCCAGCTTTGGATGTCTGGCAATCTTCAGAAAAGTGAAGCTGCCGGCCCGGCAAATATATTATATGGCTTTGGGGGCCATCTCGACCATGGCTGTCTGTATGCAGCCAACTCTTTCTTTGATCCACGAAGTCAGCATTACGTTGTCTGGGGGTGGATCACAGAAGAAGACCTGTGTGATGATTTCCGTCACCAGCAAGGATGGAGTGGGGCTTTGTCAATGCCCCGACAGATCCATCTACAGACTCTTCACAATGTAGTTGGCGCGTTAGTCTCTGATTTATCCTCCATCACCTCCATCAAGCTCAAGTCAGAGGCCGATGGAACTTTCACTATCCACACTCTTGCCAGTGAACCATATAAGCCATTGGCTCAGCACCTTCGCAACTCTTCATACGCGCTTTGCTCACATTTAGGGGCATTTTCTCTCCATAATAATCCTGTCGAGGTCGGGTTGTCGCTAGAAAGTGTGTGGAGCAAGCACTGGGAGCTTGAGTGCTCATTCAAGATCTCTAAAACTTGCTCCCGGTCGGTATATCCATTGGTCATTCAAGAGGTGAGAAATTCTCCCCTATCATCCAGGCATCATGCTGACCACATCATTAACAGACTTTGAAAATGCAACAATAATGACATTCGAGCCACAAGATGAAACCTTCACGATTTACCGACCATCATTCCCCAGGTCCGATTCGTCTTTGTTGATCAATAGCTCTCCCGAAATAGCGCCACACACCTTATTCACAGGGACGAACCCCAAAAGTGGAGAGAATTGGACGGAGACCTTGGATATTCGCGCGTGGAGAGATAATTCCGTTTTGGAGGTGTTTGTTAATGGTCGGACCGCGATCTCCACTCGTCTTTACGCAGCTGAGGAAACATTTGGTATGCGGTTCTTTGCAGAGGATGATGCCTCAGATGCTAGGGTCCCACTACGGACGAGCCATGCTGGTCCAACAGAGTTGAAGTTTGCAAATTTGTGGGATGGAATTGGAATCTAGGGGAATTTCCAAAGTCTTCAGTGCTACCTACCTAGGTCACGTACTAGTAGTATCAGTAGGAATAAACACATGAAGCCCACTATATATATCTTTCATGCCCACTAGCACCCCAGGCCGGCAAATACTAGTGCCAACACCTGGAACTCGAACTGATAGGTTAGACAACTATCCCTGCAATCCTGACGGAAATGATCCCTCCTTGATGCAAGTTGTCTCATCAATATTATATTATTTCCCCCCCCTTGAGTAGACGAATGATTTGGATGTTTCAAGGTGTGTTGTTATAAATAGACCGGAATATTGCTGACTCATCAACACCAACCAATCAATCGCCTCGCGCAAATCAAAAGGGTCTCCGGATTGAATTGACTGCACCGAACCATTGACTCCCTTTGACAACTTTGAATTTCTTGGAAATAACAATTTTCCCTGTCTTGAATCACTTAGTACAACTGATAAAAGATATCGTCTCTATCTGAACGCGACACCTGTCACTCCCCCGATCGGCAGTTGCGAAACCCCTGGGCGGGTCTCATGATAAAGCCGGGGGCCCGCATGAACGGCGCTGGGGCCAAGTCCTTTTTCCCCCCCAAAACGAAACCGCCCAGTCCAGCCTTCAGCCTTACTCTGCTATCCTCCTCAGATCTCGCCTCGCCACCCTCTGACGGCCCCTCGAGACCCCATCCCAAACCCGTACCAACCCCATATTCATCACTCCCACCCCCCGAAAACACGACCGAATCGTTCCGCTGCCGTCGCCGCCGACCAGGCAAGAAAGTGAAAAAAGAAGGAACGCGGTGACACGTCGAGCACCATTGGACATAGGCAGTTCACCGACTGGGCTCCTGCTCGCCTGTATAGCTATAGCCACGTCGTTCCACCACCACGCCCGCTAGTCGAATCTCCGCCTCGCGTTGCTGATCACGATTCGCGATCTCCCGATTTACACGTCCCCATTGGCTTTATTTGAAGCGGATCTCGCGGAGGAAAAGTCGAGCGCATGCCATTGCGCAAATAGCACGGCATGGTGCAAACTGCACGATGGGCGGGCACGCCCTCTATCAAGGGCAAGTCGGAGTCGACGCGCATGGCGCTGTTGACCTTCAGCTTGGTGGGACTACAGTGCGTATTTGGATTTTCTCCTGGAACACTGAGATCGGATGAAGGGATAGACAGGCTGACAAGGCGTGAATAGGTTTACTTGGGGTACAGAGATGACCTGTAAGCTTGAACCTGGACATTACGGAGGCATTGGGGATTGGCATCGAATGCTGGACGATTGCTAATACTCGCTTTTGTGACTAGATTGTACGCCATATCTACTTCAACTCGGTTTGACAAAATCCAAGGTCTCATTAGTTTGGATTGCGGGTCCTTTGTCGGGATTGATTATCCAGCCTTTGATTGGTGTTATTGCTGATCGGTCACGGTCGAAATGGGGACGGCGCCGGCCGTTTATGATATTTGGCTCAATTGTTGTGGCCTTCTGTTTGATCGTGCTGGGCTGGACTGCTGAGATAGTAGCCATGTTTGTCACGGAACCGGAAAAGGTGTGCTTGCCATCTCTCGAACTTGCTGTATTGCATCGTTGCTGACCGTTATGACTAGGCCAAGAACGTCACTATTGCTTTGGCAGTCTCCAGTATCTACGCCGTGGACTTCTCTATTAACGTTGGTGCGTCTACCCGCATTCCACCATTGGATTCTCCCTGCTAACTGCCAACTGCTATCAGTTCAAGCGTGCTGTCGCAGTCTAATCGTGGACACCTTGCCGATTCCTTTACAGCAAGCCGGTTCTGCCTGGGGTATGTCATCTGAATTTTGTGCTCGGCTTTGAAGAGATCTGACACTTGCATTAGCTGGAAGAATGTGTGCTATTGGACAACTCATCGCCTACGTGGTCGGTGCGGTTGACACGGTCAGCATCTTTGGCAGCCTACTTGGCGACACCCAATTTAAGCAGATGACCGTGATTGCGGCCATGTCTTTGATCTTGGCTGTGTCGGTTACTTCATATTCGGTAAAAGAGCGCGTGTTGATCTCGGCAAGGTAGGATCCCATCGAGTATACATACGTTCGAAGCTATCAGCACTGACATCATGACAGAGATTCGGACGGAAAAGCAGGTGCCATTCAGGTGATCACTCAGCTCTTCAAAACCACCATGGAGCTTCCGCCGCGTATCCAGGCCATTTGCTGGGCCCAGTTCTGGGCATGGATTGGATGGTTTCCCTTCCTTTTCTATAGCACCACCTGGGTCGGTGAGACGTACTTTCGCTATGAAGTCCCGAAAGACGAATTAGCGAAATCAACCGATATGCTGGGCGAGGTGGGCCGTGTTGGTAGTCTTTCACTCACAGTATTTTCCTCGATCACCTTCCTGAGCTCTGTGTTGCTGCCATTCTGCGTGCAGCAGCCCGATACGAAGCGGTCGCGTTTCACGCCCAGACCGCCCCCAGGTGTTGCGAGGTTTCTGAAGAAAATCACCGCCGTTCGCCCGGATCTTCAGACGACCTGGTTTATCTCCCAGATTATGTTTGCCGCGACGATGATATTCGCACCGTTGGCCCACTCGCGCGCGTTTGCCACTTTCCTAGTCGCGATTTGTGGAATTCCCTGGGCCATCAGTGGCTGGGCACCGTTCGCCTTTATGGGCGTGGAGATCAACAAGTTAACCATGAACGGCAATAACGCTGCCGGATTGGCTGCCCAGACTGCACGCGCTGGGGGTGTGACGATGATTACCTCTGCCAGCATGCGGGCCAGTGCACAAGACACCGAGCTGGAGGTACTTCGATTGAATCACAACGACTCTGACAGCGACGCAGACGAGGAAGACCCCTCATCTAATATCCCATCAACAGGCGAGCTCGCAGGTATCTATCTCGGCGTGTTGAATGTCTACACCACTCTCCCGCAGTTTGTAGGCACATTTATCAGCTGGATTGTCTTCACACTCCTCGAGCCAGGTACCACCCCCGACAAAGACGGCGACTCATCAGACACCCAATGGATGAACCTGGACAAGGACAAACCTAACGCCATTTCGATTTGTCTCTTCATCGGAGCCATCAGCGCCCTTGTCGCAGCTGAGGCAACCAGACGAGTGAGATACGTCCCATGATTTTTCTCTCGAACAGTACAGTGTTTCAGTGTTCTTCACGACAGCCGGCCATGGCATGATAAAAAAGCGCTTTATACCCGATGTATACTAGCAATGTTTATAGAGGGTCCTTCATGTTTCCTGTAAAGCTGGGGAAACTCTTGGAGTTCTGGCATTAGGGTGTGCATATATAATTCTTGACGAAATAGTAATTTAATAACGACATTGGATAACTTGAAACATCATCGTGCATTGGCTTTTCTCAACCCTCTTGACAAATTGACATTTCCCACCGCGGTCAGACGTTGATCGAAGGCTTATTTTCCGCACACTTGCGCGTGGCGAAGCCCTGGAATGACGATCCCACCACTGTCCCTTCTCGGATTGGTTAGTCCTGGGGCAGTCGAGTGGGAATTGGGGGCCAACTAGGGCCAAGCAGTGTCAGAGCTGAGCTTGGTCTGATCTCCTAAACGAAAAGGGGATTCAGTTTGGCCAAGACTTTTATTTTGGAGAGTGGGGATGGCGATCGGCAGCGCTCTTCACAATAATAAGTCAAGATCTTCGGGGGCTATTTGAGATGTTATTTCTGCTATTTGAGATAGCAAAGGCCGATGGGCGGTTGGTATTTAAGTCTCGTTCTTCACTGTTCATCTGATCCTTATTTTCTCTCTCCATCTACGTTTTAAATCATATTATTCAGCGTTTCTTTATCCATATCTTCACTAAAATGGGCCCATTAAGTCCCAGAGCAGCAGCCGCCGGCAGCCATGGCTGCGAGCTTCCCGACCGCATCGAACAATGTGAGCCAAAAACTTCTATACACAGGACACGATGGTGGATTTGACTAACCACCCACTAAGTGGACGGCGGACCGTTTGTCGGAAACCTCACATTTTATCATTTCAACATGATCGTGTCTGGCATTAGCACTGCGATTGTATTGTTCGTGATGTTCGGTCTAATGGGACGTCATGCGATGCGCATGAGTAATCCACAAGAGCAACTCAAGTAAGTCTCAAATCCCCCGAAAAGCCGAGCAGAGTAGTTACGATGAATCCGATGCTAATAGCTTCTTTCATAGAATTATGCGAATCTGCAACTTGCTTCCCTCCTACCAAGTCCTATCCTTCGTCTCGATCTGCTTTCCAAACTCCTACATCTACCTACAAGGATACACCGAAGTGTTCAATGGTATCGCTTTATACTCATTCCTCATGCTGTTGTGCGATTTCATGGCTCCCACCGACCAAAGCAAGGTGGAATTTTTCTCTTCGCTTGAAACAAAGAGACAATGGCAACCGAAGAAGAAGAGAAATGGTCTGGCCTTCTTGAAGGTAAGTGGCACTTCTGAAAAGAAATCTCAGTGGAGGTGGTGAAGAGATAGCTGACTGAATTTAGTTGACTTGGTGGTCTGTGTTGCAATACCCTCTCATTACATTGGGTACTGCTGTCAGCCAGACAGTGACTCAAGCACTGCATGTATACTGCCTTAGTAGTATGGCGCCGCATTATTCTCATGTTTGGGTCTGTACAGTCACACCATTATAACTGATTATCGGGACCTAACAAGCATGTACGACAGCTCCAAGTGGTTACCTCGCTTTCGACGTCAGTAGCCATCAACGCGATCATTCAATTCTACATGCACATGAGGGGGTATATGACCGAGAACAAGCCACTGGCAAAGTTTCTTGCCTTCAAATTGGTCGTCGGATTGATCTTGCTGGAAAAGGTAAGTCTTCAGCAACTGACAGAATACAAATCGAGTAAGAAAGAAGTACTGACAAGATTCAAGGTCATTTTCCTGATCCTCAACGGAACAGGGACCCTCACGAAAGTGAAATCGTTGACCTATGTCGATATCGCGATGGGACTGCCGACAATGATTATCTGTATCCAAATGGTCCCGATATCCTTCTTAATGCTTTACGCCTACCGTACACGGCCCTACGAGATCTCCAACAAGACACCGCGCACCATGCGACCTCGGGAATATCAGGCCGTCGACGACGATGTTGATGACGAGGCATTGATGAATGGATTCAAGAAGCGGTACCAGGGTGGCTGGATGGGAATACATGCTTGGGCCGTCTATCTCGGTCCACTGACATTGTTCATGGATGTTAGAGAGGCCTATGTCATGATCCATGAAGCTCGGGCTGCACAGAAGGCGCACGTAAAGGAGCAGATGCCAGTGCAGATGGAACCGTCGATGGAGAGATATGATAGCCCTCAGGGTGCATGAGGGATTGTGTGATAATCGTTGCCCGGGGAGCTCTGCTATTCTAGACTTTATATTTTGATGCATGATGAAATTAGCCAACTGTTTACTGATACTTATCCTTTGCGTTCTGTCACAATATTTCATGTTACAGGTTCCTATCATTTGACTCAATTCTACGGATATCAAGGAACCACTACTCAAGTAATCGATACCTTGAAGAATTGCGTGTTAAATTAATATCCAACTTGAATAAGAATGTAAATAGATGCTCTCAGTGGGCAACTTGAAGTTATTCAAACAACTTGAGATTGCCCCAGCTATAGAAAAAGACCTTCGCATTTGCGAAAATTAGAACTTATTCCCAGGTGGTTCTTTTTTTCTCCACACTGAGCCATTAAGGTGTGGACATAGAATTTCTGGCAAATTCTCAGGTCCAGGATAATGAAAATAGAAATGAGGAAATGATATTCTTCCCACCTTCATGGGACGCCTGAATAATGGCCGCTGTATTGGCTCCTGTGCAACGTGGGGGGATGGGGGAGGATCCACAATAGTTCAACCATTTTCTTCACACGATTTACTAGTAGTCTCTTTTCTATTAAATGTCAATATCTCTATAACCTTGAATCGCATCGAGAATCTGAATTAGATATACAGTCAATAGGGAAATCTGCTTCTACCCTGGCACTCAACTTAGAATACCCCGCGTCGCTCGATAGCAAATCGGTCATTGGGAACCTTAGTAGGAAAATTTGAAAACGGAATAGATATTTGAGGTATTTATTGAGATAGTGCCCCAGGCCACAAATCCTTTTCTTGAAACCAGTAACTACTACGAAGCCGATTGCCGACATGGAGCGCTGTAAATGTCCCGATCAATATATGATCTGCGCTAAGCCCTTGGCAGTGGGGTCTGAGAAAAGAAAAGCAGTAACCAGGGCGGAAGACGATTTTGTTTTCGACTGTTCATAGTGATAGTATGATCTTTGATTAGGCCCTATACAGGCCTTACTTCATGCTAGTATCAATTTTATTAAGCAGGGCAACCCTATTCTTGGAGTGATATGGGTTTGATGAAAATAAACTCGTCCGAGTCATTTGGTTCGAGTAACCAATTTGCCTTGAATCATTGTCAGAATCGGTTTGAGTAATACTTATTGTGGGGGTCCATCATGGCCACGCTGCCAAGGCGTTGGTGCATATAAAGCTCGTTCGTTACATAATGATTACTTGTGGTATGCAGCGGGTGGCCTAGATAACTCTTCAAGTTGTGATGTGCCTTGGGGGATGTGCCAATTAGGACCACCATCTGAATATGGGTGACGAACCTGTTTCACTCCTCCACATATATCTCTCAATCATGCGCTGTCCCCGCGGGACCCTGCATGATCCTTCAAGTGTGCTTACTTCTAGCCTTGTGTCCAAGTCTCTGGGGCAGTGCGCCAAGTGCTTCATGCTGAAGAGTACAGCATTAGGCCTCCCAAATTCTTCAGCAAATTGCCAGGCTGCCTAGTCTTGCCAAGATGATCTTCATTCTCTACAAACAAAATGGTATCCTGATGATTCTGAGTCGCCCTCAGTACTGCCAGTAACTCCCAGTAGAGCACCCAACTTGAAAGCTATAAATATGGCCTGATATTCCACCCAGGATCTCAATTCATCATCAAACAGTTATCTCTCAAGAATACTATCTTTCACCAGGATTGTCTCCAATACAACCATCCGGTATACACCATTTTGTCTCTTTAACCTTGGAAAACACTTTCACTGACACCCTCAGCCCAGCAAAATGAAGTACATGATCCTGATCGCCTCTTTCCTCGGCCTGGCTCTGGCCGCTGGTAACTGCCCCGATTTCCCTTCCTGCCATTGCCCGGGGACCTCTGCAGAATCGGTGAAAATGTCCCCGGTGACGGCCAGGGCGTTTGCTGCGAAGGCAAAAGCTGCGTCCGGGAATCTGGAGGTGACAACTGGGTATGTCTTTCGTATCTGGTATTTCAAACTATAGCACTGACGTTTCTGATACCTTCTAGTATTGCCAGTAGTGGGCTCTGTCGAGTCGCTACTAGCAGAGTGTGATATGTACCAGCTGTGGTGAGGGTTCTGGTAGACACTATCCACACTGGCATGTAACATGTGCACTTTTCGATTCTGAGACTTGGATTTGTTTCAAAACTAGGTTCTAGGTAGCAGAATCGATACTTTCACTCCTATAGCTGGCTCACCGTCTAAATTAACCTCGTAGGGGGGCAAAGCGGCCATTTCTGGCGTCGTTTAATAGCCTCATGTTCCAGTTGTCAATTTCAAAAGCCCTCTTCTTTTTTATCTCCATTGGAAAGGAATGAAGCTCAGGTTGGATCTGCCGAGTATACTTGTATGAGGAACCTTGGAATAGTCTTAAGTAACATAGTGGAAGTCTAAGTGGGGCGGGCAATGACGCTTTAATGATATCGCGGGGCAGCTCAGCTACGAGAAGGAACACGGGTTTTCAATTCTGATCATTACACCTCCAGAAAACATCCCACCCTATTCAACCGATTCAATTCGATCCAATTCAATCAAAATGGCCCCCAAAGTTCTCATCGTCCTCACCTCCGTCGACACCATGCCTACCACTGGCAAGCCCACCGGCTGGTACTTGGTAAGCCAAAGCCCTCAACCCCCACTATAGCCGAAGCCGATGCTTGATCGTTCCCCAAACACACACTCTAGCTAACACAGAAAATGTCAGCCTGAATTCGCTCACCCATGGTACGAACTGCACGACAAATGTGAACTTACAATCGCCTCCCCGAAGGGCGGAAAGGCACCCCTCGACCCAGCCTCCGTCGAGATGTTCAAGGGAGACGAGAAAGCCGTCGAATTTCACAAGACCCAGTCCGCCCTCTGGGAAAAGACAAAGGTCTTATCCGACATGAAAGCTTCTGACTTTGACGCTATCTTCTACGTCGGTGGTCACGGCCGTAAGTCTATCTACCTACCCCGCTATACCATGTATCCTACACATTACATCTAACTAACCCTCATAACAGCAATGTTCGACCTAACAACTGACCGCACAAGCATCGACTTAATCGAAGCCTTCGCCGCAGCAAAGAAACCCATCTCAGCAGTCTGCCACGGTCCCTGCGTCTTCCTAAACACAAAGGCACCAACCGGCGAAGCACTAATCGCCGGTAAAACCGTAACCGGATTCTCAAACGTGGAAGAAGACCAGGCGCAGTTATCCGCTGCCATGCCGTTCATGCTGGAGGATGAGCTGAATAAGATCTCCGGTGGGAAGTTTGTCAAAGCGGCTGATCCCTGGGCTGAGAAGACTGTTGTTGAGACTACGGCTGGTATTGGTGGGGTGCTTATTACGGGTCAGAATCCTGCTTCTGCGGAGGGGGTGGGCAAGGCTTTGTTGAAGGCCTTGGGGTTGTAAATTGAGTTGGAGTTGGAGGTGGTGATAGATAGGCAGGGTCTGTCAATGGATGGGTTCTTCTATCTGATGAGTAAGATTAATATTTGTCTTATGTACACCTGGGCAGCAGTATACGAAAGAGTTGTGGATTGTTGTTCATTCCATGGTTTACGAGTTTAAATTTGAGTTTGCGATTTCAAAGAAGCAAGTATAAAAAATGGATTCTGTCGAACTCAAAAGCGTCGATTTTCTACGCACAGTATTCTAGTCAAGCCATGCATGGGGATCCGGCAAACCCGAAGCGAAAGATTCAGATTCAAAGTCAAAGTCAAATTCAAATTCAGATTCAGATTCAGATTCACAAGTGGTAGTAGCGAGCCGAAAGCTGCAAAACCGAGCCGGAACTAGAACTCGGTTAAAAAGCGAAAGGGGAATAGAGCAACAAAGCAGAAGCAGAAGAAACAAAGATTTCAAAGCCAGATTCAGAGAAGATGGTAGTAAGTTTGGAAAGGAAAAAGAAATATCGGTTATCTGAGACGGAGCGGACGGGAAGCTGCTGCAGCCGGCCAAGGATAAGCACAAGCTCAAGTATCAAGGATCAAAGATCAAGATCAAAAGGATCAAGGCGGGCACAAAACGGAGCGGAGCGAAGCGAAACGAAGAGAAAAGAAGCGTAAGTGGTAAATAGATGTCGCAACCAAAAGATTCCGTTAATCGTATCGTAGTATTTCGTTTGTCCCCGCTGGTCCGTCCCAATGATTGGGGGAGTAGGCGGGTGGTGGAAAGGGGATGTTTAACTGGCTCAAGACGACAAGCTACGCGAAAAACAGAGGTGTTGTGGTCGGAAAGAAGAGATAGGTTTGTGATGCGAGAGAAGCTGGGGCGAGTTGGGTATATCGGGGTACTTTCAACCCAGAACTCGTCGCAAAAAAGAATAGGAAGCCGAGGGTGAAGAAGAAGTAGAGACATAAGGGAAAAGAGGAAAAAGAGATTAAAAAATAGACAAGGGCGAAGGACTTTGCGAGTGTGGATTTCGCGTATTTATTAGGCGGTTTGGCCGGTCAATTCGGCAACGCGGGCCTTGATGCGTGCGACACGCGACTCGATAGCTGGGAATGATTAGCAATTTGTTATTAAGTTTGTTGTAGCAAGGTTCGCTTACTCTCTTCGCCGCTGGTATCGCCCTCGTCAGAGCGCTCAGACTGGCTGACGCGTGCCTCGGGCTCCTCACTAGGACGGGCAGAGTCTGTAGCTTCGGCAGCTTGACGCTCGGCGGCATTCTTGCGGATCTGCGCCCAGCGGTCCTCTTCAGCAGCCATGACCTCAGCCTGAGTAGGGGCGTGTTGGGACTTTTCCTCGTGGCCGTTGGTTGGGGTCTGAGGGAGCTCGGAGTGAACTGGGCCAGTCGGTGTGGCCGGGGTATCAGGGACAAAGGCAGGTTGCTCTAGAAGAGGACCCTGATCGAACTTGGAGAACTCTTGGTCGGCGGCGTTGCGCTCGTTCGTATCAACCCGAGAGAGGGCATCGTACTCGACAGCATGGCGGGTCTGGGGAGGACCGCTGCCAGCAGTGTTGGCAGGGGAGATGGGGACACGAGGCTGTTCGGGAGACTCAGGAGCCTGCCGAGGAGTGTATGGCTTCTCCGGCGCCGGGGCAGGTACTGCCGGTGCAGCAGCCACGGGGGTGCTGGGCTTCTCTGGAACGGGCTTCTTCTTCACGGCAGGCTTGGGAGGGGAGGGCGCACTGTACTCCTGAGCAGCGGCAGCCTTGGCCTCAAGGGCAGCGCGGGCAGCAGCAACAGAAGAGATCTCCTTGGCACCGGTGCTCTTCATGGCAGGCTGCTCGGTCGTCTTCTTCTTGCTGGTGCCGAACATATTCTTGAACCCATTGTTACCGGTCTTCTTCTTCAACTTCTTGTTCGACTCGTCCAATGACTGCTTGGGTTGTGACTCGACGGGGTCCTCGATGACGACAGTCTTCGCATTACCCTTCTTCTCAGGCTGTGGGGTTGGCTCTTCCAAGATCTTCTTGGCCGGCTCCGGAGAGGGCGGGAGAGGCGTTGCCACGGCGGCAGGGTCCTTAGGAGGAGGAGGGGGGGCCATTCCTGGAAGTCATGGGAGGAAGAGCAGCGGGGGGTGTGATAGAGTCCTCTGTTGCGGGCTCAGCGGCGGGCTCGATAGTGTCGGCAGCCTCAATAGGTTCGCCATTTCCAGAGACAGCACCAGTACCAGCACGGCTGTCACTCAGGTAGGCGGTACGGTAGGCGTTCTTGTCATAATTTTTGGTCCACTTCATGGCCGAGGAAGCTTCATTGACAATACCCGGCTGAAGCGTCAAAACGGAGTTGGTTTTGGTGGAGAAGTTATCCCGGCCAAAATTAACATTGGTATCTTTAGCTTCAGCCTCCTCGCGGTGCTTCCTCTGGAGGGCGGCAGCAGCAGCCTGAATGCGCTTGTGTTGATCAGGACCAATACTGGACTTGCTCTGAGGAGCTTGGTTGTTGACACGTTTATACGACTCCTCAATCGGGGAAACCTTCTTGGCCGATGACTTGCGGCGGTTTAGCTTCGTGCCCTTACGGCTGCCAAAGCTGAAGAAGCTCTTCTTCTCAACGAATTGCGCGCCTGCCTCGGGCTCTGGTGCGGCACCCCTTCACCTGCTCTTCCAGGACCAGCCACTTAGCCCCCCCGAATGACGGTCTCTAGCAGTGCGCACCGGCCGAAGACAGCCTTGCGGGCAAGAGGCTCATCGCCAGACAGACTGGTGATCCACACCCACCAGAACGAGTCATCCAGATCGAAAGTATTGATGCTGGCCAACTCAGCCGGTTCCAAAGCGGGTTCGGCGTCTAAATTGCGTTTGTGGGACTGGGAGCTCATGCCACGAGTGGCAGCAATTGGAGGAAGCATCTTGTCCGGAGTTAGCAGCAAGGGTGTCACATTTTGTTTCAGGTTTCCCTCATCCGCGAAGCCAGACGACATGAAGTCTGCCCAGGATGGGGTTGTGGGACGTCCAAGGTCACCACCTTGGGACCGAGGCGAGGTCCTCAGGCTAGCAGCCGGCTCGCTCTTGGGTGGAGCTGGGGCCTTGTGATCCTCATCTTCGGGGTCAGAGTCAATGGCACCGCCAAATCCGATATCCTCAAATCTCGACCAGGATGCGTCGCGAAGGCTAGTGGATTGCTTCGAGCTGGAGACACTAGACTGATTCGTGGAAGAGATGCATCCCAAAACACGCAGACACTCGTCAGTCAATGCCTTTACAGGGTCGTCATAATTGGAAAATTCCTGTAAATGCCAGTGTTCGTCGCGATATTCGAAGTTCTTGGCACGACGGAGCAGCGAGAAAGGAGTGGGAGAGACGGTGTCGACAATCATGACAACCTTGGTTGTTGTGACTTGCAGCAGAGTCGGTGTTCGTGGGGGGGTATTCGGTTGCCTGCACAAGCGACTGCAAGGAAATGGGGAGCGAGGTAATGCCCGCGACGCCGCGTTTGAGCTCCGGGGTAAGCGAACGGAGATAAGCGAAGAAGAGATGGCTCGTGGCATCGGCAGCACTACTCGGGTTAGTGAGCTATACATGGAAGGGGGGAGTTCAAGGAGAAATCCATACGCAGCCCAATTTTTGTAGGAGGCCTCGAAGCCACCACCGGTATCACTGTGCTCGAAGGCCCACCATCCAGCATAGCGGGAAAGCTTGCGGCCTCCTAGACCGTTGGATTTGCCGTGCGCCGCAATGGCAGCAAGAAGGTCGAAGAAGTCGTTGATAATGCTAGTGCGGGCATCGGAGTCGACACTCAGGGGAATGAAGGTGGAGAAGGCGTCGAGGGCGTGGTCCGAATCTAGTTTGTGTCAGAGCATTCGTTTTCCGCTATGACTCTGCGATTCCCCGAGGGGTTGTACCTTGTTCGCCAACCTTGAACAGTTCGTAGGCGTCCCATGTCACGATACCTCCGGGCAATCTGCTCCAACACCATTTCAAGACACTGCAAAGCACCTATTGAAGAGACCAATGTCAGCCATCTGCCGTATCTGATCCATTGGACTAGATTGACCATGCCAATCTATCCACGACCGGAGTATGTTTCTCACCATAGGCTCATAGAGCCGGAGCTCCTGCATCAGGCCATCTCCAGCAACGGGTGCCCCTCTCTCGAAGGACTGGTTGAAGTAGTTGCGAATGAAGGTGCGGGCGGCGCTGGGGTCGGAGGTCGGGCGAAAAGGTAGAAGGAGGAAGGGAACATCGAGAGCTGGACGAATGATCAGCAATCCGGGAATGATGGTAATGGCAATGGCAATGGCAATGCGCGTGGTGGCCGGGGTAGCACAACCACATGGTTGGAATGGGAATGCCCACCTCGCGCCTTCAACTCCTGCGAACAGCCTCTGACAAGGTCGGCCACCTCCTCGGGGGCGATCTCAGTGCGTTGCCAGGCGTCGGTCCATTTGGGTCTCGCGGGGGTTGGGTCGGCGGTAGCGGTGGGCTTCGATTGTTTCTTGGTGGCACTGGAGTCTTTGCCCCGGAAGACGCGTGAGAAGAAGGGCATCTTCGGGTCGGTTCGAATTGAGTTTTTTGGACTTTGACTTTGGCCTGGTGCGGTTGTCCGGACAGGGCGATCTCCGCTGTCGCGACGGCGCAGGGTTTTGTTGATTTGCCTTTTTTTTTGCTGTTCTGGGGTGGAGTTTAGTCAAACAGCTTCAAATCATGCGGAAAGTTCCCGGAGTGGTCTGCGGGCTGGAGACGGGGGAAAGACGGACCAGGTAAGAATAATGAATTGAGAAGCGAAGGAGGGAAGTAGAAGTTCCAAAAAGATCCGGGATGACCTGCAGCCCCGGAGCAGGCTTGGGCGAAAACTTGAAGGTAAGGAAAGGGTCCCCTGTTGGGCGTGAATGGGCGAATGGGCGGGAAGTGTTAAGGGAGGGCGCAGTCTGGAGTCAACCAGAGGAATGAGAAACGAAGGACGGGGGAGAAACGAAAAGAAATGAAAAGGGGAGGAAGATGGGGTAAAGGTCGACAGGTCGCAAAAGGCAAAGGAAAAAAAGGACGACAGAAAACGGTCCCTGGTGATGGAGTCGAATCTCAGGGGTAACGGAAAGGAAAGGTTGGCACTAACCGGGTCTAGAACCCACAGAGGGGGATAGCGAAAGTTATAGATATAGATATAGATATAGTCGTAGTAGATAGTAATTGATAGTAATAGTACTGCTAGTATTATGATTATAATACTGTAGTGTGTAGTGTGTAGCCAGTAGCCAGTGTAGCCAGAGTCCAATTACTCCGGATGTGCAAAGTAAACAGTTGTGTGTGCGGAGTGGATGATGCGGGCGATCATCATCTCGTGTACGGAGGAGATACTCCTAGTACTGCAGCCTAGAGTGAGTTACCCTAGTAATAGTACAGTACTAGCAATCGATACTACTAGTAGTAGCTATCTAATGCTACTACATATGACTGACAGTAGCTAGTATATACCAGTAGTACTAGTAGTACAGGTGATGCTATACTGCTATCAGTATACACTTGGTATACTAGTACACTACCTTAACTACTAGTATAAGGATAGTAGTGCTACGCTCTACACTACACTACACTACATTCTATTGGAATATATCATATGCTACTCTACTAGTAGTATAGTAGTATCTAGTGCAGTACAGTACAGTACCTACTCTATCGATCGCCAATCTCCGATCGGATTATAGATTAACTCTCGAGCTATCGACGATGTACTAGCTGCACGCCCCATCGAGCTCAGGCCATGCCCCATACTATCGGAGGTCACGTGGTACCTGCTTACTGTGGACTTCGTCGAAACAGTAAATTATCCAGGAATAATAGTAGTAATACTATTACTAGTAGTACTAGTAATCATCTTCCCTGTCGACACTATAACACTGTCCATAGTGGAAGTTGAAGCAGAGCTGTCGCGGAAACAAAGGGGGAAACCCCACTAGGGGGGACAATAAGGTACGGAGGTACGAGTATATTACTCTGTGCTGTACCGAGTACGGAGTATCCGTACCTCTTATTGGAAAGAGAAAACAACTTGAAGATACTGAATATCATGTATTTATCCTAGTAACTTTAAATTCTCTATTGATTCTACATACTCTGTATTGCTAGTACTAGAACTACCAGGAACTGACCAACTTGAAGTACTACTAGTATACTAGGTATATCATAATGTGTACCCCTAAAGGCAACTGCTAGTACTACAGAGCTTACACTCTGCTGATGCTCCCAAATATCATTACCAAGGCCAAGAATATGCAGCTAAAGGCTAGAGAGCAGAGTCACCGTGTGATAACTCATCACACTGTGCTAGCTAGTAGTAGTACAACTGTACTAGCACCACTCGAGTATAAGTGGGCCCGCTTAGTCAGATCTCCCGTTTTTCACCTCGATGGAATGATTCTAAAGATAGCATCAACCTTTTCTGCACCGTCAATCAGCCCCCCCCCCCATATCCATATCCGCTCTCCACGGTATCGCGACCCTCTGGTTCTCTTTCTTCAGTTTTCCCCTCGATCTACCTCTCTCGGGTCTTCAGGTCGCGTGGCCTGCTCCCGCCTTTGCCTTCCCTCTCTCCCTTTGTCCCCTTTTACCGCCGCCTCCTCTCGAGTCTCGCCTCCGCCCGCGCGCCAAACAAAAGTATCTATATACACTTACCTGCATTTGTCTGATTGCTTCCCGGGACTCGATTTCACCTCCGAGTCGCTCACTTTGGTCAAAAACGCGAAAAGTGCTGTTGAGGCCATTCGTTTCTTCCTCGCTTACACCCCTCGGCGCGCCTTTCGTGCGCCCGTAATACCTCATCATGGGTCGCAGAAAGATTGAGATCAAAGCGATCAAGGATGACCGCAATCGCTCCGTGTATGTTTCCCTTGTCGCTCTGCCCATCTTCGACAATTATCAAGATCATATTTGCTAACTGGCCCCATCTAGCACATTTTTAAAGCGAAAGGGTGGTCTCTTCAAGAAGGCGCATGAACTCGCTGTCCTTTGTTCCGTCGATGTTGCCGTGATTATCTTTGCTCAGAACAAGAAGTTGTACGAGTACTCCTCGTCTGACATGCCAGAGGCCCTCGCCCGCTATCAATACGTGAGTATATCCGGCCTCGCCCATCCGGGCGCATAGCTGCATCGGCTGACATCTTATCTTTTTCAGTACGGCCCTCCCCACGAACACAAAGGCCCCGAAGATTTCGCGGGTAAGCGCGACGATGACGATGAAGAGGATGAGATGACCCCGGCGCCAGAGGATCTCCAGGCAGTTCAGCAAAGTCACGCCGCCGTTCCGCCACATCTTCACCAGACGGGTTTCCAGCACGTCAACCACGCTCCCTCCGCCTCTCCTCCAATCCCCAACGGACTGCCGCCGCGACATGGCACGCCCCAGTCACAAAGTCTCTCGCGCCCTTCATCAAGAAACCATATTCGCCGTGTTAGCTCCAATCTGGGTCCGCATCAACATGGAACCCCGCCACCTCCCCCTGCTCCCCAAAATGGCTTTGCATACATGCCCAACCCCTCCATGTATAATCCAAATATCCATTCGGCAATGGGCCAGCCACGCCCTGGTCAATATCCAGGATACGGTCATCCTCCACCGGGTCCGCAGGGGACACCGCCTCAGACGATTCATCACCCACATGGCCTTCCCCCTCAGCACGGCATGCCGCCTCAGCAGATGCAGCCTCATCAAGGTCCCCAGCAATTCCAACATCCACATGCTGTAGCGCCACAGCCCATGGGGATGCCACCAGTATCTCATGCACCGGTTCAACAGGTCCCCCAAGCATTTATACCGGAGCAAGGCCGGGCATCGATACCACCAACATATGCACCAGAAAACCAACAGGAACGCACAGTGCCGGTTTCTGAGAGCTCACAGGATGCTCCATCTGGTGGACTGAAAGCGGAGCACAGTCCGCCTCAATCAAAATCTTTGTCTAAATCTCGCAGCATCTTCACACCCATTGATGATCGTGGATCCATGCTTGCTCGACATTTTGGAGGAGCCCCAATGTATGAGTCTCCGCGACGGGAGCAAAAAATAGAGACCTCTCAGGAAAATTCACCCAACCTAAAGCCTCCGTCTATTCCCCCGATAGGCGCAGTATCAGAACCCCCGCGTCCATCAACCATGTCCTCGGCGCCAGATATCAAGCCCCCGTCGCGAACTAACAGTGGTGCGCTCACGTCGAAAAGGCCCCAATTAAAGGTCCAGATTCCAAGCGAGCATTCGGATCAGGGAAGTGCAACCGCGGGGTCATCTTCCCGGGATTCCGCTGGGAATAATACTGGGACCCCCGCCAAGGACAACCCCGGGACAGGCGTAGTATTACCGCCTCCATCACCTTCGGCAGGGGCAATACTCAGCGCTGGCGCTCAGGGACCTCCCAATCCATTTGCTCGACCCCCGCCTCCAGTCGCTGCCTCGCAGGGTAATACCTACGGCAACAGAGGCGCCACAAATAACAACGGAAGCAATTCGAACAACATTGAGACACCTCTCTCCGCCCTCCCCAGTCGATACATGTCAGATCATCTCCTTCCTTCGCCATCCAGCTTTTTCTCCGAATGGGGTCTCGGCAGATCGGGCCCGGATTCCAACTTGCTTCCCAGTCCTCTCAGTTTCCCAACTCCAGCGGTGCAAAGCGGTCCTAGTTTCGTCAGCCAAGATGAACAGGACAAAAAGCGCAAGAGCCCTGATACTGGGTCCACGGAGGAAGGGGCGAGCAAAAAACCAAAAACATAAACACTACCGAGAGCTCGATTAGCTTCGCGTTCACACGTCAAGTTCCCTTGTACATCTGGATGATTTCACCCTATGTTTTGATATCCTGGTTTGATATCCCGAGATCTAGTCCCGCCCACGACGGTTCTATCTCTTGAATCCTTTTTTCCCTATCTGGTTGAGTTCAGGGTCTTTTTGCTCTTTATACCCCAGTTCTATACCATTTCTCAATTTCTTTCCTTGAAATCTTTTTCTTCTGATGATATTCTGTGTTCTATGGTTTCCTTCGATTGGTACACCGGATCAGTCATCTATTTCTTTCCTTTCCAGATTATCTCCTTTTATTTGTTCCCTTATGTTATTGTGTATTCAAGTTTTCATGTTTATCGAATCGGGCCGGGCGTTAATTCTGCACGTTTTGGACGGTGTATATACAGACCTTGTTATTATGGACAGCAATGTCAAGTTTTCTGCCATACAAGTTTCAAATGTAAACTGTACTAATGTTGAAGGTCCCTTGTAATAACCGACCAATGGTCCATCCTAGTTGCGATGCACTGCTTCAGAGCACTGCCCAGGTGGCATGTTACACCACATCTCAACTTCCCAGGGCTACCACGTCCTCGCTTGTGTCTAGAATGGCATTGTTTCAGCCAATCAATCAGTCCAACAACCTTGAAAACCACGGACCTCGCATTGCCCCGCAGGAAATAATACATAGAACCTTGCCAGTTATCTCATCCAAGCCAAGTTCACCAGCAGAAGCATCTCGCTGCTGCTGGTGCTAGCATTGTTCCCCGCAGGACAAGTGTATTCGGTGATTGGAATGCAGGAAGTGGGGCGATCAAAAGCCGAGAGCCGAGCGTTGTATATAAAGCGTCATAGGCAAAAATGTCTTGAAAACTTACCCCTTCCACATCTCTACGATTCCACCAAGGTCCCTCATACTAGGACTAGTCCCCGGCGAAGCTTATTCTCTTCCAATTATTCGACGCAATGGTTCTCAACGGCAGTTGCATGTGTGGCGGTGTCCAATACGCTGTTCAAGGTATGTCACAATCCTTTTTGTTTCCCCCCCCCCCATGCGGGGTCGATTCACCCGTTTGTTAACATTGACGTAGCGGAGGAATATATGAGTGCTCTCTGCCACTGCACTGATTGTCAGAAGGTACCTTCACCTAGCCATCCCATACCCGATCTTATCTCCTCCCCAAAACAAAATGCTCATGTGGCACAGTGGACCGGAGGCGCTTTCACCTCCAACGCCGTCGTTCCCCGCACCAGCTTCAAGGTCACCAAGGGTAAGCCAGCAACCTTCCATCCCGATTCAGCCGTGATCTCTGCCAGTGAATGCGGGAGATAAAAGCCCTGGAAGACATTTACTGAACCTGACTCACACTGAATAGGAACATGCACCTCCTACGACGCCAAGGGTGCTAGCGGCAAGATCAACAAGCACTTCTTCTGCCCGACCTGCGGCTCGGGAATTTACACCGAGCTTGAGATCATGCCTGATATGACCTGCGTTAAGGCCGGGACCCTGGATAACAAGGGTACTGAGTTGAATGGCAAGATTGATGTTGAGCTTTACGTTAAGGATCGTACTGGGTACCTCTCTGCTGTGGAGGGTGCTAAGCAGGCCCAGACTATGGAGTAGAAGACGCAATATGATTCAACGAATTTTTAGGCTTGTTGGAGGTTCTGCTGGGAATTCGGTGTTTGGCGTGGGGTTGAGGGTTGAAACAGAGGCCGATTAACTATTCTGTGGGGAAGGCAGAGAGATGAGAAAATGAATATAAGAATACCTGATCAGATATTGCTACGTGCACTAATAGTAGATATACTTGAATGGTTGGAATAAGCATAACGCATTACTTAATAGCCCCTAGTACTCGTAACTAGAAAGTGCCGAGTCCGGGGATGAAGGGAGGATACATACTGCTTTAGGCGTCCTGACTCCACTTTATTCTTCGCCGCCGAATTTTCCGCTGCTAGCCGCCTGATGAACTGTGATATACGAGCTATCATTAAACTTTGGACTGAGCTGACTCACGAATCAACCTCACATCGAAGATCCCTGACTTATATGCAGGATCAATCAAAAGCCGAACTCCCTGTAAAGAAAGCATTTGACTCTCACGTATCCCGAATCTCCAGAATCGCAAACTGATCGCGGTCAGAGTTTGCTCTTCCACAAAAGATCAGCCTTCTTTCACGGACACAAAATCACCCCCGCCAAGATGGGAGATCAACAAAACGACATGATTGTCTCGCAACGCGCAAAGCTAGCCTCGGTCACGACGGCCCAGAATCCGATGTGGGACATCTTCAGCAATGTCTGGTGCCCATCCACCAACCCGGGAGGCTACGTCAACGTCGGGGTAGCAGAGAACGCCCTGATGCACGATGAGCTCCTGGAATTCCTGAACAATAAGCTTGAACTACCCGCCAAATATCTCACCTACAACGACGGGGGTGGCGGTTCCATCCGGCTCCGACGCGCGATGTGCCAATTCCTCACTCGGCATTTAAAACCATTCACACCGCTGGATCCGGATCACTTACTAGTGACGAATGGAGTCTCGTCTGCCATCGAGCATGTATCCTGGGCATTCGCTGATCCCGGCGAAGGAATTCTGCTTGGCAGACCTTATTACGGGACATTTATAATGGATATCTCGATGCGGTTCGGTAGCGAAGTTGTACCCGTGAATTTCGACGAAGTTGATCCCGTGAGCACCCAAGCCGTGGCGAAATACGAGAAAGCTCTCCTGGAATTCCAGCAGAAGACAGGCAAACGGGTTCGTGGACTTATGCTCTGCCACCCGCATAACCCGCTTGGTCGGTGCTATTCGCGCGAAACAATGATTGAATTGATGCGACTTTGTCAGAAGTATCGCATCAACCTTATCAGCGACGAGATCTATGCACTATCAATCTGGGAAAATACCGTCGACGAGAAGAATAATCCCCCGCCTGTTAAGTTCGAGTCTGCCCTCTCGATTGATACGCGCGGTATCATCGATCCGCAACTCGTCCATGTACTCTGGGGAATGAGCAAGGACTTCGGCGCCAATGGGATTCGTGTCGGCGTTATTATTTCCCAGACTAATCGGGATGTACAACAGGCGTTGAAGGGCGTCTCGTTGTATACATATTCCTCGGGGATTTCGGATCATCTGGCCGCGCTGTTGCTAGAAGATTCTCAGTTCACGGAGTCTTATATCAAGGAGAATCAACTCAGACTTGCGGATTCGTATGCGTATACGGTGCGATTTCTGAAGAGTCATGGTATCGAGCATGCACCAGGGTGTAATGCTGCGTTTTTTCTGTGGGTGAATCTGGGAAAGACTTATAAAAGATTACACCCCGGAATCCCGGAGTCAGAGGAAGTCGGCGACAAAGTTATGGATTTATTGTTGAGCCATAGGGTTTTCTTGGCTAGTGGTGCTTTGTTTGGGGCGGAGAGGGATGGGTGGTTTAGAATTGTCTTTTCGCAGCCTCGGGGGCATTTGGAGGAGGCTTTGGGGAGGATAGTTGCGGCTTTGAATGATTAGGACATGAGTTGATAATTGTTGCGACATTTGGACCATTTTTTACGAATTGGAAAATTGATCTCCCCACGCGCTCGTTCAGAGGGGGTTGCATTCCTGCGTAATATGTATCTACAAATGCTTTGAATTCTAGATTGTAGTTTCTTCTTCAAATTTCAATTCTCATACACAAGGTCCTCCTGAATATGTACTAGTACTACTTGCCTTTGGTCGGGATCTGGGCACCAAGATACTAGTAGTACAATTCACTTGAGAGGGGTACATATCCTCACACGTCATTTCATTGTTGGGACTGAGCCACATCAGGCCATCTTGGCAGCGATCAATGCACGGGAATTTAAACGAATCAAGAAAGATAAGAGCATTGCTCCATCAGTGCTTATGCCAAGCCATGACTTGGCCACACTAAACCAAGCGTGGCACAGACACCTCCTTTCTTCGCCAAGTGAGCGCGAGCGTTCGAGAAAATATCAATAGATAGCATGAGCAGGCAAAATTGTCGCCCCGCTACTAAATTCAACTTAATAGTATAGAACAGAATATAGAAGAAGAGCCAGTCGAAGAAGCTTGCTAAACAAACCTTCAAATCTATATCGTAGCTATATCGTAACAGTAACCGCTTTGTGGAGCCTCATTTTGTGGCGTTTTTAGTTTGGCAGGCCTTGTTTTGGACGACGCGCCACTTTGATCAATCTCCTACGAGCTCGTGCATCTACTCCGTGATATCGAGTTCGTTCAACGGCGTGCTGAGGACCCGAGGTCTCCATAAACGTGGTGGACCATGGCCCCTTACATTTTTCAGTGTCACGACGTGAAAATTCTCAAATGCACTTGTGGGCCTTTGAATACGGAAATATCATCCATATGTTCAAAACAGAAAAAGAGTCGAGGGCAGTTTCCATTTTCCAAACTTGCAGGCACTATTCACTAGCGACATGATTCGCGCGGTTTTCCCGCACACCCTGACCGAATCCATCGAATGATCAACATCCCAACCCCCAAATTTTGGCCCCCAGACTTAGCTGAAGAACATGGCCACTGATGTCAATCAGTTGCCTTGAAAATACCAGGGGGGGCACAATGTCCCGCTTATATTCGATCAAATGCTCCACCACGTGCCTTAACAGGGCCTCTGCTTATTATTTACCCCCAGAATCCGCCCCCTCTCCACAACTTTGTTATTCCTTCTTTTTCATATCGAAATGATGATCTCCCCAAGGACGAGGCTATGGCCTGTCCTAATTTCACTCCTATTTTGGACAGCCTCAGCTTTCGCCGAAGATCGCAAATGCTATAATCCCGACTCATCGCAGGCCAAGGCCGATGTTCCTTGTACAGATGATGATAACACGTACTGTTGCAACAGAGGGGATATATGCATGTCCAATGGGCTATGTTATATGCAGCAATCGTCAGGATTTGCGCTATCCCGCCCAAGCTGTACGGATCTTAGCTGGAGTTCATGTGGCTCATATAAATTCTGTTGTAAGTACCTATCCAAAAAGAGACCCCGATCCCACTCCACTCCACCAAAGCACAGCAAAGCAGGCACTGATTTACTAATGGATCCCAGTTGAGTACAACCAAAACTCAGGATTTCCGATCGTCGCCGCAAACTATGCCGGAAATAAAACAACACATTGCTGCGGCACGGCCTCCTATGACAACGGCACCGTCACCTGCCCGATGAAGTCAGTCTCCGTACCATACGGCACCGCAATTCCAGGCGTCGCTGGACTAGCGGTTAGCTCAACAAGCACCAACTCCTCCAACTCTACCAACTCATCCAGCTCTTCCGATTCGGGATCCAGTTCTGGATCCAGTTCATCTTCTTCTCGAGATACGGCGATCGGCGCGGGCGTTGGTGTCCCGCTTGGTGTTATAGCTATTGGAGCTTTGATATGGGCTTTCTGGGAGCGACGGGGGCGAGTGAGGGCTCTTGCTGCAGCTGGCACAAGTCAAGGGACTGCCCAGCCTTATCAACAAATGGCGTACCGTGCGCCGCCTGTTGAGCTGCAAGCACCTGAGGTGGAGTTGGATGGGTCTACTGCAGCGACTGAGATTGGGAGTGATGGTCACCCAAAAGCTAATAGGATGCCTGTGGACTAGAAAAGTTGCACATATCATTTCTAAACATCAATCAGTGGATTGGAAATCAATGATGGACGATAATGTAAATGGCGATTCGGCAATGATCAATACCCTATCTCTAATGTATCCGATAATGGTATCCATAACCCATCTTTCATTCATGACTGGGTTCGAGTCGTATTCAAAATGCAATGTTGAGTCTGTATGTACATTCATAGTAGTGTTATCGAAGCGTAACGGAATACGTAGCGGGATTGTTGTTTACAACATACGCTTTGCCATCAAAGTGGGGTTTAATCCACATGGCAATCTAGACCAAGAGGCAAATCCTGAGGAATGGGGATAACCGGGCATCATGCCCATGTTATTTGGGATACAAAAAGTTCCTTCATCAGTAGTGCCTGGAAGGTATATAACGTATAAGTCTTAAAAATTAAAATTAATGTATTGCTAGTCATGAAGCAGATATATTATTATGAACTGAATAGAATAAAAGGCTCTATAAAGCCCGAATAATGCATTATTGATAAGAAAAACCACTTCATTTCACAGCAACCCCATAAAGTAAAGCTTTTGCGGTCTTTTTACATAGTGGGTTTTGTATAACCGAGAGTCCTAACGATAGCGATCTCGTATATGCAATATCGGCGTAATCACGACAATCCAAGGAAGTTATGGATCAAGTATGATTCACCTCACCCTTCACTTTCGCCACAACCCAGCATGAGACGGCTGCTCTCTAAACCGTAGTGTATGGCGTTTCTTGCCTCAGTGGAAATCGTTATATCCAAAGCCTCCCTGAGAGCAGCCATTTCAGGCCCAGCCGCCATAGCCACAAACATTTCCAAACCCTCCTCAATTTCCTGCGTAATCTCGCAGGCTAGCTCTGTTTCATAACTTTCCTTATAGCTTGCAGCCACTTGCATCCTTTCAAGTGCCACGCCCTTGTCCCAGTTATTACCGAATTCGAGCGTGAGTTGCCCCGGCACCCTGAAGAACGGGTAATAGAACTCTAAGTTTTCGCGACCTTCTTCACGCAAGATCTTTTCCCAGGTCAAGGAATTCGCAGTCGCATGTGCAAATCGATATGCCATAGCCCAGAGCCATGTCTGGAGATTATCCACAGTGTACAGGGAGGATGTAATTGCAATCTCTAGCTTTCCGGTATTGTCAATGCCACCGGTGTACTCCTGGGAACCGGTGTCCCAAGGTGAAACGCTGAATGTCTCTGCGGCACATGCATAGTAGGTGGCCGTCTCGGTGACCCTGGTCATTGAGCCCATTGCACCACCCGGGAGAGTGGCAAATGTGTTCAAAGACAGGGCGGCAGTGCTTGTAACTGTGCTGGAGATAGTAGTGGCGCACGCACTACTAAAAGCCGTGTAGAAACTAAAGGCTAGCGACTCCGCGAAGGCAGTAGCATTGTAGCCGTCTGTTGACGGCGACCGCATGTACATTGATGTGAAGTATCCTGGGTTGCCATATGTGACTGGACTCGTGATTGCAGGCCAGACTGTCGTGGTAGAGGTCACACCCGTTGAAACAGAGTCCGTGGACGTGGAGCCTGCACAATATGTTGCAGTTTCCTTTGAGAGCGCTTGGAACTCGGACAAAGTTGACGATGCGCAGTGGATAAGGGCACCGTCTGATAGCTGATAGTAACTGAAAGGTATCTCGCTAGTTGATGAGGTGCTAGACGAAGTAGGAGTCACCGTCCATGTGGGCGGAATGGTACTTGGGCAATTCCCCGCGCGGTTGTCGGTGATGTGCGTCGTGAAGTCATTCGTGCAGGTACAGAAGTATCCAGGAGTAGCTGGGTCCTCTGAGACACCGCAATCTGGCGACTTTGCTGGAGCCGCGCTCGAAACAGGTGAAACAGCTTTTGGTATCAACTATCAGCGTAGGTCATACAAAAAAAATGAATTTTGGCTCTCACTTGTTTTCTGCCTTGGGCGACATGTTTTGCCTCTTGGTGTGGGTGTAGGCGTGGGTATAGGCTTGGCTGTGGCTTTGGAAAGGGTTAATCATCGTACAACAAAAAGCATATGATGTGTATTTGGGTGTAAGTACCTGGGGCTGATGCCAATAAAGGTGTTGATGCTGCCCTGGCCTCATTTCTGCCAGGCAAAGCCAAGGCTATGATTGGTAACTGCAGTAAATACCAGAGGAGTTTCATATTGAATGACACTTGGAAAACGATACAGATGGGATGAGATGAGGATCGAAACGAGGAAGATGGGGCTTCTTAAAAGAAATACGGCAGGCAGTGGATGTTCCAATATTAGAAGTCTCTTTTAGAATATATGCCCATATAGGTATAGTACGCGAGGTCAGTAGTAGAGTTGGAACCGGGATATCGGCCCCTGAAAGCCTTGTGTGCCCCCACTGACGCGGCCTTTCCGTGGTCAAGGCTTACCCATGTAAATCCCTGAGACGACATTGGAGGGTTATTCAATATCCAACCACGAGGCTAGAGAATTGGGTCTCCAGTTTGAACATGCGTACATCGAGACCCACCTGCTTAGTGGGTTCTTGTACGAAGTACATATAGATGCATTGCGTACTTCCACTTATAGAAATTGATTGACGATTTAAGTGATGAGGATCCTGAATGTCACTGAGGATCCAGAAACTGGCTCTTCTTCAGTGATGATTGGGCCGTCATCCTCTATTTCATTTCCACATCCTCAGGGCACTAAGCCGCTACCTAGCTACAACGAGAAATATTTTCGTCAATCTTATTTGCTGCGTCAGCGAGGCTATCTCATCTATGAGTTTTCAGCCTTGGTCCCAGCACATTATCTTCGGGTACCTGTTGCACGCACGGTCCCTGTAAGTCAAGAATCTGCATTGTGGGATAAACTACGAGCTCTTTGACGATTTTGACCTAAAGGTGTTATTTTTGTCATCTCAGCAGAGCGGCCGAGGCTTCGAATATGACCTCGTTGCAACCTGGATTTTTGGCCCCAAAAAGAGGGACTTTCCATAATCTTTGATCCACTCTGTTCTGGGCCTAGATCTGCGTTTCGGTCCCCAAGGCTAAGCATGCTTATGCTTCACAGCAGCAATATTTCGGGCGGAGTTTTTCGTTAAATTACGGAATAAGCAGGGTGATCCAATAGAAAGCTTCATGGTGGGACTCAAGATTTAGTTCTGGGGCTGAAAATCGCATACAAATAAACTTCCGTCAAGCTTCCCGTCAAGCCTTCTGAGTGGGGGGCCGGGCCGCGGGGGCCAGGGGTTATGCAGGGGCGACATAGTGCTTATTTTCAACCTACGAGATCAGTAACTCAGCAATCGGAATTACAATCAAAAAGGGATGGAAATGCAGAGACTCTGATTCACTGGGAGCGTATACCCTTCAATGGGGAACAAGTCCGCCAAGCAAGGACTAGATTCGCCGACTTCCTATGGTAGCTCTAGACTCTAGCAGAGATTGAGACCGCGGTATATGGCCAACAAAATGGAAGATAGAGCACGATATTTTGCCGAATCAAGGGTTATGTCTCAGAATACACACACGGTCTTGACCAGATTGGACTTCGGCCCCCATTAATTTAAATAAATTTATTATAACATTAGTTGCTGAGTCGTATCACAAAACTTTATTGGTCTGACAATGGGGGCCAAGAAGGCTGAAAAGGCCCACTGGGACGCCTTGAAACTGTTCCTGTGCCGCTTCTCGCATTTCGGCACGCGAGAAGGAGATCATGTCTATATACGGACACAGAGTAGTATTTGGCAGGTGCTTGTTTTATCTAACTATATTCCAAGAATCAATCTCCTTTGTATCACGCAGCCCCCCAATAAAGAAAGCTTTCTTTTATAGCAATCCCAAAATCACGCTTGGTTTGTCATAGTCATGGGTTTTGGATGCTCTCATACGGCCATATTGGCCCTATTTTGGCAGACCTTGTTTATTGCCAACCTGCCAAGTCCTGCTCATGGACTTGTCCTGAGGGCAGACTACGACCATGGGGAGATTATCACGGTTGCTCACAAAAGAGCTGACGATACTCAGACCGGCGAGGACTGGATTGATCTGCCAGGCAAACCTGGCTTCAGACTGCATCCTAACTGCAAAGGATACATGGATAGCGGCTCCAGCTCCAGCTCCAGCTCTAGCTCTGACTCTGATGCTATCTCTGAAGCCACTTTCTCATGGTTCAGCACGACCCTTAGTAATGTGCTCCATATCGTGAGTAATTTCTATGATCTTTAAATTATGAAGGAATAGTTATCGGCGTACTAATTATTTCTCAGAACAAAGCCGCACAGGGCGCTATTCCAACCCTCAATGGAATTTTGGATGGACCTGAAGCAGGAGACAGTGATGGCAGTGACGGGACCGAATTAACCGATAGCCAAAAGGCGCAGATTGAACTCTATGGGAAGATGTATGGTGAAGTTAATCTGGATGACGAGGCTTCTGTCAAAAGAGCCAAAGACCGTGTTGCAAAACTGGGAGGTAAATGGAACGATGAAGATGAATGATCTCGTCGCGATGCATTCGACTCTAATATCCATATTTAGATTTTGTGGACGAATTTGTCGAAGGTCTGGATTCCAACACCTTCAAGTCAGATATTATCTGCGATCACACGCTCTGGAAAACTGTGAAGCACGATGGTAAAAGTAAGATTGGCACCCTGGTCCTCAATCTACAGCGATAAAAGATAATTAAATTCTGATCCACAACTCTTATAGATGTGTTTACACTTGAAAACGAGCCGGATTGTCCTTATTTCCGACAGAAAGGCACTCAAAGTGACCCATGCACGAGTGCCTCGAGCGATGAGAAAACCGTGATGGGATTTTCGGCGAAGACCAAGGATAACTCAAGGAACTACCTCACGATTTGCCCTAAGGCGTGGGACTCGTTCACCAGCAGTAATGCCTACGGTGACAGTATTATCGACTGGAACCAAAAAGGGCTTGGTTCAGGTTTTGGCTCTGGGGGTATGGAGGGTAAGAGTTTGGAGTCAATTGTCAGAGTCTCGCCTGAGGGCCTTTTTACACATGAGTTGTCTCACTCTCAATCTAAATTTGGCGAGAACGGCAGAATGCGTATGTGCAAACCCCTGATAGTCTTGGAGTTTTGAGCAACTGGCTAATATATGAAACCATTTTTGTCTCTTCAGTCGACATCAAATTGAAGGGCGGAACAATGAAATCGGCATATGGTTGGGAAAATGTTGTCGAACTTGGCGAACAAGATAAAAATGAAGACGACGTGAGCAAAGTTGAGGCGCTCAAGAATGCCGGTAATGTTGAGATTTTACACGGATGTTTTCCCCATTTGTCTAACTTTACTTTCTTACTAGAAACCTACGAGTTTTGGGTTGGAGGTGAGTGATTCCTAGTCAAAGCAATTTATTGGAGTTCCACTAACAAAAAATTTCTAGGTTCATACTTGAGCGTTTGCAATTGGTCAACCGGAGTCTGCTTCGATCCCGCTGATGATTCGGATTGCTCAATAGACATGTCTTGATTCCATTCTTGTTGTTCGTCATCTAAAAACTTCTTAGGAGGCTACTAAATGAATGGCAAACCCCGTCTTTATGGGTGCGTTCTTTTCTTGAGACAGCGCATGTAATATATTAATTTAATGCATTATAATTTGCGGAACGTCACTCAGATTTTGTTTATTCTGTTTTCCGTGGATTTCAAGTTGAGTCGAAAGCCGAGGTAATAGTCATCCATGGATGCTTGTAGTGAAATAAAAGCCGATTGCAATTACTGTTAGTTTGACGGGGCTTATAAAAGTCATCAAGAAGTGTAGGTTTTTACTTTCAGATTCGAAACGCAGAGACTGCTTCTATAGAATAAGATACTTATTAGTCACTAGCGGACTGTGATGAATTGTACACGTAGCTCATGTAGCCATCTGGGTTGACCAACCTAAAGCCTCATGAATATCGCTCTCTTTCTGAATCTGAATTGGCCATCATAGCCCATGATCTAAACCCAAACTTCATTTAGTCCGTATTCTGAGTTCGAATTTCTCGCAGACTATGATGCATCCAGTTCCCATACATCTGTCTCCACGAGTCCCGTTGGCGAGGGCCTTTCATCAGCATCATGGTCATTCGAACGTGGGCGAGTCGAATCAAAATGCTGAGGGAATTTTGATTTGAACCATTCTATCAAGGTACAATGAGAATGATGATTAATCTCTTCGAATTAAGTTTGTGACTCACCTTGATTTCTTACTGCCACATTATCACGATATTCACCAGTTACTACTACCGTCAATTGACTCATCCATTCGCGGAACGAGATGTCGGCTACTTCGGCATTGAAGCGAACGGTCTCGATCTTTTGACTTCCATCGCCATGTCTTATCCAAAAGACTCTCGCGCCCCTATAATCAAGGTTTTTTACATCAAACGTTTTGAGCGAGAGCTCGTTTGCAAGAAGGTTCCAAACGAATTGCCAAGAAGCACTCATCTTATCCAGAGGAGACTGGATGGTTGTGACAGACATTTGATCTGTCACAGGATGACTATCGTTTCTCATCGTCACCAATTCAAGCGCGAGGGTATCCAAGGTTGCCTTTGCTGTGTTTAAGAATAATTTCAAGGACTTGTATTCGATTTCGATGCAATACAGATGAAGTTTTTTGAGCTGCGTGAAATTGATGCATTGAGCAATTTCCAAGAAGTGATGATGCACCCTGTCGCGCCGGTAATTCGACTTGCTCCATTGCGAAAAGATGAGTGTTTTCAGCCTAGGGGCAATTTCGATCAGGAGATCAACAGTGTTCGCTTTGGCGTTTTGTCTGCTTTCTGGTCTCGATCTGCCACCAGAGACGCACATATGTAGATACTCGAGGCTGCTTAGGTTCAGGAGAAGTGCATCGTATTCCTCCTGGGGTAGGGAAACATTTAGAGATATTCGACCACAAAAATCGGTGCTACACGTATGTAGCTCTTTGGGTTTGAATGGGTTATCAGCACCCGAGAGTGCTTGGACGAGTCTGTACCAGGCCAGAGAGGTGGGTTTGGCATTGAGTTTGGATTCCAGAGAACTTAAATGCCAAGGGTGGAATTCCAAGTCCATTTGATCTCTGAGGCGGCGCAAACCTAGACATCGGACTTCATTCTGCCGTGGGTCCAGTAGAAATGATGTTGTATAATGTTGCAATCCAATAGATTCCAGGTTGCTAAAGCGAGCGAAGCATTTCTGAAGTCTGATGCTGAAGTCTTTTGAGCCAAGAATCGCACAATGATCTGCCACTGTTGCTTGATATATGGCATATCGAGCATTTAGCTCTTTCCCCTCCAGCTGTCGGTCATATTTTGACGATATTGCAAAGTGACACGTCTCAAACGCGGGAGGTTCTATGTGGTGACGACCTTCAAAGAGGGTCGGTATCATCCATAACTTTCTAACACTTGCTTGAATAGTCTTGCTCAAAGCTAAGGCTTCTAGTTCCCGAAGACTGTCACTTGTCGCGATGAATCGAATGCTTGTAAAATATCGATCTGTGAAGGCGTCTGATGATGAGAAGTATAGCCAAGTGCAAGTTAACCTGAGCGCAGCCCATCCCGGTAGCTCGAGGTAACTGCAGACTCTAGTCACAAGCTCGACTGGGAGCGTTGTGATAGACATACTAGTATATTCACATGATTTCGAAAAGTAGATGAGAGTGATGTGATGATCTGGCCGATGTGTACAGGCTTAGCTAATGTAGCACGTGACAGCACGCGTCCGTGTCCGACTGTGGCAGATGTAAGATATCAGAGTTACATACTTTGTCTATTTTTTGAAATTCTATCAGATTCAAATATCCCGAGATTCAATTTAAGCTGAGGATACCTGCTATAATGTGAGATATCAATTGCCGAGCTCTGTTGAGTGACAACGGTTCCACCCACTAAAGCATTGCGGATGGAACGATAAACTCATGAACCAATGATCATAACCATTTCAATTCCAGAAATCCAAGATCTATTTTCAAGCTTTCCGGATCAGCGGGAAACTCATATTTGAGTCAATCCTTTTGCTCCCACCCTCCACGTTCCAAACAAAGCGTGAGGCTATCCGAGGTTTTCCATGTCGCACTACCACATCTGAAACCTGTGTCATGTTGATGGAAAAAAATCCAGTATATGTTGGTTCCTCAACGCAGGGCCCCCCCCCAATTAATATCGCTAGGTGATGTCAAGGCGTTAGCTTGACCGAAGTTCTGGAGAGGGGAAACTATTGAAATTCTCGCGTGGTCGGGTGGGGACCGAGCGCAAAAGCAAAGATTTTCTCTATAAGAACAATGCGATCAGTGTGATCAGAGTGAACGGATAAGGTGATTCCTCCGGCCGAAGGGCCAAAAGTGCTCAAGCTAAACGAACAAGGAGTGGGACCAGACTAAAAAGTTTCAGACCAGTGCGGGCGCTCCGATGAGCTCTTGGCAATTGTTGGCGATGGTTAGCGAGGGGCTTGCCACATGGGAGCTGGGGCGGATTGGATGGAGACTCAGATCTTGATCTTGATTGAACGCTTGGTCATAAAATCGTGACACCGGCTTAATTTATCCGCCCCATTTTCCCCTCTTTTTTGACGAGGCTGGTCCGAGCCAATCCATTGAATGGCCAATGCTATGCGCCCATAGCTTATACATATTGTTTCTTTTTAGTTTCTGGAAATTGTATTCATTTAACTGATCCTACCTTTCCAACGCCACAGGGGCACGGCAATTCTAGAAGCCGAAAACGAGACAGTTGATAGGTGGCGGTTAGCGAATCCAATGGTTCTGGCCGGCGAGTTCAATGGTAGGGCTCCACTTGATCGAACCACGAATCTGATGAACTACCATCAAGCATTGCCATCCTATGGTTAGACTGATTCTCGGGCAATCTACCCCACTTGGAAATCGAATTCCTCGTGGTCACGTCCGCCGGACGCCGAAACCTGGGTCTCACTTATTCATATATGCGAACGGCTGCTGCTAAATATGGCCCTCCTGCCGACCTGTGATTTTTCCACTACAACTCCGCCCTGATGAGCTTACAGGAACGATATCCAGCATATGGAGGCCGTGGCCCAGCCGATCTTCGCTTGGGACTCGGCCTAGGAGCGGTGGCTACGATATTTATGATCTTGCGAATCTACGTTCGCCTTCGAGTTAATAAATTTGGAACAACCGCCTTGATTTGGGCTCTTGTTGCTTGGGTAGGAACTATCACTCGACTCTATCCGGACCACGCCGGCTGACCAGTTCTGTAGCTTCTAACGACCATCACACAATGCTTTGGCGTTATTTCCATTCTCCATGGGCTTGGAAATAGAATCGCGATCGTCGAGGAGGTCGGCCAATTACATAACTATCTTTTATTCACATGGATCACCGTCTTCTTTTTCAACATGGCGATCCCGACTGGAAAGGTCGCAGTCGCCGCATTTCTGATTGAGATGAATGGTCAAGGCAGTGCGTTCTCCTCACAAGAACAAGAAAATTCATGTATTTCTATTATCTTACTAACTTCCTTTCCTACAGATCCCAAGATCCGCCGCAGTTTGATCGCTGTCGGGGCGGCCAACATTATTCTCAGTATCCCGCAGATCTTACTTGCTTGGTTCCAATGCAGTCCGCCAAACGCACTCTGGGACCCTTTACGCCAGGATCAGTGTAATCACGTCACGAGTGTACGCTACAGTTATTTCATTGGTGCTGTCGCTGCACTCTCCGATTTCTACCTCGCCATTATCCCGGTCACGATGTTGGTCCCTTTGCGAATGGATCGCAAGTTAAAATGGGGATTGAGTTTCCTCATGGGCCTCGGTGTCTTTGCTGGAGCTGCAGCAATCGTTCGAACTTGGGCGGCAAAATTCATTCTCAGTGATGACCCTTCATGTGAGTTTCTCCGAAATATAACTATCTCTAGTAGCAACGAACATATCACTGACAGTATGCGTGATCAGATGGTGTCGGAATCCTTTTCCGCTGGGGTGAAGTTGAAGAGTGGATTGTCCTCATCTCAATGTCAATTCCGCCCGTGTGGCCGCTCTTCAGGCCTATCACTAAGCGTTTCATCAAATCCGCTGGATATTCTCGGAGCCCGAAGAATTACATGGCATATGATAAGTATGCTTCGAGGGGGGGATCTCGCCACAGCTGGCCAGACTCCCGTGGTCACCACCACCATTTCTGTTTCTTCTGTCAAGGGTGCATCTGGTACAACTGAACCTGTACGTGCATCGTCTTCGGCGGACTCATATTCTGGCTATGATGAAGAACAGCCGGAAACCCCTCGCTTTGTTTTAAATACACCCGGGGGTCCAGAGGGCTGGATGGAAATGTCGCAATATAAGAATCATCCCCAGTGATGCATCCCAGTTATAAGATAAATTAATTAAAATTATGGTTATTCCTTTTGATATCAATTTCTCTTAATTTAATGTATGGTTCCGTCAAAAAAGATGCAGTTAGTATATTGGGCCCCACCTCGTATTCACATCTCAGGGATTGACGGCCCCCAATCAAGATCGACATCTGGTGTGCCAGTGGTCATATCAGGCCCAAAGGCCCACTGGAATGAAAATTATCCATTAATTAACATGAGGCTGCTAGGGCGAGATGCTGATTGGAATTTTAGTAGGTCGGCCTTGAATAGTTTGATTTGTTTCTAATTTGGTTTGGACTGTGAACCAATGATTCTAATATATGAGATGTTAAGGGATATTGCATGGTAAATTGTAAATGAATTTATTGGTTGTTTGTTGCTCAAGTAAATCATTCCATTCAAAGCTTTTCGTTGCAAGCGCTATCATGCCTCGGGTAAAAATAAGCAAACTCCGAGCAAACACGTATATGCAATTATGTAAAAATATTAGACATTGAGAGTACCAGCGCAGGAAAATGATGCTGCAGGAGGTGATAGAGTTGGGTATAGTAGAGTAGAGTAGAGTAGAGCAAAGGAGACGATGGGCAGGTGTAAATTCAGCGAAGAGTATGATTAAACTTCGGCTTCAGATTTACCCTCAGCCTTGCGCTCCTCCTCGAGACGCTCGTTGCGCGCACGTTCTTGCTCCTTGAGACCAGTCTTTTGGATAGTGTGAGACTTGCTCAGTTCACGGGGAACGATGAAACAAGACAGGATGAAGCCAACGGCCGCAATGCAAGTGTAAAAGATCCACATGCGGTTCAGAGCAAGGGTATACGCATCCAGAACGACTTGTCGCTGGGATTCGGTGAGTGACTGAATAAGAGACTTGGAAGAGCCCGCGAATGAGCCGGAGATGGAGGCAGTCAGCTCAGGGCCGATAGCTGCAATAAGCTTATCGGATTGTTGGCCCATGATGTTTTGATAAATAACCGTGCCCAGAACGACGGACATGGAGGTGGACAATTGGCGAACGAAGCCGAAGGTAGCTGTGGCTGTTGCCATATCTGAGGGTCGGATGTTGGCCTGGAATGCGACCAGTGGGGCTTGGAAGTTAGGGCCGATACCGACACCAGCGATTAATTGGTAGATGATGATGCGGGGCCAGGAGGCGTAGGCCTTCAGGTCGATGAATAAGCCGTAGCCGATAACCATGAAGAAAAGACCTCCGACGATCATCTCGCGGTAGCGGCCGGTCTTCTTCATGACGACGCCGGTTACGGCGGAGACGACGGAGAGCGACAGGACCATGGGCAGAACGTAAACACCGCTCAGGATGGGCGATGCGAGAAGCACGGTCTGGAAGTAGAGTGGGAGGTAGTAGGTGCTGGCAATGAAAACGAATCCGTGGCAGAAGCAAACCAACAAGATTAGCACGTTATACCACTCCTTGAATAGGCGAGGCGGGATAACTGGGTACTTGGCCAGCTTCCACTCTGACAGCATGGCCAGGGCCCAGACAACGATTCCAAAGACGATCAGGCAGATGACAGTGGGGGAGGCCCAGGGGTAGCTGACACCTCCGAATTCGAGGCCGAAGAGGAACATGAGGGTTCCGCCGATAATCAAGAAAGTACCAGCCCAATCGATGTTGCGCAAGCCTTCCAAAAAGTTCGTCTTGGGAGATTCGATGTGCAGGAAGAAGAAGAGGATAAGCAATGAGACACCACCAACAGGCACTGGAAAGTCTGATCAGTCAAAAGTTCGTGTTGTTTGTTGTAAAGGATTCCACATACAGTTCAACCAGAAGCACCATCGCCATGTAACACTGGTAGTGAAAGCACCGCCAATGATGGGACCCAGAGCACCCGCAATAGCCCAGGTGGCACCAAAAAGACCGTAGTACATAGGTCGATCTCTGTAAACAATCCGTTAGCATTATATCACTCAAGAATACCGAAAGGGCAAGTACCATACCTCAAGCTGAAAAGATCCGACACACTGATATTGGCCAAGATGATAATACCACCACCACCAACACCCTGAATCGCACGACCAGAGATAATCATAGCCATGTTCTTTGCCAGAGCACAGATCAAACTACCGACCAAGAAAAACACATTGGCGAGCAAGATGATGTGCTTCCGACCCCAGATATCACTGATCTTTCCCCAGAGCGGAATACAAGCGGCGTTGGCAAGAAGGTAGGAAGAGGCGATCCAGGAGTATCCACTTTCCGAGGCCCCGAAGCCAGCGGCAATTGTAGGTAAGGCGGTTGAGATAATGGTCTGTGACGAAGTCGGTTAACTATCTGCATTGTCACGGCGAGGGCGTGGGAAAGGGCAGTTCTTACCATATCCAGAGCAGCGAGGAACAGGGCCAACTAGAGAAGAGGTGTCAGCTTGTAGTTCGTATTGCGAGGCAACTTGTGTCGCATTGCGCTGGGTTGTTCCTCGTATCAAAGGTGTACATACGCAAAGGGCAGTCATAACGACCGCGATCTTCTTCTTGCCCATCTTGGCTGCCTGTGAGGGGGTCCGGTCCAAAGGTGAGCCGGACTCGGACTCCTTCTTCTCGATCGCATTTTCGGTATCGTTTTCTTCTGGGGTGGGCGTCACATCGTGTTCGTCTTGCGGGGAAGAGGGCTCGATATCGGCGGCGTTTTTTTCCGAGGGAATCTGCGCAGCAACGGAGTCGCTGCTGGAGGACTCATGGTGCTGGCGCTCGACCGACATGGCGACAACGATCGAAGGTAAGGGATTTCTTTTCTCTGCGAGCAGAGAGTGGAAGTAGCGCGAGGAGAGAAAGAAAAGGAGCAGGGAAATTTCAGCGGGGCGATCGCAAGGCCAAAGTCCGGTAGCGCGACGGAGATAAAACCGATCGATGGCGAGTTGAATGGATGATGTAGGGGGAGTTCAGGGCGAGATGGGGGTTTCTGTATATTTTATCCTCTTGGAGAGGAGTCGTTTGTATTTGCCCAGGTCCAAGCGGCATTGCTTTCCAACTTATACGAGATGGAGGTCGTGCAGAGTGTAAGTCAGAGTCATCTTGTTCTCGGACTTTACTCATCAAGCATCGGGAAGAGCCGAAATGCCGAGCCCCGAGCTTTCTTCTCTTTTTACCTCGATCGAGTTAGTCTACCCTGTGCCTTAGACTAGTATAGTATGCTAGTATAGTATGGATAGCCTGAGGAAGTGCGGTGAATGGATATGTCGGGGCTCGGACAATTTTATGCGTTATGCGAGACAACGCGAGGCCGCTTGCAGCAAACCACGTTGGCAGAAGCAAAACACATAGTTTGATAGGTGGGACCCCCTGCAAGCGGCTGTTTGTAGTGGCACTGGCAGGTCAATGAACATTAATCAAAACTTGATCAGTGGTGCCTATAACTATTTTAATGCTATTCAATTACTGCTACTCCTGCTGGTATACTTTGCGATGGTGGTGGTGCTATCCCAGCATTCCTGATGACCTCACCCTGCGGAGACCCATCGGAGCTGTCACATCCACTCGAGAGGGGCGGTCTACAAGATTCTACAAGTATACTCGTAAGTCAACATGAAATAAATAGTCGAGAAAAACCACCATCGGATGAAAGAAGCTCCAGACAAGCCTTCTTTTATATGCACATCACTAAATAACGCCCCAATCAAATGCAACGGCCTGTCCGAGAACTCTATGACTGAAACACTGAACAATAGGGGGGGAAGACGAAAGGGTATAAAATGGAAAATGGGAAGCCGAGTCCAGAATCGACAACCCCAAGGCGACAAATGCAACATGCACGACATGCCAGACCGACATGAGAACAGACGAGAGGACACTTCCCTTACTCCTGCAGTTGGAGAATTTCTGTAGAAAAGACAAACACCTTGGTTAGCATCATTCCAACAATCGCCCCATCCGCTCCACTTCAACTCACCAGTCAAGAACTCCTCAAAGCTAACAGTAATATACCCATCCCGATCATCATCATACCGCTTAAACACATCCGTCATCCGCTTGAGACTAATACAAGCCTGAACAAACAGATCAAAGCTCATCCCATGCCGATTAGGACTCTTCGGCGCCCCACTCAACTGTCTCGTCTTACTCTCAAAGATCGAGAAAAGCACAGAGACAAATTTCGGACTAAGCCGATACCCAAATGCCACGAGCGCATTCTCAAACTCCTGCAGACTAATCCGCCCACTGCGATCCTCGTCAAATCGATCAAATAGTTCCCGCCACGCAGCAAGATACCTCCACAACGAAACGAACTCGTCGAAAATAATCACCCCGTTCCCGTCCCGGTCGAACATTCGGATCATCATCTTCACCGTCCGCGGGTGGAAGGATGTATAGTCGCCATTGACGAGTGCAGAGCCCAGCTCGTGCTCTGTCAGCGAGCCCGAGTGCGAGGAATTCGCGGCGCGAAAGAGTGGGAAGAGTTGCTGTGGGTCATTGCTTGTCGGCGCGGCGAGGGGTGGGGGCTGTGGGGATTGAGGAGGGCGCGAGGAGGGTGGTGGTCGATTGTGGGAGGGAGGGGGTCCGAAGCCGTAGTTCTGCGGTGGGGGGGATGGGTGTAATGGGTGTGGCCGGTTTGGAGGGGGTAGGTTTGCTGGTGATGGTCGGCCACCACCAGGAGCACTGCCGCTATAGGAGTGGGATGCATGGGGATCTTGCGGGCGCAGTGGTGGAGGAGCGTTATAACCTCCTCCTCCTCCTTGTGGAGGGGCACTGGAGACGGGGACGCGGGGTGGAACGCCGCCGCCGCCGCTACCAGCGCCTGCTTGTGGGGGTCGTGAGGGGAGAGGCTTTTGGCCTTGACTGGTGGGCTGACTGCCTGATACCTGCATGTTCCCGATCATTTGCGCGACCTGTTTGCATCTCTGTTAGCGGGGTGTGGAGGTGAAGGGACACGGTGGACACGGTGGTCGCGGAGGGTCAAAGTAGTACCTGCTCTGGCTCGGCGTGCCTGTGCCATTCCAGCTTGTCAGCGATCTAAAGGAGTTCCACGGGCATTGCGCTGGGTTTGGCAACTCACGCTGGCAGCGCGTCAGGGTTGTAGCTCTTGTTGTAGGCCATGGTCGCGGGCACTGACGCAATCAGGCCTCAATGAGATAGATCCCTTCAGGGAGGCGGGGGAGACTTGGCAGGCGTCAGAATCCCGGGAAAAAGTCTTGTCGTCGTGAAAGGACGTATATAGTCGAGGGTTAAGCACGAATGATGTGAGAAATCTGCAGGAGAAGGAGAAGGGAGAAAGTCAGGGTTGATCCGTTGACAAAGTCAAAGCGGAGCCGTGGGCGGTGGTTCAAGATGATTTTTAGGCCAATGCCAATGCCAAGTGATAAACTCCAGCTTCGTGGTCAATCTCCACTGCAATTAAAAGTGACGAGGATTACGAATGCTTCACAGTTTGTATGGTTGTACTTGCAAATATATCCAATCCTACGCGTTTCGCAGGCGGTTGATCCAAGAATCGACAGCTTACAGCTTACCGTTATGAGCTATGAAGCCTAGGGCTGACAACCCACCAGCACCAGCAATTGGGCTGTAATTGCGGCTCCACTTGCGGGTAAAAATAACTGAACCGACACGAATACGAGTAGTACTAGTAGTAGTACGAGTATCTACCGATGGCAGCATTTTCCGGCTTTTGCTTTTGCTTTTGAACATGAATACATAAATATAGTACAATGTAAATTGCATGGTTAGTACATTCGCGAGGAGAGTGCGCAATTAATCTCTCTGTGTAATGATTTTGACCTCGTTGTCCTGCTCCTGCAGCACATCCAGGATTTCCTCCCAAGCCTTCACCTGAAATTGCTTCCCTTCAGTCCCGGCCGTCAAAGCAGTGGATTCGCTAGAAATCTGTCAGTTCATTCTACGGTGGCAAAATTAGGAGTGGATGAAAGCAAAAATTTGAGGAAAGCAATAGGGAAAGGAAGCCAATCATACTCAAGATATCCATCGCTGCGCCAGCATTTCCCTTGAGACTCGACTCCCTGCACCGTCGCGCTAACCAGCGAGCGACTTCCCTGTTCAGTCGTGCGCGCAAAGATCTTGTAGGCCAACCACGCAAGCCAGCGCTCGTAGAACCGGTTATACTGTCGTCCGAGGCCGGACACGCAGAATCCCGGACTGACCGTGTTGATGATAACTGGCACGGTGCCATCATCATTGCGAACGAGATCGGCCAATGTCTTCGTCACATATTCTAGAAGTAACTTGGAAATACCATATTGTTTTGGCCCCTTGAATGTCGTCGAGGAGTTGAGATGCTCGAGCAGGGGGCCCTCTGTTCGCAGACTCTCCGCTTTGGCACGGACAAATTGTTGGCTGGAGGTTATGCTCAAATGTGTTGGATCGGAGGACGTGGAGCATTCCCTCAATTTGGGTAGAAGCAGTATTGCCAGTAGTGAGGTTGATAAGGTATTGGTCTGTAAGGTGTCTTCCCAGTCCTCCGGTGATTTGGTATAAGCCCGATTCCAGACACCAGCATTTAGCAGGGCCACGTCGAGTCGCGGAAGCTCGGTGTTAACGCGATTGGCAAAATTCTTGACGCTGGCGAAGCTGCTCATCTCAAGCTCCCAGACTTGGATGGTGCCTGGGCGATTCGTGCATTTTTCCAACTCTGCTTTGGCATGGTTTCCTCGCTCTATGCTGCGACTTCCAATAATCAGGGACTCGACTCCGAGGTTGAGAAATTTGATGGCGGCCTCGTAACCCAGGCCCGAAGTGGCACCCGTCAAGACAATCGTTTTGCCAGCAAAGGAGATACCACGTGGATCTGTGGGCGGTATGAATTGCATTTTCAGAACGCTAAAGAGCCTCGACATGATGGCGGTATTTAATAGCTGATTATCAAAAGTGTCAATTCATAACTTGGCCTAGCATAGGTGTTTACTGCAGCATATCGTGCACGTGATAATCGCTGAGTCATCCCGTTGAAGTGGGGCCTTGAGGCTCGTGGCTCGTGGCTCAATTCTTCGTCAACAAGAGCTTTCTCCGATTCACATATACATAGCACATGGTAGATATGAGCGTATCTGGTATTAGGCTCTGTTAAAGTAAGAAGCTCATAGTATATCAATCATCTATAAACTTCAAGTTTGTTTCAAGTTTCTAAGGAATTGAATTGCTCAAGTTTATCAATTCCATTTACCCCGCATCAAAGTTGTGACGAAATATAGAAAGGAACAACCAGTCACTATACACCAACTATTCGACCGAGGTTCAATCGAACATGACCCAGGGCTCAGACTAATCTCTAATCACAAAAAACACCACCATCACACCATAAACAATCCAATCAGCACACCTCGCAAGACCTCACCAACCGCCCGAATGGCGACGACACAAAAACAAACACTGCAAACAACTGGAGAGGGGCGCCGGTCAAAAGCGGGCAACCCGATTTCTCAGCAACACAGGGCTGGCTGGCTAACTTGAATTCAGTATTTGATTGACGCTGGACGCAAGTTTACGAGAATTGATCACACAAAACATCACATCACATCTCTCCGGCTTCGAGCCGCCAATCCGACTTGACTACATACATTCATAACCTGTTTTCCCTGCCCTAAGGGCCAAAAGTATAGTAAGGGAAGAGGCATTGCTTGCCACGCAGCAGCCCGGATCACACAGCAAACACTTGTCCGACACGCTAGCTACCTACCTTCGCCACCCGCTTGGCGAAAGTTCAAGTGCACGAGAAAGAGAGAATTATGGCTGCGGCGTTGCAGGGGCACCAGGTGCACCCGGAAGGGCGAGCATGGAAGAAGCATTTTCCCGCGGGTGATCTTTGGGTTTTTGGATACGGGTACGTTGTCATTCCTTCAGTTTCTCAATGCTTGATTTTTATTTTTATTTTGTGTGTCTGTTTGTGTGTGCTTTATTATACGAAATGCAAGGCAATGCAATTGCCCTGAGAAAAACAAAGTACAAACGGGGAATCTTATACGTATACGGCTGGATATCCGAAGGACCTGCTCTATTCGGACCCCCGCCGCGGCATTCAAGTTTCAGAATGAAGATTGGACATCCTACTGACTTTTGATTGTGTAGGAGTTTGATCTGGAAACCACCACCCCATTTCGGTATGTATGAATGAAAGTGTAAAATTTCCTCGGTCGGAGTGGATTTTATTTGCAAACGATGTTCCTCTTTCAATTGTGCCCGCCTAGCATGAATTACGATTTTGGTAAACTCCTATCCGTATAGAATAGCTAATCCAATAAATAGACCAGCGAGTACCGGGGTATATCAACGGCTACGTGCGGCGCTTCTGGCAGGTATGTAAATTCCACTGTGTGTGAGAGAGGTAGGAATCCGGCAGCCTGGGCGGGATTGCGAAAAAGACACTCTCATATGTTTCAGGTCTAACTTGATCAAAGCTGACACGAGGCCGATGTGGCGTTCTTATTGCAGGCTAGGTATGTGTTGTGGATCTGGAGTGGGAGGCCTGGTTTCTGATTTCTGATTTCGGGCACCGAGTCCCCCTCCCCTTGACGCCCATGATCCCGGACCCTGGGAATTTTAATTTCAGCCTCATATGCCGTGGGAACATTGGCGGAATGAAATCACAATTGATCCACTAACATCGTCGTCTTTCACAGTTCTGATCATCGCGGCACATTGGAGAAGCCGGGACGAGTCGTTACCGTGATCGAGCGGGCATTTTGGGAAACTCTCGATGATCCAGTGAGTGAATGAGAGATAACCCTCCTCCATTGAGAAACAATAAAAGCTTACACTATGCTAACCCCTCCCAGCTAGCTACCCTTGAATCCGAATCCGCCTCCATAGGTAAAGTCTGGGGCGCGGCTTATCATATTCCCGCCTCCCATGCCGAAGAGGTTCATGATTACCTCGACGAACGCGAGATCAATGGGTATACAGCGCATTTCACCCCTTTCCATGCGATCTCTCCCGTAGCGACAAGCACAGTCGCAAAGGTCCCCGAGGCCGATGCCGATGCCGCAACCCCGATCACTTGCATGGTGTATATCGGACAACCTACCAATCCCCAGTTTCTTCGTGAGCACGAAGAGCGTGACGCCGAGCAGGTGGCTCAAGTTATTAGCGACAGCCAGGGAAAAAGTGGCAAGAATACGGAATATCTTTATCTTCTGGAGAAGGCATTGGAGGGTATTGGGCTGGGCACGGCCGATGTGCATGTCACCGATCTAGTGAAACGGGTGAAGGCTATCAAGGCTGACGACCAACCCGAAGCTGAAGAGCAGGAGGCCGCAAGAGATGTGCGCAAATATCTAGCTTTAGCTGGAGATTCGGTGCACGGGGACAAAATCGAATGAGCGGCGAGCTCATTTCGTGATGGGAAACGTCCTTGTGGATTATGGCATAGACTCTAGATGAACAAGACCATGTTTTAGAATTATCATATAAGTCCTCGATGTTTGCCTTATTTTGGGCTAAACACGGAGATCCCAAAACATGATAGAAGAGGCACCGGAACTATGTATATGGACGAGGTTAAGATATCATCAAAGATTGAACCATAGTACACCGTGACCAGACAAAAACAAAACCAAATTATTGCCAGGATGTAGAATCTTATGTACCTCAGTGGGGTCGAGCCCAAAACCAGCTCTTCTTAGAGGATTCGAAAACAAATTCAGGAGTGGAGACGGAAAAAAGAGCCAAAAATTATCACGCAAAAAAAAAATCAAGACTTGCTTCACATAATTTGCAGATCCACATTGCATCAAATTCAAAACTCGTTATATCCCGTGAAACCACCGGTTCCAGGAAAATCTGCCGAATGACATTTTTGCGTGCTGAAGGGAGATGGCAATGGAAATATCTTAAACATGTCGAAAGTTAGTTGCCTTCAGATGGGGCCGGAGGTTGGTTGTTGTTTCGCCAGCCTGGTAAGAACAACCCAACTCAGTTAATATATAAAACGGGTCGAGAGAATAGGATGCAGCTGTAATGACTTACCACCACCGCCGCCATAGCCAGCGTTCGTACCACCACCTGCATGCTGTATTAGCCTCCAAACCATGTAGAACAAAATAATGAAGGTCGTTCCAAGTACCGAGACCGGCGACGTCAAATACTACATACCATAGCCGCCGCCATAACCAGCACCAGCACCAGCACCACCTCCGCCATAGCCTCCGCCGCCGGCGCCAGCGCCGCCTCCATTGCCATAGTTGTTATAGCCATATCCTCCACGGTTGTATCCACCGCTGCCGCCTCCGCCGCCGTAGCCACCGCCACCACCGCCCTGATATCCACTTTGAGGTTGCTGGTTGTATCCACCACGGCCTTGGAAGCCACCGTCAGGGCGACTGGGACGGTCAAATGCTTTGTCAACACGAATGACACGTCCATCAAATCTGGAGAGGGGAAATAGAAGAATGAGTTGATGGATATCTATCGATGATGAAGAGACAGGGGCGATCCTGCAGATGCTTACTCCTGGTTGTTCATCGCATTCATGGCAGCATCGGCCTCGGCATCAGTTGCAAATCGCACGAACCCAAATCCGCGACTACGGAGCGTGGCACGGTCCTTGACCACAATCTGGGGCAGAGGGAGTTAGACTCCGGCTGCAGATCAAAAGGATGAGGCTCTGTGGCCGGGGAAAAGAAGACTAACAGCTTCCTGGATCTCGCCAAATTGCTGGAAACCCTCGCGAAGAGTGTCATCATTAGTGTGCCATGACAGGCCGCTATATAATAATGGATACGTGGTCAGTTCGATTCTTTCCTGGCACGGAGGCCTGATGTCCCTGAAATCAGACGGAAAAAAGCCGAAAATGAAATGCGCGCGGGGAAAAAGCCAGCTTAACATACTGAACAAAAAGTTTGGACATTCTGGTAGACTGCCCGCGAAACTCTCAAAAATCAAGACTGGGAAGGGATTAGTGCACACACAGGAACGAGTTGATGGAAGCAACCCACGGGAGGAGGAGGAAATGATGAGTTGTGCCGGGAGACTGAGTGGCAGGGAGATCCTAGTGGTTGCGAAACGAGTCAGCAGTCAAACCCGTGTAACAATCACACTGCTTTAGGGCTTCCGTGTCCTTGGGACTTTGCCAGCCCGCACCGGCACCAATAATGGGACTCTGCCAGGGAGATATGATGCTTACTGGATTGCCTTTGGCTGCGGGCTACGACCAGTAACGAAGAATCGAGGCCCAACAGATAGAGGGGGAGATGGAGGCCAAGGTGGGGTGAGCAGGCCGCTGCAGAGATAATAGTCCTTTCACACCACCCCCTCAGAAGACTAGTCCCACCGGTCGAAACCTTGAGCTGATTGAATTCTCGGGACCCGGCGGCCTGGCGTGCCTGCGCTCCATCAATCAGATGCTACCCGAGGCTGGATCTGGAAGATGAGGGACGCTAGTACAGACATCGGCTGATGGGCGTTGCTCATACTTCCCCCTCATTTGTCTTTTCAGGAATCAGATTCAGATATCGCCACCGGGCTGTTCATTCCATATGCAACTTCAATCCGATCAGAAAGAGTCGTTACTCAAAGGCAAAGAGAACGATGCATCGGCCGTGTTGAAGAACTATATCAGCCGGGGGGGAGGGGGGGGCACCAACCGACTATGCCCGGGAGTGACCCTGGGAAACACGCCTAGTGGCGGGCTGAGGCGGGACCTCCACGCACTCCTTTCCGTGGAGCACACCGGTTGACCCAAACTTGTGTACTTTGGGGAAGAGCCAGGATCGTACCTCACAGCTTCCCTTGCATGACGGGTCCAGTCTGTAATTTGGATTTTTCATTTGATTCTTTTCGCATTCTCGTTGACGGGGGTTCTCAAGGCATACGAGTAGGCCATCATCATCACCCACGCAGATTCAGAATAGTCTGGCCTATATGCAAGGTGCAGAAAGGGTCGTTTTCCAGCCATGCCTCTAGCCCTGTCAGGCCAATTTGGGCTCCAGTCCGACCGCAATGATGATCATCTATGGCCAATCCACGCAATGGGCGCGGGGAGGGGCACTTGACCCACATGCCGCTTGGGCCGTACGTCGGCAGGACTCCGGAGAGGCAGTGACGATCAGCACATGGATCGTCCGAGTCCTGATATGTACGGAGTACATCTGTACATAAACTTGGAACAGCTCTTCGGATGACAATGCGGCTGCACCCAACGTGAGAATCTCACAAGGCAGAGCCCTCGGGATCCTTGATTCGTAGGATTGACTCAGACGAGCAACTCGAGAGAAAGCAACGGGACGTTTGACGGGGTGGCTTCATTGTCCGACTGTTGCTGTGGTCATCTGCATTGGCTGGGGTGGGGAGGGGACGGGAATTATGGGATAGCGAAGAAGCCGAATGACACGGAAAAAATCGACGTTGCTCAAAAATGATGAAAGGTGGAGGTGGAGGTGGAGGTGGAAGTGGAAGTGGGAGAAGACTCGATCTTCTTGCAAGGACTGAGAAGGTTCAAGTCACACGTGCCTTCACCTTCATTACTTGGTGGCTCCTGCCTGTTGCATCATCATCATCATCATCATCATCATCATCATCATCAACCATCACTCTAAGAGAAACCTCATTCCCGAAATGAAACCCTTCCATCGACTTCTTGCTCTTGGACTTTGCTACGGACTTTTGGTATCGTCGCATCTCTTATCAAGTCTGAATGATGGGCACCACTGGTCGTGTCTCGATTGACCAATGGTTGGCAAATGTGTCACCGGAGGACCTGGGAGGGGACCATGTCCGCAGTATGAATCGACTCGGAGACTTGTTGAATGAGTGGTAGTAGCTGACAGGGCATGTGACAGATCGAGATCGTACGGATGCACTTGTCCCAAACGATGGTCCTCAGTCACCTTGTCTGCCGTTGGAAACACCCAACACTAAGTTCACTCCACAACGACCACGGTTGAATAAGCGCCATCGAGATGAGCCGGATAGAGGTCCAGACCCTCCACAACAATCTGACCAGAAGAAGATTCACAGTTATGATCGGAATCCTCGTCGCAAAACCCGGGAGGATCGATATAAGTATCAAACAACTGGCATGTCCGCTGGGCAGCTTCACGGAAAGAAGAATCCCAAAAGGGCCAAAACATTGCGCCGAACTAGAAAGCAAACGACGAATGCCGGATTCCATGCTCCCAATGTGGCTCGAGATAGGTTGACGGTAAGCATGTGTGAAAAGCGCTAGTGTGCCATTTCTGACCGTGATGATAGCTCCAGCCCCTTGCCATGGTTGGCATATTCAGCAAGGGGAAATCATCATCTCCCATTGAGCTACGTCAAGATCAGTATCGTGATACGCGCAATGGACACAGATCAGCGAAAATGACGGGTTTCCCGTCGACGGGGTCGGGTCTTGCATTTTCAGAAACAAACGTTACTTTTGACAAGAAGCAGATACCCCCGAAGTCGTCTACATCTAACGGGACCGTGCTGGGACCGCTGGAGATGGACCATCACCCACGTGGGAACATATTGGTTGATTGCTCCGGTGATAAACGCTCGCTGAAACTGGTCACGAATCCCCCGAAGTCAGGATCGATTAAGTCGACCAACGCACACAATGGAAATCTTGCCATGACTGCGAATCTGGGAGAGTCTCAGGAATCGTCCAGACCCAAACTCATATTCCCCGCTGCCACATCTCAAAGAATTTTCCCGCAGCAGTGGGTTCTGGAGGCCAGCCAACTGAACTGTCTTCCAGAGTCTCGGTCTGCTACCCCATATACGTGGTCTGAAAGTGAACCCTACCAGACACGGCTTGACCGTTCGATAGAAGATACTCTTCTGGCTGTTCTTCAGATCAATCTGCAAGCAGGGATCAATGAAAACAGCAAGTCTGCCGACATGGATCGACGTTACTACGAACTCAAAGACCTGCAGGAAATCTTAGAGGCTAGGAGGGAATTATGGGAAGAAGGGGGAAGTGGAGGTTACCCAGCGACTTGTCTATCCTCACATTCCATTTCTCGACCTACCCATGCGGCATCCAGATCACGAAGTGGATGGAACGGGACACTCCATGCCAGAAGGATGGTTGAGGAAGACCTGGCAGATAGTGATCATATCTTCCAACAGCTGGATATGCTCTTCCAGGAGATTGTCAGCTCCCAGGATGGGAGGCCGACTCTCGAGGGGGAGCAGCTTGAAATACCTCAGCCTCAGCCAGGACCCCCGCACTCCCTCAAGGCAGATTTTGACACTTTCCCTTCCAATAACTCAAAGGAAGCTCGTTGTGATCGCCGTCATATGGCCCCGTGCGACAGAATCAGCCTAGATAATGACACATCTGCATCGCTTCGTGGAACACTGTCGGTTATTCGAGTCGGAACTTCCCTAGGGCCAAGCTCAAGTTGCAACAAAAATGATTTCCCGGCATTTATACCGACACATTCTACGGATCAGCAGCTTCTGAGCCAGCAGCAATCTTTCACAGCGATGCCCAGCCGGCGTGGGCTCCCAGCAGCGCAGTCGACCTTAGAACAGAATACCTTCCCGCTCGGCTTTTGGCGGCAAAACAAGTTATATTAATCTCCCAGCACATGCTTATACTCACACTTTGGACAATCAAGGCGTCCTAATTGCATAGCCATCGGGTTTCTCATTTCACTGCATGGGTTGGGAACGGGTATTGATTGTACTTTACACTCTTCCTTCAAATACCTCGGACAAAGAGTTGTTATCCACCGATGATATAGTTTGGAGTTATTCCCTTCAACCTTATCAGTGTGAGTAGTTCTTATTCTCTAGATTTCAAGTTATGTTGTTCTCCCAAGGGTTAAATTGCAGTCTTTCGGGATTCTGGCTCCTTCAGTCCCAGCAGCCCGTTTCGGCCCCCATTCTACTACGAGGCCCCCCAAACTAAACACGTACTAGTATACCACGCTTGGAAAAAGAAAGGCCGCATAGGGAATCCAAAGCGAACCCAAAGTAGTATCATCGTGCGCAAGTCTCCTAGTATGTGGGCCCTTGCAACGTAGAGCCTGATATAACTAAACAATGACCCACGACATTTTCCAACCGTTTAGAATACTTTCTATTGTCACCTTACGTTGCACCAAGTATCTCACCCCAAGACTCTGGCCAGCATCCTCATTGGACAATTTCTTCTCTTGCAAACAATACTAGTATATCGCAAGATGTCAACGCCCAAACCAGCCATCCTTCTAATCCCCGGCGCATGGCATCAGGGCGAAGCCTGGAAGCCAGTCACTAACATCCTTCAAGAGCAAGGGTATTATGTCGAACCTGTAACTCTTCCCTCGGCCGGAGGTCCTCCCTCGACTAGTGTTGCCGACGATGCGGCCTATATTCGCGGCAATCACTTGGAGAGCCTTGTAGCTCAAGGACGAGAAGTGATCATCGTCATGCACTCGTACGGCGGTGTTCCCGGCACCGAATCTGTCAAAGGATTGGCGAGAAAGGATATCGCAGCACAAGGAAAACCCGGTGGTGTGATTGCACTGGTGTATACGGCCGCCTTTATGATTGCCGGGGGACAGACTCTCGCTGAGTCTTTGCCCAGTGATAGCCCATCGCTCATCAACCAGGTTATGGATGTACGTGCCGCCAGTGGCTTTCCACAACAGGGTTAATCCCAGTTCTCACGGATGGGATTGACTTGACAGTCGTGACTTTGAAAACTTGTATCTCTTACTGACAGATTTGGTGCAGGGTGATGCGACACAGCCAAACGACCCCAGGTTTCATTTCTACAATGATCTTGACGATGAGACTGCTGCGAAATATGTGGACGCGCTGGTCCATCACGCCATGCCGTCTTTCATAACTCCCTCCACTTACGAGGCCTATCGGGACGTGCCAGCGACTTACCTGTTTTGCGAACGGGATGAGGCTATCAGGCCTAATTTCCAGAGGGAGATGGTGGCCAATGCGGGGGATAATGTTGTGCGAACTTATACCTGCACCTCGGGCCACTCGCCTATGTTGTCTGTGCCAGAGAAGGTTTTTGAGGTTATACATGACACTGCGATACTTGCTAAGTCGTGAGTTGATAGATGGGATATTAGAACATATCATGCCGGCATCGGAGATGCCGGTCAAATAGATTGATTGGTTGGGTATCTAACAATCTCAAGAATAGCGATAGACGCAAATATCTAAGAACAATCTAGCTCGAAATCTATTTTTCTTTCGAAGAATGCGTAGTGTTTGTAAATCCTGAACAAGTGCCATCAGAGATAGCAGCAGAGCAGCGCTATTCTGCTCTGTTTCACAGGAGCGTAGGATCTACCACAGGGCGAGGAGAAGGTTTCCGGCGGGCGGAGAGTCTAGCCCTATTTTCAGAGGCGGGCGATCGACTATATCGGGGGTATCATGATCTGGGGAATGTAATGGCAGTGGCGCAATGGTGTGGGCGAGGTGATTTCGTTTTGATCACAGACTGGCGGCTGCCACGACTGCGCCGGTTCCCTTAAAGAGAGTCGGGTTCTGCATGACGACCTCGACCGGGTACTTCCATTGCATGAACCTGGTCCAACCTGCAATATAATATGAGTGAATGACCTTATTCAAATATTGGGATGTGGGAAACATACTCCAGTAGGCACAACGGCGGCCAAAATACTTGCCAATGAACGGCACCAGGACCATGCTGAGAAGCAGCTCTAGCTGCTCGATACTTTCGCGCCACTCAGCCTCGGCATCTGATTCCGAGTACTCGGAGAGGGTCTCTAGATCGGTATCGGTGGTAGATTCGGAAGGGAGGGAGGCGAGATCATCGTCGGTCTCATATGAGCGGTCGGCCTCGGGAACCATATAGGCGGACATGGAGAAGGAGGGATTGGAACCGGAGTACGAGTCAGCGGACATGATGGCGAATTAGTCTTGAGCCGCGGTTGTGCTTAGATCCGTGGGATATAAAAGTGAAAGATGGAGCAGTGGCCTGCCTGCTGCCGGATAAGATCAGAGCATCGGCGCAGATGGACGTTGCTGTTGCTATTGCTGTCCCTGTTGATGTTGATCGGGAGTGGCTCCTTCTCTCCGCTGGGACTGCCTCGTCTCTCCGCCTTCGCCCACGTGACCGTGGCATGACTCAACACTCACGTGACTGATAACAGGCATCGCCTGCCCAGCGGATATGAGCAGCGGAGCGACAAATTCGTCATTGTCGACCTTTTCCCCCAATATTCGATTCTAAACCGATCTCCAGTACCCCTTTGACACCGACGGGACTAGAGAAGTTCGAATCGCACACGCAATCATGGCGGACGTTGTACGTTACATCCTGGTCTCGTTTTACCGACCCTCCCACATTTTCTTTGCCTGCACAATACCCCTCCGAGCGACCACCACCACGCCAGCGCAAAGCCCTCTTTGACTCGCTGGAGATCTGAATTGGGTTTTAAACCGCAAGCACTGTCCTGCGCATTTGCTTTTGTCACTTTTCTGCGCCTAGAATTCACCCCCACTAATTTTGGTCTCCGTTTCTCCAAGCAGGAAGCTACTCAAAAGCAACGCAAGTCGGTCGCCTTCAGCGAAGGAGACGTCATCATGGACACCAACGGCGAAGTCACAGACACTCCTCAGGAGGAGAAGCCCGCCGGTACGCTTTATAGCTCCCCTGAAATTCGAGACTCCCGCACACGCACATCGGTGGACCCGCTAACATAGTGATATTCGTGATACAGACAAGGAGGTCGACGAGGTTACCGAGATGTTCAAGGGCCTGTCAAAAAAAGAAGAAGTCTAAGAAGTCCAAGGACACCGAGGGCGCTGAGGATGAGGAGGCCCCCGCCGCCGCGGACGGCTCCTTCGACCCCTCCCTTCTGAAGAAGAAGAAGAAGCCCACCAAGAAGAAGATCGATACTGGCGACTTCGAGGCTAAGCTCGCCGAGGCTGGTGTCACTGGCGAGACCACCGAGGAGCAAGCCGAGGAGGTCATCCCCGAGGGTGACCACGAGGCCGGCACTGGTATCTGGTCCCACGATGCGACACAAGCCATCCCCTACTCCCTTCTCGTCAACCGCTTCTTCTCCCTCATCGAGAGCCACCACCCCGATCTGCTCTCCAGCGGCGCCAAGTCCTACAAGATTCCCCCTCCCCAGTGTCTCCGTGAGGGTAACCGTCGTACCATTTTCGCCAACATTGCCGATATCAGCAAGCGCATGAAGCGTTCCGACGACCACGTCATGCAGTTCCTGTTCGCTGAGTTGGGTACCAGTGGTAGTGTTGACGGTAGCCGTCGCCTGGTTATCAAGGGTCGTTTCCAACAGCGTGGTATTGAGTCCGTTCTGCGACGATACATCGGTATGTCATTGTTTTGCCCGTGCGCTCCTATTTTTCCCCACAGTAATTTATCTAACAATACTCTCTCCAGTCGAATACGTTACCTGCAAGACCTGCCGCAGCCCCGACACCGAGCTCAACAAGGGTGAGAACCGTCTGTACTTCGTTACCTGCAACTCCTGCGGATCTCGTCGTTCCGTCGCCGCCATCAAGACCGGTTTCCGTGGCCAAGTCGGCCGCCGCAAGCGTACTGGTTAAATTGGGGGTATCAAAAAAAATGCTGGCATTTGTGGAGGAGGGAGTTTTCCGTTTCTCTTCTTTATGGCGTGTCACTTACTACGATCTTTTCACGGGTGAAAATAGGGGGGCCCCTTGGCAACTGCATTTTTCTTAACCGGTTCGGGGATTTGCGATGAAGCAATGATATGAAGGATAGATTAGTTTGGCATGAATTGACTACTATGACCATATATATGCGATTTCTGTTCTTTCTAAAACAAAGGCTTGTTAGTGACGAAAATGATATTTCACTTGGGCTTATATTCAAGTTTGTGTCTGGATGCGGTCGTAGGATGTTTGTTTCCCAGGTGGACAGCGTCAGCCATGAACTGTCACCAACTTGAATGACTGATGACTCCAAGTCCTTGCTGACATGGGTACTGCTTCTCTCACTTTGGGTATCATCCATTCGGCTCCCATCGATTCCGTTGCTAGGAGATTCCATAACAAGGCACCTCGATTCCTGGGCTTTGGCAATATCAATTTTATCTCGGGTGTTTCCTTATATTTTGGTTTGTGAAAGTAAAAAAAGAAAAACCGAAGAAAAGGCTAGACCTCAGGTGAAGTGCAGCTCTAATGAGCTTCTTATGTTTCGGAAATCCGGACCTGGTTTAGTTTGACAATACCTAGGTATGATGATGTTGATTTCACGAAACAGAGTCCTGCTCTGATTTTGGCTACCTAGGTGTACAACCAATCCTTGCCTATCAAAACCCAATAACGAAAATCCCACCCATGAACTCTGTCATAGAAGATGGGCGGAGTGGCTGCAGCTAGGTGCAATCAAGATCGAAACTTATCGTCATACACCCCATCCCTTCCAACCTCATAGCATTAGCCACTTGCGGTGCTCACCTTCATCTGTACCGCAAATGCATTCAGGTTTCTAGTCTGCAAATAAACGGTTCCCGGTCCAGTGAACCTGCAGGCCAACCCTTCTCCGGCGCTAAAGTTGGACATGATTCCACCAGATGCAACACGCTCAATCTTATACTTGCAGTTCCATGCGACAAGATGGCCGTTATCTATAAAGTAGTCTTCTCCATCTTGGAGCTGTAAAAGGATAACCGTCAACACAAAGTCCTCAGAATGAATAACAGGGGTTGACTTACATCCTTCTTGATTATAGCGCCGAAGCTTTGAACCCAAAGTAGACCATCACCTGTGATCTTGTAAATGAAGAGACCTTCCCCAGAAAACACACCCTTGGTGATCCCTTGCGCCTGGTATTTATGTGCAACTGCATCTGTCGAAGCCAGGAATGCATCCCGCCCAATCTTCCACTCGTTGTTCTCGTTGATTCGGAGAACAATGATATCTCCGAGAGTGGAAGGGGCAATTAAGAGTTCACCAGGCCCCTTGTACTTTGACATTGTCATTTCGCCACCAGCAAGTAGTTTCTTCCACGCAAAATGGAAAGTACCCTTCAAAGTAACCGTTGTAGACATCGCAATCATAGCACCTGTATACATGTGGTTAGTTGAGAAATTTGACAATCTTGTGATAATTGAAGTGGTCATTTCTTACCTGGTCTGGCTGTAAATGGGGCGCCTATCGCAAGTTGTACAGTCAACAGAGAGTTTGAATCACGATGGCTGACCCGATAGCTGCCTCCATTGAAAGTTCCTATGGAGTCCTCGTTTGCTGCGCTCGCTCCGGAAAATTGACCTGCTGCCGGTGCACCACCGGGTAGATGTTCGATATTTGCCTTCAACGGGGGTGACTGTGACAGCGATGGTCGGTGGATAGCAGCATTTTGCTGAACAGCGGCAGCGTTATGTTGAGCATATTGCTGTGCAGATCCAGGCGGACTAGTGGATTGTGGAGGGCCTGGATATCCCCCACTCGTAGGAGGTGACTGAGTTGGGGGAGGCGGGTAGCTGAAATTCGGAGGTGCGAAGGGGCTGGCCTGCTGCGGAGGTGGGGGGGAAAGCTATTGAGGGTCAGGGAAATTATATTAGATGCGTCTTCGTGTGTCTTACATGTTACATGTGCAGGGGCTATTCCAGGTTAGCATCGAGTAATAAAATCTCACGATTTGAGGCGGCTGGTTGACCTACCCGACATCGGCGGCGGAGGGTACTGATTCTGTGATTGCGCCATATTCAACAAGCGAGCAGTTTACTCGAGAAACAAAGTCTGAATTGACATGCGTCAGCTATTTGTCCGCATGTCCATACCAAACGCATAAAGCATTTGTGCGAATGAAGGAGGCCACGAGAACTCACGCTGGCTTGCGGATGCGGGGGTGGGCAGCGGTGGCTTCGATTATCGGATTAAAAATGCACGATCACCGACTAAATATGAGATGGGACAGCGCGCTCAATGGATTTCGCTGAAGCGAGGTAGTCTGAAAGGAAGATATCAATTGAGAAAAGGGACGAGTAGGAGCTGGTGCGCTTTTGTGAAGACGAGCTATCGACTCCGCACGGGGGGAGCTCGTCTCAAGTTATTATTAGTCTACCATCAGGGATCAACCGTGCGGGATTCATTTGCATTGGCAGTCAATCAGCTGCTTCGGTATCACACTCGACTACTGCAGGATTATCCCAGCCGGCGCGTAAAAGTTGCACCTGCGCAACATGATGGGTTGATCGATCCCCCACCAAAGTGGATCCCCCTCTGTGATTGGCAATGCGCTTAGCGCCCACCATAAGCCAAGACCACTCAAGAAACCTTTCGTATTGCAGAAAATACCAGTACATTTAAGGGGAAATTGACAAGCGGAGCCTGAATTCGGATCAGAACCCTGGGACTTGGCAAGAAGTTCTATACATTTGATTCAAATCCATATTTAACTGATGATCATTCCAATGTCAATGTAGGCCCATACTGATACTAGTATATTCCGCATATAACTACTTGGAAATAAAGGTTCCCTTGACTGAAGGTGCAAAATCATACCAAATTTAATAATTCGTTGAAAATTCCAAGGTTCCCCGGCGTCGATCATCTTCAACAGAATTTTTGACAACCCAAATCAGCCCACGTTATATGCCTCCGTTCAAGTTGCTTCTTCGAGAATCTTTACAATATCCGAGCGATTGCTTATCTTGGCCCAGTCCAAAGCCGTCAACCCCTTCGCATCTCGCGCATGTACATTGGCGCCATTCGCTAACAGCATATAGACAATATCGACGAAGCCTGAGTCGGCCGCAAACATCAGCGAGGTCTTCTCTCGGTTACCCCCTGGGGCATCAGTCTCAGATCCGGCTTTGAGGAGCAACTCCGTCATGTCGAGATAATTGTTTCTGACCGCACAGTGAAGTGGTATGACTCCATCGGCTCCAAATTTCCCAACATTCGCTCCATGGGAAAGTAGCAGGCTGGCAATGCCGAGTTTATTCTCATTGCTTGCCCAATGAAGTGCAGACATGCCACTCGCGTCAGTGGTATAAACCGAAGCGCCATGGCCAAGAAGCAACTGTGCCATGTCAGTAAGGTCTCGTTGAGCACAGAGACCCAACGGATTGGCATCCGGTCCTTTCTCGTTGCCATTCGGATTAGCCCCGTTTTCAAGGAGTGTCTCAGCAGCTATTAAATCATTTTCATCAATGGCTTGGAGCAAGGCTGATATTGTCCTTTCATCTGACGCCCCAATATCAGCACCATGTCGAAGAAGGACATTCACACCCTGACCAGCGGGATGCCTTGCCGCAATACTGAATGCTCGTTGACAAAGCACCGGGTGTTGAGCACCGATCTCTGCCCACCTCACCATAATAAATATGCGATTGCACCCAGGTCTTCTTTCAAGGCCCAGATGTAGCCTAGTTCATCGTCATTTCCCTCTAGATCACGATGGTGGATATCCCAAGCACTCAAGGTTAAAAACTCCTGCGTGGCTTTCACCGTTGCTATCGAAAGTTTTGCATCTTCGCCGCTTTCTGCAGATGTGCCTAGGCTTTCCAACACTCCGTGGGATTTGAGGGTGGGCTGTATACACTCAGCGCTCGGTATGTTGCTCGAAATATGCCATGCAATCCATCCTAGTTCCCTGGAAAATTGCCCCAGCCAGTGCTCCAATTGGCTCGACTCTGACCAGTGCATGGGTGACCTCACGTGCTGGGAGTTGAGAAAGTCCCCCCTGATATTCTTCTTGAGGATTTTGCACATATATTTGAGCCCTGCTCCCCGGATACTAGCATCGTGGACCATCAGAGCCCGGCGGCAGAGATAACCCAGTTCATATGCAGAATTGCGTAGCTCATCGCCTTGAGATCGCTCGCATATCCATTCGAGAAGTCTGAACGCTTTCTCCCAGTTGTTTTGGCTTATCAGATCTTCGATCTGCTTCCTCACTTGGGCAGAATCTCCTGCCAACTCTGGAAGAAGGTTTAAGCTTCGCAAGGTAGGTATGGCACAAAGAAGTGCATCTTCTCGGGATCCCAGCATGCAACTCTCGAAGCAATGAATGAGCTCTTCAATCTGGCTATTCTTTGCAGAAAAGCTCTGCCGAAAAGTTGAACTATGGATGCTGTCGTTTAGAAGGGTATCCCCTTTGAATGCATTGTTAGGTTTGAGGGCATTGTGAAGGAATTGGATGTAGATATCTTGAGCAACCATAGTCTCCACACTATTTTCTGTTCGAACAACAAGTATATCATTGTCGTAGACATAGCGATCCGATTCAAATCCGAAAAGCCGTTTCGACGAATCAATCGTCTCAGCGGAGACAATCTTAGCTTCAGTTTGTTGGAAGATCCATTTATGAAAGTCCAGGTACATCTCCAGTGTTCCAGCCTCAGACTCATTGAGGCCCACCATTCGAACGAGAGGATTCTTCCACCCCTCGTCGAATTTGTATAATGACCAAGTTGACAATCCAATGATTGCTTCGAGTTCACTCTGGTCGACTTTCCATTTCAAAGCATCGCCGCTCCTTTGAACGCGGATTGGGTGTTGCCCATGGGAATATGAAGTCCTTTCAGGCCCTTCAAGTTTGCACTCGAATGAGAGATCAAATCGAAATTCTTTCTCGTACTCAACACCCCAGCTGGACAATAAGTCCATTGTCATCCCGATTGTGTCTGCCAGGCTCTTTGCCACTTTTCGAGTTGGAATATCGTCCCATGGTACATTCAACCCATGCTTCGATTCTTGCTTGGAGGTTATGTCTGCTAGAAGAGCCCGAGTTTCAATGATCTCTTTTACCAGCGGTTTCTCCGGATGAGCCACATAGCTGTCTGAAGAATTACTGCGGGGTGTAGTACTAGTCGATGAAGCGGGTTCGAACGAAGCGACCCCACGAAGGTAAAATGCAAAAGCATCAAGTTCTTGTTTCCTCTGTGTAGCGAGATCTCGTTCGTCTTTAAGAAGGTTCTCTTCAGGTGCCATTCTCTGAGTCCTTAGACAAGTGCGCAGAATCGACATGATGAAAGTCGAGCCCAGCTGGGCTAGAATGACGGATGCATGAAGTCCTCTTAGGCCAACAAATTGAATGATGAAGCCAAGCATTGTCGAACCTAAGACTGTATAGAGTTCAACATATCTGCCATCGTATTTCGGGAAACGGGTAGATTTGATATATTCCAGCCCCTCGCTCATTGATGATTCTGGTCCTTGCCTGACGGCCATAAATGCGCCGAAGACCTGATCACCCACGTGCTGATTCCCGGGTTGCAGCCAATAGATCTTATTATTTGGCTTGTTTGGTTTGATGTAATATTGTTTCGAAGAGCGTTCGATAATGATCGCGCAAAAGAGCATGCCTGCGAAGAGCAAGGTCGTTCCGACAACATAGAATGGGAATGCGTAACTGGCCACTGGTTTGTCGTCCTTTTCAAAATCTCCGGGAAATAGAAATACAGTGATTGCAGCGTATATAATGACCCCTAAGAGAAATAGAGGTATCAGTTCAGTTGAGTCTGCCATATTGCAAATCTCATCGACATAATCTTACCTATCTGCATGATAGCGCCCAAGATAGCAGCGCATTTAAACCACCTCGGATGCCTTCTCTTGATCCCCTTATTCAAAGACAGGTTTGGTATATCGAGCTCTGGGAGACGGGTCAGATCATCCAAATCTTCAGAGGCAAGACCTGATCCTTTAGCACTCCACGCTCCTTTCCTAATCGCGTCACGAAGTGTTCCAAATTCGACCGATCCTTTCCCTGTCTTCGGATCTTTGTTCTCCCCGTCCCATGAGACAATCTCAACAATCCTGGGCCTGCCAAAGACTCTTGAAATGCCCCCATCATTGAATAGCTCCGCTGTTGACTGTGACACACATGGTAACAGTTCGCTTTCAGCCTCGGCAGGGCCCTCTTGTGCTCTCCCTACGAATGCTTTGAGGGATGAGCTACCGCAAACTCGAATGACTGAAACAACTGCTGTTAAAACACCAAGTGGTGATAAGGCGAAGATTATGTTGTCTAAGAGGCTGATCGACTCGGAGAGAAATTGTTTCGTGAGTCGTTCACCAAAGAGCGTTATTAAGGGGGCCTTTAGATGCGAGATGGTTAGCATGTCTTCACCATGTATTTGCCACGAGATCCTAGTGATAATTCTCAGATCTTACCAAGTCAGTTGCAAGATTATTGGTAAAATCCTCCCAATCATCCGCCGCAGCAAAAGGTGCAAGCAACAATATCGTCCAGAATATAAAGTACTTCATGGTGCCAACAGCATATCACCGGTGCACCATCGAAGACAAACATAAGTTATTACTTTGAATTAGAAGGAGGCACATGTTCGTCCTTTTGAAAGCGCCGCTATCAGTGTCGATTTGTTCGTTCCTGTTCGATGTGGTGGGGCTTGGGCCAGGCGCTTCGCGTGGCCCTAAATACATGGCAAATCACACTCATACACATCTCGTCGCTGAAACCGCTAATGTCCCTGCTGCATGCACATAGCCGCCGTCTCAACAAAAGTACTACTACGAATAGAAACACCCAGTATCATCGGGCCCAAGAACGGGCGAATTCGATTAAACTTAAGGCTATACTTCTTGCCGATCTAGAAACGAAGGTTGATAGAAAGCGGGGGGTGCATCAAGTCCAAAAAGCTAACGATAAATCATAGAGAAACACCAGCAGCAGGCCACTGATCTTCTATTCCGAAACAAAATCAAGCCACAAACGCCGTTGAATGATGTAGGAGGATATCGATTGGGAAAGTTGAGCAAGAGCGATAATTTTCGAGGATACGAGTAATGAGGAGTCTGAGATGTTCGGCTTAGAAGATGCTGTTGACGATGTTTGAGCCGACCGTAGCACCGGCACCGAAGATCGCTAAGACCGGCATTAGCTGTGAACAGACGGTAGAAAAGATAACAATTCATCGGAAACCTACCAGCATTGCCTAGCTTCTTTCCGAACTTCTTGCCACCTTGTTCGAACTTGTTCTTCTTCTCCGGGTCATTAGGATCGCCCGATCCGCTCTGGCTAACATCCAGGGGCATATTTCCGTAGTTGGTGGGCGGAGGGGACTGCAGTCCACCCTTCTCGTTAATCACATTGACGTAGCTTCGAGGGAAGATACCCTCCATGCCAGTCCGCTCGTTGCGACCGCGCCACCCTGCATTTATATGTTAGCTATATCCCCTAACGCCTCCATTAATGTAGAACATACAGTCATCATTCATGTGCTCAGTAACCTGGATGCGATCATTCGGCTGCAGAGCAAGGTCGCCCGGATCGGTCGGTGTGTATGCGTATAGGGCGGAGGCCAGCGACATAATCGGTGGAACCTGAGGGTAGGCCGGCGGGGCCTGGGGAGGCGGAGCCGCATATTGGTTCTGCATCGGGGCTTTCTCGTTCAGGGAGGCATTTGACATGGCCGTGGATGGGGGCGAGTACGGGGCCGGGGGCGGCTGTGCGTGAACAGGCTCTGGCAGGGGTGATGGCACCGGCGCTGGTGCTGGTGCTGGTGATGGCTGATGCGCGCGGGCATTGATGGGAGACGGCTGGTGCGCGCGGGCCTGAGACTGGGGCTGGTACTGGGACTGAGAGTCGGTGGGGAGCTCGGCAAGAATAGAGGAGAGCTGTCGAGGGTTGATGACACCAGAATCAGCCAGAAATTCCAGCTCCTACATGTTGCGTGTCAGTTGTGGTGCTCGGCTTCAAGGGGACCTTAGGGTACTGTGGGGGATAACGCACGCTGCGGACCATGCGGAGCGACCGAGCGGTCATGGCTGCGGAGAAGTCGCTCGCCATGGCGGGAAGAAGATACGGTAACAATTAAAGTGGTGAGAGAATGGATAGGATTGATCCTGTTAAAGATGTCGTGGGCAGTGAAGAGTCGAAGAGTCGAAGGAAGGTGGAAGGTGGACCAGGCAGATGAGACAGCCAAGACGGACAATCCGGCTGGCGGGGACATATGAACATCCCAAATCTCCACACGTTCGCCCTAAATTTCATGTCCAGGGGTAATGTGGACAATAGGCGAGCTCGGAAGGGCTCGGCATTTTAGGCAGCTTTAATTCTCTTCTCCTGGGTGTTTTTTGAATTCGTTATTCTCGGGCCGTGGAGACTGGAATAGGCGGGTCCGAGTCGGAGAGGGCCATTTGCAAATTTCTAAGTATAGAATGAGGATCATACTTCGTATTCCAACAAAACAGAATATGGATCAATCATTGATTAAATTAATACCACATTTTAGAACTACACTTTAATGGACATTAATTCATAACTGCGTTCATAGTTCTGCGTGAGATACTCGGAAATTCGATTTCATGTCTATCAGCATAACCTTCTATTCAACCCAACTAGGAGATACGAATACGCTCGACATACGAATACGCTCTATTTCGATTCATCCCGCTCAGAAAGGCATAATAGAGTCAAGTTATAACCTTTACAGCACTTTCGTGATCGCAAGACCATCCTGAACTCATATGTTAGCATCTATATTTCAAAAGGGCGATCAAGACAAAACTTACCTTTCCAAAGTCCGTATCAAACTCGGGTACAACAGTCTCATAAATGAGCTCAGGCTTAGGGCGACGACCTCCAACGTCCGCCTTTTCAAGCAGCTTCTTCTTCTCGTCCGGTGTTGCCTTTACCCACTCCAAGTAGTCTGGAGCACCAGGCATAATAACATTATCCGCAATCAACATCGTCCTTCCAGGAACTATAACTCCCAAATCTTCAAGGAGCCACAAATCTGGAAGGTACAGCTTTTGCCAGTGATCAAGGAAGATTAACTCTACCTCGTTGATCTGCTTCTCCTCCCGAACTAGCTCCTCCAGTACTACATTGCTGGCTCCCACCATAATCTGCACATGCTCACGTAGGCCAGCTAGTTCGACCAGCTGATTCGCGACAGCAGCCATCTCAGGATTGACCTCAATGCTCAACAGCTTCCCTCCATGGGCCTTGAGAGCATTGCCGAAGAGAACAGCCGAGTAACCAACGTAGCCACCAAGTTCAATCATCAGGGATGGCTTTCTCTGGGCAATAATATCGAGTATAGTCGGCCCTTTGACGTCACCGATATTCATCAGTTTGTTATGCTTGTCGTGGTACTCATCAATGGCAGCGATGACTTTTTCCGGATTTCCACGAATTTGCTTGATATCGGAGCGGGCGTACATCCAGTGGAGGAGATCAACCTCGCGGCCATCCTAAATATTTTTAGCAGGAAATCATATATGTGTTACAAAATGGTGACTGACCAGGGCGATGATATGGGGAGGCGGAGCGTGGGGACGGTTAGACATGCTGAATCGTGGGAAGAGAAACGGAATTTCAAAAAGGTGATTCACTTTGAAGTATTGACTGAATATCTTATAACTTCTTGATCGGATTGATTGAATTGGCTCAAACTAAGCGGAAGTGAGGCGATTCTTATACTTGCTGTCGACGCATCGGGGATACAGTTGTTTTTCGCCCAAAGCGGAAACCTCGGAGTACTTCGGGCCCTAAAACACTCACTTCCCCACGCAGTGAATACCCCGAGATCCCGACCGACTTTCATTTAGGCATCAATCTCACTTCCCTCCAGATATCCCTACGTGTCAAAGAATGGATATAGGAAATAACACACCTCGTACCGTGATTACCGAGTTGCTCTCTTATGTCCGAGAAGGCTCATGAGTACGGAGAAAAAAAATACTATGCTGCCTTGATCGGCTTGACATCCGGCCACTAAGACCTTTAGCAGGAAATTCAGAGTTGAAAAAGTATTCTTAAACTATTTAGTATTTATTTTAAGACCAAAAGTGTGAAGAAGGCTGTTGGGTTTGTGGTACTGAGGCTATCGGTGATACTAGCTACTAACTATCGACATAGTTGGCCTGTGCTGACTGTCTACATAACTAAAATGTATACAGAGAGCTCTGTCATCTTATGTTTGCCTTCCCTACTACCAGCTAATAGCACCTGCTACAAAACCAATACTAAGTAAGTAAGATAAAATAACAACATATTCATATAATTATTCTTTAGTGACAGCTAATATCTCGACGTCCCACCTAAAAATCGATTCTCGATGTGATCTCTAAAGACAACAAACTGATAAACAATCTCAACTTGTCAACTTGAAGCTTGCGGTGACGCGCGATCTAGTCGCATGGAAGCATCATTGTGTCCAGGGCCACCAATAAGGAACTGTGACTGTCTTCCACAGCCGCCCCCTTTGTTTTCACGATATCACGAATGCCTGCGAGTGATGGGATGCTCAGTCTTCAATTCTGCTGGTGAGAATTCCAGCACTACTCCAAAACAGAGATAGAGCACCAATCACGATGGCTAAAGGGGTAGACGCATTCTGCAGATCGTCCGGATGAGCTTTAAGCCAGAACCAAAAGAATGCAAAAGGCCCAGCGACGATGATGCAATGATAGACAAAAACGTAGGTGGATGAAACCGCAAACACAGTTTCAAGGCCCCATACGGGTGAGGTCTGGTCGCTTTGAAACCCCTTCGTTCTCTTCGGGATGCGTCCCAGATGCGAAGCACCGGCTAAGGGCGGCATACAGTCATGTGGAATTGGCCAGGTGCATGGGAAATGACACGTATAGAAAAGAGTCTTGAACGCATGACGTGAAATCGGTGGGTTCCTGGCATTAGGAGCTCCAGCACGGGGACTATACTGATAGTCCACGTGGGTGGGAAGGTCTTTATGCTCACGAACCATGCGCTCAAGCGTCAGTCTATTAAACTAATATTTATCAGTCTCTGTAATAAAAGGTCTTTTGGATGATATAGTACCTTCACAACCTCACAATATTCCAAGCGCCAAATGGAGAACCATAATCTCAGTCGGCCACGATGAGTCCGATAGCACATGTTAAGGTCCCGGAAGACACTGTAGTCAGTACTTTGATCATTTATCGAGATTTGAGCAGGTATTAGGGTTCGCCGTGCCCCCTGGATTCCAACCAATATCCAGCTCTTGGTTTGGCTAGCTGGGGCCAAAGCCACTATCTGAGCTCCCCGGATCGCGATGGTGCTTCCTTGATGAGATTGATTCGGAGTAGTCGCGCTAGATTGGCCGTCACCACGAGGCCGTGATCCATGCCGGGGGGGTTGATGCGGACGTGAAGATCCTCGTCGGTGTATATCTTTCAGCCGCTGTTGACAATGTTGCAGCACATGATTCTAGTAGGGCTTTTCGGAATTTGCCTTCAACCCAGGCTTTCCGTAGCGATCCTACTCTTTTTGTTCTGCACCAGTGTGGTGGCCGAGGTTTGTCCTCGGACATGGCCAATATCTTCCTCACTAGCTCAGATTGCTCGATAGATATTTCTTCCCACTGCCGCGCACCGCACGTCTGCTAAACGTTAGCATTGAATTGGGATCGAAGAAATCAGAACTTACACAATACCAAAAAATTCGCGATTCACCGTTCAGTAGCATTCTCTTCCCTGATTCTAGAGGCCACCAATTCCATCTCACGTGAGTCTTGCCTTCCACCCAGGTTTTGAATCTATTCGTCAAAGAAAGATCTTGCTCCTGAGATACCCAGATATCCTCTTTAGGAATAGACAGGAGCACATTTCTCAGCTCAGTTGGGAAAAAAAGGAGCATGAACTCCTTCAAAAGAACCTGAAACGATACAGCCTTTCGTAGGAAGGCCTTCAGCTCAGAGATGTGAGGAAACTCATCTATCTCGATATCATCGTCAGAGTCAGAGTCTGGAGCTTGGTCATCCAATTCCGTATACTCGTGTCCCAGCCATCTTTCGATACGATTTTTGTTTTCCAGTGGAATTTGGAGGTCGGCTCTATTGCTCTCCGGAATATCTTCCCGCTCTTCTTGGATATGAGTGGCAATCTGTTGGCTCATCCGATTCCTTCCTCGCCTGCTGCGTAATAATCTGGCGACGGTCTTTTCTACCTCAGCATCAGCCTCTGCGGAGAGGTTTTTGTGAAATGACTTCAGTAATCGTCGCATGTTCTCCACGAAGCGTTGTGTGTCCATATCGGCCATTGCTTTCTCACACAGTAGTCTGAAATTGGGCTCCTCGGTCAGAAACATCCTAATAAGAGCTTTGCCCGTCATTCCTTCGTTTGTTGTTTCATCAGATGCTTGTGAGTCAATGTCATCATTGTCGGATGCGAGTGACTCAATGTCCTCATTGTATGAATGTTTGGACTCATCAGTGTTGACTACAGCGTGCGAGTCGGTCTCATCTTGAAGAACTGCCTCCGAGGACACCGTCATTGTTGTAGGGCGTGATTCTGATGCATAACCCGAGTCCTTTTCTGGGTCTTTCAAGTGTATATGAGATGGAGTACTAGTCACGATTTTATGACTCGCTTCATAGACTATCTCAGACATCATCGCATCATTCTTTGGAATTGCAAACCTTGCTGTTTCTCCTTGGAGAATACGGTCTGATTGAAGATAATCCTGTACAGAAAAATGCGCCATGTGAACAACAGATCTCGGATGTCCGTCGTCATCTTCAGTCATCGACACCACCACGAGTCCACCGCACATTTCAACAATATCATCTAGATAGGATGAGCGACCCTCGTTGTCAAGTTGTGACAGTTGATCAGGGCCAAGAAAGGCATCAATCAGCTCATTTGAAGTGAGATGTCCGGCGGCAAAGCAAAGCAAACTCAATACCTTTCGCACATCTTGAACGTCTTTCTCGTCAATACCACACAATATTCGGGCATAGGTCTCATCCAGACCACAAGGCAAAGAGTACAGGCATTTGTCAAGCTGATTCCGGGTCATCGCTCTTGAAATTTCCCTCAGTTGCAATTTGGCATGTATAAACCTGTAAATAAATATAGTTAGATTGATAGTTCATGATTCTTTGCTACTATCGAATACGTACATTCCTCGTGCGTTGGCCGTCAGTTTCGTCTGGATCTCGCCATGTCGCTCTTTGAACCACTGGGACTTCGGGTTATTTTCGAGCTGATGGGAGACGAAGACTTCTATGTCCCTGTTCATATCTGAATGTGCTATGGACAGGTCTTGGTCAGGCGAAGGGTCTAGAGATCTGCGGATATCTAGCTCGTCCCGACAAGTAACCAAAAGATGGACACTGGGCAAGTACCACTGCCTTATAACCTGTATTGCCCTTAGAACACCCTTTCTCTTGTCATCTCGGGGGCTTTCGTCTAATCCATCGAGAAGAATATAGCTATCACGGAATTGGCTCAGGAGATTGAACAGACTGTTGAGTAAAGCTTCCACAGTGGGGTTACCGGGGTTGTGCGATTTATACAATTGCTCTAGAACCTGTTCACCATCTTGAATCTGGCCTGACAACTGTAATAGTAATGCGCGTAGCATGCTATGATCATCTTGCTTCGACTTGTCGTTAAAATTGAAATAAAAGAATGAGAAGCCTACTCGATCTCTGTCTTTTCTCCTAAGGAAGGTGTGTTGGATTGCTGTTGAGCAAAGCACTGATTTTCCAGACCCTGGGAAGCCATTAAGCCAAAGAAAAGAATTGCGCTGCACTAGCCACTTCGCGAAATGATTTCCGCCAGTAAACCATAGACCAGTTTGAGGCTGATGCTTTGCATATACCGCGTTGTGGTCGATAGATGCGTCAGGGGCCATAAGCCAGGTCCGAATCACTGAAGAAACCTGACTCGAGTTTGTTCGCTCGAGAAATGATTTGAAATTCGACAGTTGGGCCTCCATCCGGGAGTCATTTTTGACCTGTAGGACATCAAGCACTGATAAGATGAGTTCGCGTAGCTCGCCAACCATGTTTTCAATCTTCTCCAGTGTGCTTTCGCGGAATGCATAGGCAACGGAATTTCCAGATAATTGAATACGATCCTTTGATTCGGTGATTGAGTCCAAATCGATTTGCTGACATTCTAGGTGAAGCTCCTCGATGAGTGTCTGCCACCTTGGTGTGATATTGTCGATACCTTCTCGGTATAGCTCTTCTGTGTAGGCTCCAAATAGGCTACTAGTATCCTGGACTTCAACTGACTCTTGGAAGGATCGAAGGACGTCCCGGATATCCGCAAATTCTAGCACGAGCTTTGCAAGATTGGGGTCTCTGCTCCGGTTTACGGAGTAAAAGGTCTTCAAGGAGTCCGTCACTTGGACCCCAAGTGAGAGGGACCCTACGATCGAACTTGCGAACGACAACGGATCCGACATCGTAGCAGTCCGTGTTGAGAGAGATGGAGCGATAGGACCGCAATCAAAGTGTTAATGATAAGGAAAGATTAGTCCTACCTTATTTTTGGATGAAGGTAGGAAGTGGAAAGGAGGTAAGCCTTAGCGAGAACGTGCATGATGAGGAGCGGGGTGAAGGGTTGGGGGCTTTGAGGTATGGGGACTTTTGTTATGGTCCTGACCCCTGACGGATGCAATACAATACAATGCACGATGGCAGAGGTACGTACATACTATTAATTCAAAGCAGTTGGGAAAAACTGCCTACGGAATATATTAGCTGTTTGGGCATTAGAGGCGAGAAATAGTAGAAGAGTGTAGGCAGTTAGTAGTACCAATCCCAAGATGTACTGTTTCCAGTAACTAAGCCCTGGTACTACTACGACTGGTAGCAGCAGAAATATTCCAATATTTACTTACTACACACCGCGACGTCGATCTTGATGTACTTCTTCATACGAGCTGGATAACTAGAAGTTAAGTCTATCATTTATGAGCCTGGCTGTGTAATATCTAATGCAAATTCTCCAATTCCAAGGTTGTATATTTTGTTTGTGTCGCATGCCCCGCGCGCTGAGCCTCAGCCTCGCGGTGGGGCAGTCGGCGTCCCAATTGGGAAGAAATGGAGAACAAAGACTGGTATGCGGAGGAGTAGAAGGTAGCAGTCCATGAGTCACTTATAATGCACAGGTTTAGCTCTTTGAAGTGACTCTTTGTGAGTAACTGATATTTCTTAGTCGTTATTTGACCTAGTGTTGAGTTCGAGATCAACATGGACCCAGAAGTATGACATCAAGTGGGTCAAGACATATCATCATATTCTCTGTGGTCCTTTGTCTTCGAGGTAAATTTGTATGCATTATGAAGGTTGAGTGCTACAATGAGCACTTAATGACTATTTTTTTATACCGTATTAATTTTTCCATATTGTGAATCGAATCAATGGATGAAGGTAGAGTACGTCGAGTCCGGTGAAAGGGAATGTGGCAAAATGCTGGATGAATTGATCATGATGAACCCGTATTAAACACCACAAAAAGGGATACATAAGCAATCAAATATTTCTGAGATCCTATTCAACTTATGTCCGAAAGGAAAACACTAGAATAATTGCCATCCTTTAGTAAACACGGAGTTAAAGCGTGTAAATTAGAAGCCAGGCGCCCATTGACCAATCGACACTAACCAGATCCGGTTAGCGCATGACTCCCCTCCTCTCGAAGCTTCTGTGGTATAAATTGCTTCACACGCGAGCCATCGTCATACCCCACCCCTTCCACCGCACATCCTACTCTTTCCACCTCCACATACCACCTCTCACGCACTCTACCACCCCCAATCCACACACCACATTCAACCGTCAAGATGGACGACTGGGACACCGTCACTAAGATCGGCAGCAAGACCCGCGGTGGCACTGGCCCGCGTGAGACCACTGTCAAGGGCCGCAGCGCTCTGAACGCCGCTCAGCGTAGCGGTGCGGTTCTCGGATCTGAGAAGAAGTACACCACCGGTAACATTGTACGTCGAATTCCCCTGTACTACTCAATTCCCTCCCTCGAAGACAATGGGAATCAATGAAAGAGCGGACGGCTAACAATGACCACCTAATAGTCTGCGAAGGCTGGCGCCCCCCGATGGCCAGCACTTGACCAAGGTCGACCGCAGTGACGATATCATTAAGCCCAAGACCGTCGGCTACGCCGTCGCAGATGCCATCAAGAAGCGCCGAACTGAGGAGGGCTACAAGATGACCCAGAAGGAACTCGCCACCAAGTGCAACACCACCATCACCATTGTGCAGGATTTCGAGCGTGGCACCGCCACCCCAGACCAAAAGGTCCTCTCCTCTATGGAGCGCGTGCTCAACATCAAGCTCCGTGGCTCTGACATTGGAGCCGAGAAGTTCGCCAAGAAGAAATAGATTTCTCTTTTCTCCTTTCCTCTGTCTTGCTCATCTGGGGATGAGCCTCCGGCTTATTTTATTCTTTTGGGGATGAGACCCAGGACGAAACATTGAAAGTTCTGCATCTCTTTCTACTGTTACTGTTTTTGATGATCATCATGTCCCCGAACGACCCCCTTCCTCTCTATCTATGAATTTTTTTTTTTAACTTTCCTTGGGTTTCTATTTCTGCTGGCTGGATGAGCGCTGGTCAATGCATGGAAATGGGTTTAGAGAAAACTGCATGAAAATGTATAAATGATACCTCCTTACATGAATTTCTTGTAATATTCGATATTTAGTATTTTGAGAACTCCTCTCGTAGATGTCCTAGTACTGGTAGTAGTGTGGCGCCCACTGCATATATCGTTGTGGGGGATGCCGAGCCCTGAAGGTGGTGAATTTGTGGCGATATGATCTCGCCCATATAGCCAGCCACTCCTTCAGCCCAAACTACTACTAGTAGTTACCTCTCAATTCTGAAATCATCAACTTGGATAATATTTTCTGGAAGACCCCAAATTTTTAAAGACAAGAACAGTTCGATATTCTGGTATATAAATAGCCATATAAATTTTGGAAGCTTCGTATTGTCTATTCGTGATATGCGATCCTCCGCCGGTAACCCGGAGAGTCACAGCTCCCACGTTTGCAGCTAAAGGACATACATATATCTCGAGAAAAAAAACCATCATGAGAAGCATGCCATCTTTTATTAACCCAGAACAATAAACAAAGGGGTACCAACTCCGGGTGATCATGTAATCAACAGAAATGAGAAACCGTGCCTCGAAAGGTCATCATCTCATCCGGTATGCAGAACTCGTGGGCGGGATTGTGCCCCGAGCCTTGTTCGCATTCATAAAACACATACACAAGAAACGCAAAGGCTCGAAAAAAGAGTCACCTATATTTTTTCATCGCTCTTCTTGAGATTTCTCCATATCATTCACTTCGCTTCACTTCCGCATCTGCTCCCGCTCAACCTCGTACATGAAGTCGAAGTAGGACTTGTCGAAGTGGTGAATACGGACGTAACCGTCCTCACCACCGGAGGCATACGCGGTACCGGCGGGTGGACATCGATGGTGTTAAGGGGACCGAAGTGACCACGGACACGGCCAATCTCATCTTCGAAAATCTTGTGGTAGAAGCGGGCCTCGAATTTACCCTGGCGGGCGGAGGTGGTTGTGACATCCATGGCGGCTTGACCACCACCCAGAATCACGTAGTCCTTCTTGGGGGTGATGGAGGCGGAGTTAAGGGGAGTGTCGGCGGTGTAGGTCTTGAGGATGTTGAGGTCGCGAACGGACAGGAGCTTTCAGAGAGTTAGTCAATGGTGCTTTATATCGAAAGATCAATCGAATGCGCCTACCTTGGCAGACTTGTCCTTGGAAGCGGTGAGGAATGAGGTGCGGTCGGAGGAGAATTGGATGTCGTTGATCTGGGAGTCGAACTCGTGGACCTGGACGTTGAGCAGCTGGTCACCGGTCTATAGAAAAAGATATTAGTATCATTCGGAATGCGAGCAGGATCAATCACCCCCTCTATCCAATCTTGATCGTACCTTAGGGTCGTACTGGCTGACACTGCCGTCTTCGTGCGCGGCAATGATATACTTGGCGAGGGAAACTCCATCCCGCCACTGTCGCCTTGCTGTCCTCGCAAGTAATTTTCAGGGAAGGCTCGGCGGCCTGATCCTCCAAGTTCTCGCCATAGTTGATATCCAGCACGGCGATCGTACCCAGGAAACCCATACGCTTCTCCGTCACAGCCAACAGCTTGCTTCCATCCGGGGAGAAAGCGACCCGCTTCACGGCGGTAGGGAAATCCCAAACCTTCACGCATTCACCAGTCTTGATGTTCCATAGGCGCACGGTGTTGTCGGCGGAGCCGGTAGCGAGAAGGACGGTGTTGGGGCTGACATCGACGGTCCAGACAGCACCTTGGTGACCGTTGTACGTTCCGAGACGCTCGCCGTTGGCGGACCACCAGGCGCAGACAATCTTATCTTTGGAGACGGAGAAAAGGAGATCGCCATCACGGTTGAAACGAATCTGGGTCAGGGACCGTTCCTATAGAAAGACACGAACAGGGCCGCGGTCAGTAAACTTGTACAATCTGTGTGGATCTAGCAGCTTTTACTGCTAAAAAACGAGGAATTCCAACGCACATGGCCCGACAGCAAAATAGGGCGCATCTTGATCTGGGCGACGAGAAGATCCCGGAGAAAAAAGTCGAGGCGATCGGGGGGGTTGAGGAGGGGAGGGCGGGTATCACGGAGGGGGTTCAATCTCGTCAACCTTCGACTTTCTTTGACTGGTGAATTTCATCGCACACTGGGCCCGCGAATGCCAAGACTGTCCTGGATGACTAAGTGTGTTTGCAGGAAAGACAAACAGGCCAGCCGGGCTCATATCTACACGTGACTGTGCCCCGCAGCCCTAACCCTATCAGCCTGATACAGCAGTCAGGTGATGGGCACCGCAGAGGCTCCAGAGGTAATCACCTGACTAAAATCACATGTCTACATCATGACTCAGCACGGCCCGGTCTTCTGCCTGAGGCCATCAACCCTCGGGGTGTTACAAGCCTCCTTTATGTCGGACGGCCCGGACTCGCGTCGAAGTCGTGCAAGAAAAGGAGAGGAATGAAGGCGACTGTACGAGTGAGGGGGACAAGAAGATGTTTTCGTGTGCTCATCCAATCCTTTCCGATTCATTCCTTTGCATTGCAAGCTGTCCTGCAGAATTCCCTTGTGAACCCGAGCCACAGAATCAGCTCCGAGGGTTCTCGCCCCTAAAGAAGCAATAATATTCATGCTCTTCCCCGCCAAACCCCGCTGTCGCTTTTTCCTTCAAGCGCCTGCGGTCAATTTTCGCCTCCGCACCATCTCTCCGTCCTCCTTTCCCGTTAACCTTCCCTCCGCACGAGGGGTTCGAGGAAGAATTGTGTCCTCGTCGACTTGGTCTTCGCTGCCGACCTTTTTAAATCCCCCGGCCGCTTCTTCTCATCGCCCGTTCTGCAGTTCCGCAAT